ATCACCATGTACGTAGGAATAGCCTGGGTCGGCATCACGGCATCACGGCAGGCAGAATGGACCAAGTACCACGGCGGGTTGTCGATACTAGGTACTACATACGCCCATGCCACGGCGGGAGGCTAGCTATCGTGACGGCTCGTCGGCAATTAAGGCAGTTCTATTGGGCACATTGCGACGGGCTTATAAGCGTGGGGAGCTCCCGACATCATCGATAATGCTGCAGGTGCCAAGACGCTCGGGGCCTGTGTCTTGGTGGAAGAGCGGTAAACCCAACCCCAACCCGCGATCCAGCGCTATACCGAAGGGCCCTTCTCGACGCTCGGGTCGCAGCGGGGTGGGCGAAGAGGACGAGAATCGAGATATTGTTTAATCAACGCCCCGAGGTAAGTAGAGCCGCGACGGTTCTAGAAGCTCTAGAAGGATGGCCGCAATAACCTCCCTCTGACCGAGTCAAATCATTGCGATCGTTATCAATAGTGGCATTCGGGTGAAAGAGTCACGAGTTCCTGCTTGATTCCTCGATTTGTTTCTCTTTTTTCTTTGGACGAAAAAGAGAAAAACCCCGTCCGCAAACCTAGGGAAGACGAGAAAGGCGAGATCAGTCGCAGTGTGTACAGTAAGTCATTTCCTGCGCGATTCCCCACGGGTGTGCGGTAGATATGCCCAAGGGCCCCGTCACCCGCCCGCGGCTTCGGGCTGGGTAGATCGAGCAAGAAGAGGGGGGGAGGGACCCTCCTGCGAACTCTTGGCTGGATGTCCCGCTGACATCAATATTGGCACCAATAATCGCCAGACACTGTCGAGGAGTAATATGTCTCTCCGCCAAGGGGAGTATTATTTATGTTGATATGGGCGGCGTTTCTGTGTTGAGAGGTGAGACATAAACGCTGCTGGCGGTATCACCGAGCGAAGCAATGCGTCAGTTATGGCATGTAGGCCATAACTAGATACACAGCGAGGGCGTGAGAAGAGAAGAGTGCTCCTCACGCGGTTCCCAGGATTGACGTAATTCAGGTAATCTCTCCGAACAAGTTGGCGCCAGGCGGAACACATGCACTCGACCTCCTCCTTTCCCATACCGAGGTGGAGGTAGGCAGGTAACGAATACAAGCGAATACTCACCTTAGATATTGTGTATACCTGCAACTCCCACCTAATGCATACACACACATGCGGTACATTCGGCATATTTAGGTAGTTCACAGGTACACAGAGGCCATGCGAAACAGAGGCCCCACTGCTTACGACTGCGACCCCTGGTTGTGACGGCGGTGCTGGGGAGGGATGGTTTAACACGGCGGCGAGCATGAAGACAAACGTCGTAGTGATCGTCCGTCCGTGGGCGAACGGGAAGCCCGTTCTGGGATTCCTGCCCTGGCTGGCAGGGGTTGGAATTTGCAAGGTGACGGCCAAAATACATACATATGTGTGTCTGCACCGCCTAGGCGTGTACTTTTTTCCTTGTAGGCGCTCTCAAAGTGGGTTACGTTTTCATGCATTAATATTGATGGTATTTATAATGGTAGCTTGGGAAGTGAAGGGGATGACGGATAATGGATGGACAGATTGCGTATCGTCTGGGGGGGGTTTTTTTTTATAAACAAAAAAATCTGGGGAACGAAGTGGGCAGCGGATGGGGAGACGGTAAACTGTGTAAACGGGCCAACTGCGTAGGAAACACAGTCCACTCGTCGCAAGGTGGGAAAAGACCAGGTAACCCCCTCTACCGTAGTCCTTCAACTCAGGTCAGACCGCCAGACCTGCACTTATCTGTAGGTAGGCAGAATAGATACATGCATGTGTGCATAGTTGGGATGAAAGCGAGGAGAAGATGGGATGTTCAATGCACGACCCCCTTCATCCCGTACGCGGCGGTAATGTAGGTACCTAAGGTAGGATGTGGATCTACGTACATGTATTGACGTATGTATGTATGAATACCCGTATCTTGACGCCCACACCTACATACGAATTTATATATACAGGGAAGTAAAAAGTTGGTTACGGGTATGTACTCGCATTAGGGAAAATACAGCCTGCTAGCCGCAACAACTTGCCATACTGACCTTGGTTTCTTGCTCGTTTCTCCCCTGCCCCTTTCTCTCCCCATCTCTCCCCCTTCTTCCCTCCGGTGATATGTGCAACTACCTAAGGTAATGAGGAAACTAAAGAGCCTGCTAAAGGCCTAGTCAGTGTACCTATATGACGATATCCAGTAGTGAATCCGCCTCACAATACTCAGCGGGATTTGTTAGCCCGGGGCGTTCTGCGTAATAGCTGTTCTAAATTCAGAACAGGACTCCGTTTCTGCTTATTGCAATTTTCAAGGACCGGATGAACGACGCATGGCGATAAGATCGACCCGGTATTGCTAGCCAACATCTACACCTTGTCCATGTACGTACACGTGTATGAGAAGGAGAGAGAAAGCGATTCCAAGCGTGCCCATGGACAGTCCAGGCAACCCACCACCACGGGCATAATGCGAAAACTCGCTACGTTGAAGAATGTGGTAATATTATTATTCATTTTCGTTACGGAGAGCAAATCTTACTAGGTACTACGTATGTCTTGCCCGGGCAATTAGTATAGGTAATTGAACGCATATTATACCTACCTAGGTACCTCTAGAGCAAGTACCTGAGGTACCTAACCTATACGCATCTAAGGTTAGAGACACGGACACCCACATAACCTCCCACTAACTAACTGCCCGTACATGACTCTAGGAATACCGTAAGTGGGGACTACAAGCGCAGGCATGTGGACGGTAACTTGTGTGCGCAGGCTGGATTTACGGTCACTAACTAGCCTGTCGCTACTAGCCCTCGCGTTCCCATGCGGAACGGAGCCTACGCGGGTCGCCTCGATAGCGCGCACATCATAGCATGCTCGACGTTGCTATGTCCTCTTCTCCCGTATTGCCGTATAAGCAGCCAATACACACAGTATACACGCCCTAATCCAGCCAAGCATTCCTCATTACGTACCTCCCTACCTCCTAGCAATCGGTGTATACCCGCGTACATAGTGGATGGACGGAAGATCCCACTGGCAAGATCTGCATGCAGCCCGTTCACCTATGGCAGCGCAGAAGACAGCCTCCCGCGACCGAAACGCGAGAGGAAGAGCTGAGAGCCTATCGAAGCAACGTGATGACTTGTCCTATACGCAATTGCACGCACGAACCGTCTACCTAACATCGGTATAGACCACTTCTGCCGCCTCTCAGACACCACGCGCCTATCCACAACGATCCGAGAGCTACCTGTATGGCGCACAAAGAACCAGCCTGCAACAAGGTGTCAAAGGCGCAATATCGTCGCCCAGCCTGAGAGCCCCACCACCCTCGCCAGCCGCTAATAAAGCCAGCAAGCCATTGGCATGCGCGGCCCATTTGGTTCTCTTTTCTTCCCTCGGAAGTCGGACGAGACGATTGGCCTGCCAGTACGGTAGACCTCCCTCCCCCCCCCTTTTTTTTCTCTCCCTCTCTTATCCTTTCACGCTCTCACTTCCCCTGGACCCTTGGCTGGCTTGGTTGCTAGGTTGCACCGCCCCCCGTCTGCCAGTTGCCTCTCGCCAAGTTCAAGTTTCTCAGCGACGTCCTCTTGGGCTTTTTTTTTTCTTCCTCCCCCCTCTCCTTATACCTACGCATTTGCAGTTCCCGGTCGGGCTGCCCACCTCGACACGTAAACCGTGCCGCAGACCGGGAAAACAGGAAAAAGGAACAGAGCAACCCACCTTCAAAACCGAAACAATAAAAGAAGGTTGATACCTGTATTACGTGGTATCCCGCACTCTACCTAGACATGTGGTGTACCGTAGACTGTAGCGTTTGTATCCTCCGGCGACGGATCTAATACGGATCCCTGTCGTCCCAATTTATCACCCCCCCCCTCCCCCCCCCCCCCTAGTCGCCAACACCAGGCTCGATAGAACCATTTTGGCCGCGAGGGAAGACATTCTCTGATGTTCCGGGAGACGCCCGCTAGCCCAGCACCAAATCTTACTGTGGTAGGGTCGTGCGCGCCACCACTCGCGCTGGGCGAACCCTACTACTACCTAACGTAGGTTAGGAGGTAGGCACCTGAGTGCTGCTACTGCTGCTACTTCTACTATGCTGCGTACCTGGACGGTACCCGGCATAGGCAATCTGAGGTACCTGTAAGTGCCCCGATTGGTGGGCGCGCTACCTACCTAGGTACCTCCTATCTTTGGTGGTACTAGCGTCCCGCGTATGGCCTGGAGGATGGCAACATACGTTACGTCAGGTACCTAGGCACCTGCGTACAATGCCTGCGTACACACGATACAGGTGGAGGTAGGTACCTACGCACATACATGCCTGGTACATATCCGCGCCATTGCACCGTACCCCATACACCCACGCCCCCTCCCTCGATCCCCCTGTCAGGTTTCTGTTTCTGTCTGATCTATGGGATGTACCCGCTACGTACCGCATCTTGCCTGCCCTCCCTCCCCATCGACCCTCATGGCTTCTCGTCTTCCAGCCTTCCCTGGTTGTGCGCCGCGCCCTTTATTATTATTATTATTACTACTCTTGCTACTTCTTTTCTACTGCCGAGTTCCTCCTCCTCCCGTCCCTCCCGACTTTCGCTTTGTTTTAATTCTTTCTTTCTTTGTCCCCCGTGGTAAATACTATTTACCATTCCTTCTGTGCTCTCTCTCTCTCTCTCTCTCATATACGTGCTCTAACACTTCGGAGAGCGCGCGCATCTTTGCTATTCCCAATTCAGGCCCTCGCCTTGGCTTAAACCTCGTCGCTTCGTCGTGTGGGGTGTCGTTCGTTACCATCCAGCTCTCCTCGCCCTCGCGGAAGTTCGTCGAAAGAAGCAAAGAAATTGGATATCTAAGCAGTCGGGTTTGGTTCCCTTAACATAGACTGTCGACCGTCGCGCCCGCATGCCCGCTCAGCACACACGAAATTCGCCGATAACCGTCATCAAGTAGCTTCGTGGTCGGTTGAGAATAGACGGCAGGAGGCGAGACAGGATAACCGACGTTTGGAGTGCTGGGGGTCGAGCTGGCTTATAACACGAAGTGTAGATCCCCTCTTGGAAAGTCTTCGCTGCGGGAATGATGGGAGCGAAAATGCCGTCGCCGCATCAGAGATTCTTCAGCATGCGGAATCCCTTCTCGCGATGCGTTCTCTTCGCTGTCGCGTTGCTGATGCTCCTAGCCGTCACGTGGAAGTCGGACCGGATAGAAGACGTTGGCTCGCGCATCGTCCAGGCGGCATCCAACCACAATAACAAGGGCAACATACCTCAGCAACCGCTCGGCGACGCCCCGCAGGCCACGGACAGGGACATCGTCCCGGTGTCGAACCACGTTATGGACTGCAGCATCAACACTACCCACATGGCCGATCTAAAGACTAAGTACGAACTCTCGGATACTTTCCAGTACCTGAAGCGATACGTCAAGATCCACCGCGAGCCCATCCCCCGGAAATCGATTACGAAGCTTGGCCAGTCCTTCTTGCCGACGTCCTTCACCACTGTCGATCTGCAGCATCCGAACACGTACGGGAACGAAAACTGCATTGAGCCGCTCCAAGTTCCCGTGCCCCAGTCGCCGTTTCCAGCTACCGGAAACCTCTCCGATTTCATGTTCGGCGTATCGACTACCTTTAAGAGGTTCAGTTCCGACAGGACCAGCCCCGTCAACGAGTGGACCTACTGGTTGACTGACGGCAAGGGGAACTCGAATGGCGGCAAGCTGGTGCTCCTGCTGCTGGATGCGACCGAGGATCAGATCTTGCACGCCAAGACGATCCTGCATCACGCGGGAATCGATGTGGACGTCTACCACTCCGACTCGTCGATGGAGATGGCTGTCCGCTATCTAACTCTCATCCCAACTCTATACAACCACCCTGAGCGACACTCAAAGAAGTGGCTTGTGTCTTGCGATGACGACACCTTCTTTCCCAGCGTCCACACGCTGGTGAAGAAATTTGAGGCCTACGACCCCGAGGAGATGCTCTACATTGGCACCTTGTCGGAAGACGTCAACAATGTTGATCGCCACGGCTCGCAAGCTTTTGGGGGTGCCGGTGTCTTCCTATCGGTTCCTATGGCCGGGCAGATCGCCAAGAATTACGAGAGCTGCAAGACGGAAGAGAAGATCCACGAATCCAACTCGGGCTGGGGTCCCCAAGGCGACATCCTGCTGCGCAAGTGCATCTACGAGAATACCGACGTGCGCCTATCTGTGCTGCACGGCTTATACCAGCTCGACTTGTATGGCGACCCGTCTGGTTTCTACGAGTCCGGCGTGAAGCCCATCTCCCTACACCATTTCAAAGGCGGTGGGTGGCACTCGGCCCTGCCGTGGCAGTACACCAAGATCGCCCACATTTGTGGCGAAGATTGCACTCTCCAGCGATTCCTCACGAGCGACAACTACATCATATCGACCGGGTTCAGCGTCGCTCGGTATTCACTGGGAATCAACTTCAACCTCGCCCAGATGGAGCGCACCTTTGCTGCCGCGCCGCAGGACAAGGGGTGGAATCTGGACTACGTCTTCGACCCGCAGCGACCTAGTCTCCTCAAGACCGGCCGCAAGGTCAGCTGGGACCTGCAGGAGGCCAGCGTCAACGATGACAACACCGTCAGCCACGTGTACGTGAGAAAGGCCAACGACTGGAGATGGGTCGACCGGAACGGCGAGCCTATGTTCCACACGGACGGCATCATAGAACTCGTCTGGGTCCCGTAGACAACGGGCTTCAGCGACGTGGTGTGTGGAGAACGACGTGATGACATTGCACGACGGCGTAGGTTATGGGCGTCGTATTCATCTCTTGAACCCGGACAGGGCCATTCTGGATACCTACATAGAAGTTTGTCCCTTGTGTATACCGCGGAGTCTCACGACAAGGGGGGGCGCCGAAACGTTTGCCTGGTCCGGACGCTTACGAGATTGGCTGGCTGCCGACCACGGGAGGTCGTATCTACCACGGCCGCTCAGCTCTCCTCCCGCGATGATTACATCCAGCCGCGCGCGACCCAGCGGTTTGGCGCATTCGTCTTATCAGCAGCCACGCAGAAGGGACGCCACCGGTCCAGCAACAGACCGCCCTACCCCCCCACCGTCAGCCGCAGCTCATATCCGGCTTGTACATTTACCAGCGCTGGTTACCGCCCGCTACAACCCCTCGATGACCCAATAATGCATAATACTCAACGCAGTCGATCCTCCTCCCAACATAGCTTTTACCATTTTTTTCTGGAATCCATCCGGCCGGGAAACGGCGCGCGTGCGATTTGCTCAGTTCCCGCTCTACCGGGACGATCCCAATATGACTGCGCGTCAGTCCTCGTTGCCGTATAGCATTCATCCCTCGGCATTCCCCAGGAGCATCTCATTATAGAGGCTGAGCATACCCTCGCACTGTTTTCCTTTCTCTTTTTGTTTCTTCCCCCACTACCGCCACATTTTTTGATTCGTTACGTTTTTTTGTATGATAGACTAGCTAGCTATTGGGGAAGTGGGATTCCGGGCGTAGATGCCCGGCAAGGAGTGAGCAGTCAGGGGTACTGATTGCAGAGAAACCCGGGATCTTCTCGGGGCTAGCGCTTGGTGTAGGCGTCCTGGGACGCGGAGCGGTGGTATTACGTGCCGTACTGGAGGACGCGACCTACTCGGAATCGAAGTGCTCGAGACGAAGTGGTGGTCGATGTGCCGTTTGCGGCTGTACACACTTAGGCGAAAGAGAATATGATGAACACGAAGACCCCTGCGTAGTTGGGCTGCGAGCGTGACGGTGATACGAGGCGAGGACAAAATATCCAGGGCCTCACAGACTCTCCCAGGCTGCCCGGGTGGTAGAGACTACGTAGTAGTAAAACAAGGCCGCGCGGGGTCGTGTATCACTGTAGGGCAGGTGGATGCAGTGGGCTAACTTATTCGACCCAGACTGGCCGGTATACAAAGAAATCTCTGCACGCCTAGACAACTAAACGAGCACCAGATGATGGCCTTGCCAAAGCCCCCCGACTCCCTGACGGACGAGTTCCCGGTTCAGAAGGTGGTTGTCTCTACCCGGCTTAACCCATGCGAAAGGGGTCCTGTTCGGCTATGTTTTGATAGGAGGTTAGGTGGTTTGAATGCCAGGTCGCATACGAGCCCAAGGCCTAAAGTACCTGTCTTACCTACCTCCGTACGTGTTGGTCGGTTCGCGTCAAGTTGGTCGCTATCTGCCTAGGTGCCTTGCCATTCCCACGATGCGGATTGGCATGTACCTATATAGCATTCGAGTATGCGATGTTGTTCTTGACAGTTGCGTTCCCACGATGGAGTATGCCTGGGTATGCATGCATCCACAGGGCAAGGAGTTGCGGATACGCGCATGCAAATATATATTTACATAAGCAGGACGGTGCTGCCCCTCCCTTCACCCCACTAAGGACAAGCCTAACCACCGAACTCGCCTCCCAGGTTTCTTTTGTTGATCCACCCTTTTCCACCCTTCCACCGCTCTCGCCGTCGCCAAATGTTTCCAGGAGGGCGCGGGATGAAGTCATTTGAGCTCCTTACCTCTATCGTTTCATCAACTTCCATAGCAGACAGGCACCCAGGGTAGGTATCTGTTTCCAATCAGCTACATCGCGCCCATGCGTAAGGCTAGCCTGCCCCCCAACGTACCTCCCGATTTGCCGTCTACCTCATCTTTCACTGCTCACTCGACTCGCTTGACTCTAACTCTAGGCAGGAATTCTTTTGAGACGCCTCGAAGGCAGACCGTCCCGATGTCGATAACTTGGCCGTAGCCCGAATCCACCCCTCCCAGCTACCTACATAGACGCCCTCGCACCGCCGTCTCCCCAACTCCTCCAGCCTCGAATCTCCTTGCCTGCACCCTCTCTCGTCTGCCCGTCATGCAAAACAACATTCTCGCCGTCCCCTTTCGCAAGGGGGCTCATCTCTCGCTATCGGCGGCTATCAAGCAGTACATATCGACGAAATACGATCAGCACCCCGACATGTTTCGCCAGGATCTCGAAGTCATCGACGCGTTGAGGCGCGGTGCCGTCAACATGCGCGAGCCGCACCCCAGTGGCATCGGGAGACTACAAGCGTACGCCGGCCAGCTGGTCTGGATCGGAGGCAAATTCCCTATAGATGTACGTGCAGCCCCTATAGTTACCTACTATTCTCGACACATCGCCGCCTGCCCGAACCTCTACGAGTATTCATAGCGCAACACTAGACTTACGCGGAGACCCCCCTCAACACGTAGATCGGCGCAGACTTCACCTGGTATCCTGCATTAGGCTACAACACCGAGCGACCCGTTGTACATAACAATCTCAAATTCGAGCTTGCCAACGTCCTCTACAACCTCGCCGCCCTCTATTCCCAGCTCGCCATCGCTAGCAATCGCACCAGCACCGAAGGCCTTAAAACCGCCGCGAGCTACTTCTGCCAGTCGGCTGGCATCTTGTCGCACGTCAAAGACGAGGTCGTACCCGAGCTACGTATCACGCCTCCCGAGGATATGGACGAGCACTCGCTGAGCGCGCTGGTGTATCTGCAGCTAGCTCAGGCGCAAGAATGCTTCTGGCAGAAGGCTGTTATGGACGGCTACAAGGACGCATTGATCGCGAAACTGGCTGCTCGTGTGTCCGACCTGTACAACGAAGCCGGCGAGGCAGCTATGCGGTCGGAGGCGATCAGCAGCAGCTGGATCCACCACATGAGCGCAAAGCACCACCACTTCGCCGCTGCTGCCCAATACCGCGCTGCCTGCGACTGCCTGGAGAAGCGAAAGTACGGAGAGGAGGTGGCGCGGTTGCGTGATGCCGTCGCTTGCGTGTCCGAGGGACTCAAGGAGAGCCGGGGCGGCTATTTGAACAAAACGGTCGTTGAAGACTTGAACAATCTTAAGAAGAGGCTAGAAGAAGATCTTAAGCGCGCTGAAAGAGACAATGATGTGATATACTTGAGTATGATCGGCCTGCCGCTTGATGAAGACCAGCAACGGAACATGAGACTAACGAGCGCACTATACAGACCCCGTACCGCCAAAGTCCGAGCTGAAGGCGCTAGATCGAGCGACCATGGCAACCGTGCGAATTCCACCTCAGGTAGCAACGCCGCTGGAGTATCTTGGAGAGAAGCGAGAATTCGGCCCCGCGCTGTTCACCAAGCTAGTCCCGTATTCCGTTCACGTCGCCGTCTCTATCTACGAGGAACGCAGAGATCGCCTGGTCGATCAGCATATAATAAGCGAGCTCGAGACACTAAATGAACGGATACACGAGGTCTTTTCGTCGCTCAACCTGCCGGGCTCGCTCCAGGCTTTCGAGAAGCCGCTCGGCTTGCCTGGGACTCTCGTCGAACACGCCAAAGAACTTCAACAGGCCAATGCTTTGACCCGCTTGGAAAGGAGTTTTGCGGACATAGACAAGCTGCGTGCTGCTGACTTAGCCATGTTCGAAGAGGGCAGGGACCTACTACAGGCAGAAGAGGAGGAGGACATCCAACTGCGTAGAAAGTATGGCACAGACCGGTGGTCGCGGCCTGAAAGTCGTTCCGAGCCGACCCAAGGCTTGAAGCTCTGGAACCAAGTTACAGATGCGGCAGGCTGGTTTCAAACTAGTGCAAGCAGCGATGGAGTCGTCCGCGACAAATTCTACAGCATCAAACCGATGTTGTCAGTGCTCGCCGGATCAAGTCGCGAGCTGCTCGACTTCGTGCCCTCGTCACGACGTACCGAAATCCCCGAATTACTCAAGCCCGCGATCAACCGCTTGCGCAGCATTTATAACAACATAGCGCGTCTCGAGGGCCGCCGCCAGCGAAAAGCCGAGGCTCTTCGCGAGAAGGCCCGTGGTGACGATATCAAATCCGACATCCTAGCCGAGGCAGCACGCCTGGAGCACGGGCACGCAGTGGCCACGAGCATCACGCCGGCCCACTTCGATGAGTTCTTCGAGAAGCGCTTAGATTCTCTGTACGAGCCGGACATGGAGCTCGTGCAGACGGAGGCCGCCGAGCAGGAGAAGCTCATTTCGGAGTTGATACGTGTGAACCGGGACTTCGAGAGCCAGAAGAAGACGGCAGGCGACAAGGACAGCCGGGAGCGCGAGCAGGCGCTGCAGAAGCTCGAGAACGCGTACTACAAGTACAAGGAGTTGGTCAGTAATGCGGAGGCCGGCCGCAAGTTCTACAACGACCTGAACCGCATAATGGGCGGCTTCCGGGACGGGGCGCGCGGGTTCGTAGCTGAAAGACGGCGTGAGGCGCGCGCGCTCGAGGACGAACTAAGTATGCCCCCTCTCGGAAACCTAAGCCTCGGTGGGCAGTCGGGCCTCGTGCCGTCAGCGCAGGCGCCCAGCCCGCCGAACGGCTGGGGCGGCGCCGGCGGAGGTGGCGGGACGGGTTACCAGGGCCAATCGCTGCCGCCAACGCCCGCTCAGGCTAGGTCTCAGCAGATCCAGCCCCCGCTCGAGGCGCAAATCCAGTCCTGGGCGTCGGCTGGCGAGACCGTCGCTCCGCAGCCACAGCCGCCAAGGGCAAACCCGATGCAGGCGGTGTGGAATCAGGACATGGGCATCAAATTCGCCGCCGCCCCTGCGTCTACTAGCGCAGCCGCCGCAGGCTCGAGCAGGTCACCTGCTACCTCGGCCAGCGGCGGGACCGCAGCGAGCAGCACCGGCAGCACCAGCGCCGCGATCCGGTTCAGCTAGGAGGCGAACACTTCACGCCGGCGGCAGCCGGGGCCGAGCCAAGCAGAGCTACACGAACAGGGAGGGGGGGATGTGGGTTGACGTCGCGGGCGGGAGAGAGAGATACCTACGGCGGTCGTCGCGAAAGCGGCGACGATGCATACCCGGCGGTCTTAGACAGCGGTAGAAATACCCAGGGAGGGCGAAAGCCGACAGTGAAAAGGAGAGAGAAAGAAAAAAACACGAGATATCCCTGAAGAATTAGTACATAAATACACGGAGTACGTACATACGAGTAACCCGAAGAAGCCCGTCATAGGTACCTGGGCGTGAAAACATGCGTAGATGCCACGTAAAGCTACTTCCTGCCGCGGCGCCACCCACGTCAGCGCTCCCGCGGCGCCTCCGCCACGAGGTTGCCGATAGTCGCGAGAGAGTCCTGCAAGCATGTGTCGGCACCGTCGTCGTGTTTTCACTCGTAGGGAGATTATTGGGGGGAGGCTGCAGTAGCAGCCACACGAGCTGGACGGCGGCGGCGACGCGCGCGAGCGTTTCGACATATTGCCGACGCAGAGGCGGCCGGTGTCGCCGCGGACAAGGTCGAGGGCGAGATGGCTCCGAACACGGACGGGTTGCAGGCGCCTGGACGATTCCTCGCGGCGGGGTGGCGGATGTATGGATGCTAGCGCTCTGGGAGCCGCGCGAATACGGTATAACTATGAAAGAGGAGGAAGCGGTGGCATCACGGACTCGGGGTTGCTCGGGGTTCCTGTCCTTAAACTTGTCCTCGGCCTTAAGGGGGTCGGTCTCGGAACAGGGAAAATATAGTGATGATGGTGAGAATTTAGTTCCTTGCGGCAGTACGTCGGATAGCCAATATACGTGCTCTACATTAAGATGCAAGTATAGTCGTGGATTTGTTTCTCGTACATATATATAGAAATCAACAGTGTAAACATACATAGTATATATATATATAGGTATAGCTGAGAATATCAAGCCTCTGGCGTCTCGGCCGCTCGCTTACGGGCCCCGAGCACGGCCTTGCCGACAGCAGAGTCGTTGGGCTTGCCCAGCTCCTGAGTGATCCACTGGCCGACGTCGACCATGGCGTCGAGGTCGACGCCGGTGTCCATGCCGAGGCTCTCGAGGAAGTAGACCATGTTCTCGGTGGCGACGTTGCCGGTGGCGCCGGGGCTGTAGGGGCAGCCGCCGAGGCCGCCGACGGCGCTGTCGAACACGCGGATGCCGTGCTCGAGCGCGACGACCGTGTTGACGAGCGCCTGGCCGTACGTGTCGTGGAAGTGCATGGCGATGTCCTCGCTGAGGATGCCGGCGGCCGTCATGCACCGCAGCAGCTCGAGCGTGCGCGGGCCCGTGCCCATGCCCGTGGTGTCGCCGAGCGAGATCTCGTCCGCGCCCATCTCCAGCAGCGACGTCGCGATCTCGGCCACCCGGTGCGGGTTGACCTCGTGGCCCTCGAACGGGCAGCCCAGCACCACCGAGATGTACGCCCGCGCCCGGATGCCCAGCTTCTTCGCGCCCTGGATCACGTCCTTGAACCGCGCCAGCGACGTCTCGATGTCGCAGTTCAGGTTCCGCCGCGAGAAGCTCTCCGTCGCCGCCGCGAACACCGCCAGCTCGACCCCCGGCCGGTCCGTCTTCCCCGCGAACGCCTCGGCTTCCGTCAGGTACGCCCCCGAGTGCTTCTGCAGGAGCGCGTTCGCGTTCTCGAAGCCCTTGGCGTTCGGCGCGAGGAAGGAGTACGTGAGGGGGACGCGCGAGTCGATCTTCTTCGTCAGGATGTGTTCGAGGATGTCGCCCGAGTTCTCCATCTGCGACGCGCGGCTTCAGGTTAGATCCCCCCTTCTCGGACGGCGGGTACGGCCTGGGCAAGGAGCTGAGCTGACCTGGGGAACCCATTTCGGGGAGACGAACGAGCCGGCCTCGATGGAGGACACGCCCGTCTTGGCCAGCCGCTCGATGAGCTCGATCTTGGTGGCCAGCGGGATCGACTTGCTCTCGTTCTGCAGGCCGTCGCGCGGCCCGACCTCGACCACCCGCACCCGATTGCCCGGGTGCGCGTGCTGCTGCGTGGCCGTCGCGGCCTCGCCCGAGCTTCGCGCGTCGGAAGCCGTCGCAAAGCGTCGTCGTAGAGGCGCTGCCGCCGCTGCAGCTACCCGCCACCGGGCCGCCGACCGAATCATGGGACGCAGCGACGCCATCTTATGCTCATTTCGGTCGCTCAAGCTTTTTCGGCCCTCCTCATCCCTTCGGGCTTCGTGGTTTCGATACTGACTTAATTTTTTTTTTCTCGACGATGTCACTGACTCGGACGGGGTGAACGGTTATGCGTAGCCGAGCTTCGGCTATGACTTGGCTCAAGCTAAGGAGAAGTATACGTAGTACGTAATATTGAGGTCATGCCACCTCGGTATCTTAGGTGCCTGACTGAGGGGCCCCCTATTGTCGCATCCCACCGCTAATCTACATAGGTATGTCCATACACCAAGGCATGCAACAATACGATGCACCTATATGTATTGGTTTTGTCTAGCAGAGGGCTTATTTGTACTCTATCCCTGTCTTTTGCCTCCGTAGATGTTAGACAGGACAACTTGCTACTGATTACCACTGGAAAGTGTCCGTTATGAGCAGGTATACCTATGCGCAAGTCTCTTTCCACTTAGATGCCTCTGACTTCGTATTTCATATAGTTCGAGTTGCTGCTTTTGTGCTTCAAAATATTTTGATATAACCAGATTCGACGACCGTCTCCCATTGATCTCTGTATGTTTGAGGACTTTCCCGCCTCCAGATTCCTTGAGGCGAGCAGCAGGGTGCACAGGTTGAAGCAAGGAGCCTGTAAATACGTGTGAAAGGAGGTTCCCGACCTCGGCCCTTCCAAGCCAACTGAGTGAGAATATAAAACTGTCATACCGAAGCGAATAGTTCTCTTCGCTCAAAATACCATATAGTTTCCTAAACTTCGAACCCATTCCAAGGTATCGTACTAATGTACCTGACTAGCAAGCAAACATAATTTAAAGCCGAGACCTCCCCAATAATTACACTATCCACCAACACCTGCGTAGGTACTGGCAACCTTCTACATGGTGTGTCATCAAATATAGTTTAGTTGTAAATACTCTAGGCTGAACAGGATATCTAGAGCTCCAGGCCCCATACGAGGTACTTTACCAAGTAATATTAGACCCTCGGTAGACCCTCATAAACTTGTATTCGTTCATACTTCCATTATCACTAGGTATTAACGTACGTAAGGCAACGTGTTAAGCTTTACTTAGCTTTAAGCCTGGCATCTATAAAGACAAGTTTACTTGTCAAATTAACAGAGTTGAGCCGCCTAGAGTAGGGATTGTCAACTCTAGACGCCGGTAGGTATGCATACTGAGCCACTAGAATGGCCATGGTAGCTATCGTGGTTCAGTTTAGATCAGCCTTCATCAGAATTTATTTCCTCAGGCTCTGCCGTGCTCACCACATCCCTCCATCAGCTCAAGTGGCAGATAACTTCCATACTCCATACCTGCGCATGCGCATACACATACACGTACCCGTCCACACACGCACTTACTCTCTCCCCGTCCTCATCGATCATTCGGCCGTCTAGTATGGCTTTCCCAAGTTATCGGGATGTTCGTTTTTTGGCAACCTCGTTCACTCTATGAAACGCTATTTCGACGAGGCCTCTCTCGCTCGGGGGAGTGAAGGTCTTCGAGGATGAAGTCAAATGTCTCCAGGTACGAAAGACCGCTCGCTTCAACTCCATGAGCTAAAACCTGGTAGTGGATTCGAGGAAATCATATTGTAAAACTAGTCAATACTCTTTATGTCAACTGCTTCATGTTTTCGACAAGGGGGTAGAAGCCGGCTGTCCCCTATGAATAGCAGAGTCACTTGGTCCATTGTTCCGTATGACGAAGAATGACGGTAAGTAGTTTTAAAGGCTGTGGAAATTTAAGAGTAGCTCGATTAACACTAATAAGTAGTAACTAAATAACCATGCAATCTCTATTATTAAGAAGCGATGTTGGCGAAGGAGGGAAGGGGTTTGTGCAGGTTGGATGTACTACTTATATAGGAGTTGGCATGCCCATGTGCCAGCGCGTGCATAACTGTGTGAAAAGGTGGGCATAAATATTTATGTACGTGGCTTGCCTCTGAGGTACGTAATTAAGCGTACCCCATGTGCTAGTAACTGCGCCACCCGAAGCTAGGAGGCTGCCCAGGCAGTGTAGTAATCAATTGATGTGTTAGCGGGAGATGCTTGTTGCGACTCTGTCACAGTAGCGGTTTTGAGCTTCTACAACAACTAAAGGTCGCCCGGTGGCTGGAGCTGGACAATACCCTTCCTTTGTAAACACAGAACAAGCTTCTTCACACAGAAGAGCTTCTTCCTAACCCCTCCGACCCTCCTCGCCCTGTCCTAGACCTGTAGCCGCTACTCGCCATGGATCCCCGAGAATCCTCCTCGTACTCCATAGTGCCCAGGATTCGGTACAACACCGTCGGCGGTGTCAACGGTCCCCTGGTTATTCTCGACAACGTCAAGTTCCCGCGCTACAATGAGATCGTGACCCTGACGCTCCCCGACGGCACTGAGAGGTCGGGTCAGGTCCTCGAAGCCCGAGGTGAGCAGAGCCAGATGTAGCCGCTCAGCCAATCTTACAGACCCTGACAATTCCTCTCTCCGTCGTAGGTAACCGGGCCGTCGTTCAGGTTTTCGAGGGCACGCCTGGCATCGATGTAAAGAAGACCAAAGTCGAGTTCACGGGGGAGAGCCTGAAGCTGGGTGTGTCCGAAGACATGCTGGGCCGTATCTTCGATGGATCGGGAAGAGCTATCGACAAGGGACCCAAGGTGTTGGCGGAGGACTTCCTCGACATCAACGGCAGCCCTATCAACCCCTACTCGCGAGTATGCGTTCTCCTGAGCCGCCCAAAGAATAGAAGCCTCGGCTGACCATTGCCCTGATAGGTGTACCCCGAAGAAATGATCTCGACCGGTATCTCCACCATCGACACGATGAACTCGATTGCCCGCGGCCAAAAGATCCCCATCTTCTCCGCTGCCGGTTTACCCCACAACGAAATTGCTGCCCAGATTTGCCGACAGGCTGGCCTGGTGAAGCAAAAGGGCGCAACGAACAAGGGCGTGCACGACGATCACGAGGAGAACTTCTCCATCGTGTTTGCTGCTATGGGTGTCAATTTGGAAACCGCCCGGTTCTTCACCCGCGACTTCGAGGAGAACGGCAGTCTGGAGCGTGTCACCCTGTTCCTCAACCTCGCCAACGATCCTACGTATGTGACAATCCCGCGCCTCCCTCCCTCCCGGCTTTCGAACGTACTTAGCTAATGATAGGCAGAATCGAACGCATCATTACCCCTCGTCTCGCTCTCACCACAGCCGAATACTACGCCTACCAGCTCGAGAAGCACGTCCTAGTCATCCTTACGGATCTCTCTGCCTACTGCGACGCCCTCCGAGAAGTGTCGGCCGCTCGCGAAGAAGTGCCGGGCCGACGTGGTTTCCCCGGTTATATGTACACCGATTTGTCTACCATCTACGAGCGAGCCGGTCGTGTCGAGGGACGAAACGGCTCGATTACCCAGATCCCCATCTTAACCATGCCTAACGATGATATCACGCATCCCATCCCCGATCTGACGGGCTATATCACCGAAGGACAAATTTTCGTCGACCGCCAGCTCTACAACCGTGGCATCTACCCTCCGATCAACGTGCTACCCTCACTCTCCCGTCTCATGAAGTCTGCCATTGGTGAAGGAATGACAAGGAAGGACCACGGCGACGTGTCCAACCAGCTCTACGCCAAGTACGCTATCGGCCGAGACGCCGCAGCCATGAAGGCTGTCGTCGGCGAAGAGGCCCTGTCGGCGGAAGACAAACTGTCCTTGGAATTCCTCGAGAAATTCGAGCGACAGTTTGTGGCGCAGGGCGCCTATGAGCAACGGAGCATCTTCGACTCTCTGGACATCGCGTGGAGCTTGCTGCGCATCTTCCCGAAGGAGCTGCTCAACCGTATCCCCGGCAAGATCATCCAGGAATTCTACCAGCGGTCGGCCGCTGACCGCAAGGGCAAAGGCAAGGACAAGAGCGATAAGGGCGTGAGGGACACAGAGGGTGCAGCACATGAGGGGAACCTCGTCGACGTATAGTTGGTACGATGCAGGCGCACACGACTGCGTGACGGGTGTGTATAAGCTTTACCGTCGTACATGACGGGGTACGGGCTATTTATCATCGGTATTCGATACGACGAAATTCCTTCCCACGTCAGCTTGGCGGGGGACGACAGGGGTGTGGAAGGATATGTACTTGGGTGCCATCGGGAGGGGGAGGTCTAGGACCGGAGCAGCTTGTCCACCCTTGAACGACAATTGAGCGTTGACTCAGATCTATATCCAGATACCTAACAAGCTGGCTCTCAGAGCTAGAAACGCGGAGGAATAGAACAGAGGCAATCGTCCATTTACTACCTTCTAGAACGAGGATGAGATCGAGCTGCTTGACGATAACACAGGCACGACTTATGGATTTGAGTAGGTGTTTTTGAGGGTATATAAAGAGAACGTCCACCACGTGGAGCAATGAAATGCTTATGCATACATACTAGTACACATACATAGACATGTCAGCGCGCGAATACACAGTACACACACTACGCACATGTCCTACACTGTTGGCCCTCTGTAGGTGAGACGAGTTCGGCGGAATATAGGACGAGACCAAGGATCTGTCTGTCCCAGCCAGGAGGAGAGTGGATGTCAGCTGGATAGGAATGTCCCGACGCAACGCGAGATCTACCAAGGGCAAGGCTGATAGTTACCGGAGACGCAGATACCTACTGCGAATACTCGGTGAAATACCCAAGTCGACCAAGCTAAGCTGGTAACTAAGGCCAGCAGAAGGACGGGAGGCGGGATGTCAGAATACCTCCCTAAGATGCCTAAGGCACGCAATGTAGGTATACCTACTCATACATATGCACTCACTTCAAGTAACAACCCCGGCCAGCCTGATCCGAGAATAGAGGTAGGTCATAGTAACGCAGTAGACCCAATCCCTCGCCAACTACCGGCGAGGGTCTGCGGCGATGTACCGATGCACGGAACCTAAGTAGGGTAGTACCTACCTACATCTTGGACAGCGCCAATTTGCACAGTGGCTTTCGCTTCATTTCCCCCCGCACCAATCACTCGCCGCAGCCTGTTCCCTGTTCCCTCTTGACTCTTCCCACTGTCTCGTTCCTGATGACGATGCCACCAACTCCCGGCCCTTTCGAGTGCTTGACCCCAGAAGGATTCTGTCGTTCACGATAGCCCGATTTCCTCGTGGGGTGCCGGATATCGCCCCAGAACAGTTTCCTCCTCTGTACGCGAGCGACCAGGAATTTGGAAGAAGACCGAAGACAGAAGACACGTCCGGATTGGAGGCACCAACCCAAGCAGGAATGCTCTCCCCCCTCTCTCTCCACATGTATATCTGCAAAGCACATCACACGAGCAATTCTCACTGACCCGAGGGAAGGGGTTGGGGTTCCACGACACACAAAGCGAGATCTCAGCGCCTCCCAGCTTCGTCGTCGTCACTGGCCGCTATCTGAGACGAAGTCGCGGTGCCGGTCTACTCTTGTCAAGTTCCCAGCCTACGAGGAATTCGGTTAGCTGGGGTGGGATTAAAATAAATAAACAAAACAAAATAAACCAAAAAGGCCTTCGTAACGTGTCTTGCCCACCGTTCCCCCCATACGAGAATACACCCGAGCTACCGCTAGCTGTGCGTTCCGGCTATTGTCTAGTTTAACAGTCAGGGCGAGGAATCCCTCCTCAGGCGGGGGTGTACGCGCCTACATATGTAGGCACTCGTACCACGGGCATGCAGTTCTCTGCATGCTACGTAGTATGTCTACACCTGCACCAACTTCGCCCCATCCAACGGAGCTGAACCCTTGGACATACCGACATTCTTGGATATTTATCACGCACCCGTGCGTCTGCGGTGGCGATCCGCTCCCGTGGGCTGAAGGTAGGTGGCATAACACGTACCTAACTATGTCAGCCTGTCCTCCACGCCTACGCCGTGGCTACCAACATGCGGCCGGTGGCTCGGGAACTGGCCATAGCCAGATGACTCCGGGTTCGGTCGTGGTTGAATATGGCCCTACCACCGCGTGGGCGCGCCTCGCGAGACCAATGCAATGCTACCCGTCAGTTATGTTGCTTACCCCAACTTTTCCAGGGAAGCGGAGTAGCTCGACAGAACAAGCAACACCCAAGGGATCGCCGAGCGTTCCTAGGCCCAAATGGTAGGTGAGATGAACAAAGGGCCCCAGAGCTGCCGAAGCCCCTGTCCACAAGCCAACATCATGTGTCCGCGCCGCTGCATTGTCCAACCAGAGGGAGCCTCCCCAGACTGGGATCGATTCTTTGATGACCGAATTCATATAAGGTGCGAATCCTTTCTCTGGGGAAAGCCCGCCTGCTTCGGCTCTCCTCCCACCGTCGATTGCGACGACTTACCGAGCGCGTAGTACCGGGGGCTCACACGTCAGTAAACAAAGCCAGTCACCATAGTCGTCAACATGCGTCTACAGGTCGGCCTTGCTGCACTCGGAGCTCTCGCGCTTCCCATTGCTTCGGCACTGTCGCCTCGGAGCGCTGGAAGCAGCCACGCGACGAGCGATTTGGGTCCTGATGAGAATGGCTTCTGGTGGATCCACAGCGAGGACCTCTCGGCCGCCTTCATCCCCTATGGCGCGTCCATCGCCAAACTGTTGATCCACGACAAATACGGAATCCAGAGAGACATCGTAGCCGGCTTTGACAACGCCACCGCCTACGAGCTGGATCCCACCCATCCCCACCTCGGCGGCGTTCCAGGTCGATACGCGAACCGGATCCAGAACAGTACCTTTGAGATCGACGGCGAAATCTTCCACACCGATGCTAACGAGAACCCCACGGCGGAGGCCCCGAACGGCGCCAATACGTTGCACGGCGGCCACAATGGCTGGGATTTCCGGAGCTTCACTGTCGTCTCTCACTCCAACGATAGTATCACATTTTCCATCGTTGATCCCGACGGCGAGCAAGGGTTCCCCGGAGAGGTCATCTCTTACATCACCTACACCCTCCGCGACCTCACGTGGGACTTCAAGATGGTGGCCATCGCCACCACCAAGAAGACGCCCATCATGCTCAGCAGCCACACGTACTGGAACCTAGACGGCTTCGCCAACAACGAGACGAACACGGCACTGAACCACACTTTATATTTGCCCTATAGCGGCCAGCGCGTAGGCGTCGACAACATCCTAGTCCCGACTGGCGATATCCTGGCTAACAAGAGAGGCTCGGTGAACGACTTCTGGAGCGCGCCAAAGCAGATCGGCGCGGATCTCGAGAGCCCCGAGGCCTTGGGCAACTGCGGCTTCAACTGCACCGGCTATGGTTAGTTCCCCCTGGGCATATAACCCCCCTTGTGCATTCTCTGTATTCCTACGCAGATAGGCTAACGTGCTTTGCTTGTGTCCCCGCAGACAACTGCTGGATTGTCAACCGCGGGCAGAAAGGACAGTATGACTGGCGCGCCGAGGGCGGGTACGTGGCACGGCTGCAGTCGGCGTGGTCGGGCATCCAGTTGGACGTGTACACGGACCAGGACGCGTTCCAGATGTACTCATGCGGCGGGCAGGACGGGTCACTGCCGCTCAAGACGAGCCAGGGCCTGTTCGGCGCCGACGGCGAGGCGCCGGCCTTCCCGCGCACCATCCCGAAGTACGGCTGCCTCGTCATGGAGGTCGAGGAGTGGGTCGGCGGCATCAACCACCCCGAGTGGCAGCGCGAGAGCAAGCAGATCTTCGGGCCCGGCGGAGACCCCTACGTCCTCCAGGCGAGCTACGTCTTCAGTATTAATACCACTGCGACGACGTCCTAAGGAGGGTCACGTGGGAGTGTCAGATAGACGCCGTGCGCGGTGAAAGGCGATGTTCCGGTCGTGGGTATTTTGTAAGCTATCTTTACCCACCAGAATTAGATGCACTGCCGTCACGACGGTTTGTCCGCCATCCGTATAGGTGGCATAGTGCCTAACAGGCAATACTAGAAGTATACCTGTTGTGAGCATCCTATCAGGCCGCAAGGCGTACCTAGCTGTCTGCTTGCCTTTCGTGGGGGTCAGGGTGCATGTGATACACACCAATAGTTCTTAATGGAAATTCGACAAACTTGAAACGAGGCATTGGTATGGAAATTTCAGCGGGTGTACGATGTGGATTTATTTTAGGACCGCGTTATTTTCTTCTCTTCTACTGCGACGGCTCCCAATAAATAGGGCAATCGGCCTCGGTATGCCGGCTGCCATTTTTACGATCGCCGGAGCACCAGGGACGACACCCATCCATCCCACGATACCTACAGAGCCTTATCATAAGCCTGCTCCGGAAAGCCGAGCCAGGCCTTCCCGTCCCCCATAACAACCGGGTAGGCCTGCCCATTGTAAGTGCGTGGTCGACAGGCGACTGTCACAGCATCCCCCAGAACCCAGCACGCAATGCCACTACCTACCCCCTGGTGCACCGCAACGCCTAGGCGCGGCATCGTCACCATCATCAGACAGGAACGTGACCGCACCAACCCCTCCCCTCTCATCCTCCCACCTCGACGACGCCCTTGGTCCTGCCGAGCCCGTCGCGGGCGTAGTAATCCATAGGGTAGACACCGTCGCCGCCGTCGTCGCGGTCCCAGCCCTCGCGCTCGCCGAGGGCGACGAGGGCCTCGTAGGGGGTGAGCAGGGGGCGGGGGAAGGCGTAGCCCCAGTCGATGCTGAGGCGCGGGCACGCCACCTGGACCCAGGCGTCGACGTCGGGCATGGCGGCGAGCTTGGCGGGGAAGATCTCGCTGAGCAGGAGCTCGACGTGGGGGATGCCGAGGGCGTCGAGGCGCCGCGCGATCAGCGCCAGCGTGTGGGGGTTGCCCTGGCGGCCGAGGGCGCCGAGGATGAGGCCCCAGCGCTTGGCGCGGCGGGCGGCGGCGATGGCGCCGCGGCGCAGGGACTGCATCTCGGCGTGGCCGTAGGTCTCGCGGGTGAGCTTGCGGGCGTAGGGGTCGTAGCGGTAGGCGGGCAGGTCGGGGTTGTGGATCATGACGCTCTCGAGGTGGAAGCGGCCGTCGCCGAGGTAGAGGACGAGGTCGACGGCGCCGGGGCCGGCGGCGGGGAGGCGGGGGGAGGTGCAGCCGAGGACCTCGCCGCGGGAGAGGGGCGCGGCCTGGGGGACGCGGACGGCGAAGCCGGCGCGCTCGAGGGCGGGGCGCAGGACGCCGTGGATGGTGGCGTTGAACTGGATGGTGCCGACGAGGGCGACGGCCTTGGGCGGGGCGAAGGCGCGCTCGACGGTGGCGAGCAGGTGGGCGGCGTCGACGGCGACGTCGACGAAGACGTAGAGCACGCGGACGGCGGCGGCGGTGACGCCGACGGGGACGAGGCAGCTGTGGGCGTAGTGGACGAGCAGGTCGCAGCCGAGCGCGCGGGCGGTGTAGTCGTCGACGCAGCAGGCGCCGTAGGTGACGTCGCCCATGATGAGGGGCTCGACGCCGGGGCAGAAGCGGGCGAGGATGTCGGCGATGGTGGTGGCGAAGAGGAGCAGGCCCTCGGGCATCTGCAGCGCGACGCGGCGCGCGCCCGACGACCGGATCCGGTGGATCGTCTTCGGGATCTCGAACGAGTAGTTCGCTGGTAGTAGCGATATCGCCTCCTGTAGCGCCGCGTCCTCCAGGATCTCCCGCGGCACCTGGTTCAGGAGCCGCGGCGCCCGCCGCGGCGCCGCGCCTAAGCACGCACGTTCAGCCCTCTCGTCCACAGCACAAGCACCGGGGCACAACGTCCAGCGCGTCGCTTACTCTCAACTGCGCCGCTTTCGCCCGCCGCCGAGCCCCCGCCGCCATTGCGCGCCGAGTTGGCGGCTGTCCTCCGCCCCACGAACCGCTTCTTGGGCTGCTTCAGCGCGGGTTGCGACGACGGCGGCGGCGGCGGCGAATGGGCCTCTTCGATGTCTGCGGCGATGCCTATATCGGCCTGCGCCCTGTCCTCCTCCATAGCTCGCGGGTGGTATTATAGCTCGTCCCGATGCTTCGGGGAAGGGTGAATCTCGTCTTAGGAAAAGAGGGGTTGTCGAGGTGTCTCTGGTCAGTGATGCACGAGAGTTGGGTCGTTGGTGGCGAGCAGTGAATGGAGCAAGTCAATGAAGGGTTGACGGGTGAGAAAAGTCTGAATTAGGAAGGTTGAGCCTCTATAAAGGCATAAATATCTTTTTAGTAAATAAACCCTGTGCTATCTAGCTTATGACGTAGAGAGGAGCTAACTCACCGGCTGGTGCCAGCTGGCTACTTCATGTCTTACTACCGCCATGCTTACCAACTTCCATATCCCCAGACAAGCATCACGGGATCGCTGTGATCGTCTAGCCACACACACTTGTTACTACTTTATCCCATCTACGGGGCATAGATGTAACGAATTAGTCGCACTGCGATTTTCAAGACCGCTCTCGACGGGTTGCCATCTCCAAACCGGCATCGTCGCCACGTAATTAACTAGGTAGCTGATCAGGCTTTCTTGCGTTGCCAGCGCCTCTACATTACATAGAATGGAGGGGGCTCTAGACCCCAACACATCGCAGGGAAGAAATTTTGTATGTGAGATCTCAATTCTCGGATCCATTACCGATACTTTCCCCCCAAAGCTCTACGTGGTCCTTGACGACGGTGTCATTGGAAGCACTAACGTTACGATAGTATAGCGGAGTAGCAACCACCTCTTCGCCCTCTCCGCGGTCCGATAGCCCTCTAAAGGAGAATATTTGGTGCGACTGGCCGACCCCCGTGCTGTAGGTATTATCTCCCGGCCGCTGGTAGATCGCCGTGCCGTTGCGCAGTGTCTTGCGCACTGAACCCTGGAACTTGGGCACCTCGGGGCCGGCGACGGCGGCAAACCCCTCGAGCCCGCTGGGAAAGACGGACGCGCCCCAGATCTCGAGCTCTATGCCCTGGTCGAGCTGGGCTCGAAGCGTCAGGTTTCCCTGTGGCAGGTACGACGCGCTACTATTGCAGAACAGCGGGTAGCTGTACCTGGCAGAGTAGGATATGTCCAGACCCGCGCTCGTAGCCGCATCAGCGCCCGCGATGTTGAGTGTGTTTACGTTGTCGTACCCGCGCGCATAGACGCTGCCGTTATTTTTGTACGACAGGGACTGCGTCCACTTGGCGGCGCCTTGCCCGCGCTGCGTCTTCACGTACGAACTGAAGGATAGCGTGCGCGTCACCGCGAGGGTATAGTCGAGGGTCTCGTTGCTGCCACTCTCGCTCTGCTTGATTCGCTGCGAGAAGTTAATGCTCGGGTCGTTAACGAATTTCTTTATCGATGTTCCCGTCGTGACGGACCCTTCGTCGTCGAGCCAGACGAAAACCTTGCCGGTGATATACCACGAACTATGCGTGGTCGAGGACAGGGAGGCCTGCGACACGCCATCGTCTTCCAAGCCCACCACCCGAATGTTGAAGGTATGGTCTTCCCCGTTGCACAGCAAAGGCAGCCAGGGAGTGATGTCGATTTCAGACTCCCGGATATCAAACGCTTCGATTCCGACGATAGGGCGGTGAAGTTGTGGGACCACACCCCCGGTGAATATGACCGGGAATGGCCAGGAGACACCAGCGAGCTGGTCGTCGATAAGCACCTGTACCTCGCGAAACGGCGAGTACCCGGGCATCGCACCGTAGTCAGCCTTAAATGTGTCCGTAGCACTCTGCGGCACATTGCTCCACCAGAATTCCTCATCTCCCTGGCCCTTAACGTCTACGGTAAAGACGGCGCGGTTGGCGTTTCGCGGGAAGCTGACCGTGCTGGTGGCTTCTTGCTCCGGGTAGGTGAACTGGCTCGGCTCTCCCGTCGACCCAGTCCCTTCGCTAATGGGAATGATCAAGTCGGCAGGCGCGCGGCCACTACCCCCAGCTCCTACTGGTCCCTTGAAAAATGTCGCCGTAAGCGTCGTGTTGAGGATTCCTGTGTAAGTGTTGTCTACAATGTTCTCCAAGTCGAAAATCAGAGTCTGCGGCCGCTTCCAGAGGGATAGGAACGGAGTGACATCCTTCAGCCAGACCCAACGAATGCCGTACGAAGTAGGTTCCGCGGTAGTTGTTCTCCACACCTCGGTATCCCCGAGGTATAGGACGCCCGTCCGGTCGTACTGGCGCCCCCTTACCAGAACGGTGAAGTTGAGGACGACACGGTCGAAATCGTGATCGGGAGGCGTGTAGTTGCCTTGGACAAGTCAGAAATTGCGCCGGACTGTTTCTAGGCAGATGCGGGCATGCGCGTACCGACAAAGGGATATCCGTAGCTGTTTGTGAAAGAGTGCTCAAATAACAAGACAGTAGATGCATCAGCACCAGTACTGCTGCCAGCCGGGGTCGGGGCCGCTATTTGCTGGAGCGCTGCATCGCGGAACTTGAGCCCTTCGTGGGTCAGGACAGGTTCGGCAACCTGGAAACACTCCAGGGGTGCAGTTGTAGCAGCGGGGGCAGCGCTATCGGTCCGTGTCTCATCGGTTCCCATATCGATGAGATTTTTGAACCTAGCGAGAGAATTGCGCTTCGCTCTCGGGTCATTCCGGACAACATTCCTGGACTGAGGCTCGGGACGCGCAGCGGAGAGCGCTGCGAGAATAGCGACGAGTAGGAAACATTTCGCGACGAGGGCGCCGAGGCCGTGACGCAGAGGCGGAGGTGACATTTGATTCCGATGGTTCCACGGCGATTGCGGACGAGAACTCACCGCCAGCTGGAGACGGATGGGGTGTGGCCTGGCTGGATGTCATGAAAGAAAACAAAAGCAGGCGGAGAAGGGAGAGGAGAGGAGAGACAAGAGACGACAGAGACGGTTGATTGATATCAATCGGATATTTTCCTTTTTCTTTTTCTTTTTCTTTTTCCCTTTCCCGAGTCTCATGAGGCACGCCCCGCAGGTATCTGCAAAAGGCTTAATTATCACTATTATACAAGACGTCGACACCGCCCCAGTCAGTGGGAGCAAGTATTATAGTACTAACCTGTAGGCGGTACGCATTCGACGATGGAAGCAGGACGCGTTGCATCCCGCCATCGCAGCTCTCCATCGACAAACAAAAAGGGAAGAGAGAAACATACAGCGCCGATAACGATGCACTCCGCCCGCACGGCAAATCAGCCGAGAACAGAAGGTGATGGCGCCAAGGATGGCCAGGGGGCTGCAGACTCGAGTCGCTTCTCACTTGCTGGTCACCGAGTTACAGCATCCTCTACCAGGTAAGTATTCCCATTACCTACCTGTTTGGTTTGCAGACGTGCAGAGACCTGCTAACCGGAGTAAGTCGAGATTGCGACACCAGTCAATCCGATTACCTAGCTCATGGAAATCCCGGCAAACCCGATGCGACGCCTCGGCCGGGGATATCCACACGATGGCGGAGGGCGCAGAATAGCCTCCTCGTTTTTCCTCCTCTCCTTCCTTCCTTTTGTCCTCTCACCGAAGCAGCCTGTCATGATGTAGGATCGCGCTGTGTCTTAAGAGCTGTATCGTCACCATTGCTCTTCCGACTACTTCGTGGTAGGTACATACGCAGCTTTGTCCACGCTAATCTTTGTGCTGGCTCGAGTGGGATTGTTTGCAAATCCGACGCCAATTCTCCAACTACCAAAGTGATCTTGCTCGTAACATCGTATGCGGATGAGAAACAGATCCAGTACCAGGTAACAATCGACTTGACCTGGATATGAAATCAGAAGTATAAGAGAAGCATCGCGGCGTTAATATTACTAGACTCACTCATCAACCCATCGGGATAACCGAATCATCAGAATAACTACTAACTCATCAGGATAACCAACCCTTCAGGATCACTAACCCTTCAGGATAGCTAACCCTTCAGACAGCATACCCAGTCACATTATTCAGATATCGCTCCAAACCGAGAAAGATAACCTAGCCACAATGGCAGGCAACATCGTCGAGGAGGTTGATACCCAGTCGACAACCAACCGCCGGATTTTGCGGCCGCTGGGCACCAAGAACACATGGCTACTAGGCATCGAGAATGTGCTAAAGAGCCGTCCCGATTACGCGGGTAGCGAGCTCGAGATGGTCAACGCGAACTTCGCGCGGGAGCTTATAGCGGCGCGCACCAACGACAAATTTACCGTCCCCAAGGTCGTCACTTGCCGGAGCAAGGGCAACGACTTCAGACGCACTGTCTCTATCCAGGAGCGAGTCCCGGGCGAGTCGCTAGACAATGCGCTGGAGTCCCTCTCGCGGGCGGAACTCACGCGTATCGGTGCTGGCCTCGGCGCGTACCTGCTCGCGCTACAGGCTCGCACGTCGCCGCGCATGGGGATGCTCAACGGGCAGCCGGTAATGGACCAGGGCCTGCTCGCGCCGCTGCCGCAACAGGCGATGAGGGAGTATGAGAATTGCCGGACAGACGACGAGGTGGCGGCCAACCTGGGGCTGAGGCTGCAAGCGGACCTGGAGACGGTGGCGGAGCTGATGGCGCGGATGCCGCCGGCGACACCGTTCGTCTTCACGAACTCGGACCTGCACGCGGAAAACGTGATGGTGCACAAGGGTGAGTTCGTGGGGCTCCTCGACTGGAGGCTCGCCGGCTACTACCCCCGCTGGTGGGAGTACGTCAACAGCGCCGCCCTGCTCGACGAGTACCTGCCCGCCGAGCTGCGGCACCCGGAGGCACTCGCCTGGTTCCGCGTCTATAGCGCGCTGCGCGATCGCCCGAACGATGAGAAGACCCGCAAGCTGGTCGCCGAGTATCTCCAGAGTACAAACTAGGTAGGTGGCCAAGAGGGGTTTAGGTAAGTATCTGCCTAGATTCCTAGATTCCTAGATGTGCTGGCGTGTAGGCAGGAGTGCGAGTAACTACGTAAACATTGCTAGCATAGCGGTAAGTTGTAAGTCATAAATACAGACTGATATCGCCAACTAATACCCACCTACAAGTAGTCCTGTGAAAAATCTGACTGCTTTGCCTATGTCTAAAAACGAGCGTGACGAATGTAGCCACAAAACAAACAGGTGTTTACGAAAATCTTGGGTTGCACCTAGGTAATAAATACGGAGAGAGACGTTACCCCTACCTAACTAGACCTACTTACCTAGGTGTAGGTACCTATTAATCGTCAGTGATGATGAATTTACCAACCCTCAACCTCTTATCTAATGGCGCTAGATTCTAGGAAGAGGATGAAGGGTCCTCCTAGCTTCTATAGTTTCCCTAGGATAAGTGCCGTAGATCTAGGATGTGGCTGGCTTACTCTGGCGCCTAAAAATAGGCACTTGTTCGGGCCAGTAAAACAGACGCCTTGCACAGTACTACTACAAGCAACGCTCTGCCGTGTCGGCACAATGTACCTAGGACAGGCTCGACTCTCCGGTGGGCGGGAGGGGGACGGGGAGGGGAGGGGGCCAGTGACGCGGGCTGGCGAAGGCGCCATAGCCAGACCATCGTCCGTACATCATACGACGGCACTGCAGCTGTCGTCCCCCCGTTCCCCTGCAGCGCTCAGGTCAGGACGGGACGCGAGCGCGCGAGGGAAAAAAGCCTGAAATGGGCGCGGCGGGCAGCGAGCGCGGATGGTTCGACCGGGCGGGAACGGCGACGTTTTCGCGTCGATTATGGATTGATGGTGGACTGGCTGCTTGTGACAGGTAACATTTGCCACCTGCGCAGGGTGCATCGCGGAGGAGGGAGAGTGGGAAGATGCCGGCTGCGGTGCTGTGGTCGTTTGGAACCCGCACCAGCCCACGCGATGCCTCCCATTCCCATATCCACCATCCCCGGCAAGCGAGTAAGTACATACAATGCTATATACCTACTTAGTACCGTACTCAGCCAGCCCCTATAGATGGTCTGAGCAGACCAGCGTGCTCCATCGCGGCATGCATGCTTCCAGAGGCAGGCGGGTGGGTACGTGGACGGACAGCGAGACGAAGCCGTCTTACCTATCGCGCCGTTTTGAGTGGCAGAAGTGCGCAGGGCGGTTCAGGGAGAGACAGTCCATCAGTGTGGTGTGCTAGCTGACGGGCGGGACACAAAGAAACACGTTCGGTCCCCCCCCCCCCAGAAGCAGCGGTGGCTCCCCTCGACGGAACTAACCGCTTCGAGCGGCAGAAAACGGCCTGCAGTGGATCGTTAAGAGCGGCGTCGCGCTAGTGGATTTTGTAGCGCCTCAGGCAATCCGGGGAAGCGGGGTTTTAGCGTGCGATGCTGTTGGGTACCTCTACCTTACCTAGGGTAGAGGTACCTAGGGTAGGCGGGCAGCTATTAGTACGCACCGCCGATATTAGGTACGCACTCTCGCAGAGCAGCACCCTTTCTATGTATCTCTACCTGGTTTCGCATATCCCTAGGTACCTAAGTACCTTAGGTAGAGGCAGTCCCGCTGCGAGGGCCACTTCGCTATGGGCAAGGAAGGGAAAGGGGGCACGTGAAAGAGGGAGGCATATCGGTGACGCTGCCCGTCACCGCGATGCCCTGCCATGCCATCCATCTATGCAATGGATAACAGAGAAATAAACAATGTACGACGAGTGCTGCTGAGCCAGGTGGGAAAAGACGACTTCTCCGGTGGAGCACTAGAAGCGAAGGCGATGAGCAGCGAACCAAAGAGGGTGGGTGCGTTATTCGATTACGTAGGCAACTCGTGAGCAGCAGCAACCCGAGCAGCATGTGCGAACGCGGCAGGCAGGCCCATCGCTCTTGTATGCCTGGGCAGGTGCTGGGAGTCCGGAGAGGTACCTAACCTGATATATACCTAGGTACCTAGGTAGGTACAACGTGTAGTCTGGTATATAAGCATGTACGAAGAAGTACTGGGACGGCGGTCGGGGTGGTAGGCTGGGTAAATGAACCACCACCCATGCTCGGTACGCCTCCGATGCAGACAAGAAGCCTACCCCAAATTCTCACCTCCTTGCGGTGCACCAATACGCCATACACACCGCGTACGCCCGCCCACCTCTCTCTCGTCTCTCTCTCCACGAACAGGTGGCGTCCTGCGACGACGTGCCCAGCGAGGTCGACCCTTGGTCCCGCTGCCAACCACCGACGCGACTGACGACGACACGCCCTCGTAGCTATGCCGGCGCCGTCCCGCCAGATCTCTGCCCTGTGCCACGTCCGCCTCGTGGGCGAGCATCGAAGCACGATCGACATGATCCTAGCTTCTTGACCCCCTGAGGTGATTGGTGCTGAGCACGTCGACGCAACATCACTGCCCTGTTGTCATTGGGTTACCCCGCTTCCCTCTGGTGTCCTTCCCCAGAGCATCAGACAACCAGCCAGCCAGCCAGCCAGGACTGGCTGGCCTGTCTGACCAGAGGGGAGCACGGTCTGGATGGCTTAGGCAGCTCGAACGACCAGGGTAGGAAGGGGAGTGGATGTTTGGGACGACAGAGGGTATGGGTATGTATACGCATGTATCGACCACCTGCTAACATGCCACCGGCACCACCCTTCCTCCTCTCCCTCCCCCCCTTTTAAATGCCCAACCGCCCAGTCTCTCTGTCCTCTCCGGAGTAACATGTCTCTCTCTCTCCTCGCCTGCCTTCTTCAGCAGAAACGGTACTATCACCTCGTCGATAGTAGGCACATCACCGGGAAGTTGAGTGCAGTGCCGAAACCAGCGTGCCCGTCTTCTCTCATAAACCCCGTATAGTCTCGCGGGCTCTCTGGTATGACTCTCTCGCTTTCGGTTCCCATATCGCTGTCCCTCTTTCCTTATCCGGAAGAATTCATGGACTAACAAGACCACGCCGCCCAGATCTCTCGTCATCACATACTCGGCCTCTTCAACTACTACCAAGTCATCCATCAACTATCAACTATTAGTGTCAACTACATACCTGTTGTTTCTTCGTTGCTCTCTATTCTATATACCCATTTCCATCATCAATCCCGCCATACCCACCCCGGCCAGGTCCAAACCTCCAAGTCCCTCGGAGCCTAATCCAACGCCCAGCCAGCCAGCCAAGCAACCAACCCTATCTCTCTCTCTCTCTCCTCTCTCAGCCCCCCCCAAAACATGCCGGTCCGCATCCCACAGGCCCGCCGGAGTGAGATCGCAACCTTCGGGCTCGCGGGCGTGGCTGGGTTCGCGCCGCTGTACATGCTGCTGCCGGGGGCAGAGGAGCGGCTGGCGGCGTCGACGGCGCGCTGGGCGCCGCGCTGGGAGCGCAACATCGCCTACCTGGCGCCGCCGGCGCGGCGGGTCGCGCAGCGCGTCGAGCCAAGGGCCGAGCGTGCCGCCCGCGGCATCGACACCCGCATCCGCCACGGCATCAACGCCATGACGAAGGGCAAGGGGTTATAAGTAGCACGTATTATATATACGGGTGAAGGACTCAAGGCTACGCGCTGGTCGGCAGATTGGGATATTGGATATGGCACACGGGATATGGGATACGGGATACGGGACGGAAATGGCTGGATATTGCTGGTCGGCGATCCCGACCAGTAGGTACGAATTACGAATTGCTTGGTTATATAGGTATGCATATATAATTCGGGTACTTAGTGCCTTGCACCTTAGGTACTTTATAGCAGGACTCTCTCCCGGAAAGAAGGAGACGGGCAAATTCAAGTTCGCGCGTTTGGCGTTTTGATGAATGGCTTGTCAACAGGCTGCGTTGTTATGAGTGATGGTTGGTTCGATTCCTTATAACGCTTGCCAGCCGTGTATAGCCAGTGGCAATGTCTGCCCGGATATGCTACGATAAGTAACTGCTACTCCTCGATCGTCCGTACTAAAATTAATGGCTGCCAGAACTGTCGTGCCACTTCCACGATAAACTATCGATGTAGTCTCACACGCCTTTGCTGTCCTTGGCTGATAGTTCCCACGTTGGTAGTAACGAGAGCGTATGGTATAACTCTTCGTCGTAACCTACCAGCAACAGTGGTTATCTCCAGTTCTAGTTCTCTGCCTACAATTACAGTTCTCTAATACCTCTTATACCTAACTCGCTTCGCTGTTTTCACTCACCCAAAGTTTCAACCGGTCGTTGCTATGGCTCTCTGCCTGCATAAAGATACGAATCCGATTTGTCTGTATTGAACAGTGCGCCTTCCCAATTCCATTTCGTAAGTAGGTTCGTAGCAATACCGGAACAGAAACAATTGTATTTATAGACACTCGTTGCCACACAAGATGTAGCAACATCATTCTGCTGTTGCTCTAAGGTAGGTAGATGATGGCATACGATTTGTCAACAATATGCGTAGATCTATACAGCCTTTTCCTGCTATCAAAAAATACCACCGGTCTGCTTTGAGGATGATGGTTCCCATGCATAGTCTGATGCATTTGCCCCAACCCACGCCTATCCACGCTTATCCCCTTAGGCCAAACAGAGAACCCACAAGTAGCACTGCATCAAAATACAGATAATATCGAGCGCATGCGATAACCAGCGGAGCACCCCATCGGTATAACCGTAGAGCCGCCAGGATCCTGTCGCGCATAGGAAAGTAAATAGCAATAAAAATAGAGATTCTCGCGACAACACTAGAGACGACGTAACTCCGTGCGGGCGCGAAGGAAAAAAAAACATGACCACCCTGGGGCTCGAACCCAGAATCTCCTGATAACTGTGTCAAGCATGTTTGGTCATGCTCGGTCGTAGTCAGACGCCTTACCATTGGGCCAAGCGGCCTTGCACCAACTGCACTCTAGTGCGGTTGCGTGGAAGCTGGTTGCTCGATGGTCGCCAACGGATTTATAACGGCCTAAGTCTGCTGGGCTGGTTAGTGTCCCGCACCTAATTAACTGCGGGGCAGTTAGTTCACTTAGCTATCCCCCCCACGATAGAGAGAGGGACGGACGGAGGGACGGAGGAGGGAGGTAGGCATCAGATCCATGTGTATTGGTCATCGAGCAGAGCTGAAGCGACAGGATTTCCCGAGCTTCTAAAACATTCGGATCGTCGAATTCCAGCAAGTGCACCTTGTCGTTTGGGGGGTCGATGATCCCCAAGCTCGCGAGGCCGACCCGTGGGGGAAAGTCTGCGTGAGCTGAGATGTGGTAGATCATGCATTTGCAGGTGCGCGGAGAATAGGACGGAGATGTACGCGAGCAAGCTGGCGAAACTGCTTGTGCTTGGTAAGTGTGCTTTTCAATTTACCTGCGCACGGCGACGTGTGTTGCGCCGTCGCGTGTTGGGAGCTATTCATTCCTATCGGGTCCGGCCAAGCACCGCTCTTTCACACACTCTCGCTCGGCATCAACACCCGTGTGCTGTCATCCCTAAAATAGACCAAACCATTCAAATCAGCTAGAGAGGCGTCTATCATATCATGAACTACGGCGTCTATGCCTACCTAGCCCCGTGGCGGCGGATCGTGAGAATAGCGAGGCTCTAATACCTAGGTATATGCAGATCCCTATTATGCGGGGCGACGGTTATCAGGGTTCCGTGAGTAAGCTGTAGTAGTTGTTGGGGATTCAGGAGTCGTGGGACACCATGTCATTTATACGGTATGTGCAGAAGAGACGTGGAGGAATCCGCACGTGTTTGAAGTGATGAAGAAAACAATCTTCTTCAACCCCCCTCCCGTCGCCCCCCCCCTTTCCCAGGTACACATGCAGTTATCAGAGGGTGAAACTCCATCCCCCACGACCGCACGGGGCAAATCCACTGTAACCTCCTTGGCAGATCTGTTCTCCCAAACGGCCAGGGTGGTCACCTTTATCCTCGCTTGGCGAGACCGTTGCGCAGCCGTCATTGGGCGAAAACCAAACATGGCACTCGAGATCAGACCGCTTCCGTGAACTCGAGCCTCCTCGCCTGCTCGTCGACCCGGAGGGTTTACGATCGGAGGCCCCAACAATTCCCATCTTCACCAATGCGCACATCACACAGCTCGTGTCATGACGTCGCTACCGCTACGAGTAGCCGGTCTGAGGAGATGCGCCAACGATGAGGGTGAAAATAACACGCAGGTACCTAATGCCTGCCTGGCGTCCCCTTCGAGGCCATTTCTCTTCCAGGGCACACATATCATAGGTAAGTAGGCATAACAACACCCGCCTTAGGGACCTAATACCATCAGGGCAATGTGGGCAAAGTCTCGATGAAATTAACCTATTATTATCTCGGATATTCGTGCTTGACACCCCCCTGGGGAATCGGAATTTCATGATCTCGGTGATCCTCCTTCCCGGTGCACCCGCCTTCGCGTGCCAAGCCTTAGGGGCTGCCTCGCGGGTCGAGGACGAGAGGAGACCGGTACGAAAACAACCCGCCTCTAGACTCTCGAAACGCCGTAGCTCGAGGCCATAGTGCATCCCCCTTCCCACCGTTCTTTTTCTAGAAATCGACCATGGTAAAAATCGTCGTCGTTTCGTTCGGGACCGGTAGAGAGGTGCAATGGATCCGAGACCACCACGCGGAGCCGAGAGAGGGGTCGACGGGCCTTATCTGGCCCTTAAGGGGGGGGGGGGGAGACGCCTAGGGGGCCCCCTGGCGGTTGAAGCCATTTCCGGCCAATCTGGTCGCTCGAACCGGTTCAGCTTAGGAGCAGACGCGGGTGCAGTCCACAAATAGCGTGCAGACGGGTCAGGACGTAGTAAGATTGCCAGGGAAGCGATGCCAGCTAGCGCGCGTAAACGATCATGAACATGGAGACCACGGCCCTGGCACCATACCCGATTTGAAGTCCAAGACGTTTCATCGTGTCCTCCATCTAAAGTACGCGTGGTCCCTGATCATCAGCCTCATCCCGGATGGGTCCAATATATATCTATTGCCACGGTGCCTCGCTCACCGTGGCCCTATTTTCACGATGGCTTCTCACAGCGGGCACTCTTCAGCGATAGCCCGATAAGCATATCTGAAAGCCCCGAATTAGCCGACCCGACCGGAACCCTCACCCCTTCCGGGCGCTTGGCGAAGATGTTCTGGTGGTCTTGGTTTGTTTTCGTCCTAGGGGTGGCGGCTGCGCCGCAACCTCAGGGACCGCCGTCGCCGACAACGACCCCTAACCCGTCAGCATGCGCGCTGATTTCCCGCGGGGCGAGCTCCGTCCTGGCTGTCAACCCCTCTGGTGAGCATGCACACATCCCGCACCGCACCGCACCGCACCGCACCGCACCGCAGGGTGCGGTCATACGATGACACTAACGGCCCCTTCCAGCCACGCCGGCCTTCCCGGCAGCCATGGCGTTTGACTGCCTCCGTACGGTGCCGAACCGACCCGGCCCGGCACTGCAGCTCATCGAGAGTCTCAAGGCTTTCTCCAACTGGCAAAGCACCCTGCCGTGGCTCAAGGACCCCCCGGAGTCCTACCCGCTTCCCCCGGTCGACATCCAGGGCACGCTGGACCGGATCGCAGCCAAGGCCGCTGCCGGCGGCTACATCAGCGAGTACGACTTCCAGCTCGACATATACCTCGGTATCGCCGCAGCGCATGACGGCCACTTCGCATATATCGGGGACATCTTCAAGGCTTTCTTGTTCAGGAACGATCTAGCCTCGGATATGGTCTCCCTGTCGCCCGACGGAGTATCCCTGCCGAAGCTGTATCGACTTTGTAAGTTCGAATTCCAGTCCTTGACGGGGAGCGGTGGAGGGGAATTCGCACCGCAAGCTTCTCACACGGCAGCAATTAGCCTCCTTCCAGCGCAACGCGAGGATCATGCCGCCCGCCATCACCGAGATCAACGGCGTGAACGCGACCGAGTTCATCCTGGACCTGGGCGCGCAGATGAGCTTCTACCAGGACGCCGACGCGCGGTGGAACTCGTTCTTCCCCACCTACGCCGACCCGAACGCGAACAACCCGCTCTTTATCTCGCTCGTCTACCTCGGCCCGAGCCTCACCTTCACGTACGAGAACGGCGAGACCCAGACCGCCGCCACCCGCGCCATCCTCCGCTCCGACGCCGACTTCGACGGCATCGCCTCGGGCGACGACTTCTACGACCGCTTCTGCACCCCGTCCCCGCCCTTCAACCCGATGCAGGACCCCGTCCCCGCCACGCGGCTGGCGCGGAGCCGCCGCCGGCGCAGCGACGGCGACAGAGAGGGGGATAGGCACGACCACGGCAGCCCGGGCGCCCTCCGGCCGCGCTCGCCGTCGCTGTCCGACTACCCGGACCCCATCGTCCAGAACAGCGACGAGGGCACGACGATGGGCTTCTTCCTCGACGAGCCGGGCCTCCGCGACGTCGCCGTGCTCGCCATCTCGTCCTTCTCCGAGGAAACCGCCTTCAACTACCTGTCCGTCTTCCAGAACACCGTCGAGGCCTTCCTCGACGCGTGCCGCGCCGCCAACAAGACGCGCCTCGTCATCGACCTCACCGCCAACGGCGGCGGCCAGATCCTCGCCGGCTTCGAGCTCTTTGCGCAGGTTAGCGAGATTGAGCCCCCCCCCCCCCCCCCCCCCCTATAACCCCCCAATCCTCCCCTTCCCCTTAATACGATCAAATGGGTCTCAGCTAACTCAAACCCTCGCTCGCCAGCTCTTCCCCGGCCGGGACGCCTTCAACGCGAACAACATGCGGCTCCCGGACAGCCTGGTCAGCCTCTCGCGCGTGCTGTCGAGCCTGCCCCTGCGGGACCAGCAGGAGGCCGTCGCCGTGTCGCCCCTGCTCGCGAACCTGTCGCCGCTCGAGCTGCGCACGCCGCAGGGCGACGAGTTCACCTCGGTCGACCAGCTCCTCACCCCGGTCACCCTCCGCGGCGACAAGTTCTCCGCCTACATGCGGCAGCCCGACGTCGCCGGCTTCACCCTGACCGGCACCGGCCGCCGCGCCAACCCCCCGGCCTCCCCCTTCAAGGCCGAGGACATCGTCCTGCTGACCGACGGCACCTGCGGCTCCACCTGCACCATCTGTACGCAACCCCCCCTCCCCCTCTCTAATACTAAAAAAGCCTACCTCCCGCTAACTCTCGCAGTCTCCTACCTCATGATCTTCCAAGAGAACGTCAAGACGGTCTCGGTCGGCGGGGCGCCGCGCGCGGGCGCGATGCAGGCGGTCGGCGGCGTGGAGGGGTCGCAGGTGCTGCGGTTCTCGGAGATCGCGAACGCGTCGGCGGCGGCGATCCTGATCAGCGCGGAGCTGGAGGGGGGCGGGGCCGCGGGGGCGGCGCGGCTGGACGCGAGCGAGCTGGGCACGCTGGCGCGCGGGTACGCGGCGCGGCGCGCGGCCGACCCGGCGCGCAGCCCCGGCTCCGTCAACTTCAAGAACGCCTTCGCCCCCGCCGACGCCCGCACGCCGCTCCAGTTCGCCGACGCCCCCGCCCGCTGCCGCTTCTTCTACGCCCCCGCCGCCCTCTTCGCCCCCGCCGCCCTCTGGGCCCGCGCCGCCAACGCCACCTGGCGCGACCCCGCCGCCCTCTGCGCCCCCGGCTCCCGCGTCCCCGCCCCCGCCCCCGCCCCCCTCGATCCCGCCTTCCAGGCCGCTAGCACCGCCCCCGACGCCCCCGGCGCCCCCGCCGACGACCAGGCCCCCGGCGCCGGCGCCGCCGGCGGCAGCAGCTCCACCGCGACCGAGGCCGGCGGCCAGAGCTCCGCCGCGAGGGCTCCCGGCGCGCCGCGCTGGGCCGCCTGGCTGCTCGCCGCCGCCCTCGCCGCGTCGTATCTGTAAGCAGCGAGCCGGGTTCCCGGTCGCGGGCGCACTTCCGGGTCGGTACGAGCACACGAGACGACGTTGTTACCTACAATAGACACGGGCGGAGGGGACGGGTTGATCATATTTTACATACTGCATATCACTGGCCGGGAGTCGGGCTCGAGGAGTCAAAAAGGGGGTTTTTTTTTTCTTGGGAGGGGAGACGCTTCGAGAGTAGATACCCCCTATACACATGCATACAGCGTATGGATATTTTTCGCATAGATACACCACGGCACGGGATCTCTGGTGCCCAGAACCTGTTGTACTTATTATATACCTAACCATGATATTAATGCTTACTGCGTGTGTTTTTTTCTCTCGGGCGGCATCACGCGCCGCTTTGGTTTATCGCTGAACCACCTCAGGCGAAGAAAATACGGATGTGTGTTCTAAGGTGTTCGGGCGACATGGCGATATAACGGAGGAGCCTTCTACGTCGCCTAGGGGACCTGGGGTGCGGCTAAGAAGGGTAAAGTAGGCAGGTAGTAATGTCGATAATGGCGATGATATAGGCACACATGTTAGGCACATAACTAGCAAAGTTGAGGTGGAGCGTCTGAGGACTCGACGTAGACCCCTTTCCATTTCCAGGGTGTTGTGCGGCTGTCTCTGGACAAAGTAGCTTGTTTACTGTCTCAACGGCATCAGGATATATCTACTGGTTTAAAAAAAAAAAGGTATACATATATGCGTATCCTAAGAGCGGATACTAAACCCAACTATGGTCAATCGCCAGCGCACACCATCGTTTGATACATGAGTAAATGATGCGGAGTAGTCCCTTCTCCTCCTTCGCTCTTCCAGAGTTCCGAGAATCAAAAAAAAAAAAAAAACCAGAGGCCGATTGGACAAAAAATCGAGCAGTGAAAAAAAAAGACGCCTAGGCTATGGAGAGGCCAAATAATTCCAAGCACCGCTTAGGAAGGCTCTGAGTTGATAGAAAAGTACGTCGTCCGGATGCTCCTGCACGAGCATTATATATCATCATCACGATCCGGTGTCCCGACAGGTTCCCCCACCTCGGTGTGTCCGTCTTGTTCGCCGACCGGGTCTTCAGGTATGATTCCATTCATTCGTTCCCAGACTTCTCGTCGTATGCGGTCGTCCTTGGCCTTCCTCGCCCTCTCGACCTCCTCGAACCCACCGCTCTTCTTGAGCTTCCCTTCCTCGACGAAATCCGTTAGTTCCTTCATCAGCGGGTTGTCCTGCCGGCTTTCCAATTCCTTTTGGCGCAGCTTCTCTGCGCGTTCTATGGCTTCCAGCCGATCTTCGTGGTTTGGCTGCAGCGCCCTTACCTCGCCTAGCACACCTTCTTTGGCGGCGGACGGGTCGGCGCTATTGCCGAGGTTATGCAAGCCCTTTGAGAACTGCCTTGCCGCGGGCACGTTCTCCTTCATTTGCTCCTTAGTAGCTTGCTCCACAAGCGCAAAGGTTTCCGAGGCCTTCTCGATATCATCCTGAAGATCGATCATAAGATCTTCCATGACCTTGAGTTCATCTCGGCCTTGGCAGACCTCTTCCAGCTCCTTCTCCCAGATCTTTGTCCATACTGGCTTCTCCCGTTTCATATATTCTTGCACCTTCTTGAGCTCCTTGGTTAAGACCTGGATGTCTTTGGATACGCTCTCGAGCTGGCGAGGCAGCGGTCTCACGCCGCGATTAACGACGTCCTTGCGCAAGTCTTCAACAAGGTCTTGAAGGTCGTCTACCTTGTTGACAAGCCGATCGGAATCCGAGTTAAGTTGCTTACGACCCTTGCTCACGTAGGCATGGCCCGAGCTGCCTTCTGCGTCAGATACTGAAGCCTTGGCCGCTGCAACCTTGACGTTCGCTGCTTTGTTCCGCAGTGAAGACATAGAGCTCTGGATCTCGGTCTGGAAGTTCGAGTATGTCTGTCGTAGGACGGCGAGATCGCGGCGCAGACTGTGCAATTCCCTAAGTTGGCTGGGGTTGAGCCTAGCGCCTATGCGGCCTGCGCCGGACTTCGGGCTGTCCATTACGGACGGCGGCGCTGCCGCCATACGAGCCATCTCCTTGGCAGTTTCGAGTTGGCGATCGGACACCCTTTGTAAAGCCGATCCCTGATCCGTGACGTTTTGCCTCACTTCCTCTACCGCCTTCTTCAGGGATCCCAGACCCTCGTCGAAGTGTTTCTTGACTTCGTCGAGGGGTTCGACATTCAGGGCGAGGACGGTGCGGTCCCTGATATCGGAGAGGTCTTCGAGCTCGTGCCGGACGCCGGAGATGGGGTCCTGGATGTAGATCTCGGGTAGATCGCTTCCGTTCAAGGCGGTGTTCCATGAAAACTTCTCGATGAAAGCTAGCTGCAAGCGTCCAATTGTCAAGCCTGTATAGCCCTCAGGAAGAACGAACTTCTTCACCTTCGACTTATATTGTAGGAATAGGGTTAGCTCCTTTTCCAGAGGCGGTGACTGCCTCTGAGGAGCCGGCTTTTGTTCCTTCTCTGGCGGAGTCTGGGGTCGTGGCCTCGACTCGACAAGTTGCGTGTCTATTTTCGGCCGCGGCTTTTCCGGCGATCCAGGCGCGCTTGCCGGAAATGCATCGTCTAAAGGCCCGGATATCGTGGCACTTGGCCTGTACCTATCGTCCGGCGATCGTGCTGGAGGGCTTTCCGAGTCGGGAGGAGGTAAGTCGGGCTTCGAGCCCTCCTCGGACACCCTGCTAGGTATCCTGACGGGTGAAGATGACTCATAGGCGCTTTTTGGCTGGCCGGGTGCATTGCGGCTAGACCGTAGAGGTTCTCGGCCTTGGACCGCTCGCATGGATTCCCTAACTTCCTTGCGTCCGCGGTTCGGTATCGGAGTGTTCTGGGGAGGTAGCATGGGCACACCATTAGTCGGGGCCCCGAGATGCTTAGATATTTGATAGGCGGAATATCTTCTCGATGCCCTTCTCTCAAGATCGCCTCCCCTCTGCAAAGCAGCAAAGGCGCTCTGCTGTGATTTCGGAGGCGGCGGAGGTGGAGGGAAGGCGTCGATATCGAGATGAGCCGCCGGACCCGTGGGCATAGTCGTCTCGTCTCCAGGATACGGAGGGAGCACGGGAATATTCTGCATAGAGGTGCTCGATATCGACTGATCGGTGGGCGAGGCGCCAGACTGATCCCGCGGCAGAGCACGTCGATTGGGCGATGAGGCTTGCCCCCCCGGCGGGGCCTCGCTCTGTTGCCCTTGCGACATTCTTTCGCTCGGAGGCGTGACACCGTACCCGTTCTCGAGGCCTTCGTTTAGAAGGGTGACGAGGCCGGTGCCATTGCTTCCGCTGGTGCCGCTACTCATGGTACGATTCGCGATACCAGCCGATTCCGGCGAACTGCCGCCATCCTTATCCTTAGTCTGTTTCTGGCGGAGTTTCTGTTGCTTTCTTTTTAGGCCGTGTAGGAGGTGGATGATGATATCTCGTATCCGAGGAAGATATTTCTCCAGGCTTTCCTTATTGGCCTCTTGGCTAAGGGTGGCTTCCAGTATATGTCTCAAATTCTCAGGCACGTTCCCGAGGTCAGACGTGTCGACGTTGATCGCGGTGAAAGCACGGCAGGCCATGTTAAACTCGTAACCCAGCCGAACATAGACGTCTGATACCTGCGTATCCGTAGCCTGACCAAGCGACCATTGTGTCAACGTTTCGAGGAGCTGCTTCGTAGCGACAAGCAGATGCGTCACGCTCTTTTCTATCTGGGACAGTGGCATGGACCCATTGGATTGCTACGAGTACGGTATGTAGTCAGCATCTCAGTCTTTCTAGGAGCAGACAGGCTACGAGAGAAGAGGAACAAAATAGAAAGACGAGAGAGAAAAACACGACAACGGAAAGGAAATCCGACCGGACTAGACACGGTCTTCAACGGCATCCATTCAAATGTATTCGTTCCACCTCCCCTTTCAGCCCTCACTCACATTTCGTCTTGAGCTGCCAGTCGATCTACTTGAAGCCGTCGAGGAGCGAGGCTGCATATTCGCCGGCGACATGGAGCGCGCGGAGGCGTTGGACGAGGTAGGGCCTTCGGGTCCGGGGGACCGTCGCTGCAGCGAGCGCTGGGAAGGGTTCGGAGCCTGCATTTGGGCGGCGCTCTCCGAGCCTCGATCTCGTCTATCGGGGGATCCTGGGTATCTCTGCCTCCTCTTGGGTCCCTTCTCAGCCGTGTCTTGCGTCCTTTGCACCCCAAACCTCCGACACAATGCCCGGGGTGAAACAAGCGCCGAGTGTGCGTCCGAGAAGCGTGGGGGTGGGAAAGCCAAGGAGAAGGCGGACAGCAAGCGATAGCGAGAGGCTGAAGTCAGGTACACGGAGAGGCGGCGGCGGCGAAGACGGAGATAATGGCGATGGAAGATGGTTGGGCAAGGAGTTAGATCGGAATCGGAGGGTCGAATTATCGATGACAGAACAGATGGAAGGCAGCGGGCATTTGCCCGCGTGAGGCGCGACGTCGAAGAGGACGGAGCGAGCCCGACCAGCGCTAGTCCGGTTTGGTCGAGGGTACATGCAGGGGGGGAACCGTCCGTCCTTCGTCGGACCAGTGACGTTCGGCGATGGGATCGAAAAAAAAAAAGGTGTCTCGAAATGGGAAGAGGGGTGACCTGTGGATGCTATGCTTTGCGCCCACAGGCCGTAGCGTCCCGCTACCACCCATGTACCCTCCAATCTGGTCCAGTCTGATCTCCAGAGTCTGGTCTCGGGTCGCCTTCTGCCTGTGTACGAGGTACCCGGGGTAGGAGGTATAGGTAGGTACCGAATGTATGTGCACGCCCAGGGACAGGTACATATCTGTATGCGGGCACGTGTGTACCTAGGTATATATACCTAGGTAGGTACCTCTTAGCACTTACCGAAGGCACCTAAGGTAGGCACGTAAGGTTCGATCCTCTCGGCCATTACGTAGGTACCTACCTAACCTACCTCTAGGTAGGTATATAGGTATACATATACATCCAGACGTCTTGGAGGCTACGTATAGTAGATATAGTAGAGTATACATTCGGCAGGGTTACGCGGTGGAGCCGTTACGACGAAGGGGGAGGGAGCCATCGAAAAGATCACCGAGTGGGAAGGAAAGGCACGATACTGCATGCTCTGCGCACTTTGATAGTACCTACCTCCTAACTTCCATAACTGCCTCGGTTAGGTTCCTAACCTGCCTAGGTCCTTCCTAGGTTAGTGGTGGACCAGTAGGTGCCTATGTACCTACAAGCCAGAACAGAATCACCATCGTCCCCTTCTGCCACGTTCCCAGCACATCAGAGCGCACAATGCGCGCAGCCCATGTCTGCCACGCGCCTCTCCAATCTCCTGCAAGGCTGATATCCGGCACGGACGGGCGCAGAGGCGTGTGCCAGGTCTCAAGATTGCAGCATGGATCGGCTCCGCTGCTCTTCAGCAACTCTGACTTCGGTCGTGCTTGCGTACCCTGCGTGTCGGCGGTATTAATCTATTTCCGTATACGACATTACCAGCTCTCCCACCATGCATAGGATAGTATCCCGACTGGTCCCTGGGCTTAACGCGCCACAGCGAGTTGACCATATGGGCCGAAGCCCCGATGCCATATGCACCTACGCACACCATGTGGTGATAGGGTGTCGCCCCAAGGACCAGGCCCCGTCGTGACTCGTGTTGCCGACCTGCTGCGTGCATACCAGACGCGGGTTTCGTGCATACCGGTCATCTCCCTGTGGCTGATGGCCTAGCTATCATTCCCTTCCTCCAGAACTCCTCCAGGATGCGTGGCTGGGTCGGCACCGTGGAGAAGGGGAAGGGGAAAGAGTGCCGAATTGTGTATGTACGATGGTGTTCCTCTCCCCTCTCGGGGGCACGGCAAACCGCAACCCTATCGAACGTCGCAAGATATGCCCCCAGATAGACAGTTCGCTGTGCATATGTCAGCACTAACGAACCATACAGCGCCTTGGTAATTTCGGGTCACGGCCAGCCTCTTCAATTGAATGCATATCACCTAGAGTGATCATGGGAAACTGGCGAGCAGGCAGTTATGGCAATGGGTATATATATACTCATATCGATGGCGGGTCTTCCCGACTGTAGCCAAGATATGTATTTGCTATTGCATAGCTCCTAAAACTACCACGCCAGCGGCGAGGAAGAAACGGGAGTCCAAGATCTTCAACACGGCCGCTCGCTCCCCACCTTTCCGCGGAGAGACAATGTTTTCGCCGAAAATCGCTATTATAGGAGCCGGGCCAGCTGGTTGTATGCTAGGGCGTGTTTTGTCGCCGTCCGACATCCCCTTCACAATCTACGAGAGCGAGGCGGGCCCCAACTATTACTCACAAGGGGGCACGTTAGGGCTACACCCCCAGACTGGTCTGACAGCCGTGAAGGAATCCGAATTATGGGCAGAGTTCGAAAAACACCTCCGCTTCGATAGCGACTACGTCTTGATTTCGGACAAGAACCTCAAGCCCATGGTCCTAGCAAGAAGCCGAGTAAGCCTAGCCAGCAACCTAAAAGCGACCGTTCCCAGCTCCGCCGGATCTTGACAGAAAATCCCTCCCGGAAGGATCTATCAAGTGGGGCTATCGTCTACAGCGCGTTGAAGGAGACGGCAGCTTGGTCTTCGAGCACGTAACCGAGTCTGGGTTTGACCTCATCGTCGGCTGTGAGGGAGGCTGGAGCAAAGTTCGAGGCTACGTCGCCCCGGCGGCCAAACCTGGCTATACTGGTATAGGACACCATCGGCTCGCGATACCGGATGCGGAGCGTACTGCCCCGGATCTTTGCAAGATCGTTAACCGTGGCCAAGTATGCGCCAGCTCAAACGGGCAGAGATTAGCAATTCAGCACTTGGGCGATGGTAGTCTCAACGTATCCTAGGCGTCGACCCGTTCGGAAAACTGGACGCAAACATGCGGATACAACCCCCATAACATCGAGCAAGTGAGGAAGGCGATTCTGGAGGACATGTATGATTGGAGTCCACAGCTTCGTGAAGCTATCGAGAAGGCTGGAGACGGGGTATGTGATCCGAAAAATATCTACGCGCTTCTGGTTGGTTTGCGCTGGCAGCACCGTCGCGGCGCGACGATTATCGGCGACGCAGCGCATTTGACGGCCCCTTTTGCGGAGGAGGGGGTCGACGTCGCACTCGATGACGCACGTAGACTCGGAGCCGCGATCGTCAAAGCGATCCAGGCAGGCGGTGAGCAAGACGAACTCGATAGGGAGGTGCGGGCGTCCGAGGAGGAAATGTTCGCGCGCATGGAGATATACCAGCGGCAGACGGATGAGATCACGGCGCTGTGGTTTTTTAGCGAAGGGAGCATGAGGCAAGTCATGCCAAAAGTAATCTTAACCTACGCCAAAGACCGGGTGCCCACGATGTTGGTCCCTTTGGCCTGGGGGCTCGTTCCTTCGTGGTGGGCCATCAAGACAAGGCTTTCCGGCTAGTCATTGCGCAGTCCGACACCAAGAGCGGCCCTCACACACCGTTCGATGTCTACGCGGGATGGAATTTGGATCACACACCTACCGTATCGAGCTCGAATCTCTCACGTGGTGATATTTCGGTTGAATGGTTGTACTAAGTTGTCAGTTTCGCCTCTCACTTTGTTAGGCAGCTTCGAAACGACGAATCTAGAGGTCATCATGCATGGCTGGAAGCACACTCATCCCGCATGTGTCGAATAGCTAAATCGACTGGAGAGAATACTGCGTGATACGTAACGCTCACCCGCATGTGCTACAGGTTTCGGGCCTGTGGACCAGAGCTATCTATCGCAGCGAGAAGAATCACATGTTACCGCGAAAGTTCCCACTCACAAGCGGCTTCGATATGACAAGGACTCGTGCGGCGTCATGTTCATGCAGGGAAGGGGCAGAACCACCTAGGCATATTCGTGCGGATCTGTCCATCCACCTATCTATCTCTCTGCCGCCCTTGCGCAGGAGCAAAGGAGGCTTACCTATATTGTCGCGTGTGATGAGGCGAGGGGGAGAGAGAACGAGGACAAGCCAAGCCGAATGTTTTAAGACCAGCCTCGAGGAGCGCCCGGATCGAGTAAATGTTTCCCTAATGGGCCGCATCTGCGGAACCCGTCTAACGAGGCGCAGAATCTGCATGGATCTATATTTTCTCCCTCTCGTGCCCCTGCCTAGATATGTAGCAGTCGCCCTCGGGGGCCGCCTTGATGATCGCCTGAGGGCCAGTGATACGTATCTGAGCCTCACGAATTACTACTCTCCGGCGCTGGCCGTTCGCATGTAAGCCTTACTCGCGTCACCGGCCACCGGGCCAGAGCCTAGCAAATGGAATGGGTGGATCTTGGTACTCGCCAATTCGGGTTCATTCCGCGGGGATGTGGATGTTGGGTCAACCCTGTTGGCAAACGATGAAGATTTCCGGTGAAGATGTTGCTTACCGCAACAACCGACGCCAGTTATAACTGATGCCGTTATGGGGTCGTTGGTATTAGAATGGCGGAGGGGACCCAGATCCAAGCCGGGAGTTCTTGGCAGCGTCCTCTCCTAAACGAAACATCTAGGCAGGTACCTCAATATCCTAAAGGAGACGGCATGCTTCAAAATGTAGACCGTTAACTTCATACTAGACCAGTGGCCGAATATAGCAATTTAAAATGCCGAATGGCGTTTGACCTCCGTTGCACGGAGATACACAATCAAACAGGAACGTGTTCAGAGAGTGACAGGAGGCCACCCTCTCTCCCATCTATCCTACGTGCAGTGTGACTAACATTGGTAACAGGTACACCGTACAATACTTATCTACGTCTGAGGCTCAGAGGGATGTGGATAACTAGTAGGTAGATAGCCTTGCTGGCTCGGTGAAGGGCTGTTGGCCAGTCCCGGTATCTGTATTCTTTTCGTCCACCCTGCTTTTCTTTTCACGTTCGCAGCAGACGCTTCCAACCTGTTCGTGGAACCGTCGAGCCGTGCAACATCGGCTGGTCATCATGCACGCAGGCTGATGCCGATGGAGCGGCTATGGCAGTGCGAGGCGGTAAGATGACTCCTCTCCGCGCAAAGAAAAAGGTGCTTGTGGAACAATGCACGTTCATACCTATATGGACGGCTGCGTTTGGAATAGATCGGTAAGAGGCTCTGTGCCGCAAACCACGGCGACGCTGAGACTGAAAATGGAAAATGCGGCGCGCGCTCCCATGCTGGATAGCTATTATTACGACCTGAAACAGGAATCTGACTTGTTTCCGAGTGCTCTCGCCGGACGAGTCGGTAGGGGCGAACTCTGCGTAGGGCGCGGCTACGGAGTTTGTGGATGGTGCGCGGGCGGGTAGAAGACGAAGCACAGCAGCAAGAGCGCGAAGGAAGGCCGCCTTTGCCAAGTCGGGGGCGCGACGGGACGGGACGCCCTCGGTGTGCGGCGTATTAGACGCGAGCCCCAACGTGGCAAAAGCGATGAGGGAGTTGGTTCGTATATTCGAGTATTCGCAGGGGCCCGTGTCGTGTCGGTGACCACGTCGAAGACGAAGGCCTGCAAACCTCGGGAACTCTCAGGGCTCAGACAGGTAGGTAATATATACACATGTTGGTTGCGCAAGGAGAGAGAGAGGTTATGTGGTCGGCAGGAACCGCTGTCATATTTATCCTGGTACCAAGGGCAAGACAAAAAGACAACCCCGGTGTTGGCGCACCGCCTACTTAGTAGAGAGTATCGGTTGTCTACCGGGCCGGCCCTTAAAGACCTTCATTGTTCTGGGGTAGACTATCTATCTATCCACATAGCCTCTAGCAGCCCGTCTGTGCCCGGGGCGCAATACGAGCTACCTATCTACCTACTACCTACCTACCTCTATGTAGGAGGTGGGTATATAGACATATTAGCATCACGTAGGTATAGGTATACTTATGTGTAGGCAGACATTTCGCTCTCGAGGCGGTTGGCTGGAACCAACACGATGCTGTCGAATCCAGCATCTGCGTTAGCATGTCCCAATTGCCCTGTAGTTATCCCTCTTTTTAACCCCTCGGAACGTGCCGGGGTCCCGAATCCGGACACCTCGAACGACTTTCTTCAGCGTAGATCAGCACGCTTTTTTTTTTCTTTTCTCCTTCGGCTCGTATACGCCTCACTCGTACCTCAGTCCAACTCGCCCACTAAGCCACGATGGGAGAATAGCGATCTAGCAAAAGCCCGTAACGACGGAGTGTACTACGTGTTCTTCCCACTCAAACGCTCTACCCGATTTAGATTTCCCATCTACGATGCGCCATGTCTTCCGGCACCAAGGCCTGGGAGGTATACAGGAGATGTATGCGATACGCCCGGAGTGATGAGCTGAGTCGTAGGTAGATTGGGACTGGGATGAGAAGATGCGTGTATACCCACGTTAGCGATGTACATCCACGTGGGCAGGCTGTGCAGAGGTACTTTAGGTACTTACTCAATTCCCCCAACTGTCATCTTCTACGCATTCGCAATTGCATAGCTCAGCTCGGAGGGTGGACATCTGCAACCTTATCGTACCACCACATCAGTGATATTTTTAATCCCATTCTGACCCCCCTTCCCGAGAGCCCGACTGACATCGAGGCATACCCACAGGCACACCTACAGGCAGGCATTCTACCGAGTGCAGCCAATGCACCGTGTTCTAGTCCGTCATGTAGGTATCTGAGGCACCCCCAGGACGGCTTACACGAGCAGGTCTACCCGTTTTACTCTACCTCTACCTAAAGGCAGGCTAAGTTAGGTGCCTATTAAGCGTGTGGCCGCCCAGTCCGGGCTTGGGCCTCAGGCAACCCGTTAATTTGTGCTTGATTCCGAGAAGAGCCCCACGAGGTTATAGGGAATGGTAGCATCTAACACCTGGGTACGGAGGTATGTGCCTACCTGCCTAGTTACGCCGTATTACCGATTGACGTTGGAACCTTTTCTTCAGAGGGCTATGCTTACAGGTGACGTCGGGTGCCAGACGCCCTGATAGTGTATCAGCTAGGTACATGTCTAGGTACCTGTCGGTACGTACCTTCTGGGAGTAGCGTGCCCTCAGGCCATTCGGCTCATTGTACCAATCAGAATCCCGGAATCACTAGCTTTCTTCCCCACTTCGAAGTCGGTGCTTGGACCGGTATACTGAGCCAATCCGGCCATTAAGGAGGGAAAGAGCTCTTCATTCACGTCCACCTCTGATCTAGTTTGTTTCATTAAGAGGTACATTGGACACCTAAGACAGGTATATATACATGCCTATGCATATATATTGAGTAAAGTGCTCAGGTACCTACGGAGCGCAGGCAGGTACCTCGCTCCAGTATCTCGATTGTTTTCTACAAACCCGAACCTTTCAAGTTCCCACTCATTGTGATATGCACCTTTTGACTCATGATACAACACCCCACCTACCTGGTCCAACATGGATGCTATACATATAATGTATTATATCTTGTTCAACTATACCGGGCAATCTACACGTAGGCATGCACATATACAGATAGGTACCTACATTTAGTACATTAAGTCCCCGAAGCACCTCCGTAGCCTCAAGTCGGCACTTTATAGGTACCTAAGTATATAGCTAGGTGCTCTAGGTACTGACTATGAGGGAGGTATATACCTGAGGCACTAGAATGAATAGGTACCTAGGTACCTATATATCTACCTAGGCCGGTACCTGCCCGGCTCTCTGATACGGCAGATATAGATACCTGCCCACCTAAGATCCGTATTGAGGTACCTGTATGTAAGAGGCATGTATGTACACATAGGTAGGTACGTGCCATATATCTACGATCAACTGCCAATACCTGACCGAAAAGTCGGGAATGCCAATACCATTTTCTCACAGCCTAGTAGACCTCCTGGAGGCAAATGTCCCCAACATATCTGGATACCTCCTGCGATACTTGCGTAGATGAGGTATCTGTATACATACCACACCGCAGGTAGGTACATTGGGACCACTTCCATCAGCCAATTTGGAAGGACTACCTGCTGTCAAACCTAGCCTTATGTACCTAGATACCTAAGGCAAGTACACCCCAGAACAAGCAGACCCTGGGCCCAGGTACCTATGTACAATAAACCTTTGGGAAACGAACGTCGACCACCACCAACCCTGAACCTCCCTCCACCTCTCCTACGTTATCGGCTTGATTCCCCAAACTATCCCGCCCATCAACCCTCGCTCGCGCCCTCGAGAAGAGCCACCAAACGTCCTCTGCGACGAGGCTATCACACCAAAGAACCAGCAGCACCAGCACCAGCGCCAGCGCCAGTAGCAGCAACATCCAGCTGGCCGGGACGTCGAAAGGGAGACGGAACAGGGTAGGCCGCACGCTTTCACGCCGTCGTCGTAGAAGCAAGTGGCGGCAACCAGCTCGAGGCCAGCACAGCACAGCCAGAACCCCGAGGTGAGACATGACCCTTTCCTTGCCGTACCTAACCCGGGCACCATATCGATTATTTTAGGTAGCATGGGCAGCAGTTGGCCCGCACTGCCCTGCCCTCTTTTTTTTTTTAATTCCATTATTGTTGGTATTATTATTTTTCGGCCAAGGCCCTGGTGGGAGAGAGAGAGGGTGAGCGAGTGATAGAAAACCGGAAGACGCCAGAGACACAGATTAATCCACGAGCGCGAGGAACCAAGTGGTGGTAGACAACCTTTTTAACTACCTACTCTTTCCCTCCCCCCGGCTAACTCCCACAACTCTGCGCTTGGCCTTGTCGACAGCAACTTTTTTTTTTTCCTTCAACGATCTGGACCATCTTACATCCTCCCCCTCTTTGTCCCATTTGCGGACTTGTGCTCGTGGCAGCAAGCAGGCCACTATACCTTTTTTTTTCTGTCCTCTTCCCGTTCTTCTCGTCATTTCAATCACTCTAGGCGCTCTCTCTACTGCACCCTGGATTCTAATGCGCTAACCTCTTTGCCTTCGCACAATCCCTCAGACCACCCTGCTACCTGGCAGAAGGCCGGGTCCGCCGACCGCTAGCAGTGGAAGCAGCAGTAGGAGCAGCAGAGGAGAGAAAGATTTCCGTACCGCATTCGAGACCAACGTCGTCACCGCAATCTCAACGCATCAGGCCCCATTCACACGAGCTTGTCTTCGCATGACAAGCATTCTGTATTGAATTCTCTTGACGGAGTGAGTTAGCCCAACCTTCTTGCGATACGGAGAGCTCCTTGTCATACGTCGGGCCTAGAGTCGCGTCACCTCCACCTCCTTCCCTCAGGCTCTGCGCTAGCCGTTCCCGATCTGCTTCCTTCCATCGACCGCCTCGTCACTTCATCCCTCCCAAGCCCATCAATTGTAGCATCGGTCGCCTGCTGGCGGTGGGTTCCCATTCCGAGTCCTGCTCTAAGCTCACCTGTTCTCTTCGACAGGGTCACAGGGTTGAAATCACCCTCACCGACGGTGCCGAATTCGAAGGTGCCTCGTACCCGACCAATTCCGCCTGCGACCTGAGAATGGTTCAGCACAAGAAGAACCCGGGCGAGACGGCCAACGGAACCAGCAAGAGAGACTATCCCAACATGCCCTTCCAAAAGAAGGACATCTCGGATGCTAGGGTCACGGGCAACCCTAACAAGGGCGACGTTAAGCAGAATGGTAAGCATTAGCTCCTAGTGGGAATGCCATTGCGCCAGACTAACGACCTGCAGGCACGTCGGTCAACTCTCGCAACGACTTTCGAACTGACAGTGCCATCTCGGCTGCTCGCCTCGGCCACGAGCGGCCCCTTCAACCATGGGTCGCGCCCACCAACTCCGACGGTCTTGATTTGAGTTTGGAGAAGTCTGGCGGCGGCGGTACATGGGATCAGTTCGCCGCGAATGAGCGTCAGTTTGGTATCAAAAGTACATATGATGAGAATATTTACACTACCGCTATCGACAAGAATCACCCGCAGTATAAGGAGCGGGTGGCCGCCGCGGAGAAAAAGGCTAGGGAGATTGAGCGAAGCGTGGCCGGCACAGCTCACGTCGCTGAGGAGCGGGTCATGGATTATGCCGGTGGTGACGATGCTGGCGTCGACGAAGAGGACAAGTAAGCGGCTCACCTTGCGCAGTTCCGGCACCGCCTAGATGGCAGCCCGGCTAACTCGGAAACAGATACAGTGGCGTTAAACGACAAGACTTCCCTCCTCTACCGAATAGTCGAGAGAATAAGTATACCCCTCCGGCAAGGCGAGCCCCGACCGGTTCTTCTACTGTGAAAGGCGCACCTGTCGACCCAGCTATCATATCGTCTCAGCTCAAGACACAAAAGACTCAACCGGTCCTCCCCAAGCAGGACGACGGCAAGTCTCGGCCTACCGCAAAAGCTGAACCTCCTTCGACGTCTCCCGCCGTCAAGCCCCCCGAGCCCAAGCCGGATAACAACAAAGTAGAGCCGCAACGCAAACCGTCGGAAGCCAAACCGCCGGTCCAGAACGCAGCCCCCTCGAAGCCAGCTGCTGCCACGGGCCGAGCAAACCCTCCCCAGGCGAAAGATGGCCAGGGTGCAGCACTTAGTGCCACCTCGACAGTTGAACGGGACGTTCTCAAGGAGTTCAAATCATTCGCCAACCAGCAACGTGCCAACGTTGAGAAGGTTCGGAGTTCGAAGTTAAAGGCAGACAAGGAGGTCAAGCTCATCGAGCTGAAAAAGTTTGCTGATAACTTCAAACTACCAACTCCGGTTCCTATCGATTTGATCTCTATCATCGCTAAGGATCCTGCCAAGCAGCGGGAAATCCAAGAGAAGGCCAAGCGAGATGTTGCCGAAGTCGCTAGACGGAAGGCCGAAGAGGCCGCCGCAAAGGAGAAGAAGGGGGCGGCGGCCAAAGAGGCCCAAGCTAACGCGGTCTCTCAGCCTTCCGATAGCAAGCCCGCACGTCAAACTTCAAATGCACCAGCGCCAGTTCCCGCGGCTGCTCAACCACGACATCAGGGTAACCGTCAGAGTTACATTTCTCCCACGTATCCGCACGCGGGAAATCGCCCGGGTCCCCAACACATGCAGCAGCCGGGGCGCCAGGGCGGCTTGACCGGCCGCATTCGGGCTATAGAGGCGCAAAAGGCGCAGCAGGGCCAGGACGTCCGCTTGCCCCCAACCGGACCGGCCAATGCCACGGATCCTTCTTTCGTTCGTCGCATTGGGGGGGGCGTGCCCAACCACGTAGGCGGCAAGCTGAATCCGAACAGCCACGAGTTCCGGCCCAGCCCTTTCGCGCCGACGTTCAACCCTCACCCCAGCGCAGGGTCTAGTCCCCGTTCGGCCATCAACCACGGCGCCGAGTTGCATTCCGGCACCGCCAGTACTCCGTCCCAATTGATCGTCATTACCAAGAAGAGGAAGGCAGTCGACCCGAAGAAATGCGTTATATTGTCTTTTGTCAAGACGATCCAACCCCCAGAGAATAAGAATTGGATCGACAACGACGGCCTGCGGCCTTCATACGATACCCCGCCCACTTGGCGCTCAGCGACGGACGACGAGAAACCAGATTCGACTATGCGCTTGTCATACGACGAATACTTCGAGCGACAGCCCTTCAACACGCAACCGACCCCGAACCCCCCACATCTGCTCCCCCAGATGGCCCATCAACACCAATTGCCTTTACATATGCAGCATGGAGCGCACCCTGTCGCTCCGCGACACTCGCCACACGTGCCTCCGGTCCAAATCCACGGCGGCCAGCATGGGCCCGTTCCTCATGCTCCGTTCAACGGAGCGGATGATCACAGGATGATGCATTCGAATTCGTCCCAGTCGTACTCCTCGCCGAGGATGGGACAGGTACCGATGGTGTACCCCCCTAATATGAACACCCCGCAGATGCCTTATAATCAACCCATGATCCCCTCGTTCATGGGACCCGGAGCGCCGCCCATGAACCAGTTCAACCGCAGCTTCTCTAACAACCCCCAGTATATCCCCCAGCAGCCTGGAGGAATGGGTGCGCCGATGATGATGCAGCCGCAATTCATGTCGCCTCAATCGATGGTGCCAGCGCCCCCGCAGATGCACCCATATCCTACCGGCCATCTCCAGTTCATGCCTCCCGGCGCTACCCCACCCCAGCCAATGCCGGGCACGAACGGCTACCCAAGCCCTAGGCAGACGGCGACTATGATGGTCCCGCAGGGATCGCAGCAGGGACAGCCTCTATACGGCATGAGCCCCAACATCCCATACCAGCAGCCGGCAACCTTTATGCCGCCACAAGGCCAGGGTGAGTCCCGCAGACGTAGGCGACGTTTCGACAGGAAAGAGAAGCTAACATGGGATACCAAGTGAACAACATGCGAGGCTATAACAACCCAGGCCCTCAGCAGTTTGGAACCAGCCCGCAAAATGCGCATCAGTACGGACCGCCGTATCGAAACGGCGGTAACTTCAAGAATTACCAGGGCCACAATCAGCACCAAGGTCCGCAAGGCGGCCATTCCATCCCGGCCGGACCGCAGGGTCGATCTTCTGAGGGTCCGGACGAGGCTAAGTGAATGGAGGTACCGGAACTACTTGCGAAGAACATACCGGCGCCGCGCTCCAGCGCATATTTAGTTTCATCATTCAGCCCAGCATCAGTACCGGCCGCCTGGGCACGTCGATCATAGCATCCCCTTCGCACAGACAAGTAGCGTTATCGACATAACGACAAGTGGTGGGGTACGAGGCTCTATGAAAGCCTTGTAGTGGAAAGAAGACAGGGTGACAACGTTTTGATACGAGGACGAATGGCCAGCGACGTCTCTCAACGCATATCTTGCAGACTTTTAAATATGCAAGCCACAACAGACATACATACTCGGCGGTTTGATGGCTAGTGAACCTACCGTGGCCCAGTAGGATATGGACTCCTGTCAGAAGTTGTTTCCTTGTCCGGGCGCCAACTGGCTAGGGCAGAAATGACGAGGATGAGGAAATGTCGGGAGGAGTCGGTTGGCGGCGGAGAGCGGAGGATAACGGAGAAGAAGTGTTTGAAGCTTCTACATGTCGACGAAGAGGGATGGGGGGAGGGGACAAGTCGGAGCAACTGTGTGTGGCCGTAGCTATGATTGTCTAGACGGACGAGTCCATCTCGGCAAGCACCGCGATCCTGTCATGTTCACGTTGGCAAGCAATAGCCCAAGGGCCAGCTCGGTCCACGGGACGAGGACCCTAGGGGCGTTTGTGAGGATCGTCAGCCGAGGGGGCATCGATCCCATAGTGGATATTTAGCATTGATAAGCCCCTCCCCGGCCAAAACGTATGCGAATGAGAGATAGCCATAACCCAATATAAACCTCGAAAGGCACGGGAGTAGTGCATTCTACATACCAGCGCTAACACGGAAGACCGGACTCGGGGCATGTCTGGGCGGGGCGGCGGGCGTTAGAAAAGGCGGGACGCGGAGAGGTTTGTCGAACCTGGAGGCGAAGGTGTCTTAGGAGCGGAGAGGCGGGTTCGTGCGAGTTTTGTAGGGCGAAGAGCTTCCGGGGCATCAGTGGCCGGCCCCCGGTTAGCTAGCTAGAGGGTAAGCTTTTATCCTCTCCTTCGCCCAGCCTCTTGAGCCATTCTAGTCCGGTCTAGAGCCGAAGCCCGTAAATGGGCCGGAGCAGCTAGAGCCGGGGCTAGAGCTACTTCGGCGAGATAAGGGCGAGCACGGTAGGGTTATAAGGCGAGAAACCTGGCCTTCAATATATATATATATATATATAGAGGGGCCGGGGGGGAGAATAGGTATGTAAATATATATATACCTATATACCTACACGTATATGTGTGTGTGACACGGAAATATGCTTAATCCATCCCGAGTGGCTTATCTTGTTGTCTTCGGCTACTGTTTTTTTTTTTTGGTTGTTGTTGTTGTTGGAAGGAGGGACTTGTCAGCTCGCCGGCTAGAACTGCCCAAGGTGAAGAAGAACAGCAGAGGAGGACGAGGACGAGGGCGAGGACGAGGGCGAGGAGGAAGAGCACGGCTGCTGGCGTGAACAGACGGCGCGGTCTGCTACCGGCTTGCTTGCTTGCTTGCTTCCACCTCGCCAGGTAGGTGTAGGCAGGTGGTGCTGGAGCACGCGCGGTCGGTAGCGGGTGAGTAGGCAGGCAGGCGCGGCGGGGAGACAGACGCGGGAGGCCGGGCGAGCGCGGAGCCGCGGGAGCGGCGTCGAGGCTCACGAGGTTTCCGAGGCGAGAGGGCGAGAAAGACGCTCGGTCGGCGTCCCGTCGCGGGCGAAGACTGCTCGCCTGCTGCGTCCGCGGACGGCTCTGGCCGTGTTTTGCACTTCGGTCCTGGGCAGGGTCGTGTGGATGGAGGCAGGAGACGGGAGGTCGTGGCCGAGCGGGCTCGGGGAGAGAGAGAAGGAGGAGGGGGGGGGGGGGGGGGGGGGGACTCGGGCTGCCTGGTCTACGAACGAGCGCGCCAACGTAGATGTCGAGCAGGCACCGTGCGCTTGCTTCGAGGAGGAGATCGGAGGGAGAACGCGGGCTCTGGCTCGCTATCCCCCCCTCCTTTCGGCTACCGGCAGGGATGCCGCAACATACCTCTACCTACCTAGGTTGCCTGCACTACCTAGGTATCTACCTACCTCGCGCGTACGCGTACGCCGGCAGACGGCCTCGTTTCTCTGCCACGTAGGAAGCGCAAGGGGTTGGGTTGGCCCGAGGCCTCCCCCGTCTCTCCCCGCGGGCGTGTGGGACGAGGGGATGGGGGAGGGGTCCGTCACAGCGGCGGGACTCTCACCTTGTTGGAACGCAGGCGCGGCGGGAGCTGCGCGCAAGAAGGGCTCCCCCAGAAGCAGATTGGGCGAGGCCCCGTTTCGCGATCTCGTGCTTGAAACGCGGGATCGGGGGCGGTCTACCTTGGGTAGGTAACGTGCGCACGGAAGTGGACAGGCAGGTAGGTAGGTAGGTAGGTAGGTAGAGGTATGGTTCTACGCGCGCGCAGAGGCGCGGATACAGGCGTGTACGGCCGGCTAGACCGTACGATGGGAGGTTACGTAGGTAGGTGTAGGTATTGCGACTACGGACGCATGCTATCACCTACGGAGCAAGGCGATGGCGTGGCATTTGTTTCTTCCCCCCCCCCCAGGATGGAGCCATGGGTGGCCCGGATCGGGGGTTGATGGGCGAGGCGTGGCCGCGTCGTTTCTTGTTTCGTTTTGACCCTAATGCCTGGCCGATACTCGACGGAGATTCGACGTCGACTGCCTCCACCGGAAATGAAACTCGCATTTCTCTTCTCTCTTTCACGGCTAGTTCATGTGATAGGCGAGGACTAATTATTGAGTGGTGTAGAGAATATGTTCCGGGCCAGCGTCCTGTGGGAAATCCGGGGGAAAATAAAAAGGGGGGAGAGGGGGGGGAGGGGCGGCGTAGGGGTCAGAGGTAGATGAAGACGACGGGTGCTGGAACATGTTGCGAGATATGGCAGTGCCCGCGCAGGACGTACGTGGGCATGTATGTCATTTGCGTGACGCCGGATGCCATGTCGAAGAAACCATGTCGGCGTTGAAGACCGGGTGGTGGGCCGCGTGGTTAGTTAGGCTGACTCTTGCTGACTCTGCGGGCTGACTGGGCCGGCCGCGCTAACCGGGGCCAACCCAGAAGACCGGAGGCGACTCGGAAGAAAGAGGCGAGAGAGAGAGAGACAGAGAGACAGAGAGACATGCCAGCTTCAGGGGTGTGGGGGAGAATTGCAGGGAATGCACAACATAGGTAGATGGGTTATATCAGGGGAGAGAGAGACAGAGAAAGAGAGAGAAAGGTGGGCTGCGGACGAGTTGGGAGGGAGCCAAGCACCGACTAAGCCCCGGGCATGATGGGGGATGGTCTTTCATGCGAGCGAGTCGAGGGGCGATTGACTGGCGCGGATGTTTCAGCGTTTCAACCTCCCCAGCCAATGAAGCCATCGCGGCGCCCTATTGGCGAACCCTGCAGCCCCTTTGCCGGGGGAGATCTCGGAATGCTACCAGAAGGTATATTCTGTTGTGTGTGTGTGCGTACGTGGGTGTGTGTGTGGACATACCTAACATACATGTGAAGGTGTGTAGGTGTATAGGTAGATGGCAGATCGACACGCCAGAGAGAAGGGGGGTTGGAAGAAAAAGGGGGTGGGAGGTATGTACCTACACGTAGAGGAGGGGAGAAGAGGGGTAGGGATCGGATAGGCAAGGGGAAAAAAAAGGGGTAAGGGAAGAAAAAAAAAAGCCACATGCACACACTTACACGCCCAGACAGAGACAGACAGGACGAGAGGCAGAGAAACGGGCCCGGTTTGGATGTTTCACGATGAGGACGGGTAGCCAACCTCGCAAGCCAATAGCAGCGGTGGACGGCGATGCCAACGAGGAAATGGCTGCCGATTGGATCCCGTCGCGCACGCCTCTTCTCCTCTCTCTTCTTCTCCCTTCTCCTTTTCCCCGGGGCAGTACGTGGTGAGTACGCGCAGCTACATCAGGGAGACAGGCAGCCAGACAATAAGACAGGCAGAACATCGCATCCAGACCTACATAGTCCGCAAGTCCCTGGTGGGCCCCCCCCCCCGGTCCGGTCTTTTTCGCCTTTTTGCCCGGCGGACACTCTCTAGGTCGATCATGTCGCCGTCCGCAGGCCAGCTGGCGGTCCCAATCACACCACGCCATTATCTGCCCTGCCGACATCGTACCGGCCCATCGCTTCCATAGCACAGGCGCACGCAAAGGTAAGGGTCAATATACCACATGCTAGCGAGCAATAGGGCGTCCGGGGTGGCGCGCAGGCCTCTGCTCGACCGCCGACGACTCGCCGACGGGTACCTGCCGAGCTATGCGCCTATCGGGGTGCCACACGCACCCACAACCCACACGCCGACATGCACGCATATATACATTGGATGCTCATACGGGTGGGTGGGAAGATGTAAAGAAACGCCTCCCGCTGGAGTGTGCAATTGTGCTGTATTATCTTGTATGCAAGGAACCAGTAGTGCACCGTGGGTGCTGCCAGCGGCGGTGTCCTACCTAGACGTAGAGGTATGCGGATCGACGTCACCCCGAATGCCAACGGGAAAAGGAGAGGGCGTCTAATGGGAAGAAAAAAAATGCATGTCTTAGAGGTCGTCCCATTGAGGCCGATGACGCGATCAGCGCTGGGGATTCTCTTTTGATTTTTTTTCTGCCCCTTTTTAGTGATCGCCATACGTGCATACGCGCGGTCGGTTCTTGTGTGTGTGTGTGTGTGTGTGCCTACATACGGACCTGCGTCCACCCACCCACACATGGATACTCAACCGAGAGACATATCTCGGCTAATGAGTCTCGTTTCTCTCCTTTCGGCCCCCGGCCCCCCTCCCTCGCCGGGCGACATTCGTCGAAGGGGGGGGGGGGGCGCTCGCTCGTTCGGTCGCTTGTGAAATACCCATCTGCGAAACTTGTTGGTGTTCGCGACGCAACGCCGCATCTCCGCGTCTAACCAAGCCCACATCGACGAGAAGCGGAAAGGAAAAAAAAAAAAAAAAAAAAAAAACCCCCCTTCAGCCGGCCGGAGAGGAATGCCCGACGCCTACCTGCCTCGCCTGCCCGCGTGCCGGGTGGCACGCCCGGGCTGGCCGCCGTGCGCGAATGGTGCAGACGAAGGCTGGATGCCTACGCGGGTGCGAGGGTGAGAGGAGGGAAAATGGGGACCACCCTAATAAAAGACGGAACGCAGGTGGAAGGCGGAAGAGGCGTGGTGTAACGTCTGAGATGTGCCATTGCGGCGGGATTGGGTCCTTCTATAGAGATTCTGGAAGTTGGGTAATCTCGAATGGCCCGACGCTGCACCGGACCAACCTCTACCTGCTCTTCCTCTGTAACGGGCACTCAGGGTGACAAGAACCGGCGGATTATTCTTATTTTTATTTATTTATTTAATAAAAGCATAAGGTCGTCGATTTGGTTTCGCTTGGCTATCTTTAAGCCTCATTCATCACCGGCACGTATCAGATCGCTACAGATATAGTGCCGGTGGCCCTGCCCACGTCGGAGGTTACATGTATATGGTATGCACGCATGGGAGGTGGGAGCTAGGTAAGCAATAGCGTATTCTAATAATTGTCCGTTTCCGATCCGGTCTTGGGCGGATCCTACATCTATTCTTACCTCACACGCTGCTACGATCCTACTCTTCTGTGCGCTTGGCGCTCGGGAGGCAGGTCTCCTGGCTGCCCCCGCCCAGCTGGGACGGATACGCTGGCCAAGCCGAGGATATACCGCCATGGCTCATACGTACCGGCATGTTTGTTGTTGTGCACGTAGGCATGTACGCGCAGGCAAACCATGGCCGATACGCTACGGCGGTCTTATTCGGCGTCGGCGCCAGAAAATAGGGAGAGGGAGAGGCGCACAGAGAGAGAAGAGAAAAAGGGGAGGCTCCGGGGAACGAACTGTTACGTAACTCTCGGAGAGCTGAGCTGAGCTAAGCAGTCCATTCCGTCGGTCGGCGAGTAGCAGCGTAGATCTTGTCCACAGCGAAACGGGTCCATCTAAGCCACCTTTCGGCGTAGTAAGTAAACTCCCGGCGTAATTGGCGCTTGATATGCGCCGCATTGTTTTCCGTGCACGCCCCGGACTGTGGTGCTTGCCCAGAATCGGCACAAGTACCTACATCGAGGTTTGCGGGCTGAGGGACGAGCTAGGCGTGCTAGAAGGTGGTTGAAGTTGGCTGCTAAGGGAGCATGCGGGGCGGGTTTGCGCGATCAAGTCACCGATCAAACAGACCTAGATATGTTTCAGAGGCGGGTAGTTTACCTAAGACGACGTAAATAGTAGGTAAGTAGGCACCCAAAACATGTGCTAGTAGAGGGAGAGAGACGGGGAGAGGATGGAGGGAGGACGCCTGAAACGGTGAAAGCCGCCTGTGGACGAACGTCGGGGCGATCGTCGCCAGCACAGCCAATGGCCGGCCAGCGACAGGCCAGTTCGCCAATTCAGGTACCCGGCCGACCTGATTGGCTGGTGTGTCCCCGCCGGCTCCAACGCCACCGCCGAACCCAACGTGCCATGTACCTCGCGCGCCTTCTTCGTCTGCGCAGGTACTTTTCCCGTCTACCTCCCTAGGGCGGATACCTAGGTACCTAGGTAGCGTAAGACGCAGGTACCTACACGGTACACGCTACGTACCCGGTGAGGTTTTTCGCTACCGCCGCGCTGCATCGCACCACATTAGCATCGCATTGCCATTCGCCTATCACAGGGCCACCTTCCGCGCCCGAATGGCCAGCTCCACGCTCCGGCTCGCACCTCCTCCTCGAGTTCTTCTTAGCTTACCTCACTCGGCCCATGCCCATCCACTCATCATCCCCATAGTCGCGGGCGTCGTCGCAATAGTGCCTAGGAGGTGAATATCCGACGCGACGCGAATCCGAAGCGCATCCAGCGATCCCCACGTTCTTGGTTTCGAATCTCATCTCGAAAGTCTCGTCTTGCCTTGCCCATTTCAGCCTGTTCTATCTTTGATCGAACCCCGGAGGTGCTAATAACAGCACCCGACAAAGGATGCGACGGGGACAAGGCCTCGGCAGCCAAAACTAAGCGGCTCGGCTTCCTTTCTTCCCTTCTTTGCTCTGCCTGAAGATCGCCCCCCCCCCCCCCCCCCCGGCTCCCGCGTGTCTCTCTGTCTTGTCTGTCCGGATCAATGTATTGTGATGTGTAATACACGCCAGGTATTAGACCCTCCTAGATATTGTCTGCCTGTCTCCTCGAGGAATGCCCATAGGTTCTGGCCCTCGCGGAGATCGACCTAGTATGACTGACCGTCGTCACCTTTCTCCGCCAGCCTTTCCCTTTCCCTCTTCCTCTGCATGCCCCGGCGGCTACCCCCGCCCCCCCTCTGCGCCAATGCCATCGGGGTCCGTTGATCTGTCGCCGTGCGCGCATGTCGACCCTCTTCCATACGCCATCACGACCCGCGGCCTCAAAAAGCTGACGTAGCGCGGTACCTGTCACCTGCATACCTAGGTAGAGCACAGCCAGGAAGCATAGATGTAGACAATGCGGATATAGCGGGGGGGTAGGGATAGGGGTAGGGGTAAGGGGGGTGTGTGTGGTCGGTATCCATGTCTGTGCATACCCTGATTCACGATCCAGGGGCTTCGTCGACTCAGACAAGATGTCAGCCAAATTGAGGGCGCCCCCCCCCCCGTCCGGCCTTTGCCTATTAGCTACCTACCTAAGGTGGGCTAGTCCGGCGAACCAGCCATCACGGAGAACACATCGCTGGCGACTGGGGGACTGCGAGTTGGATTCGGGAATGAGGATTGGACGTCGACTAGGAGTCTGCGAATGTGACGTTGCCCGCTCTCGACACCTGAAGGTCGATGTAAGTGAATGCATGTAAGTATGAATAGGTACATATCCGCCCAGATATGTACATAGACAGGTACCTGCAGTATGTATTACCATGTGGGCCGGTACCTGCATCGGTACGTACTTCGCAGCGTCGAGGGTGCGAGAATACGCACACAGGCACCAGTAGATGCAGCGTATTCCCGGACCCACGTACAATCGCGGCTATGTACAAGGTTCCACAAATGTACAATCAGCCCAGGTACGTTACCTGTACCTGAACGTACCTCTCCCTCTTCCCTCTCACCCCTCCTCCTCGCCGACTCTGGCTGACGGCCACTTATACCGTCGATATTTTGTCGGTTATATATATCCAAGGCGTCCGACCCTCTAGTCCGTCTCTTCTCCTCCTCTCCCATCACAGCAGCGCAAGATTCTCTTGTCTACCCACACTCTCTTCATACCCAACTCTGATTTTTTTTGCTGGTCATTCCGATCAGGAAGTCCCAGGTGGTTTCCTAACAGATCTTCATTCATTCATCGACGCGGTCATCTGGTACCCGATTAAAGGTCCTGTCAATCCTTGAACAATACGGACACAATACAATCCACAAAGCACCCCTTGTTCAGTACAATTCACTCTCGCCCCACGGCAGCTTTGACATCGACTTCCCCGTATTAAAACGACCTGACGACCCTCGACCCTCTCTGCCTTTTCCTCCTTTCCGGCCTTTTCGCAACGAGATCCGGGATCCCAAACGCTCAATCGGCAGATTCACACTCCTTCTCCCCCCCCTCTCGCGTTCAGTTCTCGTAACCGTCCTTCGATCAGAAGAGGCGAAGCTTTCCAGACACTCCTTTTCACACACATACGTCAAAACAGACAAGAAAATCTACCCAACATGCAGCTCGTGTACACCGCTCTGATGGCCCTGATGGCCGCCGGCTCGGCTATGGCTCACATGAACATGGCCGACCCTCCGCCGTTGGCGTACAAGGGCAACCCGAACGCCAAGGAGCCCAATATCGACTACTCTATCACCTCCCCGATCAGCGCCGCCGAGTACCCTTGCAAGGGCTACCTCAAGCTGCTCGGCACCCCCGAGGCCGCTCCCGTCAAGACCTACGCTCCCGGTGGCCAGTACACCATGAGCGTCGAGGGCGGCGCGTTCCACAACGGCGGTTCCTGCCAGCTCTCGCTCTCCTACGACAAGGGCGCCAGCTTCACCGTCATCAAGTCCTTCGTCGGCAACTGCCCTACCGCCTCCGGCGGCACCTACAGCTTCACCGTTCCCGACGACGCCCCTGAGGGCGACGAGGTCGTCTTCGCCTGGACCTGGGGTAAGTAACACTCTGATCCTCTCCTTCTGTCATCCCCTACCCCGTAATCCAAGGAAGACGCGTGCTAACGTTCTCAAACTCAGTCAACAACACCGGCAACCGCGAGTTCTACATGTCTTGCGCCGTCGTCAGCATCAAGGGTGGTGCTGCCAAGCGCGCCGACTCGTCCGTGAAGCGCGCCGTCGCCTTCGCCAACCGCCCGCCCGTCTTCCAGGCTAACCTCGGCGGTGAGTTCTGCACCCGCGAGGGCATCGACACTGTCTTCCCCAACCCGGGCCCGGACGTCGAGAACAACTCGAGCAAGACTGGCCCCGCCATCTTCTGCGCCACCGGTGCTGACGCCCCCGTCGGCTCTGGCTCTGACACCCCCGCCGAGACTCCCGCCGAGCCTGAGACCTCTGCTGTCCCCGAGACTCCCGTCGAGGCCCCCGCTCAGACTGAGGCCCCCGTCTCGACCTCTGCTGCCCCCGCTATTCCTACCATGTACGTACCTTATTCTAACCACTCCTCCTCCAGCGTCTCCGCGCCGGCTGCCAGCGCAGCTCCGGGCCCCGACGTCTTGACCGTCATCCCCATCGACTCCCCCCCGCTAACGGCCTCCTCCAGCACCGGTGGCGTCTTCCTGACTGTCGACCCCTCCGCGCCTGCCACCACTGCCACCGCCACCCCGGCTGCACCCTCGTCGGCTTCCCCCGCCGTGCCTTCGTCGGCCGCCCCCGCCCAGCCCTCGGCCGAACCAGAGGACCCCGCGTGCGAGGCTGACGAGACTGAGGACCCCGCGTGCGATGCTGAGGAGCCCGCCCCGCCGGCGAGCAGCAGCGTGGTCGCGGCCCCCCCCAGCACGCCTACGTCGACGCGCCCGGCGGCCCCGATCGGCACCGGCGTCGCGGGCGCCGTGCAGTCCGGCCCCTGCTCCAACGAGGGCGACTGGGCCTGCGCCCCCGACGGCTCGTCCTTCCAGCGCTGCGCCTCCGGCCTCTGGAGCGTCCCCATCTCCATGGCCGCCGGCACCAAGTGCGCCCCCGGCATCAGCAAGAACCTGAGCATCCGCGGCCGCGGCGGCTTCCGCCGCTCCCTGTAAATTTCCTCCTCTTCTTCTCCTCCTGCTACCTCTCGCGCGCACATACTTGAGAGCCGGAACGGAAAAGGGGGAACCGCAATGATTAGATAAGACTAGACAGGACAGGACAGGATAGACGCGAGGCTTTCTCTCTCTCTTTCTCTCTCACCAATACCACGCTTCCGAGAGGTTTCTCGCTTTTTTTTTCCTCTTCCTTCACCTCTTCTCTCTCCTCCGCCGTCTAGTCTGTCTGAGCACACAAAAGGGGGGGGAATTCGGATCTAGGTTGGGGGTCGCTTCTCTGTACATTATGGCATCCACCACCACCACCACCATCATCATCGCGGGCTGAATGACGACGACAAGACAAGACAAGGCGGGAAACGGGATTTCCCCTCCACCAGCATTGGCATCGGCGCGGCGGGCTGGCTATTCTACTTGTACATATTATTCTGAAATGAGACATTTTCGATTCCTTTTCCACCTCGCTCGTTTCCTTCGTGACATGTCTTGGTGATCCCTCGCGGGCATACTCGCTTCCTCGGCACGCGCGGGGGAGTCGTCTCTCTGCGGACTGGCTGGAGGCCAGCTTCGCTGATACAGAAGAAGAAGGGGGCGGGGCAGGGGTCGCGCAAGTCACAAAGGGACAAGGACTGCTTGTGAAAAGCATTGTTCGCCGCCGCGGGCTCTTTGGGCGGCGTGAGCTATGTTTAGCCCGCGCTCTCGCGTGCCGGCACAAAGAGGTTGCTACCAGCTGCCACTCCGCGCGGGCGCACATAGCGAGCTTTGTCCCCCCCCCCTCGGGCTATTTATAGGAGGAAGGGGTGCGCGGGGGGGTCGGCCAGCAATAGACGGCGGACGGCGGACGGCGGACCCGTGGAGGTCCCGCGGACGGCCTGCGCTTCGGCACCGGAGCCTTGCCTCCCATCCTCCCTCGCGCCAACGCCGCCCGCCCCGACGTCCTGCGCGCCGGCTCCTCCGGAGCTGCGGCGGTGTGCGGGCGGGGTGTGACCGGGCGGAGCGGAGCGGCTCGACGTCGCTGGGGGGCCGTCTCGTTGGCCGGTGGTGGTCTGCGGAGTCGGTGTTAGGAGGCGGGTTGAGCGGCGTCTGCGGTTAGCTACCGGTGACGAGCACACGGTCTCCTGACATGTTTCCAGGCAGGCTGTTGCCAGGTGCGTATGAACATGAGCCGGCCCTCCGCTCGCGGCTGCAACTGCGCCTTTGCCTTCCCCTCTCCCTCCTCTGGGCCTCTCTCCGCCCCTCGAGGCCTGCGGCCCGTGACGCGAAACGTCGATATCGGTAGTTATCATCTTGTGGATGCTGGCGCAGTCTTCGTTCACTCTCGCCCGCCGAGAGGCTCCCGTCTTGGTCTGTTTATGCTTGATCTTGTCGTAGGTAGCGGCGACCATGGCTACGGTGTAAGTCGCGTAGTGGGTAGGTACTGTTTTACGTGCTCGGACTGGCACTACCTACTGAGCCGGTATCTCGAACAGCTAGGATAGGTCGTGATGGGGAAGGAGAGAGGGGTATCAATAGAATGGCCGTGATTTCGCTTACGAGGATGTAGGCTGTATTATTACCTTGGTAGTTGGGGGCTCTGAGCGCGTCTTGGACTCGGCCCGTCAATAAGTTGGATGACCTCTTCATAAACATCTACCTATCAGATATCAGACCAGACCTCAAGCTATTACTGCTTTGCACAGTGTGACAGCCAGTATAAGAGGCAGGTAGGCATTGGTAGATGGTACTGTACACGATGAAGTGTAGTGCCTCGCAAGTTTAATGTCTTTACTTTCTATACCTTAGGTACCTTTATATACCTAGCGTACTTTGGCTTCGGTTAGGCAGGTATCTGCCCAGCAGATGTACCTAGTGTGATTAATTAATATGGTTAGGTGCTTCGTTACTACTGGAAACAACTCCGTTTGCGCATGTTGTACCTATATATAGGTCGGTACCTTACCTAGGTAGGTACCTGCCTACCTAGATATATGCTAATGCACCAAGGTACAACCGGTACTTCCCATCCCTGCCGGTACCTGACCCAAGGTACGTGGAACCTGGACGGGTTTCCCTGAATTGAGCCCGGTGGGGGGGGGACCGCCCCCCATGACAACTCGCTTCGCAGGCCGTTTGAGGATTGGCCAGGCGGTATATCGGATTCAGGAGAGAGAGAGAGGCCCTTGTCGTCCGTCTCATTTATCCAATCCTTCACCTTCGCTCTCTCTCTCTTCACCTTCACCATCACCACCACCAATCTCCCTCACCTTCATTTTTTTTCTTCGTATCGCAGTCATTCCTTACGCTGCAGAACTCTCGTTCGATCCTTCTTTCAGTCACTCCTTCTTGATTGATTAGAGCGCGAGAGAAGAAGCCCGTGTCGTCGTCGTGTAGCGAGCGTGCCGTTCATTCTCTGTTTAGCCCGACCCTTTCGCGTAATAATAGACCCTACTACCGGTCCTCCCTCGCCGCCAGCCCCGTACGTACGACAAGACTACAGCAGCGCGTGCGCCGTTGCCTCCAGTAGCCGCGACTTCTCCCCCGCCAGACTTACTACGCCCGACGCGCCCTCCCGCCACCATGCGTGCCTCCTTCGCCGTCTCCGCCGCCGTCCTGGCCTTCGTCCAGGTCGCCGCCGCCACGCCGCCGGCCTGTCTGCTGTCCGCCCTCGGGTACGCGCCCCCCCTCCCGCTCACCCTCGCCCTCGGGCAAACCCGCTGGATGATATGATAAGGGATACCGTATCCCGGTCGCGTCGGTGAAAGCTAACCAAGCCGCGTCCGCGCAGTGTCCAGGGCGACCCGACCGACTTCGAGGCCCTTTGCGGCACCCTGCAGCCCGCCATCCGCGGCAATCTGACCGAGAGCTGCCAGACCGGCGTGCTCTCCCAGGCCTACGACGCCTACTCCTCCAAGTGCCTCGAGCAGGGCGTCACCGTCTGTGAGTTAGCCTCTTTTCTACCTCCTCCTCCTCCTGGCCCTCCGCTGACCGCAGACGAACAGCCAAATTCCCCACCAGCACCTCCAGCGCCGCCTCCAGCTCCGCCACCAGCTCCCGCTCCAGCACCGTCACCGGCCCGGCTTCCTCCTCCGCCACCCCGACCCAGGACGCCGAGGTCGCCGGGAGCAGCTCCACCCCTACGTGAGTATATCCCAGTTCTTGTCACGCCTCTCTGGACGTAGCTCGCTGATAGACTCCTCTTTTTCATGTAGTGGTTCCGACGACTCCGCCACGCCCACTGGCGCCGGCCAGGCCACCGAGCCCCAGCCCTTCCTCTACGCCGCCGCCGCCCTCCTGGCCACCGGATTGACCAGCGTTCTCTTCCTGTAAATCGTTTGCTACGAGGGGACGAAGGGGCGGTATTCGCGGGTAGGGAAGAGTTGGTGGGAAGGGGCAGGGGGGGCGTTAGTAAGGAGAGATGGAGGGATAGTGGCTACTATTGGATTGCCCTGCGCCGGCTATACCCCGATCCGTCCCAGGCCAGGGATAGGCGAGTTTGAAGAGTTGCACGTCGGTTCGCAGATGGTCACGGGCAGTCCTAGTCAGGACTGAGAATCGCCAGCTATCCAGGCCCTAGTGGAGCGTGTGTAGATATTCGTACTATTGGATTATAGAGCTTTTTTGATATATATATACATATATACATATTCATATGTCGCACCGTGCGCTTTCCGTACGCCTGTTTATCCGGGAATACCCAGAATTTGCTCCCCTTTTTGGTTTAATCCAAGAGGTCCGAGTCTAAGAGCTCGGGGATCCGCTCCTCCCGGAGCAGCAGCGCCCGGTTCTCCTCCCACTTCAGCCACGCCATGCCCTGCAGGATGGAGTCGGTCAGGTCGTCGAGCTTTCGCGCCTTCGCGTCGGCCGGTAGTCCGCTCTTCGCCGCCTGGCGCGCGCGCCTCGGCCGGAATCTGTCTTGGAACCTCTCGATCGCCTCCTTCGTCTCGTCGTCGGCCGGCTGGATGATCTTGTCGGGGCTCAGCAGCCAGTTCTGGAGCACGCGCATCTTGTGCTTCTTGATGTCCTGCGACCGCATCGTCCTGCGCAGCTCCTTGAACTCGGCCTCCATCACGTCCGCTGCCGCGGCGCTGTCGTCGGCTTTCGTCGTCTTCTTCCTCGGCCGTCCTCTCTTCTTCTTGGTCCCCTCTTCTTCCGTCTCCCCTTCCTCGTTACCATCATCATCATCTGTGCTCCTTTTAGCCGAGCCCCGCCGCGCCCGCGGCGTCCGCGGCGGCAGGATCGGCTCCCAGAGGCGCGCCACCCGCTCGGGCACGACCCAGGCGATGTCGCCGGTCCACCGGCCCAACTCGCGCATCGTGCGCATCGACGCGTGCAGCATCGCCTCGAGCGTGTTGACGCGCAGCGTCCACTCCAGGATCGCCGAGGCGCCGTGCGTGCGCCACCGCTGCCGTTCCACGAGCACCTGCGTCGGCTGCAGCGGCAGCACCAGCTCGTCGCGCAGCAGCCGGTCCGCCGTCACGGCCAGCGACGTCGGGTTGAAATACTCCGCCATCTTGGCCCTAGCCCTGGCTTTGGCCCGGGTCTTGGACAAGGACTTGGCGGCAGCGGCCTCCTCGGCCTCGTCGTACCCCGCCTCCTCGAGAAGGTCCCGGTGGCGCCAGGCGTGGAGGATGACGCGCGGCGGGTAGCGCAGGGAGGCCGCCGTCAGCGGAGGCGCCGCCTTCCTCCTCCCCCTGGTTCGCTCAGGAGCCGCCGGGCTGAGAACGCTGTAGCCCAGGTTCCGTATGCCGGGGTCGATGCTCAGGATCAGGCGGTCCCGCGCGGCCAATGGCTTGGCGGGCCTCGCGGGGGCGACGCCAACGAGGTGCTCGGTGATGTCCGCTTTGGTGCCGGAGCATTGGACGCCGCACAGGAGGGCGAGCTGGACCAATTGCCTCTGCTTGAGCTTGGGCAAGAGGGTCGTCAGGTTCGACGACATCGTACGGCCCTCCGTACATACATACCTATACCTATACCTACCAACTCGAGGCGGGAGAGGGCGTTGGGGACGAGCAGGTAGGTATAGGTATGGGTGTGCTAGGCTTGTAGGACGATGGAAACGTCAGGGGAAACGACTGTGTGCTGAACGAATGACTACCTTGGCAGATCTATAGGTAAACCCGGATGGTATAATTTAGGTCGGAGGTAGGTATAGGAGGGTGTGGGAAGACGTACGAAATTTTAGTTTGTCCGGTGTGTTGATATTTTTACCGGTATCGTGACTTTTTCCTCGAAGTGGACTATGATGTAGGTAGGTAAGGGTATAACCCACCGCTACGTACCTGAGTCTAGAGGGAGGGTAGGTTTGGACCCTGGCGCTATGGAATGACGGAGGTTAGTTAAGTACCTACCTAGATACCTACCTACCTACCTAGGTAGTAGGTAGGCTAGGGGGTACCTACCACCTTATAGGCTACCTAGGAGGTAGGTAGGTGTAGGTACCTCCCACGTCTACCTTTAGAGGAGACCTAGGTACCTAAGGTAGGTACCTACCCACCTCCTACCTAGGTACCTACCTGCACCAACACCTTCCGTTGATTTGTCAAAGCTCACCCCCGTCAAACCTTACTCAGGTTGGACACTCAGGGAAGGCTCGACCTGCGTAGCGGTACGTAGCGGTACGTAGCAGTACCTAACCTCAGCGGAGGTCTGCTGGTCGGCGAGGATTAGCGCGCTCGCGCTCGTCCCTCGCCGAGGACGACCGGCCAACCCGGGGCTTAGTGATCGTCGTTGAAGCTTCGAGGTCTTCGGCTTAGCATCACTCGTTCGTCTTAGTAATCCTCCCCGTCGAATTGAATTCCAAATCGCAAATCTCAAATCGCCCATCCTCGACGAAGCACGCCTTTTCGGTCATCTTCCTCGCTCTCTGCGTGCGCAGCCGGCATCTCAGCATTATCCGAGTCGCCCTTTATGCCGCGAGGTCATCCCTATAAGACGTCATAATCCCCCCAGCTGCCCCTCCATCCCCGTTTCCCCTCCCCTCCCGCCTGATCTTCTCTCTCACCCTACATCTAGAAACCCGTCAATGCGAGCCTTCGGGTTGTTTGGTCGCATATCAGCCACCGCTACCACCGCTGCTGCTACCACTGCCGCCATATCTCGTTCCAAGACAACGGCCACGGCCACGGCCGCTTCGCGACTAGTCTCTCTCTCCAGGCACTTCTCCTCCACCCCGCCCATCATGGCCCCCATCTCGAAAGAGATCGACCTGCTCGTCATCGGCGGCGGCAGCGGTGGCCTCGGTGCCGCTCGCATGGCCAGCGGCAAGTTTGGTGCCAAGGCCATGATTGTCGAGGCCCAGCGCCTCGGCGGCACATGCGTCAATGTTGGGTAATTCGACCCCCTATCTCCGATTTCACGCATACATATATATACGTATTGCTATGGTGCTGCGAGTTCGGGCCCCAGGATAGCTAGCTAACCATTTCTCACCCGGCGCACAGCTGCGTGCCCAAGAAGGTCACCTTCAACGCCGCCGCCATCGCCGAGGCCATCCGCGACTCCAAGGCCTACGGCTTCTCGGTCGAGGAGGCCAAGCCCTTCGACTTCGGCGCCTTCAAGCGCAAGCGCGACGCCTACGTCAAGCGGCTCAACGGCATCTACGAGCGCAACCTCGCCAACGACAAGATCGAGTACGTCCACGGCCGCGCCCGCCTCCTCAGCCGGCACGAGGTCGAGATCGCCCTCGACGACGGCTCCACCGCCACCGTGCGCGCGAACCGCATCGTCGTCGCCGTCGGCGGCGAGCCCGCCAGGCCCCCCGCCGACATCCCCGGCGCCGAGCTCGGCACCGACAGCGACGGCTTCTTCGACATCGACGCCCTCCCCCGCAGGGTCGCCATCGTCGGCTCCGGCTACATCGGCGTCGAGTTCGCCGGCATGTTCAACGCCCTCGGCGTCGAGACCCACCTCTTCATCCGCCACCAGACCGTCCTGCGCGCCTTCGACCCCATGATCCAGGAGGGCGTCACCGCCGAGTACGAGCGCCTCGGCGTCCGCGTGCACAAGGAGTCGGCCCTGACCCGCGTCGAGCGCGACCCCGCCACCGGCGCGCTCACCATAGCCTACCGCGGCCCCGCCGGCGAGGCCACCCTCGACGGCGCCGACCACCTCATCTGGGCCATCGGCCGGACGCCCCTGACGCGCGGCCTCGGGCTCGAGGAGGCCGGCGTCCGCCTCGACGCCAAGGGCCACGTCGTGGTGGACGAGTTCCAGAACACGTCGGTCGACAACATCTTCGCGCTCGGCGACGTGGCGGGGCGCGTCGAGCTGACGCCGGTGGCGATCGCGGCGGGGCGGCGGCTCGCCGAGCGGCTGTACGGGGGCGCGGCGTTCGCGGCGGCGCGCATCTCGTACGAGGACGTGCCGTCGGTCGTGTTCGCGCACCCGGAGGTGGGCAGCGTCGGGCTGACGGAGCCGCAGGCGGAGGCGCGGTACGGCCGCGAGAACCTGACGGTGTACCGCACCAGCTTCACCGCCATGTACTACGCCATGATGGAGCCCGAGCACAAGGCGCCGACGCGGTACAAGGTGGTGTGCGCCGGCCCCGAGCAGCGCGTCGTCGGCCTGCACATCATGGGCCTCGGCAGCGGCGAGATGCTCCAGGGCTTCGGCGTCGCCGTCAAGATGGGCGCCACCAAGAAGGACCTCGACGCCTGCATCGCCATCCACCCCACCAGCGCCGAGGAGCTCGTCACCCTCAAGTAGGCCAGAGCCGGCCGGGCCCCGAGACGCGGGGTAGGCGCAGAGCAGATAACAATATATACCGAGAAAAAAAAAGCAAAATAGAAAGCAGCGTTGGAAAAGGAAAGAAAAAGAAAAAGAGCGTGGTTATGCGAGACCCTCCAGGCAGTTGGCTATCGGTTTATAGATCTGATACGTGGTTGTCATATCCGTCCGCATATACATACCTAGATAGAATCAAGCATGTACATGAACCAAAAAACCGGCCGTCAACCACTAATGGATAAATAACGACAATGCATGGCCCCTCAGAAGGTAGTGGCATACATCATCTACACGCAAACCTAGGTGCCTACCTACCTACCTACCTATAATCTCAAATAGCTTGAGCCAGATATTTATAGGTTTCTATGGTACGTAGTCTATTAGATTAATTATTTATCATACATGTGCAAACTGGTCCCTCTTCTTCTCATCGTCACGCACAGAAGCGGCTCTCGAAAATAGAAAAGAAAAAAAGAAAAAAAACGTGCCCTAGGTCCCCAATGTCGATAGGCTAAGACAGTAAGGATATGACCAGGCTGGTGTGGTATTCAGACATTATAATTTGACACATTTACATGATAACGCCGGCCCATGCGTTTGAAAACCGTGAACAAGTGTCTCGTGTCCTTTACATACCGAAGAGAGTGGACGCCGTTTCCCATGCATGACTAGGAATACGGTACATTTATGCAACATAGTTAAACCAAAACAGACCGCAAACGAGCAGCCGACCGGGACCGGCACGCAACCTGCTCATTCGTGCCCTGATCTCACCCGGCTCCCCCTAACCGCTCCTGATATCGCGATCCCACGGCGTATTCGGTAGCTTGAAACAACCAAATCGACTGTCCACGACGTGGGCCGGTTAACGCATTCGTCGATCCATCCATTTAGCCCAATTCAACTAGAATGAGGGCTTGTTATGTCGGAAAGATGTCGACCCCGCGTTCCCGTTCGGGCTCAACATGGCCTGGCGGTCGTCCTGCACCGACGTCAAGGAAGAGAACGAAGAGCTTAAGGATGTAGAGGTGCTGTTCATTGTCCCGTGCCGAGACATCGATAGCCCTCCCATAGATATCAGTGCGTCAGCTCGTTCAAAGACGTTCCCGTTGAAGGCGTTGGCAAACGATGCGCTCTGTGGCGTGGATGGCACGGTCGCCTGCACGGCCGGTCCGAGAGCAGCGCTTTGAGGTGTCATGGGCAATTGCATTTGGCTGACGGAGGAATTAGATTGGTAGTGGTTGGATGAGTAATGGCCGGATGGGTAGTGGCCGGATACATCATTGATATGGTTGCCGGCGTGTCGGAGAAGATATTGCCATGGAGAGGTCATGATCAGCTGGTTAGTCTCTTTGATGCTGATTTGAATGGGGCGCAATTTCGTGCGCGTGTCCAGAGGGAACGGTATTTGATCCATCGAGGCCTTCAATCGGCTCCCGAACTCGGCCCAAGAATCGATAAAACTCTTGCACAGGATCCAGAAGAGGGGGTCTGTCCTAACACCGGGTTCCTTTAATTTGATAAGTGATAGCCGATCCTTAAGGCGCTCTGTATCGTTGATCGCGATAGAGCACTTGGCGATGAGGCTCTTCCAGCAACGGATCGTCTGATCCGGAGATCGTTGATGTTCGGCGTTACGCTTACCCAACATGAACTGCTGGTTGATATTGGGGAGAATACGCATGACCAGATCTGAGGATTTTTGCAAAGACAGGAATATCCTCTCGAACGCGCGCTCGTCTGCGGTGAAGTCGGCGGCGTATCGAATGTCTGCGGTTGAGGACGTAAACGATTCTCCGGATCGGGGGGTCGCAGACGTAACCTGAGCGGTTCGTCCCGTGCCGTTGATATAGGGGACCGACACATCCGTTGAGACGCGGAGGCTGCTGGGGTTATGGACAAAGGCCCCAGGCCGTGGCCGACCAGCCAATCCAGGTCGCTCTATTGTGGGCGTCATGGAACTTTCGCGCGAGTGAGGCTTGATAGTATCGTCGAGGGCTGGTCGGTGGTATCTCTGACTGGGCGCGTGTCCAACACCATCCCCAGAGATTTCGTTGGCTGTAACACGAAGTTCCATAATACTATGGTAGAGCAACATTACCATCGTCCGAATGTAACGGGGATCGCCGTTGTCCACAATGGTATCCATATTGTCCATGAGGAGCGAACAAATATGGCTGTAGGCGTTAATCAAAGTCAGGACGGCCCTTTGGACATTCTCGTTTTCGCGAGGGGTGTAGGGCCCATTGTCAGCAACGAATTCATGCTTTTGTATCTCCTGCTCCAATTGCTCCACGTGATCGTTGGTGTTGTAGAACACAATTTCGAGACTCGACCGCTTGGAGGTACCGTCGTTCGTCAGCCTCGTAAACAGTTGTATCATTGGGTGGATCTGGAAGATTGCGTAGAGAATGCCTTTGGCGGACTCGATAACGGGGTCAAATATCCTGGATTCTCGTCGCTGTTCCGGTAGAATAGATAGACGTCGTACGTAATTCGGTCGATGGAGTAATGGTTCCGCTGGGCTGTTGGGACTGACTGCGGAGCTGGCATTCGGGTCTATGCTGCCCGTCATGGACGAGCCGTGGCTCAGCCCACGGTAATGACTAAAGCGGTTGTTCGCTTGGCCCTCATCTAAGGTACCGAGCTCGGTCCCTTTCCTGGGGACGATACCCATGCGTCGGTGTCGTTCGGACGGCCGCACCGTACTCGTTGTCTGCGATAGGGTCTCGCTGTTCGACCGTACCCTCTCATTCGGAGTCCCGATAGTTAAAGGCATTACGCCAGGTCGGCGAATGACCCCATTCTGCTGCGAGAGACCCCGGGCGTGCGACCGAGATGGTATCGGGGGTGCTCGAAGTATTGCCGGGGATCTCGGGTCCGACACGTCACTCCCATTCACTCGGATGGGGAACCGGCCGCTGACCACCCTTCGGATAGGTACTCGTGGGGTCTCTGTGCCTTCGCTAAGCTCATCTCCGCCATTCTCGCCCTCCTTCTCTCTTCCAAGCATACTCTGGGACTTCTGCCTCAGATATCTCTTTATATGCGCAGTGACAGTGACCTCCGTCATCTCGCTCTCCTTCAAGAAGCCTTCGTTGGGGGGGCTGCCGCCTTGAACCTGGAGTATCTCCTTCGGGGGGAAGAGGATATTATTTCCGTCTAGCCTTAACATCTGCAACGAGACCATGTCGGCTAGGCAAAGCGGAAGTTCCTCTATTCGATTCTTCTGCACGGCTAGTACCTTGAGCGAAGTTAATTTGGCGATCTCCGGGGGAAGGACTCGGATCTTGTTCCGTCCCATATCCAATATTTCAAGTGACTTGAGGTCGCACAGCTGGAGAACTCGTCAGATACGGACCGGGATGTATAAGGAGGCAGGCATTGGGTTTACCGATAAAGGGAACTCCCTGATCTGATTGTTCCGAACGTTCAGATAACGCAAATGCGTACACTCCGAAAACCTAGATGGTAGAGAGCTTAATTTGTTATGCGAGAGCGCGAGCCTAGAGAAGTATATTGATGTCAGCACGATGCCAGACCCTGGTATTGCCCGAAGTCGTGGTGACTGACCGTTCCAACTCGTTCTTGATTATGTCTACTACCTCATCCGGCAGTGCCTGTATATTCTTCCGGCTGAGATCGATTGTCACACCGGGCTTGAGCTCGGTGCTGACGCCGCTGGCTTCGGCAGCCTGGTTCTCGTTTTCTTGCAGAGCGCTACTCATCGCCTCCGTGGCTAGGGCGATGACCTGGGCTGCCGACAAGGGCGTGGTGGCGGACAGCATCGAACCCGAACTGTTGCTAGCCGACATGCTGAATTGCTCGGGGATCGGAGGAGGAGGAAACGTGGTGGTCGGGGGCACTCTGCGTATCCCTGGAGGCATGTTTCTTGAGGCAGAGGATTGAGGCGGGATGACGGTGGCGGCCATGCTGCCTAGGGCGACATTCATGACAAGAGGAGGTTCGGGCTGCTACGGCCGGAGGGTGTTGTCTCGTGAAGCGTACGTACGTCTCGAAATGAGATATGGGGTGCCGGTTTGATCGCTCTGAACTTCAGGGTAGCGTACCGTCGAGGCGGGTCCCTTATGACTATGTCCTAAGGTGAAGCAGAATATTGCACAGGAGAGATTGGTGAGCCCAACAAGACATGTAAGATCATGGTAATAAGACGGCGGTGCCCATGCAATCCAGCCTGTCGACGTCAGAAAAGAGACGTTTGCTGACGCGTGGGATCTGGAGCGGAGGAGAGGACGGCGTGTTTCAACGGAGTGCCTGGGAGCACCTTGGCGTCGAGTTGTTGAAAAGGGTCGGAGTTGAAACACGTTGAGTCGAGGAGAAGGGTGAGGAAGCACTGAAGTCGTCGAAGTGTGCAGAAATTTGCGAGGAATCCCCAGTTCTCGGTGCTCCAGTCTTCCAGGTCGTTAGGGGGACCGGGCGGCCAGGCGAGAAAGGTGTGCGGCGCAAGGCACCAGGGATCAAGGCCTTTGGGCTGTGGACATGTGGGGATTTTCACACAGTAGAAGGGGATTCTTTGTTCATGGCCTGGCTTAGCGATTTAGTGATGTATGAGTAGGCATTGTAGTAGCAGAGGAGGAGGAAGGGGGTCGACAGCGCCACAGGGGGCGTGGAGTTCCCATGAATGGTTTAGTACCTATACGTATACGCGGTATATGGTGTAGGTAGTACTCGTAGTAACAAGTCTAGGTAGGTAGTATGTAGGCAGGTAGTACGTAGGTAGGTAGTATGCGACTCGGACAACCATAGGAAGGCGCAAGGGTGGGTGTGACAGAGGAAAGGGGAAAGACCGTGTTGGCAAATCAAGTAATTGTGGGGGCTTTTTCTCTCTGCAGCTGCCCCCTGTCTTCTCTGTCGCGACTCGTGGAAAGAGGCTCAGAAGAGAGCGACTGACGAGGGGCGTACTTACCAGCCGCCGTTTATTTTTTTATTTTTTTTCTCTCGCCCCTTCCCCCTAAGTTCAGCTTACCGACTTACATACTTTCAATCCCCCCCTAACTCAAGGTAGAGGTAAGGTATGTGTGCATATATGTATTTCCGTATAGGAGCTTAGGAATCCCCAAAATTAGAATAGAAGAATCCATCTGGGCACGGGTTGGGTAGCTATCCATCACGTCGTAAGCACTGCGGACCGGCCGTGCCTCGAGTCTTATCCGACATGACATAACCTCACGTTCCCTGCAAGGTACATATTATTATGGCTTCTGCAGTGAGAAAAGGCACCTAATGCATTGTGCATAGGAAAAAGAAAAGAAAAAGCCAGGAACACGACAAACAGCTTACGAGGATGTTGTCGCGCCTTCGGTACCTTACAGTCGGTGGCGTGGGTGAGAGGGAAGAAGGTGCTGAGGTCTGACAGTATACTACCTCCTAATTTGCATGCGTGTATATCTGTCCGTGTACATACTATACATACCTCTCGGTGCAAGGACGTAGGCGTGTTACTGTATTGCATTACGTTTCCGTGTTGGCTCCAATTTAATCTACTAATAGCGATACCTACCAACAACAGGTGCAGGGCACGTCCCATGTTCCCACGCGACAAGCGGAGATCAATGCGACGACTAGCACTTACTGATGTACACGCTTACTTACGTTGGGTACCTCTGGTACTCGGGACGGAGTGTGGGTAGTACCTCAAGTATTGTAGCGTATGTAGGTACCTAGGTATGTACCTCACTATTTTCCGTGGTATGGGTACCTGGGTACAATACCTATGGCCGGGACGTAGCCGACCTTGGGCAACTGCCTAAACCTTGCTGCACGATGATGTGGCGGAAAGGCAAAAAGACACGGACAGAAGGCGCGACGACACGGGAGCAGAGTGGAAGAAATAAACTCAGACGGGTCTGGGGCTGGTCCTTTGAGCCCCTTCTCAGGGGCGGCGACCACAAAGTTATCACTAGTTGCTAGCTAGGATCTGACCTCATCCGGGTCTTCCCGTCTTGTCCGTAACCTAATATTTATTTTTTCGAAGATCTCGATAATGCAGAGGCCTCTCCCGGCAGCGCTCCTACTGATGTAGTACACCAACGTCCATCATTTCCAACTCGCTACATGTGACACCGGCCCAGGCACTTTGGTCGTCGGGATGGCACTGGATGGTCCCGTCGGCCTCGACCTGGATCTGGATCGCTAGCGGTATGTATGACTGACCTTGCTACGCACCGTATACCCGACTCGCCTTCATAGCCACCACACATCGATCGCACACACACACGCACACACACTGCCACAACCACCCACCACCCACCACCCAACCACGCTCTGCCATTTACATATACCTACAGGCATCCACAAAAGCACAACTTCGACCGCTGGTAGGTGGCCCATCCGTTCACAGCGTACGCACTGGGCCTGAGGTAGCGGCGTATCCGCCTTTCTCAGGGGAGCTATCTACCTAGCCCCCAGAATACACGCAAAACGTAGCGACGGCACGGATGACTATGTGATCGGCGTCAAAATGCCCGCCCTTCTCAGATCGAACTCGTTTATCTTCCCGGATCTCGACTTTACGCTCCGTCGCCAATTCAACAAGACCGGCTTCCGCCCGTTTCAACGGGAGATCATACAAGCCGCGTTGGACGGCAACGATGTCTTTGTGCAAGCTGCCACATCCTTCGGGAAGAGTTTGTGCTTCCAACTTCCAGCCGTGGTTGATCAGGGTAGTATGTACTCCTTTGTCGTCCCCGTCCCCGTCCCCGTCCCCGTGCTACCTGTAGTGTTGCTTACACCGGTCGAAACCCAGTCACCATCGTCGTATCGCCACTGCTGAGTCTCATGATGAACCAGGTGGACGGCCTTCGGGCTGCTGATATTGACGCCAGCTCGCTGAATAGCAATACACCCCCCGCGGAAAAGGATCGCATCATGAATGACCTCAAAACGGGCCACCCGCGCACCCGGTTGCTCTACGTGACTCCCGAGCTGTGCGCCCAGGACCGCTTTCGAGACAGGCTCAGGGTGGTCTACGAACAGCGAGAGCTTGCCCGCATCGCCATCGACGAGGCCCACTGCATTAGTGAATGGGGACATGACTTCCGTAAGGATTTCAAGAGATTGGCTTGGTTTCGGGAGTCCTTCCCAGATGTGCCCATTATTTGCCTGACGGCAACTGCCAACAGCCAGGTGAGAAGGGACGTACTCGCTACTCTCGGGTTGGACACGGATCCGCAGAGGCTCAAGGCATTCACCATGACTGCCCACCGACCCAACCTTCACTTCGAAATCCGGTTTACATGCGATGAGGACGACCAGCGATTAGAGGACTTTCTAAGGTGGCTTCGTAGCGTGTATCAGCGTAGAGCTGAGGATCCGCGGAAAGCTGAGCTTGCCGCCCTAGGCGAGCGCCCGGACAGCGTCCCCGGCATCATCTACACCATTTCGCGAGATGAATGCGAGAGTCTCGCCTCGCAGCTCAGACAGGAGGGCATTGGAGCTCAGCCCTTCCACGCCAAGCTGACCAAGGAAACCAAGGAGCGAGTTCTCTCCAGCTGGGTTTCCGACGAGCCTGGATATGATATAATCGTGGCTACAACCGCGTTTGGTATGGGCATCGACAAGGACAATGTTCGGTTCGTTGTGCATTGGCGGCTGCCCAAGTCTTTTGAGGGGTACTATCAAGAAGCCGGACGGGCCGGGCGCGACGGCAATGCCGCGTACTGTTTCTTATACTACAGTCGCGAAGATAGGGACAGGGTCAGCAGCCTGATTATGCGAGACCGCGCAACGTCCAACTCCAATTTTGAAGCGCGCGCTAGGAGCCTGCAGGCATTGGCTCAATACTGCGAGAGCACGAGCGCCTGTCGTCATAAGCTCATCTGCAGCTACTTTGGCGAGAATGACACCCCAGAATGCGACTATGCGTGCGATTGGCACAAGGACAGCGCCGACCTACAGCGACGGTTCATGCGTGGGCTCGCCAGCGAGGAGTGGGTCAGCACGCAGAGAGAAGAAGGGCTGTACGACGTAGATTGGGATGAATGATTTGGAGGGCCGACGCTGGGAAGAGTAGGTCCGATTCGTAGTGTGACATCTACAACCAGGCGCTGTCGAGAGCAGACCAGTATAGCGATGCTGCTGGCACCGCATGCAAGTCATTCCGAATCCCTCCAATCGGCTCAGTCGACCCCGCATATGTTTTAACAACAACCACCCACACAGCTCCCAGGAGCTCATTTGTCTGTTGAAAGCTGCTCATCATCCGGAGGCTAGCAATCCGACACTTCTGCTTTCCGTTTCTTGTTCGCTTTCTCTAACGAGGGCTCCCATTCCCGCCCCGTGCGGTCGCCAAGCTGCGTCCATATTCGAGTTTTCAGAGAGCGTGTCGTTCTAATCATGTCGGCCCCGGCGGCATCCTGCTCATCGAGCGCGTCAGCACCGCCTCCCATCTCCAACGCGCCCTCGTCCTCCTTCCCTGTCCCCGACACCCCGGTTCCCATCCCGCCCGTACTAGCTCCGAATAATGCAGCCAATTCGTCCAACACCGCGAAGTCGTCCCACCTTCCGCCGTCCCTCTCGTCCTCCTCCCCGCGCCCTCGGCAATCCCACTCCGCCTCGGCGTCGACGTCCGCCGGAAGCGCTGCGTCACCTCCGACGACCGCGTCGGCAGCTACCACATCTGGCACCGCGGGGGCTGGGGATGCCGCTCACCCGCCCCCGCCGCGAACAGCAACAACGACGCAGCGCCACATCGATGAGGCGCGCGCGGCGGTGGTGGCGTCCATGTCGAACATGCTCGACTCGGAGCTGCAGTCGCGCGCGTCGCTGCTACACGCGAACGCAGCGGCGCTAACGAAGCAGGAACGCGACGTCGAGCGGGCGACCGACGGTCTACGCCGGGAGAATGACAAGCTGCAGAAGCTAGCTCGCGACACGGAGCGTCGGATCAAGGAGCTCGGCAACGTGCAAAACTGGGCCGAGGTTCTTGAGCGCGACTTCCTCGTGCTCGAGGAGACTATGCGTCTTGTGAGGGAAGGCAGCGGAAGCGACAGCTGTAGCCAGTGCAGCAGGAGCAGCTGGTCCGGCAGCGACAGTAGACCAGGCAGTCGTCAGGGCAACACAGCAGATGGCGGTGTGCGAATGAGAAGAGGGGCTGGCGTCGTTACGGACGAGGCAATCACAGCGCTCATTAGCGAGGCCATGGCCACAGACCTACATGAAGCCCTGAGGCTCGGCCCACCGGCGCTAGAACTAGTCCTCGACGCGGGCCTACGGAGCGCGCAGCAGGCACCGACGAGCTTAGCCAAGGGCAAGGCGCCGGCCGTCGACGACAGGATGAATCTCGAAACCTATCGAGCCCCTGAGCCGTCTAGCCCGCCCAACGCGAGCACCCCCCAGCCGGAAGCGGCCGTCGAGCGAACCGCGACCGCAGATACGATAGAGAATCCGACGCGAGATCCCGACCCTTTGGCGGTGACGGGCTGAGGGATGATATGGCTGACAAACTACCTAGGTAGCTAGTTAACATACGCAGGGCGTGCGAGCGCAGTTGCGGATACGCACACTCGTACCAACGAGCGGACGCACAATCTTTGGCGGCACGGCTACGCTGCGTTCCCAACTTGTTCGCGCGGGCGGGCGGACGGGGGATTGCTGTGGGTTACTCGACGGTTTTAATTAACGCAGGTTCTGGGCACCGGGTGTATACTTTGGGTCATTCCCCGAGGGATCGTGGATCCGCGAGCAAGCGGATGGCCGGTAAGGTAAGGGATTCCTCTGCAAGGAGAGAGGAAGAGAAGGAGGGGGAGCTTCCGGTTGGGATCTCGACGAGGATATGGCAGTATGTCCGGCTACGAGGATGGTACCCCGCCCCGCACGATCTATGTATTACGACGATCAACACGTTCGATGGTGACAGAAAATGGATATTATCAAGATAGATGCAACGTAATAACGTGATAAGTTATGTATACCGGTTCTATTTCCAGATGCTACCGGCCCGTTGATATTCCAAGGGTCTTGTTTACTCGTAGATTATTTATTACTTCCACCCGTCATCTCCCAGCCGCGCCTCATCTCTTCATGTTCATAATGCAGCACTTAAAGCGTCTCCCGGGTCGTATATATACGACGCGTATCGTATAGTTTCGGTGCTTCCCCTCGCAAAAGGTTTATACCCGGGGGAAAGGGGCACGGCTCATAGGAGACCGGGGAGGATGACGTGGCGCTTCTTCTTGTACTTGTCGCCGAACTGCTTGCGGTAGGCCTTCTCCTTGCCCCAGCCCCAGGTGTACATGAAGTAGGACCCGATGGTGATGAAGAAGAGGAGGGCGGGGCTGCGGGTGACGAGAATGATGCCGGCCCAGGCGATGATCTCGAACATGTAGTTGGGGCAGGTGACGAGGCCGAAGCCGTGGCCGCGGGGGATCTTGCGGGCCGTCTCTCCCGGCTTGCGCAGGTGGGCGAGGTAGTAGTGGACGTCGAAGTTGGCGATCTCGCCGACGGCGAAGAGGGCGATGCCGAGATAGGTGACATAGTCGGCGGGGGTGAGGGAGGCGAGGAAGGGGGGGAGGACGTCGGAGAGGGGGGCGGAGAAGGGCGGGACGGGCGGCGCGACGGTGGGGACCCGGGCGGAGGGGGAGAAGGGGGCGTACACCTCGAGGGCGCCGAGGAGGCCGGCGAAGACCCAGTAGAAGAAGGAGTTGCGGAAGACGTAGGCGAAGGGCATCGTGCTGGCGGAGAACTTGTGCAGGAAGAGCGTCTCGAGCTCGCGCTTGACGAAGTGGGCCGTGATCATGGCGAAGGCGGCCTGCTGGGCGAAGGAGAGCTCGCCGGAGCTGCTGCTGCTGGGCAGCGGCACGAAGTCCTTGACGTAGGGGTAGACGGCCGGGTATATGTGCGCCCGCAGGCCGTAGAAGAGCGGGTGGAAGAGCAGAGGCCCGAGGTACTCGATCACGTACACGGAGCGCCAGTTAATCTGGGGGCCTGTCGACCGCGGCCGGTGTTAGCAAATCTGCCGCGTAGCCAGAAAGAAAAAAAAAGGGGGGGGGGGGGGGGGGGGGGGGGGCATTACCCAGGTCCTTGACCAGCAGCTCGCCATGCTTGATGACCTCGGGATGCTCGCGCAGCTGGGTGTTGCGGTCCTTGAGGGTCTTCTTGGAGACGGGGTCGAAGATGCCGATGCGATTGTGGTCCCGGACCTCGGCGGCTCGGGCGATGGCAACCTTGGCGTCCTCGACGGTAGCCTCGGCAGGCAGCTCGAGGGAGGGCGGCAGGCCCCTGAGGCCCTTCCGAGAGCGATTAGTGACTTTGAAGGTCAAGCCAGCCATGTTGAAGATAGGTAGGTATGGCACAGATCTGCTTCACGCAGCGACGACAGCCAGGCCGAGCTTTCAGTCGGGCTGCCTCTGCCACCAAAAGTTAGGTGGTGGAAGAGAGGTGAGGCAGGTAGGTAGATAGATAAGTAGGTATGTAGGTATAAGTTGGATAAGGGATGGGGGTGAGGGAGAAGGAATCCAAGACCTCCCTCTCTCTCTCTGCGTGTTGTCTAGAATTTTGTGTGGAATTTGGAATTTGTTGGGCGACTCCAAATTAAAGCCCGAAAAAGCAAGAGAGCGAGCTATTGAGAGCTACGTAACGCGTCGTCGCACATCCAATAAGACCTCGCGGAATCAATAAGGTAGATTAGGGCAGGTACATTATCACAATACTACCTCTAATCTTGGGTACTTATTGTATCGAATAGGTGCGTATACATATAAGACACCAGAGGTTGAGGTACCTTATCCGTGTACTCGAGTACTTGTAAGGTATCTGCAATATGCAGCCAATCCACATACCTACACATACAGGTACCTACGTCGGGGAGGCTAGGTTAAGTTGGGTACCTTACGGACTCTTCTCATATACCGGGCAGATACATGCATAGCGGCATAGACATAGGTACCTATGTGCCCAGGTTCGGGGTTAAGGAAGCAAGCACCTATCAGCGTGGTGTCCAATGCAGGAACGTCGCAAGGTGAGGTATCGTCGACATCGACCCTGCCTTCCACGCATAACGCATGGCAGGCCCCTGAGGCTGTACCTTGGGTACCTAACATGGCGCCTCGAATATATAGAGGTACCTCTTAGGTTACCTGAGGTGGGCAGCTTATCCCGCCTGATGTACGTGAGACAAGTATATATATGTGTGTGTGTTGTGTGTGTGTCTGTACATATGTATAGGTATGAGTAGGTACATCTAGATTGGTGGGCAACTGGCGGCATTTCTGAAGATTGGCGCTACCTTCCCCGGCCGAGCGGGCGTACGGGTACGGGTGGCGTGCGACCATGCCTACGTGCATATGCCCGGTACGGGCACGTACCTACCTACCCGACGCCACGCCCACCCGATTATGCGTTTACAGCTGCCTACCGCGCCTCTCTCCTGCGGGTTTGGGCTCGCCAAACCCCGTCTAGAGCATTCGGGAAGAAGGTATATGCAACTATCCCAGCTTGGCCCCTCGGCTGCCCCAAATCAACCCAAGTCAGACAAGAGACGGCGAACGATCCCGTCTCCCGTCCCATTCCTCCTCTTCTGGCCTCGCCTTACCCTTCGGCTTCGCCTCCGCTCCGATCCTAGCCTCGACACGGCCTCATGTCCCTATGTGAAGCCGAGTCAGTCGGACGGGACTCGATACCCCACGACTCCATGAATATCCCCGAGGCTTCTGAATATGCCTCCGCCTAATACTCCAGAGGAAGGATTGGTCTCCGCCACCCTCACCCCTCGGTCCTACATTGCCGGTGAGGCCGTCGCCGCCGCGCTAGATCTTCAGGCTCTCGAGTACGAGGGCAATGTCGACGAGAATCTCGTATGCCCCATATGCCGGGTGCCCTACGTGTCCCCCGTCATTACGAACTGCGACCACGTCTTCTGCCACAAATGCATCGTCCAATCCCACGCTCTCAATCCCGTCTGTCCCGTCGACCGGCTTCCTCTCAAGCTCGTGTCCGAGACCCGGCCCGCGCCCAGAATCATCTTCAACCAGCTGGATAATCTGCTTGTCAGGTGCCCCAACAGCTCTCGCGGCTGTAGCATGATAGTCTCGAGGTCGCTGGTCGAGAACCACGTCGCCCGCTACTGCGACAAGACGCTCGTGCTGTGCCCCCACCCGTCCTGCGATAAGACGGTAGTTCGGAAGGATGTCGGCAAGGGATGCCTTCACTATGGCGTGAAGTGCGGGTTCTGCGACCAGGTGACGCTGAAGGCGGATCTCGAAGACCACCAGAACAACGAGTGTCCGAACCGAAAGGCCATATGCACCCTGTGTAGGATCGAGTATGTAAGGTGCAAACAGGATGAGCACCTGAAGGGGTGTCCCGAGGCCCAGGCCTCCTGCAAGTTTGCCTCTTTTGGCTGCGCGCGACACCTCAGGCGTAAGCAGCTCGACGAACACGCGAGCCGGTGCGAATACAGGGTCGTCGGGCCCGTCGGAGACCAGCTGGCCGAACTTCGGGCCGAGATAGCAGCCCTCCAAGAGAGAGACCGGCTGAAGGAACGGCGAATAAAGTTCCTCGAAAACCGAGGGTTTTCAATGCCCGCACCGACCTCGCCTGAGCCGGGAGCGGACATCAGTTTACCGGAGACAAGCTCAACTAACGAGGAGAATGCGCCCTACGAATCCCGAGATCAGTATTTCTTATCGCTCTTCGAGACTATGGAGTCTAAAGTCGAACGCTTGTCTTCCGCGCTCAACGAGGTCGAGGGCCGTCTTTCCATGATGCTCTTCAACGAGAGCTCACAGATCAAGGACCAGCTCACCGAGATCCGGAGCACTATGGGCGTACTAGGCATGCACGTGAGATGGCTCATGAACTTCCGGTTGCAGGAGCGCGGCCGGATCGGAACCAACTCATCGAACATGGCAGCACCCTTCCCTACCACCCAGGCTCCCCATGCCGTCCAGGAGAGCCATCACGATGCCAGCATACATCACCGCATGAACGAAAGTCTACGAGAGAATCCTCCCCGATTATGACCAAGTTGCCTCAGTCCTAAACCACCACCATCACCACCCCCCTACGAATATAGACGGCCTACGCCCCGAGCCACCGAATTTCCTTTGTAAACATCTACATGCGGTTGTCTGGGATTCATTTGATATGATCGGGCATGATTACACGATCGACAACGAGAACAGACCGGGACCCCAATAGAAGTAGAATACGCCATCGTACGGATTGGCTCCATCGCCGCTGCGATTGAGGCGTGCGAGCTGGCCCTCACGGCGATTACAATTGAGATTTTTCGCTGTCATACAGATTGTTTATTAGCCTTGACTTGAATGTCTCCGTTGGCCGCCGCATTCCACACATACGTGCGGGGAGACCTCCAACGTCGCAGCAGCTTTCCTACATCTCACCAAGCATCCTTCGTCGCTCTAATTCTTCTTCTGCCGGTCGGAGCGATTTGGAGCATGTCAGCAGAAGGTTCCTCTCTCGGGAGATGCCTGTGGGCTAGTGGGAAAGCGCGCAACGCGATGGGAATAATGGAGTGAAGGGAACGAAGCTCCTCGAGGGTCCAGCTCGAATTGAGAATTGGGATAGACGGAATAACGACCGCCGAGGGGGGGGGGGGTTGGGGATTGGGGGTTGGGGGTTGCCGGGGGATCTAATACGGGAGTCGGCCTACCGACGAACGCCTCGATCCAGTGGGGGATCTCAGCCATTGTGCGCAGGATGAACGCTCCGGCCCAGCACATGGCCCACTCCGCGGACTGGTCGATGAAGGAGAGCAGGAGCAGCGTGCACCTGGCGAGGTCCATGTCCGAAGCTGTGCGTCAGCTAGCCAGCCGAAGACGGGTCCGAGAGTATCAGCCTCGGCGATTTGGCTCGGCGGCTAGCGGCTGGCGGCTCTGGGGTAGGAGAGGAGGAGGAGGCTGCTGTGACCGAGATGGTGCGGACTGGGCGACGCGGGGTGGTACGGCGCGGTTTGAGGAGGAGGAGGAGGAGGAGGAGGAAAGAAACGAGAGGGAGATGAGGGGAAGTGGGGGAGAAAACCGGAGAGGAGGAAGACGACGCTCGAGAACACAGGAAAAAAAACACGCGCGCACGCACAAAGGGTCAGTCAGACTCACGCGAGGTTTTTCAGCCGGGGAGCGGGAAATGCCGTGTTTACACGCCTGGCTACCTACGTAGTTCACAGCAGCATGACAAAATTGACGAATGGCGCGGGAGTCGAGCCGCGGCCCCGCGTTTCTACCTGCTTTGCGGGATGGGCCGATACCGCGCGTCTCCCCCCCCCCCCCCTCCACCGCTCCCCTCTCCTCGTCCCGCGTACCGCCTCGCGGGCTATGCAGGGTCGGGAGCGCAAGTAAGATAGACGTCATAGGGTCTGCGGCCGGCCCGGCCCGGCGTCAGGCTAGCTAGGCTTGCGAAAAGGAGGGCGGGAAATTAGGGGGAGGCGGCGAAGTCGTCAAGGACTGGCACAGTGCTAGGGGGTACACCCGTAGATGACGTAGGTAAATATTTTAATATATATTCTCGCCCTGCATCCATCGATCCCTCCTAACCCCCCTCTCCACCCCTCGGCCTACCGCTTGATAGACTTGAGCAGCGACGTGATCTGCGTCCGCCTGCTGAGCCCGACCCGGTACGACGGCGTCCTGGGCACCGGCGTCTGCTTCGCCTTCGCCTTCGCCTTTGCCTTCTGCTTGTCGCCCTTTTCCTCCTCCTCCTCCTCCGCCTTTGCCCCCTCTCCAGCTTCTTCCTTCGGCGCTCGATCCGTTGTTGTCGTTAACGTCGTCGTCGTCGTCGTCGTCGTCGTCGGCTCTGCCGGAGGCGAGCCTTTCGAGTTCCTGCTGGTCTCCCGCAGCGGCGACGCCGCGCCCCGGCCTCTGCCCCGCGCCCCCGCCCCCGCCCGCTTCCGCGGCTTCTGCCCCCCCGCCGCCTCCTCCTCCCCCTCCCCCTCCTCGTCTGTGTCGGCGACTTCGGCGCCGTCAACCTGTCCCGGCGGCGCGGGCGCGCCGTCGCCGTCGCCGTCGCCGTCGTCCTCGGGCCCCCCGGCCGCGACGGCGGGTTCTGCCACCGGGGTCACGGCCGCTTCCGGTTCGGGTTTCGCGGCGCGGTCCGCCTTCCGGGGGCGGCCGCGCTTCCGCTTAGGAGGCTTCTCGGGCTCCTCGCTCCGCGCCTCAGGGGCGGGGGCGGGGGCCGGAGCCGGTTCGGCCGGGTGGTGCTCGGCGGCTAGCTCGCTCTTCTTCTTGCGGCCCCGCTTCTTCGGCTGCGGGGGCGGCTGGATGGCGATCTCGGGCTCGTCGACGGGTGCGGGCGGCTCCGTCGCGGGGATTTCAGCATTTGATTCGTCGCGTTCTTCCTGGGGGTCTGCTCGGGGCGAGGCCCCACGCGGACTGGGAACGTGGACTGGTTCGGCGGGCCTACTGCGTTCGTCTGGGTTTGGCGAGTTCGGCTTCCCTCGCTGGAGTTGAGGGTTTTCATTGTCTTTGTGGTGGTGGTTGGCCGTCTCGGAGTTCCGCGATTCGTCATGTACAAGTTCGTCCTCGTCCTGGATGCTCTTCGGCCTTTTCCTGCCCTTCCTACCTGAGGGAGTTTCCGCTTCGTAGTGCCTGTCTGGGCCTCGTATTGTATCGCCTCCTTCCTCTGCATCTACTAGTGGCACCGTAGTTCTGACTACCCTTTCGGAGTCGTGGCCAAATGAAATCACATCTGGGGAAGACGAAATCTGAGCTTTTCGTTAGCTAGAGTGCCAATCGTCCGGTGCAAGGGCATTACTTGCGTCGATGGCATGTGAGCTTCTTGGTTGGGTATCGGCGGCATTAGCCTTTTCCCACGGAAGCGGTGGCCCGGAAGAAGGCGCATATCGGCTGGGGGTTGGATACGCTATGGTTGTCACGCCGCTTGATTTTTGATGACTGAGAGAGTCTGTGAGACTAGAATAGCCACTCTGCGGCACGTGGATCTTCTGATACTCGAGTTTCTGCATGGTAGTGAGGTTGCTCTGGGCGACGTAAAGACCGGCGGCACTTCCAGAAGCCATAGAGCCGTGAAGCGAGACCCTTCTCCTCTTCGTTGCCGGCAAGGGAAACGATTCGACGTTTTCCCGTTCGGGAATCTCATCGTGGAATGCCTCGCGCCGAGGAGTTTCTGTATGGCCAAAATCCTCTAGGAGGGGCGCCTCCGTTATAGTTGTGCTTACCATGCCTTTTGGCTGGTTCCCCCTTCGGTTGCTATGCGATCTTTTGTTATCGTCCCTCGGGATCTCCGGACTGCTAGGTACATCCCACTCCCCAGGCAGTGTTTTCCGCGGGCTCGTAATGTTGGTCGCATCATCACTAAGAAGCGACTGATGGTTCCCGGGCCGGCTCAAGACCCTTGGGGACGTCACAGAAGTACCTGACGAGACATCGGTCTTAGTCTTGTCCCTGCCCCTGGCCGGGGACGAGACCTCATCGCTGTTGGCGCTGGCCTTCTGGCTTTGTCGAACGATATGCTCGACGAGTTGAGATTGCTCGCGCGCTCTGGTCTGCTGCTCATCGTAGACGCTCGCGAAGAACGACCCATCTGTTGTATCTGAGACCTGTGTCCGGCCAGGCATCCTGGGGCTTGGCGGCCTATGATACGGGCTCAGCAGCTCCGGCCGTGGCGGACTATCTACCGTGTAATCCCTCGAGGGAATTAACGGGATATCGCCTTCGTCCTCGTCATCGGAGTCGGCGATAACTCGGCGAGGCGCCATGGTGGGAAACCAACTGACGCGTCCGGACGCGCCTCTCTCTAGTTTGAAGCAGAGGCCAAATCCTACCCAGCTAGGTAGGTAGGTATGTCAATGCAACGGGCGCCAAAAAAGGCCTAGCTATGCATCTAGAAGGCTGGGTAGAGTGAGGGAAGACGAGTGTAAGTGTCTGAGTACACGGTTCGGAATACGGAGCCAGGTCTGTCAATTGAGCTAGTATACGAAGTAGTATCTTGAAGAATGTCGTCCTCCATCCGTCACGTCACGTCCTGTCCTTCCCTGCCGTGTCGTGGTTGTATTCTTGTACTTGTCCCACTTACGTAACCACCACGCTGTGCATAGATTCAGTATATAACTATACTGTGTCAGGTACTATGTATGTTATATGCATAGGCTGCCACGTGCATCTGGAATTGGACCACCTCGAGGGTGAAAAGGGGCATCATCTACTCATAGGCTGTAGTCCTAAGGTATTATCTATCCTACAGAGAATGATGCCGTCTATATACAAAGCCACCTCCGATCCATACCTAAATAACTTCAGTGCTAGTCCAAAATTTTGGCAATGCTTTACGACCAACCGGGTTGTCTTTGTTACTATGGTCATCCATCTTCCCTCCCCCCAAAAGCGACTAGGCTATGAAGTGGTATATTTCTAGTGCTTCACGATATACAATCAAATGATCCCTATACTCCCTTCGCCCCCGGTTGACATTCGATTGGATACACCGCCCGTGATATGTCACGCTAGCCTCTGATCCTTCGCCTCTTCGCCTCCGCTACCTGGTCGTCGCCGTCGTCCTCTCCGGTGTTGTTTGCCTCGACGCCCGCTATGCTCATGCTACGGCTGGACGTGGCTGGTATGCCAGTTGGCGGCGGCGCATTGCGCTCCACCTCGTTACGGAGGTCGCTTAGTAGCTTCTCTACTTCGCCAAACATACTACGCGTATCCTTGACAACGCCATTTTCGTCCACCTCGTAGCCCCTGTAGTCTTCACCATCGCCTCCCAGGCCGGCCTGCCGATTCGACCGTAGGAACGACGGTCCAAAGCCACGATACGGATCCGGGTTATACATGATGGCATTCGCGAACATGTGTACCAGCTCCCTCTCTAGCTGCGCGATATTGATTATACCCCTCGGCGGGACTAGATCCACCGACATCGGTAACCAGATGTTGGTAGCGTTCGATTCGATATCTGACATTGTCGCTACTGCCGCCGCCGCCGCCTTGGATCCTGCCGTGATAGCCTTCTGGATGCCCTTAAGGTCCTGCGGCCGGAGCACGATTTCAAAATACCCCGGTGCTGTTCTCGGCTTCACTGGATGCGCGAACATGTTGGCGTGACGGTGGCTGATGATTTGGTCGAGTGCGGACTGGCTGATTTTATTAAATGATCGAGTCCATAAAACATGAGTTGCCGGTGCTGGAGGCGCCCGGGTTAGAGGCGTATCCTGACGCTTCCGTTTGTTGGAGGGCAGGGTTGACACGTCTTCATCAGCTGTCGTTGTGTCTGCCGTGTCGCCGATATCTTCGAGCGCCCGAGGAGTTACCTCTTCATTCTTCACGTGGTTCGCTGAGAGGTCTGACTCTACCGGAACCTCTTCCGGCTGCACCGAAGGCGTTATAATCTTCTGTGCAATGCGAGGTGGCCGTCCTCTGGGTCGCGGGGCTGAAGCGTTAGGCTGTGGCATGGCCTTTCGTGCATCCTTCTTCTCGACGTGGTCGAGAGAGGCCTTTGGTGGTTGAGCTGGTGGAAGGGTAGGACTCATTGGTTCGGTAGCCGGGCTCTGGATATCGAAATAGCCGGTCACGTCGTCCACTCTAGGCGTTGCAGGTGTCGGTGTTGCGATCCACTTGGTGCCATTTCCCCTGATAACATGCGATGAAATATTGGCAGTTGATGTTTGTGGATGCGGTACCGGCGGTAGCCGTGTAGCCTGCGATACCACGACCGGAGTCTGCAAGGGAGGGGCATGTGGGCGATGAGCCGGATCGGTGGGGCCTGCCGGTTGAGCATGTTGGTTGTATGGAGCACTATGAGATCTCGGTGCTCCTTGTACCTGACCGTGTTGGGGCGCTGGTGAGGCTTGGGGTGTCGCTTGGGGTGTAGGCTTCACTGGAGTCTGTGGAGGATAAGAAGGACGGGCCGGGCCGGGCGCTTGCGTCCATTGTGCTGGAGGCACGGGCGGCTTTGTGGGACTGACGGCGGGCTGAGATGCCGATAAGGCAACGGGGGGACGAACAGGCGTCTGGACGTGCGTATTCTGAGCCTGATGCTGTGGATAGGAGCTGGGCCCCACATTAGGGCCTGGCGAGCTTGCTGGGAGAGTAGGGACCGAATGTCGATGCGTTACTTGCTGTCCGGCGCCGTCGGGTGTTGCATTTAAGGGCAGTGACGGCAGAGAAGGGGGTATCTGGCCATTCTGAGGAGGCAATAGCACTGGAGCCGTCGCCCCGGATCCCTGTACCGGGTGTCGGGGTTGCTGGGTATGGTGACCGGCGGGCTGCCTGGGACTCACATAGCTAGAGGGAAACTGAGGATGGCCGGGCTGATTTTGAGGGGAGTATGTCGGAGGTTTGGCAACTCCCGCGTTGTATGGAAGGCGGGGCGATGGGACAGGTGTTTGATGAGGCGGTTGATGCTGCGTTTGTGGCGGCGGAGACTGGTGAGATGGTTGATGAAGCTGATGAGGTGGTTGGTGAGGCGGTTGGTGAGGCGGTTGGTGAGGCGGTTGATGGGGTGGCTGAGGAGTTGGTAGGTGAGCGGGTGGGTGAGCTGGCGGATGAGTCGGCGGATGAGTTGGCGGATGAGGCGGCTGATTAGACAGTTGATGGGGGTGTTGATGAGACTGAGGGGGCGGTTGAGCTGGTTGATGTGGGAGCTGATGTAGAAGCTGATGAGGTGGTTGATGAGGATGTTGGTGAGGAAGCTGATTAGGTTGGTATGGAGGTTCCCATTTCAGGGCGGGAGTTTGAGGTTGATTTGGCTGTATCGGCGCTGGGCTTCTTCCTTTTGGCACACCTTCGGGCCGTTGTAAGCTATCCGCAGTAGGTGGTTGTGGCGTGGCAGAACTGGGACGGCTATGGTATCCTTGGATAGCCTGCGGGTGTTGCAGAACCGGAGTTGTGCTACCCGTTGGACGGGTAGGCTCTTGGGGCCGGGCATCAGGAGTGAGTTGACGAGCTTCGCTAGGAGGTCGAGTGGCCGGTGGTAACGGTGAAGGGACTCGGTGTATGGGCTTCCTTTCCTGCAACGGCTGAGGTGGACGTGACGTCTCGAGTCGTCTTGTGTGTTCGTGGATAGTCGGAGACGGAACTGGGTGTGGCGATGGAACTGGGACTGCTGGAGACGTCGGCACTGGAGGTGGGACGGATGTGGGCGCCGGCGTTGGAACTGGAGTCGGCGCTGGTTGAATCTCTGGTCTCGAAGGCTCTGGCCGAGTAGGCACTACGTGGTTGACAACTGGAAGCCCATTCCTGCCCGTCTCCAAGCGTTGTTCAAGACCGAGCGTGCCATCCCATTCGCCGCGCTCTATCTCGGCTAGCTCGCGCTGAAGTTGGTCGAATCGTCGCTCGTCTTCCCTGATCTCTCTGATCAGGCTCTCCCGAAATCGCACGTAGAGCCTCTCCACCAAGGTCGGAAGCTTTTCCCTCTGGTCGTAGGCATCCCTGACCGTGGGCAGAGGAGGGCTCGGAAGCTTCCTCTTCCTCGAGGTCGGCGACAGGCCGGCGCTGTTCCTCTCCACGGCAGCGTCGGCTTCGCGTTTCCGTTCCTCCCGCAGCAACCTCAGGGCGAAGCTCTGGAGGGATTCGGGGCTCAACCGGCCGGCGTCATATTGATCCTGCTCGTATATCAAGGGCGTGCTCTTCAGTTGCTCCGAGATATGATGGAAGGTGTTGTGGGCCAGACCATTCTGGAAAGTCCTGCTGAGCTCTTGGAATAGGGCAAAGGCTTCGAGAGGGGTGTATTCAGTCGGGTTATTATTCATGCCCCAGGATCCGCCTCGGCCGTGGTCGAGGGGACCGTCGCGTCGTTGTAGGAGATGGATGGGCGCCACGGTCTAGCGTTAAGGGTCAGCAAGGGTCACGACTAGCATTCCGGGACACGGCTGATTGGGGGGGGGGAAACACGGTCTTGACGCGTACCGAAATGGTCGAGGATGGCGGCTGAAGTCTATGCAGACTACGCCAACCACGTTGAGGGCGCGACGGCGGGGAGATAGGCGGATCTTGGGACGAAGGCGCTCGCGAGGAATATTTTTTCACGACCTCTCGTCGTTGGGGAGGGATCACGTGATTCGAGGAATAGGCAGACAGGTTGGTTGGGTGTGGTATGGCCGGCACGGGTGTGAGTGTGAGCGAGGGCGTGTGCTGTGTATGTGCTGGGCGGTCGGCGGGTGGCCGGGAATGCGCACCTGGATGCGGACGGTCGGAATTGTTGCCAGATTGACGGTTGGGGACAGTCCGGATCCCCTGGCGCGCACGGCCAAGCTGTACTGTGTGGCCCGTGGTTCATTTATTATGTAATGCAGACTGCATAATGCTAGGTACGTACCTGCCTGCACGGCACCCTCCCACTGCATAGCAGCGTCCTCGGGTACCTTACGTAGTAGGAGATAGGCACAACAGGTACCTGGAGGTACCTGAAAGGTAGGTACCTAAGTCTCCGACGCACTGATGTCAAGCTTCTATCATGGAGTCCTTCTTGCCTCCTTCACGATGCCTCTCGGTTTATCTCAGGTACCTCCTCTTCCTTCCTTGAGAGGTACCTACCTCTACTACCTCCCAAGGACCTCAGGTACAGGCACTCAGCTCCTTACCCCTTAAGCAGGTTTGTGCGTTGCCTGCATACCTGTGGATGTATGCCTTGAGGCCATTGCGACTAGACCCTCTTCGGACACCAGGTAGGGAGGGCATAGTTCTACTTTCAACTGCCAGCTTCAGCATCTACTTACTATCTCTCTACCTACGCCGCCTGACGGACGATACCGCAGATGAGAGGTAGGCGCCTAACCTGCCTCTCATCGGGTCTATACATACCTATAGCCTATCGGTACCTTTCTGCCTTGCTGATCCGTTAGCCAGAACCGCCTCTCTCGGCAACCGGTTAGGACTTAGCAGGTTAGGACTCAGGTTAGGACTTAGCACATGCCCCCAAGTCTATATCTATAGAAAGCTGGCCCTCCTAACCATCCTCGCCCCATGACCTGCGTGTCAGCCCTGCGCAGGCTTATCGCCCGCTACTACGTAGTATGTCGTCAGCTACTCTCCCACCGCGGCGTCTTCCCGTCAACGAGGCAACTTTGACTATAAATAGGTTTCCGCCCTCGGCTGCACATGCACACACGGACGCAACACGCCATCCACCACGCGGTAGAAGACAAGTGCACGTGCCGAGTCCACGATATCGATCTATCCTAGATGAGATGGGGAATACCGGTAGGTTAGGTATCTGAGGTCTGTACGTGCGCACATAACGTAGGAGGAGAGGAGAGGTAATGGGATCCATGTGGTCAACTGAGACAATCCGCGTCCATTCCCAATTGTGGCGGCCTACATTACATGTCGTCGGATGGAAAGGCTAACTCTACCAGACGGGAGTGTGTATATGTATGTCAATGCGTGCATACCTACCTGCATACCAGGTAGACATTTTACGGACAGGCGTATCAGCAAGTGAGCAATGCACACAACACTTACAGACACGGCCCACACACATCGTTGGATACCCCAGAATCGATTGTGTGACGGCGGCTACGGTGGTGACAACCCGGACAGCTGTAAGAATAAGGGGCTTGCTGCATGCTCATAAAGCTACCCTATAGGCACGTATATTGAACGAGCGCATGAAATTGAGGGGAGATTAGATACCTACCTACCTCACAGCTACCTGGAGAGATTCTGTGGCCGGGGGATAGGCTAAGCACGTTCGAAATTACGCATGTGTAGAAATGCGCAGGTGTGTACACATATATTTAGTATCTATGCATGTAAATGTGTAGAATTGTCAGGGGCACGGGCGCCGTCGCGCGGGCTATATCTGGATAGGCAACGCCGCATCAGTCAAGAGACAAGACGCCCACGGAATGGTCCGATGTTTTTCTATGCAACTTCATTAGGGCATCGCCTCTGGGCAGCACCTCATACCCGTTAATACACATGCACACGTCCAGGTCAGGGGGACAGGTTTATGCGCGAGCACATGAGCACCCAGTTAGGCGGTAGAGGTAGCTTGGCTGAACCCAACCTGGCCTGGCCCTAACCTTCTTACGGACGCGCCTCCTATCTCGAATCCATGGATGCGCGTACCTGGGTAGGTAGGTACTAACATCGTTCTAGGTCGCCTAATGAACTGAACCCATACCTACATTAGGTAACGAATGCGTTTGGGGGGGTTGGTGTCGGCGAGATTATCGAGGAGCAATAATACAGCAATAACAATCATTATAATAACAGCAGTATTGAGAGAGGCATTGATACATTGCCTACCTGAGTTAAAGTCGATGGGTCTGTGTAGGTAACTCCGAGTGTCTGAGGGTCAGAGAGGGTGGGGGGGAATTGTCCGGACATCTCTATTCCATATACGCACGTATGTACACACATACATGCATGCAACAACATGTAGGCGCAATTTGTCGAGAACCTCTTCGCGTGCCAATTACACGCATGCATACCAGCTCGAACTGCCTGCCCTCCCCTGGTGGTTAACATGGGCAGCGATCCCGCGACTCGCGACCTCGCTGGCCCTCGGGTCATTTGATTTGGATCATCGTCGTCGTCGAATTCGCTCGAGATCATCAACACAGGCACACATGCACATATGACCAAGGCCCTGACGAGATCATCCCGACAACTGACGGGGGGGTTTGGGCAGCGCAACTAACCTCCTTCGAGCTAGGAACCTACCTACTAGTTGTAGCTCTTAATTGCCTTAGACGGGTACTACGTAGTTGTATACATACTATGGATATGAAGTGTTTTCTATTGCTCCCTAGGCATCGGCCGGCGTGCATATACAGATGATGTGTAGTTTGTAGTGTGACGAGTTATGGTTGTGTAGTACGACGATAGAGGGGAAGATTCGAAAGGACAAGATGGCACAAAGCCCTTCGGCAAAACTCCCTCATTGTCATGAGATACGAGCATATTTCGGTTGGTATTAAGTACCTATCTCGATACCCTTGCCCAGGCCAGTCCGGTCAACTGCCTCCAGTGCTGTAATTACTCAATACCTTCCTACATAGGTACCTACCACCTACCACCGTTTCTCTAGGTATCAACTGCTTGCTACCGACCGCAAGTACTAATTAAATACTGCCCGTATACCCAACTTACCTATTCGAGTCCAGCCTTCCTATTCCGGCCATCCCCTTCCGGCATTGCATGCCGTTGATCTTATTGTATTTCCCCCTCTCTCTTCTTTTTCCTTTTTTCGACGCCGAGCTGTTTCGTCGCAATCTGGAAGCAGCTGCAGTAACCGCCGCAGCAACAACATGGGAAGTCAGCACCACCACCACCACCACCACCACCGCTAGACCCCCCATAACTGCCTACCTGCGTCTCCATGCATACGCCATAGCTAAGTCTAACACACGCACATATGCGGGACAAATACCTACCTACCTTCAGTAAGTCCTGCGAGGCTCAAGGTCCCACCCGTAGGCAGACTCTACTCATAGACATTAATTGCCCAGCCATTCTCTAGGTTAGGTTAGGTGGTTAAGGCCCTACCTCAGACGGGTGTAGTTTTTATACTCAGCGGTGCGCAGGTAGTGCCTAGGAGGTATGAGGGATTGGTGGCTATCTGTTCCCCTTTACGTCGGTCCAGCTGGTATATATTGTACATACGCGACTTACCTCCTCCCCCTTTTCCTTCTTTCTTTTTTTCCCTTACCTTTTTTTTTTTTTATAACCTTTAGCCCGCGGCCCATTTTGACGCGGCCAGTCAATCAATCATCCATCATCGTCCCCAGTTTCGTGTAAGGACCCGCCCTTCATTCCATCCCCCACTGCCAACCTCTAATAACCACCCCCCCCAGGTAACAGCCCCCCCCCCGTTTAATACCCCCAGTTAATTAACAACTCCCCCCCCCAGCTCCTATCATTAAAAAAAATAACCATAAGAATAATACACCACCACCTTCGCCGCTATTTACCGCCACAAAGCTCTGCCTGCCACTTACTTCTCTTCCACGATACCCTCAAACTTCCGCTCACACCTCGTCGATTCATTTCTCTGGGGTCCGATCTCTTTTTTTTTCTGGAGAACGTGTTGTATGAGGATAACGCAAAATCACCTGCCCAACATGAGCCCGACCGACGAAGAGCTCGACCGTGACTGGCAGCCCAATGGCCGGCGCCCGCAGTCGTGAGTTCATCCCTTCCCTTCATACTTGTCCCCCCCGATCGCTCACCTCAAGCAAGGGGTTGGTTGGGAGGGGTTGTTGTTGTTGTTCGGTCGAGGAATGACTAACGAATGTCTCTCTCCTCCTTTTCCCCCCTTTTTTAGTACCATTGCTCAATCGTTCAGCCAAGAGCTTATGGATATCTTCCGGATCGAGAACAGCATTGCCGACCTGGACGAGCAGGTGGATAGGCGGTCAGTCCCACATCCCGTGCCTCCCTTCCATTACTCGACAGCGACCGCCTCAGCGAACGGGTGGCTGATCTTGAGCCTTTCCCCACCGCCTATAGAAAACAGCAGGTCACGACAGGCCAGTCCGAGCTGGAGGCCCTCGAAGCCAGGATCAAGGAGATGGAGGACCGGCTGAAGAGCCGGCTGCCGGGCGCCTCGGGCGGCGCGAGCCCGCGCGCTCAGCGACAACCCGCCGCCGCCGGCGTCTTCGGCCAGCCGCCGCTGGCACCGGCCGAGAAGGACGCCTCGCAGCAGCCGCGTTCCCGCCCAGGTACGGCGAAGCCAGCCCATCAAGCCCCCGGCCACGGAGGGGCCATGCCTCCGACTCCCACAGCCAGCGAAGGTGAATACGTGCTCGTCAATCATAGCTCCTCTGGTGGTGCCGGCGCCCTCGGTCCCCGAAGATTTGCTGACTGTGTCTTGGTCTCTAAAGATGGCGACCGCGATAACTAGGTCCGCGAACCGACCCGGTCTCCCGTAGCTGTTCCCGCCCGTGCCCCCCTTCCCAGATGAGACGAGTGGTTTCTTTCGCTCTGGCCTCCAACCGATCCCTTCCCCCCTTATTATCCTCCAGACCCCGCGGCGACAAAAGGTACAAGAAGGGATCCGTATGCACGTACGTACTCGGCCGCGGCCCTCAATCCTGCGAGCTGAATAAGGACTGGAATATCATCAGAGGCGGTGGCTGGCTACTCGGACGCACGCAGCGGGCGGATCAGTCCAATCGCCGGTTCTGGGATGGCCACGAGCGACCCTGAGTCCGGCGCAAACCGACTCATCGCCGGAAGGCAGGACAAACCCGATCGACATTTCCCCGGCCTTTTGCGACCCCGGCTTTTCCTTTAACCCCCTCGCCCAGGATATATCCCCTCGTTTTGGAGAAAGACGGTGACGAAACCCCCCATTTGACTGCCCGTCTGGCGTTAATGGCGTCCCCATCTCCCCTTCCCGTCGCTTCGGTGTTGTTTTTTTTCTCTTCTTCATATCAAGGCGTCATTTCTAGTATCGTGACTTGAAACAGTCCGATGTTTGGGCAGAAAGAACGGAGGAGGGGGTGCAGGTTTTGGTCGTCTCGTAGCAACGGATAGAGCGTGCGGACTAGCGCTCATCGTACATCTTTTTTTTTCTGTTTTTACCCAGCATGGCCGTATGTAGTAGGATTTGTCACCTTAGAGGGAGGGTTTTGGGGTGAGGCGAGGGGTCGTCCGCTTCGGACGAGGCTCGCGGGGAGGAGGCCCGGGGGGCCAGAGCTAGAAGAGCTCGTGCGTGGGGTGGCATTATATATATCATGCCCTCGTCTAACACGGTATATGCGTCCACCTCGTCGAGCACACCGGCTCAACCCTATCCCAGCCGGACGGGTCCATTGTGCATAATAGAATCTACCCACCTTGTGCATCGCTCGACCCCAGAGAGATAGGAGAGAGAGACGCGCCCGCGGATGGCATCCTGGATGGACCAATAACACCGGCCTGCCTCCCTCCCTACCGAAGGTACTCCCTAATCTTCCTAACCCCCCACTTCTTCCAGATCCCGCACCATTCTGTCCTTTTATCTCGCCCTCTACGCGCAATCCGCCCACCCTAGATACCTAGGTACTTACATAGGTAGGGTTCCTGAGAATGAGAAAAAAAAAACATCGACGAGCCTTATATACACCTGCCACCCGAAGAAATTTCCGCTCTCGAGAACAGTATACGGTGGTCGAATCCGCGTAGAAGCACGTCGTCGCTCGTAGCCTCTAAGCTACTACCGGGTAGGTTTGGTGTGCTTGTCTCGCCCGCCTCCATACGTGCGGTATCCAGACGAGGGGAAACATGGCCGGCGACTGTATTCTCCCAGAGGATACGCGGGTGGAAAATGCGATGTCTTCCACAGCTTCTTCTGCCACAATACTGGTACTTGCCCGCCTGTTCAAAGTCAAATGGCCCAAGCTGTTACGATGTGCGACGAAGGGAGACGGGAGACCTATATCAACCTGTGTATGGTTTAACCTCAGAGCATAACCTCTTTGTCTATCTCGGAGAATAGAAGCACCGACATACACGACGTGTATACATAACGAGAGGCTGCGTCGAACAGGCGAACCTGACTAATTCTAGCAGCAGAAAGCATCGAATACGAAAGCAACTTTGTCGCCTTTCCGGAACATACCGGTTAGCCCACACAGCTAGCTAACCCCTCAGACCTTGCCGCTTAGGATACGAGTGGGCTTGTGGGCGTGGGCATTTCGATCCCTGCCCTTGGCGCCCACCGCTCGCCTGTAGTTGTCAGTGTTCAGAGGCTTAGTGGCCGCACCGAACTTCTTGCCCGAGATGTCGAAGACAGCGAACAGGCTCTTGAGGAACACGTCGCCAAAGATACCCTGCACGCCACTGAATAGACCAACGGATTGCAAACCGGAATAGCACATCTCGTTGGTAGAGTGGGCGAATATGAAATACTCCCCAGGTATCGTGCCAACCACTGTGTTGCCTCTCGCATCTCCGATCTCCCAGGTGAAGTCCGGAGGCGTCGAGTTGCACGGTAGCAACCAGCCATAGTCGGCGTACGAGTATTTGGAACCGGCGACATTGAGAAAGTACTGCTCGACTGCCTCATCCGGCGCGAAGAAAAGGGTGGAGCCTGTGTCGATGATGACATCAGGTGCCTCGGCGAACTTGTACTTTACGTTGACGCCCTCGATAGAAAAACCCGTGTTCTTGACGCTCCAGAAGCCTTCCGAAGTATCCACATCCACATACCGGATTTTAGAAGTGTGCAAGGTGTCGTCAATGTATCCGAAGTTGAAGGACCCATCGCTGCCGTTGTGGCGTAGGTCGACCGTGAACAGAGCCTTGCTCAGCACCTCAGGTAGGAAGTCGAGGAGTGTCTTCTGCGGAGGGACTAACTGAGAAATAGACGGCCAGGCCAGGCCTACAAGGCCGGACAGATACGAAGACTCGGTGAAAATGTCCGATACGGATGTCGCCGACTCGATGGTCATGTTCGGAATGGATATGTTGCCAAAGGTGAATGTGTCACGGTAGCAGATGCCCTCCGAGTTAGAGAAGTCGCCATAGATGATGGACCACGTGCAGTTATCGATCTTGCGAGAGGTGGAGGATTTACTTGGATCCCAGACGGTCTGTCCAGCAACATCCTGTTTGTCTGTATCGGTTGAGAAGATCCAGCTATAATAACAGTCAGCCTACGGATCTCCCTCGGACGCGGCCGTGGCTCAGGTGCTATCATACGTGTCAGACGAGCCGGTATCCAGGTCTAAGATTAGCTGTTGCGGGGGGCTGCCGATGCCAACAGGGGTAAGCCAGAGCACATCGCCATCTTTGGAGGCCGATGGAACGGTGGTTCCTAATTTCCCTGTTAGTTACACCGACGCTCGCGGGTCGAAGGACTCGTCTCACCGTTGAGGGGTTTGTCACCATAAGTGGTCATAACCTTCTTCGCTGCGGTTTTGTGGGCATCGACGACGTCCTGAAGGCCCGGCGGGATGTTGGCCTTGAACTTCTTCAAGGTCTTGAGATACTCGGTAGGACCGTGTCGGGCGACATCGACCTTGGGGGTCTGGGAAATAGAGAAGCTATGGCCAGCATTGCGGCCAGAGCGGGCAGCGTGGGTGATTGGGTATGGGGGTACTGCAGAAACGAACGACAGGCAGAGGGCCACGGCAACGAGGACACGGGTGAAGACGGCCATCTTATCGAGGACGTCTATGCCGATCTCAGGGCTAAGCGTAGCAGGGCTGAGGGGGGGGGTGAATTAGGACCTAGGTAAAGAGGACGGCGGTTTAGGGAGAGAAGGGGTAGGTGAGGAGAGGAGAACGAAGGTGGACGATGTTTATATGGAAGGTGGTAAGGGGAGGGGGGGTGAGGTGAGGTGAGGAGAGGAGAGGCGCGGACTCGAAGGCGAAGGCTTGCTTGAACAACGAGTAGATTTGGTAAAAGCAAGCCAGGAAAGAGACAAATCGGCCAGCGGCTGCCTTCGATGCCTGCTGCCTCGCCACATCAGACGAGTGCTGGAAGGCGGGAGTACATGTATGCAGCACGCTCTTTCCTCCGAAATCGAGGCTACACATTCTACATATAACCGTCCGCACGCATAACATCCCTTGGGTGTACTTAAGGTGCCTATCTTAGGTTAGGTACCTACCTCTCTCTCTCTTGAAGCCGTTTTTATAGGTACCCCCTATTATACCCATCTGCAAGTATTCTCTACCTACCTACCTACCTACCTACCTACCTAGAACACCTCTTAACCCCGAGGCGACGGCAGCTACCCGGAATGCTCGCTTGCCTCAAGCCCAGCCAGCTGCGCGTCCGACCCAGGACAGCAACCGCGTACCCGGGCTGTGTATACGTGTGTTCGTACATGTGATAGATGGCGCATGTGTGCCATCGCCGGATAGCCGCGATATGATGGGGGCAGGCAAGGGGGCAGCTAGTAAGAGTCAGGTATATTGCGGTCTGCGCTGGGGTCGTTCCCCGCAGCCACCTTGCACCCTCGAGCTGGGCCGTGCGAGTAGGTATGTGTGATTGATTACCTGCAGAGGGCAGCAACGTGTGCGGGAGCGTCCCGGGCGGTCGTAGGGGGCAGAGGCAGCGGATGTACGTGCGACGACCTGCTACACAAGCCGGGTCCAACTTGGGGCGGTTGTCCCAACAGCTGTTTCTATCTTAAAAAAAAATTTACGTAAAGCGGCCCCAATCGCTAGGAGAGGAAGAAAGAAGGGAGCGCAACGTCCGACAGGAATACGGGCGTTAGACGTAGGGAGGTATGCCGGTAGTCCATCTATAGCAACCTTACCTACCTACCTCTCTACCTACCCTGCTTAGGCCGGCAAGTCACCCAAGGAGGACGGAGGCGGACGAAGATAGGACTGCGTGTGTACACGTACACATACCTACCTCTACTCATATACGCGTGCCGACGTGACGCTCCTAGGCAGCTACGGACCTATAGGAGGTAGGTAAGTAGGTACTTTGGGCAGGCAAGGAAGGGCTACGAAGGTATAGGAGAGTGAGGAGGTAGGTAGTTAGTACCCGACGCTGGCGGATATTTGCAGGTCCCCTCTCCTTTGAGGGAGCGATCGCAGCATCAGGCGTAATCTTGCGCAACCGCGGCTACGTGATGTGTTTGGGTCGATGTCGCGACCTCATCTCACGGGGACGGGTCCGGTTCCCTGGCCTCGTGTACTCGCCGGGGTTATTGTATACCTACCTACATACCTACCTCTCCTACCTACCTAGGCAGGTATGTCACGTACCTCCGTGGAAGAGCTACCTATTCATAGAGTTTATTAGGTCGCTACCCAAACAAGCGGACAAACACCACCTAACGTAATATCGACCGCATTAGCCCGCAACGCTTGTAGGTATGTGCAGAGGAGGTAGGTATGTACCTGGCGTACCTGAATGCGTTCCTCCCCCGTCCCCCCTATTTCGTTTCCTACGAGGGGGGCCAGGGGGCGGACGGTACCTCTTCTTGCCTGACGTAAACAGTATACCTCCTCTGCTGCCCCTTCCTGAAAAGCACAAGAAGTGTATACCTCCTACATAATGACGTACACGTATTAGGTAAGAGGCGACAGCTAGTCACCCCCCGCCACGGTTCTGGCCCGAGTGCTAACGTTGAGGAAGGGGGGAAAAGGAAGGGACACACAAACGCCTCAGCCAGCAACCTCAACTTACACCGAACTAGCCTGGCTACACAGCCAGTATCGGATGGCTTCCCTTGCCGCATTTGACCTGCCCTCTACTCTTTCGTGGCCGAGGTGTGCAGATATCAGCTACCTATGTTGTTACCAAACACCCTCCTCCGCCTCCGCTCTTTTGCTGTTTCTAGCCTTTTCATGTCTTTGCCCTCCCTTATGTTGCCAGAGACAAAAAGACAACCATCTCGAAAAGGGGGGTCAACGGTTGTCAGCGTAAAACATGACTAGCGGCTTCCCGCAGGCCGCGGGCGTCACGGAGACCAACTCTAGGGCGGGGGGCCCCCCGTGAGAGTACCGCCTGTCTGCCTCCCCGTCCACCGCCCGCCGTAGAGGGGAAATAAGATGAAAAGGGGGAGACAGGGGGTCGGCGGCGGCGAGTCACGCAACCAGATACACACATCCGGACCTCCCAACACCCGTAGCACACGCACACACGTACTAGACTCTAGATCGGCATCGCTGACCGCGTATTGGTACGCACGAACTTGAACTCGGCCCCAGATGAGCGCGACGAAACATCGATATATGATACATCTATTTCCCTCTAGGCTAGTCGCGCCGCGGCGCGGTCGGTGTTAGTAGCTGGAAAGGGCCCGTGAATGAACAGGCACAGAGCACGAACGGTATCACCGAATGGATCATTCCATTCGTCAATTATCTCTACCTGCAGCCGTACGGTACAGCTCTACAGCTCTACAGCTCATCGTGCTTCTTCTGGCCCCCCTCCTTGTCTTTCTGCTCCTCCGTCATCTTCTTGATCATCTCCTCGATCTCCTCCACCGTCAGGCTCTTGCCGTCCTCCCCGATCTTGAAGTAGTTCTTACCTTCCTTTAGATCTATCGTCGGCTCCGAGCCGTCGCTGCCCGTCTTGGTCGAAGAGTTCTTCGCCTTCGCCTTGCTCTTCTTCGGGCTGCTGCTCTTCTTCTTGCTCTTCTCGAAGTTCTTGACGCTCTTCATCGCCAGGTCCATGCCCGCCTTCTCGAGCTTGTTGGTCTTCTCTTCGAGATCCTTGGCCAGAAGGACTGGGTTAGCCGTCTCGGGAAGCTTCTCCTGCTCAGCGAGCTTCGTCTCTAGCCACCCCAATATCGAATCGGATAGCTCTGTAATCTCCTTGAGGTCGTCCAGGGTATATAGGGGTGGCACAGGGCCACGGTCCTCCACGGTGGCCGTGGTGGTCGATGTTGTGGTCTCATCGTCCTCGAGGCCGTCAAACTCATCACCGTCCCGCGAAGGGGCTTCAGTGACGGTTGAGCTCGCTTCACTTGTCGAGGTAGTGCTGGCGCTAAGAGAAGATAGATATCCTTCGGCTTCGGCGATCTTCCCCTTGATAGTATCGATGAAAGTGCCTGTCTGGTCCAGCAACGTCTTCAGCGTCTTGACTAGTTCTGGCCTCTTTTCCGCCTCCTCGATTCTCTTCTCGACAGGCGAAACCAAACTCTTCAGTCCCTTGAGTCGGGACTTCAGCTCCTCGCGAGAGGCATCAGCCCCGTCGTCGTAGAGCCATTCGCTAGCTTCGCTGGATTTCTTCTCTAGTTTAGCCCGTTCCTCCGAGGTAGAGGCGGCTACGAAAGATTCTGTGTCTAGCAGATCCCGAACCTTGTAGGTGAAGGCTTCAAGCTGGTTTAGGGCCTCTTCTCTCAGACGCCGGGATCGGTCGGATGCTTCAAATGCCTTAATACGATCCTTTGCCTTGGTGATTTCGGCTTTTGGTAGATCTGGCACGCCGGATTTCTCCACGGTGTATTTGACTGGGATCACAACCAGCTGCTTCTTCTTCGGGGCGGGGCTGCTCTCCGGCGATTCCGTAGATGTCGAAGATGAATCCGTCGAAGCGGCGCTAGACTCTGTTGTGGACGAGCTCGATGTAGTTTCGGCTGACTCCGAAGCTGAGGCGCTCTCGGAGGCCGCGTCGTCGGCACTCTCCGCACCGTCCTTCAAAGGCTGCTGGTCCTTATTCTTCCCAAACCCGAAGAGATTCTTGACACCATCGATCACTGAACCTTCCTTCTCCTGTACCTCGGCTTCACATTCGACGGATGCTTTGTCAACCTCTACTTCGCCGTTGTCGGCGCTGAGCCGCAGTTTGACCTTGAAGTGGATGTCTGACTGAGAGCAGCCTTTCTCGACGAGAGATGCAACAGTGGCAGTCAGATTCTTCGTTGTCAAGATCGTGGTCTCGCGGTCCACAGACTCGCCTTCCGTTGAGGGCACCTGCTGATAGAAGCGGACAGAGAAGTCCTCGTGGTTCGTGAAAGTAACCTCCTTTGGGGGAGCACCGAGGTGGGATCGCTCGGTCCAGAGTCGCTGTTGCTGGGGCTTGTCCTGGGGGTTGGTCCACTTCATTCCGGCGGCGTAGTAGGCCCCGTCGGCAATTCTGATCTCCTTAACTCGGAAACTAGGGCTAAGCTCCGCTGCCCGGAAGGCGGCGCCAAACACGGCCGCCTCGTCCGAGTTGACCGTTCCGCGGACTTTTTCGTCCCCAGCGATCTTCTCTAGCCGCTTCTGGACAAAAGGCGTCCGTGAAGAGCCTCCGTGAAGGATGATGGAGTCGAGTTGCTTTATATCGAGCTCTGCTACATCTAAGGCCTTCTGAACGACGGCACCAACCCTCACGGCATGCGCCTCAGCTAGCTTCTCAAATTCTGCGCGGGTGATCCTATACTTGAAGTCGATCTCGTTGTAGAGATCCTCGAAACTCGAACCCGTCTCGGCGTTGGCGCTAAGCACGTGCCTCAGCTTTTCTGCGTCCTTGAGAAGCTTCGCCACAGCCCGGCCGTGTCGCTGGATTCCCTCTGCTGTCACCAAGGCTTTCTTTGCAGCAGGCGTCTCGATGAACTTGGAGACCATGTCGTCGACGATTAGGTAGTTGAGAGCGTCGCCACCAAGAGTCCTATCCCAGCCGGTTCCGAGAACGTGGACTTCTTGGACAGTCTTGTTCAACTTGCCAATGTCCTTAACCGTCCGGCCCTGGAACCTCAGGATGGTTGCCTTGGTGGAGCCAGCGCCCATGTCAAATACCATGTGGTGTTCCGGCTTACCCCCTTCGTTAACGGTAGGAAACGTCCGGCTCGTGGCGTAGTTCAGCCCGACGGCGAGGCCGTCACTAATCAGCGAGAGAACCTTGAGGCCGGCAAGCTCTGCAGCCAACTCCACGGCGCGTTTCTCCTCGACGGTAAAGAACGGCGAGACGGTGATGACGACAGACCGAACGCTATTGTCTGGGCCAGCCAGAGCTTCGGCGTTGCGCTGCACACTCTGGAGCTCCATGGCCAGCAGTTCCTCGATCATCCACGCGCCCTCGTTGGCAGTAGCCTTGCTCTTGAACGCGACAGTACCGCGGGTCTTGTGGGCTTCGAGCTGAAGGTCCGGGTGTCGCGCGGCATACTCTTTGACGATGGCGTCATCGGTGGGAAGGCCGAGGAGGGTCTTGAGGTTGGGATATACGTCGCCAGGGAATCGAGCCGCCAGGGCCACGGCATCTGAGCCGTAGGCCCTCTCGGGGTACTCGCCGCTCTTGAGGGCATGCTGCGCGGGTTTGAAGGCGACAGCAGAGGTTTCCTTTCGTCGCGAATCCTTAGTCAGGACGATCTCGAGCGGGATGCCGGGCTTAACGAGGGTCGCTTTGATGTACTCGGTGCCAAGATCGATACCGAGGACGGCAGATATGGCGAGGACATTTGTAGAGCAGAGGAAGACTGCGAAAAGTAGTATTGATCGAAAAGAGAACGTGTGTAGCATCTTGGGCGTGAGGGGGGGAGGGGGAGAGATGGACGGAAAGGCGAGATGCTCGCCGGCGGAAGGGTGGTAGGCCAGCTGTCCAAAGCTTGTCGAGAGTGAGAGGGATAGGTTATGGGTTTGATGGTATCCTGAGAGGGAGGGTGAAGAGAGATATAATCTAACCCAGCTTCTTTTTGTGTGCGAAGCAGCCAACGGTGTCTTTTGTATCTGCAGGTCTTGTTGGGAATTCCTTTTTTTTCTTCCTCGGAGGAATCTGGCCTCAATTCCAGCCAGGACAGAAACTACTGTTATTGCCCAACGGCCATCTGGGCTCTGCCTGGGCTTTTGTGATGCGCGCAAGGTGAGCTTTCCTGGCGAGGGTACATGAGGAGAGGACAGCTGGTTGAATTGAAAATGAGAATCCTGGCACGGCGGCTCAGGGTGTTTCCCTTGAAGCCACCGATAGCGACACGATTGGCTCGATAGCGAAATATGGGTCGAAAACTGGACAGATCTGGAAATTCTCTTAGGTCATCTTGTAGGCGCCTTCAGGGCATGTGACCCCCTGGCTCGACGCCTACCAGGAAAGAGGAGGGGACGCTGTGGCTATTACGTACAGCGGTGCGGGTAGTCGGTAGCCGGGTGTCTGTCCCATTCCCTTAGGTGGGTGACCTTACCTCTAGAGGTAGGTAGGTACCTAGGTAGGTAGGTGCTGTCCTGAGCAAGGAGGGGTAATCATGGCTGGGTACATCCTTAAGTACCCAAGGTGTCTCTGAATGTACCCGCTGACTATAGGTATTGCCTGCAGTACAACACGAACCCGGGTACCCAGGTACTTATCTAGTATTTGCATAACCCCCTATTTCTATACCTAACAGAGGTATTTCCAAGCACACCCCGCATCGCCTTCCCAAAGTCCATACCTCCTCTTCTTGCGGAGCCCCTAACGCCGTCGCAAGCCACGGCAGTATGCACCGAGCTCGGCCTGAGCATATCCGAGTCTTCACCTACTGCTGCCCAGGAATGCTCGCCTATACCTGAGGTCTGCCCGAACGACGCCCCGGACCATGTCTCCGTCTGCAGGCAGCCAACCACTATCCCCGAAGAAACGCAAAATCCGACCGGACTACGTTCGCGATGCCCCAGGTTGACAACGAGATCAAGGGTCGCCTAGCCCTCATAACAGGCGCTTCGGGAGGGTAGGTATGCGAACGCCGCGCATCTCGCACACGTAGATCCCTACCAGGCTGCTCCCTCCAACGGGCCCTGCTGGTCCGCCGCAGACAGCGCTGATCTCTCGGCAGAATCGGCGCGGGATGCGCCCGGGACTTGTGGGCGCACGGCGCTTCGCTAGCTCTGACGTACTTCCGGAACCACCAGCCCGTCGACGACCTGGCCGCGGAGCTCCTCGGGTCTGAGGGCGGCGGGGGCCGCAAGATCACGGTCCACCGCGTCGACACGGGCTCAGCGGACGACGTCCGGCGGCTGTTTCGCGAGATCGAGGAGCAGCACGGGTAGAGCGGGCCGGACATCCTGGTGTCGAACGCGGGGTACGGCAAGCGGCTGCCCGGGATCCTGGACGTGAGCCTGGAGGAGTTCGACTACACGCTCAGCGTGAACCTGCGGGCCTCCTTCCTGCTCACCAAGCTGAGCATCCCCCACATGGAGGCGCGGGGGTGGGGGCGCGTCGTCTTCGTCTCGTCGATCGCCGCGCAGGGCGGCGGCATCAACGCGTGCCACTACGCCGCCTCCAAGGCCGGCCTGACCGGCATGATGAGGAACCTGGCCGCGAAGCACGCCAGGTCCGGCATCACCGTCAACGACGTCGCGCCGGCCATGATCGGCGAGACGGGCATGATCCCCGACGAGAAGTCGGTCGAGGGTACGCCCGGCGACGTGAGGAACATCCCCGTCGGCCGTCTGGGGACGCCGCAGGAATGCGCAAACGTCGTCACGATGCTGTGCCGGACGGGCTACTTGACGGGCCAGAGCATCCTGCTGAGCGGCGGGCTCAAGTAATCTCCCTCTTCTCGGAGGGAGAGGCGGCCGCCGCCGCTCGAGGTTGTGTTCAATAGCCACACGATATAGAAGATGATCCCAGCTAACCAGTGGGGGGTATACCCATCTATACATCTGTCTTCCCCGTCTAATATCAGGTCCGGTCTAATAGCGGACAAGCATAAACGTGACACATGGCGCATATAAGAAATGTGTCTATTCTCTTTTAACTTCCACGGCCCGCGAATGTTATATGGCGCTGAGTTTCGGGGGTCTCCCCCACGCCGCTGACGCTGACGCCGCCTCATAAAACCGGGTATGCGGGAGTCGAGGGGTGAGCATCCGGGCTGTAGTTTGATGGTATTCATGGACCGAGGCCCGTTTACCGTAGTGGGCGAGGCGACGGCAGAACAAGCCCTCACGGGAGGTCTCGTTTTTCTCTCGTTTCGGGAATCTGCCACGGATTTCACCACGAAACAGCAAGATGAGGCCAGGTGAGAGAAGACGCCTACATTTCCTCGGTTGGATATGGAGCAGTGTCAATATCTCTCGTAGCAATTATCGTACCGCCGACTTGTGAGAAAGATCTCTGTGGTTGAATGACCGAGATGACGCTGGATCCCCGCGTGGTGTAAGGCACGAAGTCCTGAAGGGAAATCCCGGTGTTATGCCCCTTTACGGATTGCCCCTCTAGCAATAGGTAAATTGGAACTGTGCCATTTTGCATAGGCACCTCCTTAATCTGCCTTAGTAGCATCTCGGTCCTCATCGACCAGGATTCCTCGCGACAGGGCGATACGGAGTAAAGACGCTCTATTCCGGGCGTAATTACCCGTATTCTTCACGAATTGCAGCCGCTCTTCAAGGTGGCATACCTGGGCTGGAAAGAGAAAAGGGGGGGAAGAAGATAGCTAAGGGGAGGGGAGGACACATACCAACTAGGTAGGCACATAAAAGCCACAGTTATACGCAGGCTTATAGCTGTTCAATTGATACGTTTTTACAGCGCTTCTTACGTGCTTTCCCACCCCGGAGCCCGCCTATTAAAGATCGATTCCGTCTCTAAGAGGTAGCCACCTATACAACTTCGTATTCCGTAGTACTTATTAGAAACCGTTAGTTACCTACTGGTGAACAGTGACGCCCGCATTATAGGCGAAAGCTATCGTGACGCAGTCCCAGAACACGCCTCTACCTGCCTGTCCGCCTTCTCTTTTTCTTCTCCTCTTGGCGCATTTTTTCCTTTCAACCGGCGTTTCCCTTCCCGTCTCGATCTGTCCCCCCCCCCAGAATACCATCACCGCCAGACGCGAGGCCCGCAGCGCGCACCCTCCCCCTCGCGCCCATGGCCACCACCCCGAACATCACCGTCTCCTTCCTGCCGCCGACGCGCCTGGACGGGTACGACCGCACGCGGCCGTCCGTCGCGCAGCCGGCGGGCGCCGCGCCGCCGCCGCCGCCGCTCTTCGTCGACGCCATGGCCGTGCGCGAGGCCGTCTTCGTGCGCGAGCAGGGCGTCCCGCTGGCGTGCGAGCACGACGGCGACGACGCGCGCTCCTGCCACTGGGTCGCGTACTCGGCCCCCCCCGCCGCGCCCGCCCCCGTCGGCACCCTGCGCGTCGTCCCCTTCCCGCACCCCCCGCACCCCGCCCCCGGCGCCCGCTACGTCGACAACGTGCTGCAGCCGCCGGCCGCCGACGCCGCCGCCGGGTGCCCCCCATCCCCACCGTCCCCGTCCCCGGACGCCGCCGCGGCCGCTGCTGCTGACCGCCCCACCGCGTACCACGACGGCCGCGAGCCGTACGTCAAGCTCGGGCGCGTGGCCGTCGTCGCGTCGGCGCGCGGCCTCCACGTCGCGCGCCGCCTGTGGGACGCTGCCGCGCGCTGGCTGCTGGAGAACCCGGACTACTTCTCGGCGCCGCCCCGCGACGGCGAGAGCGGTGAGGGAGAGGGAGGGGGAGAGGGGCGCGACGTGAATCGCGGGAGGTGGGACGGCTTGGTCTGCTGCCACGCCCAGGAGACGGTCGCGCCGGTGTACGAGCGCTTGGGCTTCGCCGTCGACGAGGGCATGGGCCGCTGGTTCGAGGAGGGCATCCCGCACGTCGGCATGTTCCTGCGTCTGCCCGTCAAGCGGGAGGCGGCCATTTGAGCCTGATTAAGCGGGGAAACGTACGGCGTCAAGGTTACAGGAAATGAGAGTTAGAAAAGTTAGAGATCTATACGCATACTACTATGTAGGGGCGGCGTGTGCATTATAAGGCGTTGGGTGCGAGATGAATGATCATATGATCATACAAAACAGAGGACTGGGGTCTGGGAGTACGAATGGCATATAATACCTATTACACTGGCTGGTTGCTTACATCGATCCTCCAATCACACCTGGGCCGAGTGTAACCATCTCGACTCGTATCTAGCTGTCGATACATCACGATTGCATCCTCGCTCCTAGCATAGTAATATCCGCCTTGTCCAGAATTCCTTATTTTAGTTTGTATCATTTGCTCACACGAGCAGAGCTTTTATTGGGGAGCCCTATGTGACTATCATGCCATAGTAACCACATACCACCTGAGCCAGAACGCACAAATGCAGAGTGAGAAAGATGCCCAGATCACCCGCGCCGTAGAAAAACCAGGAAAGAACACCCCGTTTATCGGTTGCTCTTGGCGACACGCTCCAACTCGTCCTTCTTCTTGATCGCGTACGAGTTGCTGCTCCCCTTGGCAGCGTTGATCAGCTCCTCAGCCAGGCATTCGGCGATCGACTTGACGTTGCGGAAGGAAGCCTCTCGCGCGCCGGTGGTGAGCAGGGCGATGGCCTGGTTGACTCTTCGGAGAGGCGAGACATCGACGGCTTGCCGCCGGACGGTACCGGCCGAGCCGATACGCGTGCTGTCTTCTCGGGGTCCGCAGTTGACGATGGCATCGACGGCGATCTGGATAGGGTTCTGGTCGGTCATGAGGTGGATCTGCCCGGGAATTGTTAGACTCCGTCCCAGCGTCAACACACGGGCCTGCAGGTAGACCTTACAATCTCGAAGGAGTGCGCGACGATGCGGACGGCCATCAACTTCTTGCCGTTGTTGCGGCCGTGCATCATCAGCGAGTTCGTCAACCGCTCGATGATGGGGCAGTTGGCCTTCCGGAATCGCTTGGCGGCATATCGGCCGGCAGAGTGAGGGATGTATACGGGGGATCGGATCTGGACGTAGTCGCTGCAGGTTTTCCTCCGTTAGCCTGTTGTTCTATTCGTCCTCGCGTCTTCCACGCCTCCGAGCCGAGTACGGGCCACTGTCGGGCCGCTTCAACAGGTATACATTCCGAATTCGAGATTCGCTGTGAACCCGAGGGTGGGGACGATATCGGTCGACTTACGTTAAGGAGATGTCGCGGATTTCGACATCCTCGTAGCTCCCTATGGATATATCGTTAGACGTGATGCTCTATCGATGGGCTGGCCCGACCGAGCAACTTGCGTGAAGGTGTACAAGCAAGTAGGGGGGTAGTTTAAGGAACGTACATCGGTTGAACAGCTTGACGCTGCCAATCTCGGAGACGACGTCCTTGGGAAGGACCTGGTAGCTGGCGACCTCGACCTCGACCTCGCCGTTGTCAGACATTTTGCGGATTCTGGCAGGAGATTGAAGATGGTGGTGGTGGGGGAGGATCGCGAAATTCCACTGTTGAAGTTCAAGATAGAAATTTTGGTACGGTACCTTGCCATATGAAAATTCGTGGGTTTGAATTGGTGCGCGCTAGGGCTGGACGAGCGGCATGGGAAAGCGGCCTGACGGTCCTGCACCGTTGTCGCCAGCTGGTGCTCCGTGACCTCACCCAGCTGCTGCGGAATCCCCACGTGACCTTCCGACTCTGTGTTCTCGCGCCACAACAGGAGTGGCTTGACACATACATATAGGTACCCCAGTACGTCTTCCCCTAAACCCCCTGAACCGGCACGGCGGACAGCTCTCTCCCTCCCGTCCAACCACAGGTCGCCAATTCCCAATTTGCCCCAAGTCTGCGGAGCGTCGAGCCTCCGTTAGGGAAAGTCCAGTTAGACGCAACCATCACGAGAGCGAGCAAGCCGAGAAGTACGAGGAACGAACGAGGCCACATTGCATTACTCTTTCTTCTCTTCGTTCTCTTCCCTGTTTTTTCTTTCTATATTATTATCTGTATTCCGCATGCCAGTTCCATCTCCACCCATCTCTTAATTAACTACCTACTGAATCTGCCTATCATCCCCTCCTGGCTCTTCCCCCTTTTCAACATCCATCCGAGAGAGAGCGAGAGAGCGAGAGAGCGAATACAACCCACCCAAGCACCCACTCATACATATACATACATACGCGAGAGAGAGAGAGCTGTACGTCCACGACAGACTGACCGACCGACACCACACTCCGCCATGGCCGGACCCAACGCCACGACGACCGCCGCCGACACCAGTGGCTTCGCGCGCCAGCGTCGAGGGGGTGGGACATCGGAATTCGTACCGGTGCGGACCGCCGTCGTCGAGGAGCTATCCGACACATCCGAGGAGGAGGAGGCGGCGGTAAACGACGACAGGAATAAGGTAGGAGGGGAGAAGAAGAATGAGGAGGACGCGCAAGAGAAGGATTCACGGCCGCGAGCCCGCCGGCCGTCGGCCCGCGAGCGCGTCGCCGACGACGACGACTACAGCCCCTGGGTCGACGTGCTGCGCGTGCTCTCGTTCCTCGTCGTGGCCAGCTGCGCGCTCAGCTACCTGGTCTCGGGGGGCGAGAGCTTCACGTGGGGGATGCAGGACCCGCCGCGGTACCTGCAGCTGCGGTGGTGGCAGGCCCAACTAGTACGTCTCCCCCTCCCCCACCCCTCTTCTCCCTCTCTTTATGTACGTCACCGCAGAGGAATTTCCCCATCCGACCCTAACGCGCCTCCCTGAATGCTAGCGCGGACCGATCTACCTGACGCCGGAGGAGCTGGCGCAGTACGACGGGCGGGACCCGCAGAAGCCGATCTACCTGGCGATCAACGGCAGCATCTTCGACGTGTCGGCGAACCGGCGGACGTACGGGCCGGGGGGCTCGTACCGGTTCTTCGCGGGGGCGGACGCGTCGCGCGCGTACGTGACGGGCTGCTTCGCCGAGGACCGCACCGCCGACCTGCGCGGCGCCGAGGCCGCCTTCCTGCCTCTCGACGACCCCGCCGCCGACGCCCGCTACCCCGCCGCCGAGCTCGCCCGCCTCCGCCGCCGCGAGCGCGCCGACGCCCGCGAGCGCGTCCGCGAGGCCCTCGCCCACTGGGTCCAGTTCTTCGAGCGCAACCCCAAGTACCCCAAGGTCGGCTACGTCAGGCGCGACCCCGCCTGGCTCGACGCCGAGCCCCGCCGCCCCCTCTGCGACGCCGCCCAGAAGGCCAGGCGCCCCCGCCCGCCGCCCGCCGCCGCCGCCGAGGGGGAGGGGGACGTCGAGGGGAAAGGGAGAAGCTGAGGAAATTGCAGGTTTTTTTTTGGGGGGGGGGGACAAAAATGTACAGTCAAAGTCAGATCGAGACAGCGCGGGTTCTTAACTACGGTTCGCGGGTTTGTTTGCACGGCACCACGCGCGGGCGCGTCCCGGAAACGGTACGGTTCGGCCTCCTAATACGTAGTCGCGATAGAGAAAATGGCACACTCACGGGATTTGCGTGACGTTCAGGGAACGGGCATCGGCGCCCCAGGCTGCGCGCCGCATTACCTTGCAGCGAGGGGATCGGACGGACGTAATTGTAATTGTAAAGCGGCGTTGCATCGCGTGGCTGACGGCGACGATAGATGGTGCATACGCGCGCCGCGACTTGGACCCGTGTGTAAATCCTAAGCCGCGTTTTGTCCGATGACACCCATCTGAGACATGCTAGTCACCCCCTAAACTCCATATCACTACCGGGTATACTCCTCGCCGGATTCCCAACGACTCCCACGATTACAGAAACCTCTGCGCGACCCAGGGCCGCAGAGAAAGACATTCACGAAGCATTCGAGACGGAGGCAGAGGACTTTAATGTTCTCAAGGGATCAATGGGTATATATTATTCAAAAAGTCAGGCCACTTCGTCTAAGCGTACAGCAATGCCAAAAAGAGCCAAAACCTGGCTAGGGGGCCCCCTGGGGCGTGTAGAAGAATCCAAGCATAATTTCCGTCCGCCCTCTCTGTTCTAACACGAATCCGCGCCGGTTCGTATCAACCAACCCGCCCGCCGCGGCGCACGCGCGCGGCGTGCCCGAGCAAGGGGGAGTGTTCGTCATGAACCACCCGTCTACTACTATCGATAGAGACAGGCTATTACAATTCCCACTGATCCGAAACCGACGCCGCCGCCTTTTATCATTAGGCCGCGGCTCTATAAAGCCGCGGATGTGGTGGTCTATCTGCTCACTCCAGCATCGGCAAGGCCGATCATAGCATGAAGAGAGCGGCGACGAGACCGACGAGGCCAGCGGAGCTGGAGAAGCTGACGAGGCTGGCACCGGCGACGGGGATCGCCGAAGTGGAGGTCGCCGGGCTTCCAGTGCTGGTGGAATCTGCGGGAGCACTGCTGGTGGGCGAGCCCGATCCAGAGCCGCTACCGGAACCACTTCCGGAACCGTTGTCGACGGTGCCATTGCCGGCGCTGCCACCAATAGGCGACAGAGGCGCGGTGTTGGCGGTCTGCTGAGACGCGATTTGCTTGAAATTAGCGAGGCTTCGCGTCGCGTTGGCAGCAGTACTGTTTCGATCATTAGCCATAACATCCTCATTGTCATCCTCGCGAGGGAAAACTCACTTCTCGTTAACCACCAAGACCATTCCGTTTTGGCAGTGTCTGCCCTGGGAGCAGTAGAACCACAAGGGGTTCGCAGCGGTGACCCTGACGGTATAGGTGGGGATGGTGCCAGCAGCCTGGCTGGCCGCTACGGGTTGGTAGCCGGAGAAGATGCCGGTCTGGTTGGTGTGCTCGGAGATGGGGGAACACGGGTTGTCGAAGTTAGACTGGACGACGCTGTGGTTGCCGGCACGGAACTGGAACTGGAGCAGGTCGCCAACGTCGGCCTTGATGTTTTCGGGGCTGAAGATTAAGCTGCCGTTCGTGCTACCGACCGACACAACGTGAACCTTCTGGGCGGAAACGACGCCCAGGAGGGCAAGGAGAGTAGCCGTGGTGAACTGCATTTTGGCTGTGTGTAAAAAGCGACTGATGACTTTAAAAATAATAGAAAAAAACGCGGTGGTTTAAAAGGTGAGTGAGCGTATGATGCGATTACAGAGCGACTCGCGCTGATCAGGACTAGCCTTACGAATATTATGGTTGAGAGGAACGAAAGAGGTGAGTGAAGAGAAAAGAAAGCAAAGATCCCAAGAGAAGTTACAGATGCTGAATGAACTGGAAGACAGGAGGAGGAGAGAGAGACTACCGGCGGGAGCAGCGTCGCTTTAAAGACTGGTTGGGGGGGTGGACGGGCGAGATGAGGGATCGCCATGGCGCCGGCCCTAACCCATGCCCCCCCCGAACATGGAGTGTCAAGGGTAGTCGAGTTTAAGAAATTCCATGAAACACGTTTGGACCGTCGACTCGATGGCTTGTTTGGGAAAGGCTGCGCACCCATGCTGGATTGGTTCGGGGGGAGGATCCATCAGGACGGAGATGCAGCACCCGAAATGCAGGCGTACCTTAGTTCTCCCATCCGCAGGCCCCAGGGACCGCTTCCCGCCGCGGCGTGCTGTGGCACACACCGATGTGGTGTCTCTGGAGATCCTGTTCCTACCTACTCCTGTTCCTGTTCCTTACATCTCGGGCGCGCTTGGCTCTATGGCGAAGCCTCTGCAACCGCCAACAGGATCCAGCCCACGCAGGAGGGGAGATACCCGAATATAGGCGGCGCTGCTAACTCGCCCTCGGCCTAGCGATATGAGGCTCTGTGACGATGCGTGTCGTGGAAGGTCGGGAGAACAGGGAAAATCGGATGCTCTCGCATGCTCATTGATCCATGCTTGCTCGAGTGCCAGAGAAGTTGTTCGAGGCAACGGACAAGCATTCCTAGCAGGCGATAGCGGGCAGAAGACGAAGAAAGGCCCAGTTCGGCGCTAACATTGACCTACTCATAAACGACGATGTGGACCTACTAGGCAGGCCTCTCAGATGGGCGGCAACTCTGTGGGCTGTCGGGTTTGGGGGCTGAGAGCGGTTAGGACCAAGCCTGGAATGTTTCGAATCCGGGGATTCGAAGTTGTCACGAAAAAAAGAAAAAAAAAGAAGCGAACAAGAGAGAGAAGAGGTGGCCGGGGTAGAGACCGGGGTCGGGGACAGCTTAGGGAGAGCCAGGGACAGGCATTGTAGTAAGGACGGAGCTGCGATAGGGCAGGCTTAGGGGAGCTTCCCACTAAATTAACATTGGGAGGTGCCTGCCTACCTCGGCCAAGCCAAGCGTTGCCCCAGCGTGCTCAGCGGGCTCCGGCGGGCTCAGCGTGCTGCTAGGCGTGCTAAGCCAGCGCCTCCGGGGGGGGATGACAGACGGGGTTCGCTCGGATCGCGGATGTTGCTTCAGCATTGACCTTTGTGACAGCAGCAAAACCCGCCCCGTTTCATCCCTTCCCCTTTTCGCTTCTCGTCCCTCGGCCGTGATTCGACGAGGTATTCATTTTGCCTGGCCCGGAGCTTAGAGGCGATCCCTACCAAGATTCACATAAGCCCAAGAGACCTTCTGTTATGTCGGTATAGGTACCTCCCGGCTCGGCCTACGTTGCGCAGATGCGGCCTGTACCTATATTTTGACATCGCATTTCGTCGCCCATTGCTCGTTTCTACCCGCTCTAATACATGAACTAGGTACCTACCCACCCATAGACGATTATTATACGTTAGGCGAGCTGGTAAGTTAGGCGCCCTCCAGCCTACCTTAGGTTAGGTATCTGGTATGTAACCTCCCTGGTGCAGGTGCCTAGGAGGTAGGTACTCATATATCAAATAGTTACCTGCCTGCTAATACAGAAGGTATGTGCGTAGCATATCTTAGGTACATGAATGTGCGATCTAGCACATCGAAATACGTTGGAAGGTACCTCGTCTCCCGCTAAGCTACCTGTAGGTTTAGGTAGGTACCTAGGTAAGTCACGAATGAGGTCCCCAAGGGACCTCAGACTCCTCCTCTAAGTACCTACCTGCCCCCAAACTCCTACACGTAAAATCCTATCAGCACCTACGTACTATCTTGGGCGCATATCCTTTAGCTACCTACCCAGATGCCATCCTCTATACCCCCTGAGGGGGAGGCGGGGGGAGTTCTTAAATCCTAAGAAACATTGGGATTAAATTGCAAACACCTACTACCGAGGCGGATACGCCCCTCGTCCATCCTCTTCCTTCTCCTGCGCGCCTACGCCGCGGTTATCTAGCCAAGTCTGCAGGTAAGTACGCATTTCTCGAATTCGTTTGACCCGACGGAGGGGGGCGGCGAGCAGCCAGGCGGGCCTCGCTCCGCGACGATCAGGGACATCCGGCCCAGTCCGCGTATCGCTGCCTCGTACGTAGGTACTACGCAGACGTGTTAAACGATGGGAAAACAACACACAGACGGTGTCAAGTTTGGGGGCCGCGCAGCCCGTAGGCGACGACAGAAGCAACCGAGGGGTCCTTGCGAAATTAGGAATAGTAGTAGTGATGGTAGTGATTATTAACACCCGTGGGGACGCGAAATTGGGAATGCTACGGTCGTAAGCAGGTCGGTAATGAGAACGCATGCCACGCTCAGGTCGTAGTACTACCGTGGGATTGTGTAGTCGCGCTTCTGACGCGCAGCAACGAAGGAAACTGGCGTTGGGAAGACCTGAGTGCCGTTCTGCGACTCCTTGGCTTCTTCTATTGCTTCCCCCACCCATGTGCTCGCTCTGCGATCATCTCCAGTCGAGCATCGCTGTCTACCTACCTCCTGCGTAGAACCCCGTTAAAATTCCAATTCTCCTAATGGCTGCGAGGCCTCTTCTATTTCCGTACACACACACACACCTTGTGGAGGGGCGATGTGTAGACGAATGGGCTGCACGCCGCTTACTTCGAGATGGGATGGTGGGATCACGCAGTCCATACGAACCCGACCGATTCCCCCTACTTCGCCGGAGCTGGAAGTGAAGCGTACGGGTAGCTCTAGCATCCGCCCCGATCCGAGCTAGCATGTTATCCATGCACACCATGTACGGATGAGATGCACGTAGGTACACACATATGTACATACATCCAGACTATAATGAGAGGCCAAGCGATGCAATGTCCGCACCAGGCGATCCCCCAAAATTAGGGGGACGCGACATGCTGGGTTGCGGACGGCGGCCTCGTAGATCGACTCGCCACATGCGTAAGCCGTTCGTGCCGAAAAGGAGACTGCCTGCCGATACCCGTGATCTCATCCTCCGTCGTCTATTGTGTACTGACTAGGCTTTCTCACCTTGGAGGAATCAGCCGCTACACCAGCGTACGGGAGGAGAGGGTAGCGGTAGAAATACCTTCGGTCGAAAAGCCCCCCCTCCTTCGCTAGCCAAGAACCTCGCAACCCAACTAACCCTCACATTCAAATATGGGCGCTATCCCGCTTTATCCTCGACCGACGACGACGACAATGTAGGTGGAGATCGAGTCTCGGGCCTCTCGCGGGCTTCCCGATACCGACTAGAACCACGATCCAGCCGGTACCTCCCCTCGTCAACGGATCATAGATCGAGCAGCAGCTGCGGCGCCACCTTCTCGAGATCCTCGACCTATTATTATCATCGACATCAACCCTCGTCGTCAGCAACCGAAACAAGGAGACTATGTCGTGAGGAGAGAATAAAGAAAAAAAACCCCCCTCCCGAAGCTCACCTCTAAGAACCCTCTCTCCTTCTCCACCACCGTCCGCGCGATCGCCTCCCGCACGAAGATGTCGACGTACTTAGCCACCGCTGCGTTCGCGTCCCGCGACACCCGCGTCCCGTCGCGCTCGAAGAACTCGTGCAGCACCCGCGTCAGCAGCTCCGGCGGGATCGTCTTGCGCGTCTCCTCCTCCTCCTCGTCTTCCTCCTCTCCCCTCTCCCTGCCCCCTTCCTCTTGGCTATCATCCCTGCCGCGTCGTCGCCCGTCGATCTCCATCCTATCGTCCTCGTCCTCCTCTGCAAACGGGTCGGCGTCGCTCGCGCCCGGCCGCGGTGAAGGCTTGTTGCGCCCGGACCCTCGAGCCTTGGACGCCGCTCCTCCTCCTCCTGCTGACCCTGCTGCCGCCTTCGAAGGCCTGCCTCTACCGCTGGGTGCTGAGGATGTACCTCGGCCGCGGGGGGCGGACTGTTTCGGGGGCATGGCTAGACCTCGTCTCCCTAAAAAGGCAAGTCCTTCGGAATGGGGGCGGAGAGGAGAGCTCGTCTACGGTTGATCCCGTGAGTAGGTGGGTAGGACTGGTGTCGGCGTTGGCAATGGTAGGTAGGTATGCGAACTCGGTAGGCAATTTGGGAAACTGGTATGATAGGAAGGGTAAGTATGAGTAGGTGTAAGGAAGGCAATTAATGATTGAGACGCGGCGCGCAAAATATGGAGCTAATCCGACGATGACTTGGCCCCAACTGTTTGCCACCTGGCCCAACTATCCCGCATTTTTAACCCTGGCAATACCTGGTGTCGGTCAGAGAAGAGGCCCCTATCCTACGATCTACGAACCTACAGCTTCTTCTTTCCTTTCCCTTTGGCTTATTTCGTAACTATCCTAGACGGAGCTGCGGGTTTTCCCCCATGTACTCGTTTGTAGTTGTATACCGCGTATGAAAAGAATTATAAAAAAAAATTTTAAAAGGCGTTATTTTCAAGCTTGCACGTAATTTCGAAATCATCAGAGAGGGGTGTCTGTTGCGAAACCACTTGCATTCAGATGTCTATGAGTCGTATGCAACCAAAGGAACCTGGGCCCGAGTCAGGCATCGAAACATATAGACGATGCAGGATGCCAAGTAGAAAGAATACAGTCAAGGGAATTGCCTAGGATCTAAATTACAGCGGATGGCCAACTGACAAGGTATGCGAGGCTTCCACCTCGTCCATCAGCCTGTTCCGCAAAATCAAGTTGTTCCAGAACGCCACGGCAATGAGTGATGTCCTTTCACAACTTTCCACTGGGGCATCCATCGCGCCCCTTTTTATCAGCCCCTTTGAGTCGACTTGGTCCAGTCGCCTGTCCACTGTATTACGCCACCACGCCTCCCCCCGTCTATAGAGATGTTGAGGGGTATCTTAACCGGAACCGCCCTTGAAGGCCTTTCCGAAGAGGAGAACCTGGAGTTGATCGTAGATCGAAAGCACACCAGCACCGGCGACACCACGGAGAATGTTGGCGCCAGCGCCCTTGAACAGGGACTTGACGCCCTCCTTGGCGACAATCTGGCGGGCGGCATCGATAGTACCGTTGTACTTGACGGCCTCACCAGAAGTCATCATCATACGACGACGGATAGTGTCGAGAGGGTACGAGGCAATACCGGCACCGGTGGTGACACACCAACCGAGAGCGAAGGAGGCCAAGAAGTTGTTCGCCAAGGGGCCGATCAGGACGACAGGCTTGATGGAGTCGTACAAACCAAAGTACAGACCACGGTAGACGACGATGCCAACAACTGACGGCATGAAGCCACGGTACAGGCCAGGAACACCGTCACTGGCGAGAGTCTTGCGGTAGACATCGACCAGACCGTTGAACTGGCGCTCACCGCCCTTCTTGGCGTTCTTCGCGTCGTTGGCGAGACGGGTACGGGCGTAGTCGAGCGAGTAGACAAAGAGGAGGGAGGTAGCACCGGCAGCCTAGCCAATCTGTCAGCGCCTATGGACGTACAATCACGGACGCTGGATATTTAAACGCACACCACCAGAGGCCAGGTTGCCAGCCATCCACCAAGCGTATCCATCGCGCTCCTTCTTAAAGCCGAACATCTTCTTGAACTTGTCACGGAAAGCAAAGTTCAGAGCCTGAGTAGGGAAGTACCGGATGACGTTGGCAGTGTTGCCACGCCACAGCGACAGGACACCCTCGTCGGCAGTGGTCCGTCGGAAGCAGTCGACGATGCCGTTGTACTTTCGGTCGAGACGACCGGACTTGAGCATCTCATCCTATATCCGATTCGTTAGCATCGGTGGTTCCCCGATGGCAGAGAGCGATTGCGCCCTTGCTCTGTCGAGTATATCAAGAGCATGCGAAAAACTGCCATGAGTGGGGTTTGGAGAATGCTTTCACGAGGGGGTGATTTTTTTTCCCCCCACGGTTGGAAGATAAAAAGGGGACAGGATCTACGGCTAAACGTACCTGGTTTTGAATCAGGAGCTTGACACGCTCAATGGGAGCGGCGGCAGTCTTCGAGACGGCGGCGGAGACACCACCCACTGGAGGACTCGTCAGTATCGTTTATCAAGCGCCGCAAAAGATGCCACGGTGCATCAGAATCGCGGTATCGAAGACGACGGCAATTCCGACGGAAATCGCATCGAGAGGCTAGACATACTCAGGAAGTCCGCCAGGAAGGGCTATGATCTCTATCGTCAGTAAAAAGCAAAATCTTCAGAACAGAATGCCACGAGAGAGATTTGGGTCGAAAGGGATCGGTTGCTGCCCCGGCCAGCCGTATTTCCGACGAACATCGCATCATCCCGAAGAATTCGACAGCGGCTCGAACCGCGCCTGGGGAATCAATTGAGGTGGCCGAGGGCACGCGCTGGGGGTATCGGAGCCGGTTGAAGGCGTATATGTGGCCGGAACTCGCAACGAGGGAATTATTGAGGAACCAAGGAACTTACCGGCATGCCCAGGACTTTCGGCTGCTCCGACGACATATTGTCGACTGTTCAAAGACAACTTGATCTTTGAGAGAGAAGGAGTGAGTGGGGATTGGAAGCGCTGGGGAAAATGAGGGTTGATGGAGAGGAGAGAGAGTTAGAAGTGGGAAGGATGGATAGTTTTGTGCCAGCCGAGAGAAATATTTCTACTGCGACTGGGGGGGGGGGGCCGTAGAAAGTTGGAAGGTTCGGGGCCCTGTGGAGTGGAGCGGAGGGAAGGAGGGAACGGGAAGAAAAAAAAATTGCTGCGGGTAGTTGCCCTTGGGGCCTTTGGCAGCCAGCACTTTTTGAGCGACTCTTCCCGGGTCCACCGCTAAGACCGCACAGAGACCCCTTTCAACCTAGCCGTTGCCCCAGGACCAATGAATGTCACGTGTATAACTGGGCCTCCCCTAGAGGAACCCGCTAGGCCGCTAAACAGCAGCCGGGCAGCAGCTGTAGGACGGCTGTAGGACGGCTGGGATTCAACTATACTCAGCTGGTTCGCCAGCTGCCGCAGGGCTGGCTTTGACTGTCGCCTACCGACGCAAGACGGCGTCAACTTGGCTTCGAGCTATCCTTCTGCCGGACAATTTCGGAATGGCTACATGTCTAAGTCAGGGCAGAATCCCATCCATTCATCCATCCACCGATGTCACCGATTCCTCCGATTCTACCAACCTTACCTCGCAGAGATCAGACGCAAGCCTATTCTTTATTCCATTAGGTACCTCCTAACTTGGGACAGATGCATGCCCTCCCTAGACACTTACAAGCACCTACGGCACGCACTGAATGATAGCTTGTAGATTACCTAGGTGTTTTCATAGTGAATCTATATTTAACCTAGGCAACCTAGGTTACTTGCTCCATAGGCAGAAGGATCTCTACAAACACGAACCCTATGTAATATTGCTTTCGGAAGTAAGCAATTGGTTCTCAGCGTTTTCCTTCCTCTCACGCGTATCTATCTCTAGCCTAGATCTAGAATGATGAGAGAAATACAAAATGGAATTCAAGATAAATGAAAATGTGTCTTGCGCTCTAGTAGCATCCATGCCTATCGCACGCACGCACGCACACACGCACGCACACACGCACACAGAAATTCCCCGGTTGATAACGACATTCCATGCGTCGGTAGAAAAAAGAGTCACGATGCCCCTCCACATGCTTCCAGTCTCCAGGGGTCTCCTCTGGTCTCTTGATCCCGTTCCCCGAGTCTGGTGGGTCTTGTGCCTTACTACCTTGTAATAGGTAGTAGCTAGGTAGTCCGCTAAAAACTTCGAACAGATTAGACGGTATACACTCTTGTACAATGTCATTGCTGCAACGGCTCAGTACCACAGTTTGCTTTCCGAGGGATATTTAGATCGAGAATTTACAAAGCCCCCATTGCATGACACCACACTCATCTAGACGCCCATTCTCCACCTCTCTTTGTCCCCTCTTGGCTTAATCTTGATCCCAACAGCCTAAGAAGACTACAAGATTGGTTAGATAAACAGTTAAAATTTACTACCTACTTACTATTCTCTCCAGCCCTACCACAAGTCCCAACACAACCCTGAGTCTTCGCAGGCTGCAGATGAGTACTACTTCATAGGTGATGGCATAACACTGTCTAGCGGGGAAACAGATGGTTTGCATTATACCTACACCCTAGAGGCTGACCCCTATATTATCCAACTAGTGGTGTAGATTTTAGCATGGGACGAACTCGTTGTCCAGTAGGTTGGCTGTGCTTGTTGTCGCCATTGGTTCTTTCATCCATCATTATTCTAAACGCGGGGCTCAGGTGCCTATTACGAGCCGCAGAGGGTGCGATGAGGCAGAAGTCTACAATAGAAACCCCGTGCCTTCTACGCATATCCGTAGGGGTAAGAAAAAACAGTCACTAGCGCCTAAGCGATAAAGCCTCCATGTGCGGGTGGGGCGACGGGGTAACGGGGTGACAGAGGGTTTTCCATTTGGACCCTATCTGAATGCAACTACAAGCAAAATTCTGAACCGTAACCATGCTAAACGCGACGCCGGGGACCGAAAGCCCGAATCCACCTAATTTCCATCCGCGATCCCTCTAGGCCCGCCAAACTGTTCCATCGTTGACTGTCGGCCGTCGCCATATTCATCGTGTGGTGTCGTGAGGTTGATGGTTTAGTCCGACGCACCGACGGCTCGGGCTATATTGAGGTCAGCATGCACATACCACTAGCAGAGTTCTCACACCCTATCTCGGACGTACTGTAGATCTTCATCTTGCTGTGCGTGACAACAGACCTGATCTGCCCCTTCTCCTCGAGGTCCTTCAAGCATTTCCGCGCTAGCGAGCCGTTAATCTTTAGTCTGTCGACGAGCGTGGCGACTGTGACGAGGCGGTATGATTGAACATCCTTGTAGAGCTTCTCGGAAGTGGTCTTGTCGAGAAGGACGGCGTGTTGCGCCTTGTCCTTGACTGTACAGCACGCAAGCCAGTTAGAAGAGCCGGGAAATTGGCATTCGGGAGGCACCGTCATCCTCTCTAACGAGCCTTGTTATCGTAAAAGTTCGTCGTACTCACCCTTGCCCCTGTGGTATCAAGGTTAGCTAAAATATCCAGCTCAGGTTAGATGGCGTCGATGCGACACGTACTTGGACCACTTCTTCTTCTGCTTCTTCGCGCCAGTCGCTGCGGGGGCCATATTGTTGGATTTCTGATGTTGGCGTTGCAGTTGTGATAATGTGGTGGTGGAGGGGCCGAGAATAATTGAATTTTGGAAAGTTCGCTTCTACATTGTGGGCAAAGGCCACTATCAATGTATGTCACGTGATTACATACTTTGAATTTCGTGGCGGGTGATGTCTTAGGTAATGCTAGTTCAGGTGTGCCTAGGTATCTCGTGGCCTGTGCGTCAGCTATCACAATCGATAGGTACCTGCAGAGGTACCGTAAGGTAGATATCGAATCCTAGGCATACAGTGAGCAGCAGGTCACGTGCCATAATGTCATGCCAACTAGGGTTCTCCTACAGGGCACAGCCTATTACATTATCATATAAAAACAAGTTGCATAGAATATCCACCTATACACACCTCCTTTTCCTTAGCCTTAAGAGAGATTCTTGTATTTTTACTACATACGGCAAGAATATAAAAGAGGAGCGCGAAGTGCTTGGACATTTAATTAATACACTTATTTTAATTGGTAAGGTCTCATGTCTTATCCGCAGAGTAGTGTTTATTTTAATACTATTAGAACGTCTGCCGCATTCCATTTATTTTCCTCTACTACCGGAGCGTAACCTCCCAGACTAACGCAGTGTTTCACGAACGCTTACTTTACCTCTTACTACTTTCCCATGTCCTCAGATGATGGGTACATCCGTGATGACTGGCCGAAAATCCCGGATGGCAGCAACTATGACGGCAAGCGGCTACTTACCTTAGTTCGCAGCGGCAACAGCCCCTTCAAGAAAGTCTGGGATGTAAATCTTCTCATTCAGGAGGTTGAAGACAATATCAATTCCCAGGTGATTGATATTCCATTTGTTTCCAAGGGCTCGAATAACTATGTAAGTCATTGATAACCACTAAACATCTACTCTTTACGACCTAGATATCTCAAACTGAACTCCGGGGCGAGGGCAGGGCTTTCACTTCAAGATGTCCGACCAACGGGACATCTTAGTGCGTTTAGCTCGTGGGGACGTAAACATGCCAGCTTACGACGGCTCCCCGATGGATTTTCTAATTCAAGAGATTAAGTTCGAGGCCGCTGTTTATACGCTCCTAGGGTCACAGCCTGATATCCCAACCTCCCGCCCCCTTTATTACCGTGCTCCTGTCCAGCACAACGGTGCGAGAGTTGATATGCCAAGGGATATTAGAGGTCGTTGTTTGATGGTCTTTGAGAGAGCAGAGGGAGAAAACAACATCTGGGGTGAACTTGGCCCGGATGGAAAGGTACATCACGGATCATTTGCCTTGGCACCAGCCACCTTCTCCCCTCTCCGTCACCAGCAGCTCACACTATTGTCCCTTGAATTAGGCCTGCCTTCTTGCCCAAGCTGCCCGCATCCGCGCATCGTTGTTCAATTTCAGTCTCCCAGCTGACTTCGCCACTGCTTGGCTTCGTCTACGCATCTTCGAATTTATGCCAGAGGAGCTTCCTCTTCCCATTGCTCCTACGCGTGAGTTCTGGATCGCTATATTCACATCTAAGATTAAAGCAACAATTGGCGAGGAAGGTGACATGATCGGGTGGGAGGACGACCACAACATCGTTGGTCCGGTTGCCTTAAAGGCTAAGCAGTCTCTCCTGCGCTTCGTCCCACACATGATGCCTACAGGTAACGATGAGGGCTCTCTGTATCGCCTCGTTCTAGACCACGGTGACTTTGGCATTCACAACATGTCAATCATGGTGGATATAACTAGTCAACCGTGTGTAACATCCTTATATGATTGGGAGACTGGCTGCATCATACCTGCCATCTTGTCTGATCCGGAGATGGCTGTGCGGGTTGATCTGGTCACAGACGAGAATGGCGCCCCCTCGATTACTCGAGTACCTAAAGATGCAACTCCAGAGCTCCGCGATGAGTACATGGTGTGCGCGAGTCAATATATCAAGGTACGCCCTTGACTTAAGGCTCTGTTCCCTCTCTCCGTTTTTTTCTAACTACCTTTGTTTTTGAAGGTCCTCTATGAACATGCGCCATACTTTGAACGTGCCATTCAGGCTGGGAAAGACGCCCGCCACCTTTGGTTTGCGTTGAAACGCTGGAGGGGTAACGACCCAGAAGAGTTCTTCGGTAAGCTTGGCGCCTGGGCTGAGAGTAGAATGAAAGAGATTGGAGTTGAGTGAGTGTATGCGGCAATAGACAAGATAAGGAGAGGATAAGAATAGCCCGCAAGGCCATCAAAAAACGTGGCAGTATCCAGACGGCACGGCAGGTAAAAGAGGGAGGATCAACCGATTGAATTCTCTAATCAGAAGGACCAGAGCCCCGATATATATACAAAGCTGCTCCTAATCAGGCCTATTGAAGGAAGCTAGTAGGGATTATTGCTAACATGCCTGAAGGTCAGGCTTCAAGTATGCGATTGTAAGGAAATCCTTGAATACGTTATCGTAGCGTTTGGTCATGGAACCAGACACCATGCAGCACAACAAGCAAGGCATTGTGCCAACTGCATTCTACTCTTGCCTTGGCTTCGATGCGTGCTTATGTTGCCTCTTTCTGCACTCGCCGTGGACCTTATACTTCGGCATGTCCTCGTTGAACGCGAAGCTGACGGCTATAGGTAAACCTGTCTTGGTTATAGCTTTTGCTGCCGTTGCTAGGCACAACAACGCTGGCATCGCTGATCTTCATCTCAGATCAATCATCCTTGGCGATAGTATTAAAGCTAAACAGACCGCCGCACTTGTTTAAGGCAGGAACGGGGAGGAGGCCTACTTGAAAAGCAGGCGGGGGGTGGCTGTGGTAGTCCTGCGAGAGAAGACTGTCAAAAGTGAGGACGCAGCTAGGGGATGGTGAAGAAACACGATATACGCGTCAGGGACAACAGCGAGCTTCGTCAGGAGTACATTGCCGTCGGAGGCTATCTAAGTCCTCAGAACGATCTTGTTCTCAAAGGATATAACGTCCTTCATTGCTTGGCCGTCCATTACATACGCGGTACCTTCGACCTTAACAACGGCCTCGTTGGTATGGATGCTATGGTGGCGGTGATGGAGGTAGATGCAGAGGGTGATATGAGCAGCATGCTTAAGATAGACATGGCAGATGGGGCCATTGATGATGTCGCTGATGGGTAGGGCTTATACAAGAGCTCGAGCGGTTAAGCCTGTTAGGAGACATCTGCCTCCCCCAGAGAGGGGAGATCATTACAACAGACGCGGTCAACGAGGGCAGTCATGGTGAGGCAGGCCGGATGTAACAAGGGAAGGAGAAGGATGCAGAGGGAGAGGAGTTGGAGGTAAAGGGATGTGGACGGGGAGTTTCTAACAAAGGAATAGGGGTGCTGTGGAAGAACAACTTTACCCTTCAACGCCTTTTATTAGTTACCAATCAACAACGTACGATTCAATTACAGGTAGCTTGCCAACCTAATAATAGCCCTGCCTTTCCCGACCCAACCGGCGCTTAGGGAGGTTTCTCCCACAGAGGTGCCACGATACCTTTTACAGATTACCGACACACCTTATACCTACCCACGCACCCAATCGAGGACGTACCGATCAACACGGAAACCTACACAGACGATACCGATACAAACGAAATCAGATAAATAATAAAAAGATAGCCCAGATAATAGGGTTAGAACACGGAGCTTAATTAGAACAGGAATTAAATTGCCATTGGACAAATAAACACAGAGACGGGCATTAGAGTCGAACATAGAATCGGACGTATTATCAATCGGGTTAAGAATTAGGTTTATCAAATGGACGGGATCGGCAACAACCAAACGCGGACGGGAAGGACGGAGATTGCGTAGCATCATGATATTGTTTTTTTCTTTGTGTCTTTTCCTGCTGGCCCTTGACTAAACTGAATTGCTCTCAGCTATTCGGGGTCTTAATTAGGTCTAGGTTCATTAGTTAATTAGGATACAGTTACAGCTCTACTAGTCCTATCGTCTAATCTCTCTTATCTCTTTCTGTTAGCTTTTAGTTAAACTAAGGAGGCTGTAGTAGCACGGTAGAGCTAGTCCTTGTAAGGTTTCGAATGAGTATTTATTCTATCTAGAAGATATAATAAGAGTTTTCATTACTACTAATAGCTTTTTAAAGAAGCTATTATTATAAGATATTGACCTTTTATATTTTAATTAAAAATAGGTATTTTTATTACATGTTAGAGTTTTAAGTAGGTGAATAATACCGTGTTTGCTAACAGTAGTAAGTGCACGGACGATTTTTCAATAGCGGGAAAGGTGTACGTACATATGTACGTGTAGGATCCATTAGGCAACGTCGGATTTCGTGCCTGCCTTGTGCCTTGCCTGTTGGTGCCACCTTTTTAACTGGCTTCCTCAGCCTGCCTGGCCTGCCTGGCCTTAGGTACATGCCTCTCGCCTACCCGCCTCCCTCCGCCTCCATACCTGACCTTGCCTACCGGATCTCTTCGTTGTCCGTCCGCATGTTTTAACATCATTCTTCCGACGCGATTCGTGATCGTATTTGGGTAGGGGATGTCCGGATTGAGCGACCTGTAAGTGGGATCGTGAGCCTCAGCCGACCAAATCTCCAAACGCCATGAGGCGAATCGTCTCTTGATCGAATCTCTCCTATTGCTGCGTATATACGTGTTCTGGACCTTTTCCCTTTTTTCTCTCTTCGTTCCCTCGCTTGTCAAGACCATTGCTGCCTACATACCTACAACGGACGAGACGGGAGTCCGCAGTGACACGAAAGGCACGTCGTGCCTGATCGTCGTACTGTGATCCCTTGCGACCACGCGTTTCCTAACGTCTTATTCCCCCGGGGGCTTTCCATCCTTCTGTACTGTCCGTTTCAACCTGTACACTACTTAGCTATCTAATAACAAGCCTCGAACCTCCTCCGATATGCCGAAGCCGCTCGCCATCCTCGGGATACCTCTTCGCCGAGTAGGCCCGCGACGTATCTCCCTCCTCCTGACGCTCGTGGGCCTATTCGTCTTGTTCACACTCCTCTTCACCCTACCCAATGCTATGCCGACGGGACCCAGTCTGTCTAAATCCATCGCCGACCATAAATTCTCCCTACCGAAATATAAGGATACGCTCTCGTCGCTGAATCCTTTCCGGCCCGCTTCCCACAAACCCCCGGAGCAGAACAACTCAACATACGGTGGGAGTTCGTGGTATTCAGATTGGAATTGGAAGAGCCCATTTTCCTCGTCTGTAACGTTAGATGAGAACCGGTCCCTTCTCCCGCCCTTGAAGGAGAGGCCTCCCATCTATTGCTATTATGACACCACCGCCCAGCGGGATGATGCTACCAAAGAGGCCGAGAGCGCGCTGCTGCTCACGTGGCGACGCGCCTGGTGGGCGCAAGGATTTGAGCCCATTATCTTGAGCGCAGCAGAAGCTATGAACAATCCGTTCTATGACGAATTGCAGCGGCTGGAAATGGAGCCGACTTTCAAGAAGGATATGATGCGCTGGCTGGCGTGGGAGAACATGGGTGGCGGACTTCTGTCTCATCATCTATTGTTTCCGATGGCGCCTCGCGAGGACCCTTCACTGTCCTTCCTACGAAGGGGCGAGTACCCCGGCCTGACGAGATGGGGAGGTCTTGAAAATGCCTTGTTCGCCGGGTCGAAAAATACGGTAGCTACGGCTATCAGACAAGCCCTCCAGAGCCCCAAGAGAAAGTCGGCCAAGGACTTTATCGCCGCCGTCCCCGACGAAACTTTTCTCATTGACTCATCCTACCAGTCCTTTGCCTTCTACGACAGTAAGACTGTTGAGAAGAGCTATAAAAAAGTGGCAGATGAGGTAGTAGCCGATCGCCCCCGAGGCTTGAAAAGCTTAAATGGCCTTGTCAATGCCCATCTGCAAAGTACCTGGCAGGATATTTTCTCGGGGGGCATTGCTGTCCTCAAGCCTATGCCGGCTCATACAACGCACATGATCGAGCTAGCCTTCGAATTGGCAACGACGATTGCGACTTGCAGTGATAGCCCGATACCGACGTCTTGTCCACCGAATCTCCCAAAATGCACTCCCTGTATTTCTTCGCCCCCGATGAAGATCTCAACGCCGGTGCACTACCGCAACACGACCAATCTATATACAATAGCGACTGTGCCGCACCCGTACACTTTGCGCATGATGGACTCGCTCCGCGATACGATAGACGTTGATTGGATTAGGCGCGAGACACAACGCGACGAATGGCTTTATAGCGTCTTCCAGGAACTTCTCGGCGCTGAGATATCCGGCTCGGCGCGGGTTGTTAAATTCAAAGACGCCGTGGCTGGGGAGTTTGCCACTTCGCACACTCTCTGGTTGACGGCCGAGAAAGACACGATCCCGCATGACCTGGACTGGTGGTTCGGCTTCGAGATTCCGCGGAACACGTCCGGCGATAAGTCGGAGGCCCCGGCTCCGGCGCGGAAGCCGAAACCAGACCACAATCCGGCTGATTCGCCGATCCCGGGTGCCGATGAGCTTTCGCGCGAACCAGCCCTCCTAGCGAGGGCACGCGAGGTAGTTAAGAGCAAGGCCGAGCGGGACGTGCGCGTGCGCAGCGCCGTCGAGGCCTGGAACCTGGCCGACACGGAAGCCTGGCGATTCGCCCGCGCTTTCTTAGCGCGCTCAAGGGTCGAGAGACTCAAGTGGGAAGAGGAAGAGAGCAAGTACGCCGGGGGTGTAGGGATCGATAAGAGAAAGGGGCGTGGAGGCGGTTGGCTGCGATGGGGAGATGACGATTGAGATATGTATCAAAACACGTGAACCGCGCTGCGTAGGGAAAAGGAGATCGCGGGAAGGACGTGTATGGTTTTTTTTAATGAAACGAAGGGTTTGACGTATCCTGGCGGGGGGACCTCTCTAGGGTATCTATCTTATTGGAGCAGAGAGAAGAATAAGAACCAGGGCCGCTGCCGGGATCCTGGCAGCAGCGGTAGCAGCGGCACGGAGTTTTACGCGCCACGGTTGGGAATCTGGGCCTAGACCTGTGGGGAGTAGAGCTCGACGACCTGTACACATAGATATAAAGACTGTGCTTCTACCACCACCGTTGCCGCAAGACCACGGGTGCGCGTGCGCAATGTACGCCGCGGCGAACGAAGGGCCGGATGCGCACATGTTGCAAAATAATAGGGCGACTTTGATAGCAAAAGCAACCCGCCCGCCTGGGCTCTGGCGCGCGCTATATACGCTATAGGTATATACATGCGTGCGCGCGGCACGAGACACGCGAGCTCCCGGGCCACCACACGGTCTCTCTCCGAAAGGCTCGGATCGAGGCGAATATGAAACGAAAGACGAGGGAAGGGGGCCAGATTGTTGAAAACTGGCCCGGACACGAGAATATACGTAGGTGATGTTGAATACACGGCTGGGGTTCTCCACCTAACTTCCCCTCCTTTTTTTTCTCCTTTTCTTTGTTTCTTTGTACTACTTTCTTGTCTTTTTTTTTATTACGTTTTCACTTGATATCATCAACAATCCGATGCCTCCCTCGAATCGAATCGCATTAGGATCCCGAGGCCGCGGGTGTGTCGCCGCCCATCTCGCCGCTCAGCTCCCGCGACGTGACGCCACGCCTCGCCAGGCCCGCGACAAAGGTGGCGCCGGCACCGTCGGCCGCCGCCCCCGCTCGCGTCGCGTGGTCGAGGTAGAGCGACAGCACGCTCTTGGTGGTCTCGCGCGCCTTCTCGGCGTCGGCCATGATATTCTGCAGCGCTCGGACGAGAGCTTCGTCGGGGGCGCTCGCGCCGGCAGCCTCGGACGCTGCACTGGTCCCCTCCCGGGCCGCGGGGTTGGGATAGGTCCGCAGGGCGCTCTTCATGGCCTCCAGGGCCTTCTCGGCGTTGGTTAAGACATCTCGCAGCACCCGGGCAACGCCATCGTCGGCGGTGCCGTCGCTATGGTCGACGACGGGGGGGCCGGTGCCGTTGATGGACCCGGGCTTGTCGCCAAGCGCCTTACGGCGGCCGTCCCGCTCCTCCAAGAGCTCGTGGATGTGGCCGTTAAGCCAGACGCCGTTGAGCTGCGCGGGGGTCATGTCCCGGGCGCCGGCGATGCGGCCGCGGCAGGAGGGCTTGTTGCAGAGACAGTCGAAGGGCTGGGCCATGGCCCACTCCGTCGACGGGTAGAAGAACTGAGAAGAGGAGTAAGCTCTTGCGGGGCGGAAAAGGGGGGCTTACCAGCGGCGCCGGCGGTGGCGCGGCGGGCGGCAGGACAGGAGGGCACCAGGTGACGGACGGTTAGTTCCTCGCCGACGCGGAGACCGTTGGGTCCGGCGATGATGTTGAAGGTGGCCGTATCGAAGAACTGCACGCCCCAGGGGGAGAGGCGGGGGCAGTGTTAGAAAGACGAATCTGCGAACTTTGGGAATTCGGACTCATCACCCGGACATCCTCGCCCCTGTTGCTCTCTTCCACTCTCTCTGCTTCTCGCGCAAAGGGGAGGGGGAGAGACGGTACTGACGAGGGAGGGCTCGCACGAGTGGTTAATGTACAGTAGATCGCTGTTGAGGTTGAGGTGCCTGTCGCGGCCGCACTGGACCGTGGCGTAGGTCGGGCTCTCGGCAAAGGTGCACGGAGGGAAGGCCATCTTCGCGTAGAGTCCGAAGGGCGGCAGCGAGATCTTGGACAGGCTCTTGGACGTGAACTCGCGCTCGTTGATGATCACATCCTGGATCTCGGCATGGGAGGGCTGGACCCAGTGGGGCTTCAGTGGTGCCATGGCGAGTGCTTCTGGCTGCTTCTTCCTTTTGTTTCCTCTTTGGGTCTCTTGCTCGTGGCGTCGCGTCGTCGGGGCACAGTCTCTCCCTCCGTGTCAGAGCGATGCAGAGTATAAGACGGCCAGGTGTAGGTGTAGATAGGTTTATGCGTGCGCGCAGATTTTCAAGAGAAGGCCAAGCGATTCGTCTTCCCCGACTCGAGAAGAAGATGTCGTCTCCATCTTGTCATCGGACGTTTGCAGCTTAGGGCGGCCGCGCTAGCCTCCCCAGCATAGCTTGCCGCGGCCGGCACATGTGGGAATCGGGAGCACGTAGCAGGCTCGAGATCCGCTGCGTGCGCGTGTGTAGGCACATACCCGCTTGCATTGGAGGTAGGTAGTATATCTATATACGCTTATGTAGACGGAGGCATCGAGGAACAGGGTAAGCGTGAGAGGGTTTGAAGGCTCAGATGGTCTCTATCTTGGCTTTGTTTGCCCGGACCTCGGATCCTCGAGGACGAAGCATACTCATACCTATACATAGGTACTCGCGGGAGAGGGCGGGATGTTGGGAGAGATTAGCCGAATTCCGATGTCTGCCGTATACGTGCAGAGGAGGCGCCTCGGGGCCTATCATAGGGTTGGAGTGTCCCGAAGTGGGTAACGAGAGCCCTAAAGCCGCCCTTGCCTCCCAAAATAGGTACGTACCTATCTACCTAGGTACCTAGGTACTATGCACCCTGAGGAGACATCTAAGGAGGTAGGTGTAGGTCCTTATGAGGTTAGGAGGTAGGTACCTACCTGCGTTTTATACCACGATCTTTAAACCGTATCCGGGTATCTGAGGTACCTGAAGTAAGGCAGGTGAGATGTCTGTCGTCGCCTTAGGCGAGCTTATATACCTAGTTATATCTGGCATTGTGCTTTTATAGCGTTGACAGAGGTTATGCGTTGCGCATGTCAACACTTAACCCCTACTCTTAACTACGTGAATACGGCATCTGTAGTGCTACGCGCATTACACCGCATTGCACCCCATCGTACACGTGGATAAATGCAATGCTCGCACGCACGCTCGGGTATTCGGGCACGCCTACCGGGAATCGGTATGGAGGGGTCCGCCTATTGCGCATTCCTGAGGTAAGGTACCTAAGCTAACCACCTCTTAAGTACCATACAGGGAGGGGGGGGGGGTCTATGGACAGTATGTCAGCAATAGAGTCGGGGTACGGATACGGTAACTAAATCTGGTAAGGATTACCTCAACTGGTTATTCTTTCGAAAGAGCTAAAAGAATTACAGCAAGGGTCGCGGTACCGACCTTATTACCTTCCCTTCTTATAATTTCAGGATAGTTTTTATGACTACGTAGGAACCAATGTCCAGACGGACATAATGTCTATATATTCTATAGGTACCTACCTACCTACCTACCTACCTACCTACCTACCTACCTACCTACCTACCTACCTATCTACCTACTTAGACCTACCTACCTAGACCTATTGTCTTCATCTTTTTTCTACAAACACCATGATCTACTACCTATCTTCGAACCTATCTTCGAACCTATCTACGAACCTATCTACGAACCTATCTACGAACCTATCTACGAACCTATCTGCGAACCTATGGGAGCTAGTTCAGGCATATGAAGTCTATCTATCTTCGAACCTATCTACGAACCTATCTACGAACCTATCTTCGAACCTATGGGAGCTAGTTCAGGCGTATGGAATCTATCTATCTTCGAACCTATAGGAGCCAGTTCGCGCGTAGAATCTATCTATCTATCTTCAAACCTATCTTCAAACCTATAAGAGCTAGTTCAGGCATGTGGAATCTATCTATCTTCGAACCTATAGGAGCTAGTTCGCGCGTGAAATCTATCTATCTATCTTCGAACCTATCTTCGAACCTATAGGAGCTAGTTCAGGCATGTGGAATCTATCTATCTTTAAACTTATAAGAGCTAGTTCAGGCATGTAGAATCTATCTATCTTCGAACCTATGGGAGCCAGTTCACGCGTGGAATCTATCTATCTTCGAACCTATGGGAGCTAGTTTGCGTGCGTAGAATCTATCTATCTTCGAACCTATCTTCGAACCTATGGGAGCTAGTTCGCGCGTGGAATCTATCTATCTTCGAACCTATCTTCGAACCTATGGGAGCTAGTTCGCGTGTGGAATCTATCTATCTTCGAACCTATGGAAGAGGTAGGTAGGTAGGTGGGTAGTGAACAGGAGCAGCGTAGGCACGCTGACGAAGGCACGAAAAGGGCTACCCAACTGCCAACAACTGGCCCAGTGCCGATCAACCCAAGATCACAGCTGTAAACAGCTGTAATCGGTTGATCGGCCAGCTAAAAACGGCAGCTGGGAAAGGAGACTAGAAACGGGTAAAGGAGGATAGCTAGAAAGGCATGGCAAGAAACGAGTGAATGGCTGTAGGTCGTGATGTCTACAGGTCTAAGTCTAACTAATGAAAATATAAGTACGCGACCCATATAAATACACATCGAAAAGGCTACGTGGCCTAGATCCACCGCACCACTACAGTAGGAGGTTAGGAGGTAGGTAACAGACCTAAAAGATACAAAGGTACAAAGGTACGTACTTAGTAACATAGAGGTAACCGGGTAATCCTATAGAATATACCTTTTTTAAAATAAGGACATTATGTCTGGATGGTAACTATATCGGGAAATGGTAATAATGTTAGCCTAGAGTTTAACTTACTCTTATCACGAGGCAGACACTATGTCCAGTCATAGAAAGGGTTGCTAACATAGTATCAATAGACCCCCCCCTCCCTATATGGTACCTACCTAACCTAGGTACATATGTCGTAATACCAAATCTTAAGAGGTGCCAAATGCATAAGGACCTGATTACTCATAAGGTAACCTAGGTAGGTAGGTAGGTAAGAGGTAGGTACCTACCTCGTAGACAGGTATACATGTACTTTTGAGGTCTAGGTACCTAACCTCCTTACCATGTGTGTTGTGCCTCTAATATTCCTTCGAGTTCTCGAGTTTCTGTACAGATGCCTAACAGAGTAACAAGAGCAGGCCCCTCGGACGGCGTTACCATGCCTTAGATCTCTAGGAAGCACCTCAGGTATCCATCGTGTACTTCTCTCAAGAGATGAGGTAGGTAGGTACCTACCTATCTACCATCTACCAAGGTACATTTTGATGTGGGTCCACGGGACGGACAACGAACATGGAAGATACGTCGGAGGCTGTACCTAACTCACGCGCATTGAACGGGTACAGGGACAGAAAAAGGCTAACCGAAATGCAACCCCGGAGCCCATCTACATATACATCTTTTTCAAATAGGAGACGATGTCGATACCGTAGGTACACCACCTCCCCCTCTGGCGTAACTCAGGTTGAGTCTCGCGACCACCTCCTACCCACGTGCATGCATCTCACCTTAGGGGGCCTTACTGGTGACATGGCCCTCTGCGTCCGGCGCCTTGTCTAGGCTCTCTCCGACTTCTACTGGTCTGTCTCTTGCCAAACACGCGTCCTCAGACCCCCTCTGGCCTCGGGGTCCATGTTCCATGTCGGGGTCTTTGGCGCACCAAGCCACCGGCTAGCTCGAGGAGCATCGACTAGGATAAGGCGAGCGGTGGAATTCACTCGGTTCCGTGCCGTGCCGTGCTGTGTTACCGGGTCGGTACAGCGTTGCTGCAGCAGCACCCAATATCACGCCCCCCTTAACCAGACGCACAGCTCGCTCAAGCAGGCCGGCTGAATAGAGAGGGAGAAGGAGAGAGAGCGCGCCTTTATATACCCATATAAACGAGCGCTTCTAAAAAGCAGTTGACGTTGTCTAATTCTCACAGCGTTCCCCGGGATGCGGCTGACCCGATATTAGCCTACCCGTCTGGCCTGCAGAGCCTAGTGAGACGTCCCGCGATGTGGCGCTGGGATGTCGTACGGCCTACAGCACGACAGGGCGCACGCATTAGTCCTGGTGATCGTGTCAAGGTCCCACCAGGTAGCTCTCCTGAAACATACACAACTTGGCGAACGGCCACAGGCTAGGCTGGGCTCGGGCGGGCTGGCCCTAGGGTGAGGGAGACAATCCGGGGCCGAATCCGGGTCTAAAAGACACTTTTGTATGCAATGAGCTTCATCGTGGCCGATGTGTAGGACATCGACATTGGCCATCCATCCGGGTTGTTGTTTGTTGCTGCGGCCAGGTCAGGTCCCGTAGGCCTTCCCCCCCCTCTCTCTTCCTTCGCCCTCACTGATCAGGAGCACGGCTGTACTTCTCCGAAACTACCAGATGGGCCACCTCGATAATTGGTTCGCACTAGCCAGTCGTAGCCGCTGGCTGGGTAGCTCTGGCTGCTGCTGTTGCTGCTGCCGCTGCTGCTAAAAAGGTGACGGACGCATTCGGAACTCGAGATATTGATTCGTTGATATCAGCCTTTTGTTATTACATATGTCGTAACACTCCGAACGTCACCGGACCTCCATTGGGATGGTTGCAGCGAGGTCAGCAGCGTGGGACGAGCATGCGGCCGCCGACGTGATTTTCCTGATAACCTGTGATCACAACGAGCTCGATTTAGAAGCTGGAAGGTTGCACTAACCACCTGGGATCCCTGCCAGTTAGCCTTTGTCTAGGAGAAGCACGCACACGCACACGAGATCCCGCTCGGGCGGTTACGCTCGGGAGCCTGTGCGCGGACGCTGAGGCGTCATTCGCGAGTAGGTCTCCCAAGATGTCTCGAGATGAAGACACCATCACCTCACTGGGGAATGAGACCGTGAGCAAGACTCCTAACGCCGATCTATCACCACGTGTGTGGGTCGGCAAGTGCTTCCAAGGCGACTCGGCATGCATATGTCAACCATGCGCTAGGAAGGAAAGCGAGACATTTTCGGCGTCGTGGCCGTGCCCAATAGTTGTCGAGGGCCTATAGCTCTCTCGGGTCGGATGTTGGGGGTGGGGGTTCGTTCCGGAGAGGATTGGGCTATAAGATGTGGCGAGGGGGCCCTCTAGAGAATATGGTTCCCTCGTTTACCCACAGCTATCATCCTTCGACGAGAGGGGGCGCCCCCAGACATCCGTATAATCTGGTTCACAGCATCGGCATCAGCATCGACATCGTTACCACCATAGCCACCGTTGCCCATCAGCTGTCTGATCGGCGGATACCCTAGCTCGGATCGTCATAGCGCCACCCGAACATCACTGGTGCGCAATGGTTTTCTGCTCGAGCCACCAGCAGGACAAACCCGAATGGGCTTCTGGGTCGTTGGCCAACATGAAAGATACGTCAAACGACTTGGATCATAAACCTGAACCACCACCTCAACCAGAGCCGCCGACGCCAAACCCACCAAGCCCCGATGGCCGCCATATCGCGGACATGTGAGAGGGCTTCGATAGACTTCCTAGGGCACGTCGATCCCTCGGCCTATGGGTGGTCGACAGCGCTATCGGGAGCTTGGGTAGGTATGGTTCTCCCCACTTTCTACTTCCCAATATCATTAGTTATATCACACGCTCACCTTTCTGAAGGATTGTCCGGATTTTACGAGAGACGATACACGTAGGACAAGGGAACATTACGTTTGACAGCGAGACCGGAGTGGGTTTAGGTGGATTCAACCGTCTGTGGCCCTCGCGGTATCTAGCCGGCTCGGAGATTCCTGGTGTCATTGCCTCCCTCGATCGTCACTCACGAGCATCTCTCCGAAACTCGGGCATTCCAAATCCATCTTTGAGATACCTATCTGGCATGTCGGGGCTGGGGATGTGGATGTGACCATTCCTACCTCGTGATACGGCCCTCTATGCTATCAGTCCGGGAGGAGTCGCGGTTTCTTCTCTATGCATCGCAGCATCTTCTATTCATCATAGGCATTGTCCCAACGAGAGTGAATACCAAATAGGAGTAAATATTGTATTGTCGAGGTTGTGTGTATTCATCTGTGTCTCTTTCTGCCTGTCTCTCTCTCCTTGGTGGATATTATGGTTTACGCCGTATTGTCATTTTAGCGTCTCGTCGCCACTCTCCGTAGCTGTCTCGGGGTGAATCGGTTCTCCAAGGATGGATGTGCATAGCCACCAAGCTGCAAAGGCCGCCTACCTCGTAGGCAGCCGCGTTATATAGGCTCTAGGCTCTTGTATTATATATCGCGATTACATTCCCCTCTAATTGTATCCAGAGTTATCCCCCCCCTCCCCTTTAGCTAACGGCAGTTCTCCATTGAGGGCGCGACTTGGGGTGGTGTAACCAACCCCATCTTTCTTGACCCCTTTACCCCTGCCTACATAGATAGGCCTATCTATGTCATATTACATATGCCCCATGACAAGACCGAAGTCTTCGGATTCTCTTCCAAGGTGCTCCTGGTTAGGGATAGTTGATTGAGTAAGCGATGGAGTGAATAGGTATGAGTTATCAATTGCTTATTAACTCATCGACTCAGCCTATCCCCCAGTTGAAATAGCAAACAGACGACACGCTTGCCTTAGAGCACGAAGGCATAGGGGCCCTTTTTCACTCTAATTTTTGTTCTTCCCGTAGTTACACCGATCCAGCTACCTAAGAAGGGTTGCCTGCAGGATTCCTCCGCTCGCAAGGGTACACGTCGACGTGTTGTACGATAGATCTATAGAGGCGCCTCGTAACTTGCCTACGGGGTCAACGTGCCTCGAGATTATGATCTCGAGCGGAGGTTGGTATGACCTTGGAGGCAAATAACTGCTGCTGGATTCAGTGCCTTGGGCGCCTCGGCAACTATGAGGCTGGGGCTAAGCCTACCTCCTCTCTCCTCCCGACTGGAGGCATAGAGGGGACTCGGTACAGAGCACCGGCCGAGGTGGGTGCTCATGTGTAGGTGCCTAAACTCCCTGGCAAGTGTCTGTTGGTGGTTAAAGTTTAGAAAGATGAACGATAGCTTAGGGGGACGTTCCCACTACCTACCTACCTACCTAGGTACCTGGAACTGTCTCCTCTGGGAGGTTGGATACCTCGGGTGCTTCCTGAGAGGTGAGGAAAGGAGGTTAGAATAGAGGTAGGTAGGTACCTCGAGGTGCCCAACGTACCTCTAGGTGCGTGTGCCCGTATGTTAATGTACGAAAGGCAAGACAAATAGGGCTTGGTTCAAGTGATTAGCAGCAGCCACATAGAGGTATAGGAGTAACCTCCCGTGTTAGTCTTTGTAGGTGTGCCTCCTTAGTTGGGTACCAATCTACCTGACCTAGGTAGGTACCTACCTACCTAGGTTACTCCTATATCTCTACCCCTTATACAAGCCCTGGAGATGTTCCTGTTAGTTCAGGACAATTTATACTAACCTAGGTACCTTAGCCTACCTTAGGTACCTGCTTACCTACCTAGGTACCTCCTACCTCTCCTAGGTGGGACCTGGGTACCTTTATTTCAAGCCTCGTGCTTAGAAAGCACGAGTGTCAGTCTGGCGACTGTTCCTGCTTCTACTATTATGTGTCCGTATGTATGCTTATATGTGCCTTCGTCGTTACCCAGGTGTCTTCTGCTATGGCCCGTCTCTTTCTCCTCTATCTCTCCCTCTCTCCCTCCCCTCCCCTGGCTCATATCAGCCTCAGCATCCAGTTCGACTTCGCCCACCTCTCAGTCTTGCCCACGATCCAGAATAACCCTCCTCAGATCTGCCTCGAGAGATTCCGTATGCCTACTTAGCAATTGCTGATTGCTCACAAACCTCCCTCGCTTTACCACTTCCCCTTTTGGCATGTGAGTACCGTACTATCCCCTTCTAGCATCAGTCGTTGATTTCCCCCCGGCGATCGTGGCCGGCCAACCTGACGATAGGAGACGCGAGGAACAAACAACAAAATCCATATATACCTAGATACCTTGCCGTATAGCACTCGTTGCCTTCCCCTTCGCTATCCTGGCAACCAACCGATTTATGATGACAATGCTCGCCTCCTGACTAACATCCACCGCTCCAACCTCTCGTCTTCATTCAGTTCTTGTTCGAGGTTTTCCCACCCACCCCTGTCTTTATGAAAGACCCCTCCTCGAAAAGAAGCCCTCCATTCATCAAACAGCCCACATTGTGGCGGCTCTATCTACACGTGAGCTGTTGTCCCGACACCTCCCATTATTCCCATTCCTACCATCCCCCCCTATTCACCCCTTGCAGGATGGTCCAAAGTCCCAAAAAGCTTTTCAAGCTTGCCTCCCGCAAACTCAAGCTACTCCAAGAGCATGACGCAGTGGTGACTTCCGCTATCTTCGTGGAGCTCAAGTTCTGGATGAAAAATCGCCCCGCCGTTGGCCAGGTCACGGTAGATAACAGCACTCCCTCCACGGTTGTTGGGGTCTTCCCACCGATCAATATCCCCCGATTTGTTTATTCACAGCTTGAAGCACAAAAGATCACTGACGAGACTCAAGTCCCCAATCAGATTTCCGCGGCTCTGCACTTAATTTCCGAGTTCTATCCTGACGGAAACGGAAAATCCTTCCCCACCCTCTTCGTCTATCACCACAGGGACCGACATCGAACATACTTCCTTTTCGCCTACCTCGAACGCCGTATGGCGACTCGTACCTACACCATTGAGGAGCTGCTTACGCTCAAACGCCCAAGCTATTCGGCCGTCCTGCTGAAGGCAATCTGGAAGAGTATTTCAGCCAGTAAGCATATTCCAACCCGCTTCCACCTCGATATATCACGTTCTGTGTCACGTCTCCTGTCAACCCTCGGTATAGTGATATTAACAAGCACTCGCAGCTGGTATTTCCAAGGGGCAGCCGGCTCTAGGACCTGCTGTGGAACCTGCTGTAGAGCCGGCCGTGGAGCCCGCTACCGAACAGCCCGCCATGGAGCCTGCCCCGACCGGACGTCTGAGGAGGACAAATGGAAACATTTCCTCATCTACGGGCAACGGCGATGGCGCCTTCCGAGGCAATGAGCAAGACCTCTTGACCGACGGAATCACCGAGTGGCACTACCGCGGTCGCTCCGGATCCGAAGTTGTTTCGAACGAGCCCATTTCTGCCCCCACTGGACTCGCAGCACAACAGAGTGAGGGTTTTCAGAGATTCTTCAAGGCGGTCGTTTCTCCGACCCATGTTCGAGTCACTGCCGGTGGTAGAATCGTGCCTAACAACCGTGGCTCTGCATCTCCCACCGCGAAATGGGACAAGGAGCGTTCGACCATCGGCGGACAGAACTGTGTGAATACAACCAAAAGCGAGAAGCCCCAGACCAGCGACGCCGTCAATAACCAAAATATGAATACCATCCTCCCTCCCGCAGTCCCGGGGTATCCCCTCATCCAGAACATGGGTTTACCCTTGCCCTTTTATACTGTACCGAGTGGAGTTCCTTTGGTCTATGGCATTGCCCCTCAGCTAGTCCACCCGGGCGGAACCCCCCCGGTTCAGGGCAGTGAGAATGCCGGAATGGCGGCAAAGCCCGTCAAGGCCAAGGACGGGGCTGACGATAAGAAGCGTAGACCCGCTCCAATCAGTATCCCGTTGGCGGATCAAGCGGACCGGACGCGCCCGTTCTACTACAATGGTAACGTGATCTATCCCTCACCATGCTCGCCTTACTCGCCATATGGGATTAGTCACGGCCATGTTCCGACGATGTCTCCCTACCATTCATTATCACACGCGATGGTTGGGAACCAGGCCTATAGTCCTGCCGCTTTTACTCGCTTCGGCGGCCCTCTGAGCGCCCGTGACGGCCCCCAACCGTCACAGCCACACACGGCCCCGATACCTGGATTGGCAACCCCGATCACGTCGATCAGACCGAGTGAGATTACCAAACGTCAGCTTAACTCGTTGAGGGCGTCTCTGAAGTACTACGAGGACCAACTGCAGTATAATCGTCACCAGATTGACGAGGAGTGGACCATGGAGCAGGCACAAGGCATTCGAAGGAGCGTCCGACAATTTGAGCATAATTACAAGATGCAGGTCAACTTTGAGGCGACCTATTACCCGAGGGCATCGCTGGGTCGTGAGAGCCCAGCTTCGCAGACATACCACTGGAAGGCACCTTCAGGACCTCCCAGCATTGGGGCACACCGAGGGGGGAGCAATTCCCAGAACAGCGCCACCCTCAATGATCGTAGCTCTAGTGTCTCGTTTTACCAACCATCTGGGCGAAGTGGGCAGAGAACCGGCAGCAGCAAAAATAACTCGGCCGTGGGGATTAACTCTTCCAAAGGCTCCCACCTGGAGTTTTCTACAGATCCCGCTCTAGAAGCTGTCATTCAAGACAAGTTGAAGAGGGGCCTTGGAACGCCCGATCCGACCAAGAGTGCTTCTATCCCGGATACGTCTGACATTTACAGATACGACAGTAACCAGTGGGGCCGTTTGCCTTTCGAAGAGCCGGATGCCTGGAGTACCGAGTACCGAGGAGACCGTGCTGCTGTCGCCAATGCTCACTCCCCGTCGGCGAGTTTCGCCGAGGGCTCCAGCAGTGCGCCATACCTCGTTGGCACGCTGCCTCAAGGAGTGAACCCTTACGATGCTCGGTCGACCGACTATGTTTACTCGCGAGAGCTTACTGAAGAGGAGAAAAAGGCTCGTCAGAACTACTGGGGCCACCTCCCGAATGCTGGACCCGGTCTGCCTAAGTTCGACGGCAGGGATTTCTATCCTCCCTCCCCTGTGAAGTCTACCCATGCTCCCGAGAATACACGGAAACTGAGTTCGCGACTGATTCCAACTGGCAACGTGAACACTGACTACCGCACGCGAGCCCAGCCTACCGAAAACGATCCTTTCTGTTCCAATCGCGACATTCGAAGTGGCTATTCGCAATCAAGTAGCCAGAGGCCTAGCAAGGCTATCCCTATCGTCGCCCCTAATGATGCTGACCGACGAGATGAGTCTAAGATGGAGGACGCTTCTCCATTACCGTCAAAGACCGATGACGACGACGCTAGTAAGAGGCAACAGAGAGGCGGCAATACTTCGCAGGTGGCTGCGTCGTCCGAGGACCCGGCTGGGGAAAAGGAGTCTCGTACGAACGGTCGGAAAATGTTGGAGCGATCGGGTAACAAGTCTAGCCACGATCTTTGGCAGACTATGCTGAAGAAGGGGTCGGCTAGCGGTGCTGCACTTCCGAGCGCTGTCACTTCGACGACTGCTTCTGGATACCTGCCTCCATACTTTGGTAACGCGGCCGCATCTCTCGGGCCGGCAATTCCAAATACGAATAGTCCTCCGGTCCGTGTCGCATCTGCCGTTGGAAACAAGACCACCGAATGCGACTCTCCCCCGACACCTACAGGGAAAGTCGGAGAGAACTGCCCGCCCGACGATGCTCACTCGGCAGACTACGATCCCGGAAGAGACATTCAGGAACGTATGCTCCGTGACGCACAGAGGCGTGGCGTAATTGGTTCAGACTGGCAGTAAAGGTCCAGCGGCAAATTGCGGGTTTGGCAAAAGCACAACATCGCCTGCCTTCTCATCTTGTCCTCAACCGGGAGAGAAAACGAAAGTCTTGGGATCATGTTAGTACTAGCACATTCATATGGCTAGCTTTATCGCTCTTGAGGGAATCGGATCATGGTATATACGTGGAGGACGCCGGAAGAGAAGGCGGCTTGGTAGATCCATACCTAGGTTCCATATAGCTAGGTACGGCGCAGTTGTTGTTCCCGAAGGGCACATGGCGGAGATGGGGTATACCATTACAAGTTTGTTGTTAGGTAGTTTGGCCGAGAGAAGATGGCGGCAGCCGGTGGGCCCTGTTGCCTAGATGTTATTTACGGTACTCCCGACGGTACGCATAGAGTGCCGATGATGTTCGAGAATGGCCTAGGCCTATCCCGAAGGGTTTGTCTTTACTCTGCTGCGGGCGGGAATTTCTAGCTAGGATTAGCTGATTCTCTGTGTGAATACACGTACTATATTAAAACCTTCTCGCTCCTCCTTCCCGCTTGCCTCTCTAGTACATACTCACTCACCGATCATCGAGTAGGTCGATTGCTAGGTCGCTAGAACAATGTATGAGTTAGCGGTGGCGTGCTTGAGAAGAGGTGGTGTTGGTAGGTAAGTTAGTTAAAACTGTCTTGCTGGCGAGGACGCGCGCGCGCGTATGCCGGGTTTGCGAAACGTGGTATACTAGAGGTAAGGCAGGCATAAGACACGTCTTGGCCAGAAGGCGGGTAGACGACCTGCACTCATAGATAAGTACTTAGATAAGGACGGAGGCGTAGTGGAGGCAACGCGGGCAATGGGGGGAATAGGGGGGAGTACGGGTTGATTGGCTGGTTTAGAGGGTAAATGCTTAACTACCACGGTGGCGAGGAATGGAAGCAATGTACACGATCTAGGTAGGTTGTCGTGGCAGGGGACGGAGAGGAAGTTTCATTTTATTTTATCGGAGAACTGGTTACCTCGTGTGTCGCTGTAATATAGCGGATACCTGCTAGCTATAGATCCATAACGTGCCATCCTTCCGAGCCCACAAGTATCGGGATGCCCTCTGTGCATACCTAACCTAACCCACCTGCTGCATCATTCGCTGCGCGTATACCTGGGTATGTTATGTGCCTCACCATCAAACTTCCAGCCTCATCGAACACGTATTCTACGTCTTCTCAACGGCTCAAAGTCTGCAGGCGAGGGGCCGGGTGCGGAGAAGAATAGACGGGGAGGTGATTCATGCCCCCCCTTTCTTCGTCCGCTAGCTGTCACTGTTCGCCAGTCGTATACCTCGAAAACCAAAGATGAGAAGTTGACGCGGAGATAATCTGGCGGTGCTATACCTAGGTTTTCTTTTCTTTTACGGAATCGAGGGCCTGCGCCTACTTGTTTTCCCGATCTTGGCTCACACTCACCTTGTATTTTTTTTTCTAGCATATTTCTCCAACCGTTAGGGAAGTAGACTTACCTAAGAGACGAGACATTCCTCCCGCGATTCTTCTCTCTATAGGGGTCTTGTCTCGCTCCCCTCTGTTAGTAGCCACGGGGGGCCATCCCAGGGGAGGCGTGGGTGAGTTGCAGTTTGCACACTACGTGACACAGCACCACAAAACAATTTCTTGTCAGAATCGAGACTTCGGGAATCAGCTCCCATGGAACATTTCACAGAAACTGTGAAACGGCCATTGTGTGCATGCAAATGTCTTTTTTTCATTCGGTGTGCCGTAGCATCTAGATGCTCGTCGTCATGGAAATCCCATGCCATGCAAAAAGCCTGATTCGTCGTCTCCTCTCGATGATGCCGAAGGAGAAGGTTATCCTCGTAGACGCCTGCCATATTCCGTGATTTTATCCCCCGCCGACTCGCAGAAGAGAAAAAAACAAAATGCTGCTGCCGCGGCTGTCGCGCATTGCTCTACCAAAGGGTATCGGTATGTTCTCTTGTCGTGGTAACGAAGACGAAAATCGTTTCAGCGAAAAAAGCTAGGCTTATTTAGCAGCGGCCTTGCCCTTAGATCGCAGCTCGCGGCCAGCCTTGATACGCTCGAGGATGTTCTCGCGGTCCTTGTCGAGCTTCAGCTTGGTGATGACAACCTTGCTGGGGTGGATGCCGAGGGGCACGCTCTGGCCGGAGGCCTTGTCGCGGGTGACGCGCTCGATGTGGATCTGGTACTTGAGGCGGTAGACCGAGGTGACCTTGCCCTCTCGGCCCTTGTTGGTGCCCCGGACGATGGTGACCTCGTCATCTTTCCGGACGGGGATGCTGCGGACCTGTACAAGAGTTAATTACCCGCATTCTTCCTCTCCCTCCTCACTTCCCCGCGGACTGGGCCGGGCATACGTTGTACTTCTCTCGCAGTTCCTTGCTCAGGGGAGCGCTCATAATGACGCGGCGGGTGCCTGAGGGGGCGCTGAAATGCGCCTTTCTCGACTTTCGTCGCGAGCTGTGGACACCTAGAAGGAAACGTGTTAGAGGCGGCGTACAGGCTCGACTAGGCTCCGAATGGCACGAAAAGCCATGACAGATAGAAGTAGAGAGTGTGTGTGCACGCGTACCTGGGTTGACCTTCGCCATTTCGTCGGTGGGCGTGTGGTGATGGGGGGGTTTTGGGTTGTCGAAAGGGCCGAGGTTGGTTGAGTGTGAAGTTGAAGGGTGAGCAGTTCACGATTGGCTTCGCACCAGGGAAAATGTGTGAAAAAAAAAGGCTGGTGCGTGGGAAATTTCTCGGGTGCCCTAAGGAGAGTGGGCCTGCCTCGACCAATCAGCGGGTGAATGTCTCCATTGGCAATCCTTAACCCGCGATAAGATAAGAAGGTGGCTTTACTGTGGGGTACACAGATACAACGATACGAGGTACCTAGGTACCTTACTATGCCCCACCGCAAATCCATGGTGGGACGATGGATGGAAGCTATTCTCCTTATGCTCCCTCGGGTCGCGAACACCTCTCACGCCCCAATGGTCAACGATCTGTACCAGCCAAAATGTGGTCGAGAACAGTACGCCGGAGGGCGTGCCTGGTCCTGCGGAACCCCTCTACTCCCGCCGCGACGAGCCAGATCCAGCGGCGCACCCTCATCGCCCCCCCCAAACCCGGCGACGGCCCTTTGATGGAGAGACGGCCAGACCGGGAGCTCCCTAGTGCGTCGTCCCCTCCCCTCTCCTCTCTTCTTTCCCTACCCCGTATCCCCTGCCCCCTCCACCCCGCGCACGCGCACCTCGCCCACGGACGGCGCGCTGACTCGTAGCCACCTCGACGTGCGCGCGCGCGTGCACACAGACATCGCAGGCTTCCGGTGGTGGCGCACGCTGCCGGCGTTCGCGGTGCTGATCGCGGCGGCGAGCGCGGCCATCTTCAACTACCAGCGGTCGTCGAGCCCGGTGGTGGCGGGGACGCTGTACGCGCTGCGGACGAGCGCGCGGGCGCGGGCCGTGCTCGGCGACGAGATCTACTTCCGCCGCGCCGTGCCCTGGATCTGGGGCGAGATGAACCAGCTGCGCGGCCGCATCGACATCCGCTTCGCCGTCCGCGGCACCCGCGCCGCCGCCGTCGTCCGCTTCGTCAGCGTCCGCCCCTCCCCCCGCGCCCAGTTCGAGACCGTCGAGTGGAGCCTCGAGACCCCCGACGGCGCCAAGATCGACCTCCTCCTCGACGACGACGACCCCGCCCGCGCCCTCCCCGACTTCGCCCCCGCGCCCGACGACGTGGCCGAGCCCGGCGACGAGACCGAGCTCCCCGCACCCGGGCCCAGCTCCACGAGGGGGTTCAGGCAGCAGCTCAAGTGAGAAAAGGGGGAGAGGGGAAAAAAACGGGGGAGGGAGAAGTTCTCTTCGAGCTTATTACTCTAGGCTAGAATAACTACCCGTACCCATGGATCCTGCACACGACTTCTGCATACGAAGGCTAATGGCCTTCCTCAGTCATTCAGCATGGGTATATCCTGGTGATAGCCGACGACAATGATTAGGGGGAACGTACGGCAATTCAACTTAGTACTGTCTGGTTTGCACTAGACAATCGAAACCACGGTGCTGTTGGCATTGGTATCAGACCTTACGATAGACGGGGCGAAGGCACACGTCGGCGTAATACACAGCAACATGTTCTTCGATGTCTGTACGCCGGGTCGCACCCCTTGGTGGGTGGGGTACATATGTGTACATACAGTATTTGTATAAATAATATGTTACAAGACGAGTGAATCGGCCGGTGCCTGTAGTGCGCGGTCTGCACTCGCTCTTGAGATGGCGGCCGCCACCGCCGCGGCGTCCCCTATCCTGCCCTCTCTCCGCAGCTTCTTCAGCTGCTCATGCGTCTCCTGCGCGGCCAGCAGCCGCTCCTCGTACAGCGGATCGCGCTCGAGCGTTATCCGCCTCGCCTTGTCGACGAAGGTCTGGACCGGCGGCGGCTTCTTGATGGCGTCGGCGAGCTTGACGATGCAGCCCTTGGGCCCGGCCACGTGGCCGTTGATGACGACGATGCCCATCTTGTTATCGACCTTGAGCACGCGCAGGTTCTGGATCGTCACCTGCTCGTTCCCCATGCGCCCGGGCATCTTCTTGCCTGGGTGCACACGCGAACCACCGCCCTGGCTCGGACCCGTCGTACCGATCGTTCGGTGGTTGAGCGAGTTTCCGTGACTCGCCTCTTGACCGGAGAAGTTGTGCCGCTTCATACCACCCGCGAAACCCATGCCGCGGCTGTTGCTGCGCGCGTCGACGAACTGGCCCACCTTGAACCAGTCGGGCTGCAGCTGCAAGCCTATGGGCAGCAGCCCTTCCTCGCCGCGCACTCGGAACTCGGCCAGGTCAGACTTGGGGGCGATGCCTCGCGCCTCGTAGTACCCGAGCTGCGGCAGGGTGACGTTGTCGGCCTCGCGCTGGCCGCAGCCGATCTGGACGGCCCAGTAGCCGTTCTTCGCCCGCGTCTTCGTCGCCACGACCTGGACCTGGTCCATCTGTAGGATGGTGCAGGGTATGCGCTTGCCCTTACTGCTGAACATGGCCGACACGCCCTTCTTGGTGGCCAAGACACCGGTCCGCACCGGGGTTGACTGCTCCTTGCGCTTCAGCGCCGCGGCGGGGCTGGCCGTGAGCGTAGGTAGGCCGGCCGTTTCTTGGTTGAAACGTCGGGGCCTGACGCGAGGGTTCTGTGTCGACCAGCCAATCTTGACGCCGCGTTTTGCGGTGCGCGGGAGGAGGAGGGTGTGTCGTTCGGAGGTGACGAGGATTCGAGGACGACTCGCTGAGGTGCTTTTTGTTAGAGCGGCGGCACTAGATGCCCAGCGGACTGGCAGCCGGGATGCCATCGTGGCTCGGGGGGATCGATGTGTGCCGCTTAATGCGGCTGCTATGTATGCCTGGGCTGCGGTTCTAGATGTACTATTCGTCCTTCGGGTAGGGACTCGACATGGAAGCGGTGGTTGCGATTGGCAAGCAATGAGTCGAGATGCCAATGACACCGGAATAATTGAAGCTTCAAGGTCTCCCCACCGCAGTACCCAATTGAAAAAGTTGGGGCAGGTCGCTGGTCGGGAAATCCCCGGTACGTGGGTACGTGAATTTATTGCATAATATCGCACTTATGTACTTACCTATGTACCTGCTCTTAGTTACGCCGATTCCGCCAGCTGTAGAATGCGGCAGACAGCCGACCACAGCTGGCGCGACTGGCGGACAGACCTGAATTGGCATCCGGTCCAACACGGCCCAAACAACGGCTACTTGATATCCGTTCTTCTCTTTGCATTTCACTTCGTAAGATCTGACATAGTAGGAGCACCTTTCCTCTAATTCGCTTTCTCTTCTACGAGTCTCAGCAGACATGGTCTACTATTTCAAGTCAAATGTCGTGGATCCTCCGGCCTTTATCTATGTCGGCAAGGACAAATTCGAGAGTACGTGATAGCCTCTCTCCTGAAAATCTCGTCTGGAGGTAGTTGTCAATTCCTGTACTGATGCCAGAATGTGTGAAGACGAGGAGCTGATAAAGTACGGCTGGGAGGAGGATGTATGGTGAGTGACATCGCCCTGGCCCTGTACGGATGTTCATCGGGTGAGAAGCAATAATAATATTCATACAATCTTTTTTCTCTTAGGGTATGAAGCCAAATAAAACACAGACCCCTAACACATCTCCTGTGTCCCCTTATCTATTCCCTTTGTGTTCCTCGACTGTCCCACGACGGCAAAATGTGGAAAAAGATTTGAGAGTGAAAAGCAAGTCGAATGAGAAGATGAGCGAGAGGAGAGATCCCGTTCTCACGCAACAGGGGGTCGCTTCTCGTGGCCACCAAACAGTTCCACGCGGACAAGCTGTCGAGCGCGCACGTGTACCTGCGGCTGGGCGCGGGCCAGACGTGGGAGGCGATCGCGCCGGAGCTGGTGACCGACCTCGCCCAGCTGACCAAGGCCAACTCGATCGAGGGTAACAAGAAGGACAACGTCACCATCATATACACCCCCTGGTCGAACTTGCGCAAGGACGGTAGCATGGCCGTCGGCCAGGTTAGCTTCAAGGACCCCCGCCTCGTCCGCCGCGTCCTCGTCCCCCAGCGCGAGAACCCCATCGTCAACCGCCTCAACAAGACCCGCGTCGAGTCCCACCCCGACCTCTCCCAGGAGCGCGAGGAGCACCGCCGTGAGTTGCGCAAGAAGGACCAGGCCGCTCAGCAACAACGGGTGGGTTTCCCTCCCCATCCTTTCTATCACCCCCCTCCATGCACGTAGGTATATTCCTGAGCTATGATTAATACTGTGTCTGTAGAAGAAGGAAGAAGCCCGAGTGATGAAGGAGCGTCAGGAGAAGAAGTGGCAAAAAGAGCACGCCTACGACGACCTTTTCACTGAGGAGAACATGGAGGCGTCAAGCAACCAGAATCGGTCCGAGAACTGGGAGGAGGACTTCATGTAACGGGTTTAATTTCAGTTCCCCCCTTGAGCCCACCTGTGCTTCTGTCCGCCATCGCAAAGGAAAGCTAGAAGACGCATGATACCAAAAGGAAATAGCTCCGCCTTTAAAACTTAGTGATGCCTCCTCTGTATTATGCGGGTATCGGTGCTCACTCGTAGACCGACGAGCCCTTCCCTCCTCCTCCTTTCTCACATGTGTCGGCGAGCGCTAGCTGAGCCCTTACACACGCTCCTTACTCAGACCGTAAGATGTAGCCGCCTCCCCATTAGCAACATACTCTCCGGAGCGGCGCCCACTGATTAAACCTTCATGATTCTCTCTCCGCCCGCATTGCCGCTCATATCCCCCGACTGCCGCCGGGCCCGCCAATGTCGCTGCCGAGCCTGTTCGCACTCGTACCTTTGAGCTTGTGATCGCTCGGGTTCGGCGCTGCCTCGTACAGGATCTGGGCGGGGGCGCGCCCGAGCTGCATCCACTCGCCGCGGAAGCCGAGATAGCTCAGCCGCGTCACGTCCTCTTCGCCGTCGCCGAAGTTTTTCTCGACGAACAGCGTCAAGTGCTGCACCTTGCTAAAAAGCGCGCGGCGTACCGGTAGCTCCTACCAGTGTGGGTCGTTAGCTTAGTTGGATAGGGCGGGCGAGTAGGGAAGTAGGTAGGGTCGTTTAAAGAAGACGAAGATCTCCCCGTCCCCTCTAGATGGGTCACCAGATAGGGGGGGGGGGGGATTTTGAAAAAAAGGGGGGGAACAACTTACCTGGACGTCTGACGTCTGTGCCGGCTCCAACGTCTGTGTGGCTGATAGCTGCTCTGCCATCTCGAAGTCCACGTTGTTACGATTCGCAAACAGCTTGATCGTATGGGGCGCGCTTGATGATGCGGACGAGCGGAGCAGGACAGAGTGTAGCTTCACCTGCCCTGTGAATCTGGATTACGAAGCCGTAGTTTAGTGCATGCGTATATTTCATCGTAGTAATGTGGATAGCTGGCAAGCGAGTAGCATGATGTTGCCTATGGACATAGGTATATATATCGTGAAGGATATTATATGTGCTCGGATTATGCGCGCGTGTACTCTTTAGAAAGAGGCAATAGCTACACGTTCGGTACTAATGAGGGAAGTAACATACGGTATCTTGATAATGAGTTGCTCATCTGTATCGCTCGCGAGCTCAGGCTCCGGCTGCAGCCTCTCGGCCCATGTCTTCTTGACAATGGCCTTGCCAGCACCGCGGACGGCCTCGTTCAGCGCCTCAACCTCCTCGAACCGTATGTGCTGGTACAGGCTGAACTGGAGCGCCGGCGTAATGTCGTCCGAGTGGTCGTGGTCCCCATGGTCGTGACCCCCATGCCCATGATCGTGATCGTGGCCATGGCTGTGGTCGTGGTGTTCGTCATGGCAGTGCGACATGTCGTAAGGCGTACCAATCTGATGGTTTCCTAATCGGCTGACCGGTTGGCTGAAAGGTCACCGGGGGAAGAAGATATTGTGATGGAGGAGGCCTGCGGTTTCTGGTTGGTGTGTAAGGAACAGAGACCAAATGGATGCATTTGTGTGACGAGCCTTGATTTACGAATACCTAATGTAGCCGGTCGAATACACCAGAGTCTGAGAATACGGCGGCGCGAAGTGTGAGGATGTGAAAAGAGGGAATGTCGAAGTTGTAAGTATAGGTACCTACATAGAATTACGCCTAGGTCCAAATATCGGGTAATTGCATGTACCTACCTACTGGAAAATGTCGGATTGTACCTACTAGCGACTACGAATTTGCCTGCCAACGTTGAGTGCGCAACTACTTCGCTGTAGAATTCACGATCCAAAAGGCCGACATGCTCAGAGGAAGAAAATCAAGAAAACAAAACCCCCCAAGTCCGGAACATATGTGTATTACTATATCGGATACCTACCGCAAAGCATCGCCCTCACTCCTTAGCTTCGGCCACCTGCGACCGGCCACATTCGTCTCTACCCGTAATTCTCCTTTCTTTACTCGCCAAGGCCGCGTAAGGAGGCTCTCACCAGCGTCAGCACAGGCTGCCGCCCATTATATGTACACCGTCATTAGAAGCCTCCTTTCCGCTTTTTAACCCTTTTATTTGGTCTCTGACCAAAGACGCCCGGTGTCGGTTGCGACATCGTTTGCCGCGGATGCGACGAGGTGGCCTGGCCTTGCGAGGATCCTACGTGGGGTTGGCTCTGCTGGTTGATGGACCGCAAACCTGGGGTCGGTTGAGTCGACGGTAGACTCGGCTCCCGGTCCCACGGTGTCTGTTGAAGCGACTCCGCCCTTCGCCTTTTGTGATTTTGCCGCGCTAGCTGCCTAGCTCTCCTTTGCATTCTCGGCGTCTCTTCCTCGTCTCTATTTAGATCGAACACGTAGTCGGCTGGGTCGTCACCAACCGTCCACTTTTCCAAGAGCTTGCTCCGTTTTGCCACCCCATACTTGCCGGTGCCGGTATATGACCTTATGAGAGCCATGGCTGGGTCTTCCTCGGATATTTCGACATGTGATCCCTTGGATCCTGTTGTGCCAGCGTCAGACTGTGGTTGTGACGAGTCCACTGCAGGCCCTTGCTGCTGGCTGTCGACAAGCATACTGCCCGAGTCTTGCGTCTGAGATACCGGGGTAGAGAGTTGCCGAGAGCTGTCCAAATCCAGCCGATAATAAACCAACCCAAGAGAAGATAAATAAATATCGCGCGCCATCTCCCGAAACACTGCTACCTCGGAGTCCCGTGTCCCAGCTTTCTTTTGACCCCCCGGAAGAAAACTTCCTATTATATCAAGAAGCATAGAATACGAGTCTTCCAGCGAAGATGTTGATCCTATAAGCTGGCCACGTGGATGATCAAACCCCAATAAGACTAAATTTGGATTCATGCGCCGAATACTTTCTATGATGGCCTCCCACGCGGCTGATCCAAGATTCGTATCGTTATATAATTTCGATTCTCCAATCATTTGAAAACTGCAATCATGGTTAGCTCGGCAACAGGCGGAAGTAGCATTGTCTACTTACAGAGTAATAGCAGGCAGAGATCCGTTGGCGAGCGCTCGTTCAATGACAGGAGAAACACGGTGAAACGGATCAGCACTGGATATCTCTGCGCTTGTATATATTCCAGAGTCTCTATTGATCTGGTCATCAAGAACGGCACATAGGTGTTCGTAGAACAATCCCAGAGGCCGTTTTAATATTGACTGTGGAGGGCGATAGGCCCCAGACACACGGTCGAGAGCTTGATCATGTTCGACGTTGAGGCTCTGTAAATCAACCTCGACCGGGACGATAAAGTGATAAGACGAGGACTTAGGGTGACCTTCCCTTTTCCTGCGGGGCTTTATTGGATTTTGACGTACCCGTCGATTGGGACGGGTTATATGTTCGATAGGTCGTAAGGAGGAGGACACGCAAAGGGTGGAGACAAGACTCATGTCCGTCCTCAGGGCAGCAAGTTGGAAGAACCTAACTTCTTGCTGAATTAGACTGTGAACAGACTGGGTCAATCTACCTGGCGCCCTCAAAACCCCAGGCGTAGGGTAAAGACATAGGGTCTGAAGTGTCGCTCCCGAAGCCGTTCGGGCCAAAGCTCCTAGTACGACGGCCTCGTGATGATAGTCAATCCTAGAAAGGTCACTTCTCAGCGCGGAAAAGCAGAAAAGGTCTACCCAAGAGCTGCTTGTCGAGTATATGTAGACTTGGGAGATGACCTGAGTGGATGATCTAGCGCCCGGGGAGACGATAAGCCTTAAACTGGGGTCGAGGCCGTTCCTGAAGTGGGGGACTGAGAGGACGACGGCCCATCCCTTTTTCACCTCACCCCACTCCCCCCCAGACGTTGAGAAAACCCTAACCACAAATAATCTTAGAGTAGTGAGGATAAAGACGAGCTGAGTCTCCAAAAGGTTTTCATACACATCAAGGATCCGATCTTGACTTTCCTCTTGTACAAGAGGCAAATCAGGGAGGAATGAGCTCCTGGAGAGGTCTAGCAATCTAGCTGACTTCGGACCACATAAAAGCAGCGTCGACGACCGTACGAGCTGCGGAAAGGAACCCTGAGAATAGGAAACATCTACACCTTCTTCAAGGTCGAACGGCTGTGAACTTCCAGTTGATAGGTCATCCGGGGGGCCAATCCAAAGTATCTTGTGCCACTCTGCCGCATCTTTAGAGCACCTAGAAGGAAGTTGTTTCAAAAGACCATTTCTGATATGTCCACATTTGTTAAGACTAAACGTTGGTTTTCTGGACCTGACCCGAGTATGGGCTATATCCCAGACGCTCCAGAAGCCGCACTCATCGATAAGCCCGAGTTGGGGAGGGTTCCCTCTTGTGCCCGGGTTGAATGAAACGTCTGAATGGGGATTGCCTCCGGTCTGGTCCTTCGAGAGAAAGAACAGCGGATTTGGGTCGATGCGAGAGGGCCTTTCCCCGCTGTTGGGTGTAGATGTCGTCGCAACTCTGCGATATTCGGGTTGGAAAACACGAGTACCGGCATCTTTCTGTAGGATTAACCAGCGCGTCGGGTCATACCTCTTCGCGTCCACTACGCTCTTCAGACGGCGGATTGGGCCTGCCGTATCATCCTCCCATAGCACAGAATCAGCGTTCCCCATGCCAGCGAGTAACAGCGATACCCTGTCGTCGTCGCCCCATTGCCATTCCTCCACAGCCGGTTTTGCGAGGCAAAGTACATCATTTGCTCTGCCTGCGGCGACAGCTACCAAGGGTGCGCCCACTGTTCTTTCCAGCTTGGTCCTATCGGCGAGCTCACCGATTGTGAAAAGTGACGACCTCAGTTCATCCCGGTGAGGCTGTCGTGATGAATGTAGGAGCGACAGCTCATCGTGTATATATTCATTTCCTAAGCGAGCTTCGGGGTGGGCTTTTAAAAGCCACGTCCGCTGCTTCCGGCTCGTATACCACGGGGTTGTAGCCGGTAAATCTGGCGTTTGGATCTCAGCGACAGTAGGAGTAGCCGGCAGCCAGATCTTACGAGGACCGAGTTCCTTAAATATGGGTGCTTCGCCGGACAGGGTTAGCAGCCTCGACGAGAGGTCGGTTTTTGTGATAACTTACTATCCCGACGGAAGTTCCTTGTAGACCTCCACCCGCGATCCTCCGCCCGACCTGAGGTCTGAGGCAAATGTGAAAGGCGTCCGGCGAGTCCAATGGAAGATTCGGTGATTTGCCGATCAGTCATCCAGAGGGCAGGAGTTCAGGGGTATCCTCTCAGACGCAGCCCGTATTTGGGCATACGTGGCAATGCCTGGGGGGATTTGAGAGAATGTGCCGCTTCGTCTAGGATGGTTGAGACCTGGTCGGGCGATTTCGCATTGATAGCACGACGAACTTGTAGGAGAGAAAAAAAGCTGAGCATCATCACTGGCAGCTTATCTTATCGCATGTAGATACTCATGTAATACTACCCGCAATGTAGAGTCTATTTGGATGTATACCCTTATTAAAAGGCCAAAGAGCAGTTATATTGTTATAGGCACCTAAATATGTGAGACCGAGAACGTAAAAGTACTGAGGATATAATATGTAGCAATTAATGAAGTCATCTCTGTGTGAATAGTTATGTAAATACCTAGGTATCTGGTTGAAAGTTGGTAAATAGGTGATAGGCTGACAAGTAGGTACCTGCTTATGGGGATACCAAGGCCAAGACTAGCGGCGCTCGGCAACAGAAATCAACATTTACCCACCCGCCCGTGGATGTTATGCATCTCAAGACATCTACGTACCTACATACATAACATCCCTCTTACCTTGGGTATTTGCATTTCGCTCCACAGTCCAAGTCGTCATTTGAGGACCACGGCCACGACATCATCGGCGTCCCGTACAAGCAAAAGAGTACCTGCCGATAATCCGTCGCATCACCCCAATTCGACACCGAACCGAACCGAACCGACCACAATGTCGTCCGCCTTCGAACCCTCCATGTCCTTATCGTCGAGTCTGAGCGGCCGCCAGCCCATGTCGGCGACGGCACCGTCCATGGCGGACTCGCTGCCCAGCATCAACTTCGGCTTCGACGAGCTGCGTGACCGCATGGCCAAGTTCACCGCCAAGTTCGACGCCTTCATCGAACAGGGGCGGAAGCGCGTCCTCGAGGAGCGCAACCAGTTCCGCATGAACATTGCCGAATTACAGGGTAAGACAGATGAACTGCACTTTATTGTCACCTTTCGGTAATACTATATACCACATGGTTTTTGGGTGGGGGGTGAACGGTTGCGCGTGCGCGCGCGCGCGCGAGAGAGAGAGAGAGAGAGAGAGAGGAGAGAGAGAGCTACGGGGCCCATAAAACGGGAGTCGCTAACGGACCAGCAGAGGACCAGCGTATGAAGAAGAAGGACATGGAGATCCTGCAGCACCGGACGAGCACGCACGAGCAGATGGTATCGAAGGAGGCGGCGGAGACGCGGGAGATGCAGGCGGCAATCGCGGCGCTGACGGCGCAGCGGGACCGGAACCAGGCGGCGCGGGACGCGCTGCGGCAGCAGATCGCGGAGACGCAGAAGGAGATCGACGCGCGGCTGGCGGCGCAGCGGGCGCACGCGCAGTACGTCGAGGCGCAGGCGCGCTTCAACGTGCCCGAACTCGACTTCTGGATGCAGAACCTGTGCCTCAAGATCGAGGGCGCCGGCCAGACCGACCGCCTCAAGTTCGTCTACTCCCACATCGACGACAAGGCCTGGGACCGCGAGGCCTGGTTCGAGCTCAGCACCGCCTCGCGCGACTACGACGTGCGCCACTGCCGCCCCAAGCTCGAGCGCGAGAAGATCAACCGCGTCCTCGAGCGCGTCAACGAGACGAGGGACCTGACTATGCTGCTCAAGAGCATGAGGGAGTTGTTCGTCGAGGTCATGAAGTCATAGGCCTGTTTCCTCTGCCGAGGTTCGTTATCGTTAGTATTGCTGAGATCGTTATTGCTACGTGGGCCGATATAACTGCATATGATATGACGGAGAGGGCGACGATGATGGGCACAACAGCAGCAGCAGCAACGGAAACGACGGTTGGATGGCGCCTGAAGTTTTGATGGTTCCCGCTGCGTATAATTTCCTGACGCTGATTATGACTTCAAGGTCGTTAAATAGGTTGGACTATGTGATATATACGTCTATCCGGTTTCTTCTGCCGCTTCTAATGTCCCAGTTTATACCTGGTGGTGAGTTCTATCTATCTGATGTTGAACCCCTTTATATGAGTTAATAGGTATTCATGCATATATGCCCGCAGTTGCTTCCCCGCCCCCGCACGTGTGCACGCGTCTCTCATTCAACACGACCCTCCAATTTACATCTTTCCACCATAACCCGAAGCGCGAATCGATAATTCTCTACACAGAAAGAATAGAAGAGACGAAGAGAGAAAGCCGGCAAACACTCCTCAAGCTGCATCACGCTATCAACACTCACTCGGCCATACCCGAATCCTCCAGCCACCATGCCGCCCCCGGGCCCGGTCAGAGACGACAACGAGAAGCAGCAGGCCGCGCAGCAGGCCGTCGACATCCTGCACGAGATATCCACCATCCTCGTAAGCCCCCTCTAAGGTGTCCTCCTACCACCCAGTACAAAATGACTCGATATCTTTGCCAACGCTCGACATAAAAACAATTGAAAACTAGAACTGCCATCTCGACCGCCGCACCTTGTCCATCTGCATCTCCATGATCGAGAACGGCGTGAACCCCGAGGCGCTGGCGGTACGTTCGTCCCCTCCGTCCGTCCCTGTTCTCTATTCCCCGTGCCCTACAAGTAAGAAGGACGGGTGAGAGAGGTAAACAAGTAAACAAGCTAATTGGCTGTGCATCCGAACCCACGTTGAAATATAGAACGTCGTCCAATTCCTCCGCAAGGAGGCGCAGAAGGCCGAGTTCGCGCACGAGGCCGATCGATAACGCTAGCATGAGACGGGGTAGGGTGGGATAGGCTAGGAGAGGGGAAGCTTTCGCCGGACGGGGGGGGGAGAGGTTGGAAGTATCACACGCGCATCGTTCCTAGCCACGCCGCGTAGGAATGGGGCGTCTTAAGAGTTTCAAGCAACTATCCGGGTTTAGGATTGCCAATTGTCAATCGTATTTATTTACACACACGCACGTGCGTATCCAGCAATACAGATGCCGCGCCGGGCTGTACGGATGGATGTACGCATTCAGTTTATGTCCATCACCGCGTTTCTCTACCTTCAGAGATGCTGCACTCCTGATGGCGATGTTGAACACTTGCCGAGTCTAGTCTCTTCTTCTTCTCCTTCTCTTTTCGGGCCACGCACCAAATATACCGAGTGGGAAACGGCGACGCCAAGTCTATATACCAAAAATACCAATATTTGCACGTGCATGTCAACTTGATGCTCGCCAGGATCCCTTTGACTCTTTCCCTAAACCCTCTGGTATTTCCTCATGCACTCGTGTCGTACCGAAACGCCTTCCCTATGCCATGCGTAAAAAAAGAATCCAGCTAACCCATGCGTTAAAAAGAACGGACGACCTCCGTGCCTAACGATGCCCAAGAAGCTCAAAATCGTCCTCGTCCTCCTCCTCTGCCTCTTCATCCTCCTCATCTTCCGAGGACGACAGGGTTTCCCCTTCGGAGGCATCTGTGCCATCATCATCCCCGCCTGATGCTATGCTGCGAGGAACACGGCTCCAGAATCCTATAATGTCGTCGCGCGCCTCATCCTCAGTCTCCACCAGGTAGCCGGCGGGCGGACTCCAAGAATGTGCGTTGCTAGGAGGCGGAGATACCGAGCGCGCCAGTCTATCAAGCGAATCCAGAAAGGGCTCGGCGGTTGCCGGACGTTGAATGTTGGACGAATGACGCCGTCTCACGTCACGAGCACCATCGCCATCTCCGCCCCTAAGAAGAATAGCTCGCGAAGCTGCCAGTTCGACGGGGCTTGTCTCCCGCCCGCGCAAGTCGGTCTCGATGGCTTCGTTGGCCATGCCGTGTATCTGAAGCTGTGCCGTGTTGTACGACGAACAGATGCCGCACTTCAGGCCCAGCCAATGATATCTGACAGAACTCTTGGCCGAGCAATCGTTACACAGAATTAATGCTCGGGTATCTTGAAATTCGGCCGGCATCGGCTGGGTTTCGATAGCGATATCAAGATTGCGGAACTGTAACTCCATATTCGCCAGGCTCCTGTTGCAGATTGGACATTTGTAAGCAACTTTCATGTGTTGGTCGAGGCATTGTCGATGGATGCTATGCCCGCACTTCATGAAGCACACGGCCTTGGGGGACGTGAACATGTAGTCGCCACATATTGGACAGTCACAATCAGTAGACCGCTCTATGCATTTGTGGTCCTTCTGGCTTATAGCGATGCAGGCACAGCATGTCTAGCCAGCACCGGTCAGCAGAGATTCGCAAGCAAATCATGCAGGATAGGCCTACCTTGCAATGGAAGAAGTCTTTACCAAGCCCCCTCCCTATCCTACAGATGCCACAGTCGTTGCAGTGGTAGACTGGCTTATCGGGATCGTCATTCCACAATTTGCAAATGCTGCAGTAGTACCGCGAAGCAGACGCGCTGCACGAGATACAAACGTCGCTAGCTCTCTGAGCAGTTCCACAAAACATGCATAGCATGTTCTTCGTCGCGTTCCGGATCAACGTGTGATCTTCTGCTTTATCATGGCAAAAGCGACATGTGTACCATCGACCGCAGGTAAAACATTGGAGCTTGACGTTCCTCCTGTAATGTTCGCACCCAAGGGGGCGATAATACGAGTCTTCGACCTCGGGATCCTCACTCGAATCCTCCGACGAGTCCTTTAATGATGCGAAAGTGGGTTGGAGATCTTGAGGTGTCAGGTCGAACTCCTCTCGCACTTCGGGCTCACCCGAGATATTCTGCCAAAATCTGAACGAATCCAACGGACCCTGGTACTGTCGCTGCTCCGAGACCGTAGAGCTAGAAGGCGACAGAGGCCGCTCTACGAGGTCGATCTTCTTAGATTTAGTGTACCCTTCTAGCAGCAGCAGGTGCATCATGCTCGCTTTCTCGGATGCGTCGATATCTTGAGCCTGAATGGCAAAAATACGCTTCCGCAATGCGCCCATCCCATCATCTTCGGGCAGAGGTTTCCGTCGTTCGCTCCCCGAAAGAGAGTCGTCTACCGCAGGCACTGGCGTATCCTCCATGGTACGAGGGCGACTGGGAGGCGCCATTTCGACCGGTCTCTGTAGACTTCGTGGCTCGGTGCCGAGGATTTGCGTGTCGGGGGTGCCGATGTCGGTGTAGGCTGTGGCATGGTTGGGCTGGCCGATAAGCCGAATCGAATCGACTGCATCGCCGCCAGGATATGAGCGGACGGAGCTCCGAGACGAAGCAGACGACGACAGGCTTTCGGCTACCTCGCCATCCAGGTACAGGTCCTCCTCCGTCTCTGATATGGCCTTATCAAGGCCCTCTTTCGGTTCTCTAACAGGATGGGGTGGCGAAACGGGCTTGGGAGTGGGTAAGTTGGCAGATGATCGTGAGAATCGTCGTGCTTGTCGTACGACCGGGTTAACAAGAAAGTCGGTAACGAGGGACGTCATTGGGAAGCGAGAAACAGACGAGGGGACTGAGCAGTCGAGTCCGAGAAATCAAGTCAGGTCATGACCTTTCGAGCCAGACGATCGGAGAATGAGTTCTAAGAATCAATTATATAAGGAGGAGGATTTAAGAAGGGAATAACACGAACGACCCATGAGATGGGATGGGCGAGAAAGTTGCAAGACATCGGAGGTTATCATTAGTAAGAAAGATCCGTGAGACGGTTCATTGGTCGTCCTTGGGACCTGACTATTGATCGTGTGTTTAATTGCTTAGATATGTTTAATTAACCAGATTACTTGCCTACCTCTTTTCGACCGGGCTGCAGTGGGATTAAGCGTTAGCACCGTGGAAGTAAGCAGTCCGGTAGTTGGAGTGGAAGTTACCTAAGACGGGCAGACAAGGTACATAAATACGCAGGTACATATATGTGGGTCCACGTACAAGTACCCAAGGTACCTTGCCCCAAGGTCCATCAAGTCCTATACATCCCCCTAAAGGCGATGGCGATAAACGGCCCGTAGCAACTACCTATTAGTACCTGTTAAATATTGAATTTACATTACAAGGGAAGACAAAGGATGGGAAGAATCCTAACATAGGCAGATTTTCCGAGGTCCTTGGGAAGCAACCTAACCTTGGCACCTGGGTAATGTATCGGGATACCTACCTCCTCCTATCCCTAAGTTTACACGTAAGTACCTACAACGGACGCCTGCGAGCCAATTGACATGCTTGAAACGACATTACCCACTTCGAGTCTTTCTACCGTTCTCCGTTTTTTCTCGTACCAAAAGGGAATGATTTTCCCTAAAGGGCTAGATGCTAGAAGGCCAGGCGCAAGTAGTGGTGCTCAAAACAGTAACCTGAAATATATTACAGGTACGGCAGAAAAGAAACACCACCGTGTGTTGGCCATATCTTGCAACTATCGATCCAGAATATGTGGTGAGATTGGCTTCCTAGAGGGCTTAAACAGTCGCTTAGCTTCTCAAGATATGGCCGTATTCAGCCATAGGTATTGCATACATATCTTCGTGAAAGACAGGACCAGTCATTAGAGCCTCTATCGTCGGGTTATAAGCCAGGAGTCCTAGGCTCAGAAGGGTTGAGAGCGATCGCCAATCTTCATGCTTACAACTATGCACTTTGATGTAGGTAGCATTCCAAGATAGCTGCTCTCCCTCTGGTTGGGCCTAGCCAATAATATGTTTCTTGCGATAACCAATCCTCCCAAACATCGACCTATCGGTAACCACGTGGAACCGACTCTCTGGTCACCCAGCACCCTATCGGGTCACCGCCATGTGGTGAGCTCGATGATAAAGCCTCTGGGACCTTTTGAAGATATACTATATAAGACGAGCTCGAGATGTCGTGGATAGGGGTTGCGCACTTCGTTCAGTTCAGTCGCGCCGCAACAATATACTAGCCATACTCTCGTATGCCTCTTAGCTTGCCACACCGTATTGACCTACGCCTACGTGTATACCGCAACATTCGAGTCCATCACACCTTTGAGTCCAAAAGGCTCCAAGCTCTACTACCAGAAAACAGCAAAGCCAACAGGGTTGTCGATCTCAAGGCAGCTTGCCTCGGCCATGGCCACGCTCTGTGATAGTTGTGGAAGGTTTGTTCTGCAACGCCCCGGCCAAATCCGCAAAGTTATAAAGTGCCCAGATTGCCTGGGCGTAAACCCCAGGCATCAGCGATGCAACCGATGCCTACTCTCCAGCGCGGGGAAGTGCGGGAACTCTGCCTGCAATGGGGGCTACCGCTCCTGTTCTGGTTGCGGCGGAAAGGGGGAGATAGTGCGGACCTACCCTTGCCCCAAACAACATGATCGCCGGGGGTTAATACGTACTTGAGAGCAAGCTTGGAGAGCCTCTTGGTTTCCGGTTTCCGTGGCGAATAAGGGCCACCCCAAGATGTGAGGGCGTGGGTCTGGGATCTACTACATCAAGTGTGCGCTCCCTTCGATGTGTATAATAGCAGGGTTGAAGCTCATTTTCCAAACCAACTGAGACAAGATAGTATTCATACATCCCATCCCATCCTATACCCCTAGAAGGTCTTGAAGAGATGTTTAGATCGGCAGATCCGGGCACTGAGCATCAATTGCTAAAGCAGGCCGATGGGGAGTAGCTGCACCTTCATCTAGACGGATTAACCACCTATGTACAGTCCCTACTTACTACAGAAAAGGGTAAACTTCTCATCAAGAAACGAAGCATGGAGAGATAATCCAGTAAGCTGAACATGGTGATGAGATGTGGAGAAATACCCAATCTGAACTACGAAACTGGAATGCACACACTCAACTGCCTTAGGCAGGTAGATCTAGGTAGGTAGGTAGGCAGGTACTTACATTAGGAAGTACCTAATTCATGTGCATAATGTACCTTGCGCTGCTCTTTAGGAGGTTAGGTACCTACACCTAGTACTCGTAGTCCTTCCGCTCCGGTATGCACATCACGCTATTAATATTGTAATTATATGTTGAAGGGGCGAAATGGCACATCTGTGTACATAGAAGTACGCAGGAAAACAGAGGTAGGCCTAGTAATAATTCGCAGCTCAATTAATTACTGAGCTCCCTGCTAATCACTGACTGTATCTGGGGGCGCCTACCTTTCATTTTTGATATTCGTGTGCTAGCCTAGCCTCGGCACTAGCTGATTCCTCGGCACCCACTAACCTACATAGGTAGGTACCTCCCAGTATGCGTACATATACGTGTAGATACATACCTCCTAGGTGCCTATATCATCTACACTTCATATGAGTAGAAGTTTGTGCAAGGTTTTCACATTACGGGCCTCAACGTACCCATACTCGACATCCACGTCTCTATCGATGCAATCAATTCCTTGAGGTTGCCTTTTTTTTTTCCCAGGTCCACTATTTCATCCGTCCATCGTTGCCAGGTTGTCGGTATGTACCTACCTTATGTTGGTACTCACTAAACCTACCTACAATATCAAACCAACCTCCATACACAACTGATCTATGATATGTCCGTCCGTTGCTAACCTGCGTACGCACAGATCCCCATACCGGAGTTGTGTAATTCCCGTGATGTCCACCATCTCAACCGTGTGGTGGGCTTAGGCGGACATTCGAGGATTCGCCATTCCTACTTAAGACATACACAACTAAACCTCTCATTGCCGAACTCGAGGGCACTGTCACAATATCCACATCTCAGCGCCAACTAAAGTCGCCAACTACAGCGATGGCTACTCTCGAGGTTATCCATACATACCGCCACTTGTATCGAGCACTGCTCCATGCTGTTCAATTCGCGCAACCAGCTCGATTTGTGGCTCGAGACCGACTGAGACGGGCCTTCCGGGAAGGAGAGGGCCAGCTTGACAACCGAAGTCTTATTAGGACGTTACGATTCCTAGAAGCGGCCGCCAGAACTCGCGGGATAGAGCATAAAGTTCTCAAGAACCTTTTATTTGTGGATTACCACCGGTACTACGACTCCCGAAGGCCGTGGAAGCACGTTGAGCGGGCCATGAAACAGCCCCCGAAGTAAGTCATAACCCCCCCCTTCCCCCCCATTCCCTCTCCCTATTCCCGGGGCGGAATTCCTCGTGTGAATCGCTAACAAACCCGGAGGCAAGATACGCAGAAGCATATCGAAAAGACAGCCTACAAACACTACGACATGACCGTGGCCATGCTTAACAAATCCATGGGTTTATGCTTGAGATAAGATCACACCCGTCTCGCCTACTGCGCTGTACGAGGTAGGCCTTGAAACTCCATATCCATTGTAGGAATTCCACCTCAGTTCGGGGCTGTGGGCGCGTGTGCGTGGCGTCTGGCGCGCCCTGCTCACGCAAGAGGCCTTTGGATTCGACGACGATGTGCGCTGCGATCAATCTAAGCTAATGGTCGATCGGCTATACGCGGAGGCTTAGACATTCTATGCGCCAGCCAGACTCGATACCAGCGCCCGCGGATACGAAATCATGGAGGACGAGCGACAGGTAACCTGCTGGTGCTCGAGTCGGAACCTCTCTGCCCTTTAGCACAATCGGGTCGGCGCAAGGGGGTCATGGAGCCCCTCCCGAGTGTGCTTACTCAACCGGGAGATTTTGCGAGCGACTCAGCACATCTACGAAGGGACAGCTGACCTCGACTTCACCGATAACATATCAGCCGACTATCTGCTATGTACTGAGTATATCTTCGAACCTGCAAATGGCACACTATTAGGCAGAAAATAAAGCTTATCGACGTCAGACAAGCCGCGAGGATCACGGTGGCTGGTGTGTCGGACACGGTGCGTGGGAATAAGATATGAGAATGCATTTCCGCTACCAGCTTCATCCCAGGGTTCGCAGCGTCACTCTACGGGGCCGCCTGCTTGAATACCTACCTAGGTAGGTAGGTATACTAGGAGGTAGGTAGCTATCACAACGCGTACCCGAGGCGGGCTATATGTACCGTGGCCATGAACGTTAAGGGGTGTTAGGACCTAAGGTAGCCCATTACGATGGGTACTACCTACCTCTTAGGTAGGTATATTTCCCTCCCTTGTGTACCTAGGTAGGTACCTAGGAGGTAGGTAAGATACAAGACCGGTAGTAGGTGTGTATTTCCGGCCCCAACCAGCGACAACATTACGGCACCAGCGACTACATGCATGTCGCTTCGACCCATCTGTGACAGGCTTTCACTGACGACATCCACCCCAATCACTCGTCGGGGATCGACACCGGGCTGTGCTCGACCCCGTCTACGCAGACCGCATACATGCTGATGCCCATTGAACGTCGGAGTGACTGATCGAAATCCGCGGCGGACGGCTTCTATGAGGTACCTCCCTAGGTAAGGGTATCATGCCCCTACACGTACAGGTAGCATGGGAGCTGTGCCGTCTTCTCCTAGCAGGTTAGGCGCACCGGGTACCTCCCATGTGCCGGGTTCGACGGGAGAGCCCCGAAGGCTATGTGGGCAGGTCGATTCCACAGTGCCTACGATCTGCCCACCACCGCAGGCACCTTATAGCGTAGGCAAGTCGCATCCCTCCACACGGACGTGCACGGTTGAGGTTGGAGGCACCGGCCGCTGTATGTATGAGGTAGATACGAGGAGACGGGCTGCCTCCGGCAGGTGCGACATGGGTTCAGTATGTACGTGTAGTGGAAGGTAACTGCGTCCATCCAAGTGTGCGACCTGCTCTGTATTCCAGGCCGGCCTTTCCCAGCCCAGGCTTGCGGCGAGCTCCAATGCCGGATCCACTTTTTGCAGCCGGTGAAGCCAGCGGACATGTGAGGAGAGGAGCCATCCGCGCGATAGGTACATGCTACCACCTCCCCCCCCCCTCCCTCCCCTCCTCTAGTCGCCTCTTTACCAGCCTTGCTCGGGTTCGACTACCTCCCAGGCTGTGCCCCAATAACGACCTTATGTCTGCGCTTTAGAAGGTACCTACGGCATACCTAGCTGTTGTATGCCTACCTCAGGTGCCTCCTTACACACACACCGGCGCGTGCGCCGATACATACACGTAGGTACATGATGCAGCGGAGTGTGTAAACTTCCACCACCCTGTACGTACTATGATGTACCTAGGTACCTATCTCATAAATATACCCATCTAGGTACCTTTGTACTCGTACAGCATCAGGTCAGGCCAGTTCGGGCCTTCCCATACGTCAACGTCGAACCAAGCCGGCCCCTCGAGAGCCACATCTTCATTATGGTGCTGCGTACCCTGACCCATGTCCGTGGCCATATCCACACCCCCCCCCTTTAGCCCCCCTTTACCCCCCCTCCCGCCATCGCCTTGCTTGACCACCCCAAAAAGCTTCCCAAGTCCTCAGTTTTCTTGTCCACCCGGCTCTGATCGAGCTCTCTCCCGTCCATACAAAACCCACACTCTCAACGCCAACTCTCTGGGTCCAATGCCGTTCTTTGTGTGTTCGAACAAACCCCGCAGAACACAGACCTTGGGAAAATCCTAGGATCCCGGAGATCAATTGGTCTGTTTGCAGTCGATAACAGCACACTCTCCCTAGCCAAGGCCAGCCATAGCGGGTGGTGAGCTACCCTATTGCTCCAGCTTTGAGCCGTCGTTGGACTTAGCTGCCTACTACGATACCCTCCTCCCTCCACCTCTCCAACAGCTATTATCTCGAACCCCTCATCGGCGTCTCCTCCCAAGAATCCCGTCGAGTCCTCTCAGTTCGGGATATTGATGGCATATCTCTCGCTGGCGGCTGACGCTATTGTATCGCGACCACGCCGATGACTCTGGCCCTCGTTGCGAGGCCATTGTCTGAAGCTTCCTCCGCAATACGGCTTCTGCTGCCAGCGAACTGAGCCATGCCAGCTGAGTCCAATTTCCAAGATGTCACCAGCTCCACGATTCGGACTCGGACGATGTCTCAGATCAGCGGTGGGAGTGAGAGGCCACGGAGGTGGATAAAGCGTTACCGGACAGAGACGGCCGCTAGTACTGCTAGTGTTCTGTCTACGGTGACTGCTTTCCCTCTTGACAGTGTCAAGACTCGCATGCAGACCTATCCTTATGCAGGCGCCTTGGATTGTGTTCGTGTGACATACAAATCAGAAGGAATCAGAGGTTTCTTTCGAGGTATGTGTCTGAACTTCGAAACTCCAGATATCGCCCGTCCGCCCGCAACTCAAGCCCCGGCAGCTCGTTCGTTCTCCGTGGCGGCTAACCTTCCTCCTGTTCTCCAGGTGTAACCGCACCCCTAGCCAGCGTCACCCTCGTACGAACTATATCCTTCTCGATCTACCAACGCTCTAAATACGTTTACTCCGACTGGATGAAGAAGCACTTCGGCTTCAGTCCACTTGATCATGTTAACAGGAACGGTGCCTACCCGACATTGGGCACGATTGCTTGCTTTGGGGCCGCCGGAGCCACTGCTGGTTCCGGAATTACCTTCATTGCTTGTGAGGAGGCCGCGCACATCTGAATCTAGCGTTCCCCGGTGCTAACACGTGCGGAACTCAGGTCCGTTCGAGCTGACGAAGCTGAGCGCTCAAATATCGGTTCTCATGGCGAACCAGAAGAATGTGGATCCTAAGAAACAAGAGATTGCCCTTAGCTATCACAATAAGGGGACATTTAAGACTCTCGCAAACATTGTCAAGCACAGAGGTTTCGCGGGGATGTACACTGGACTGAACTTACATCTCTGTAAGCTTTCTTAGAAGCCCAGTGCGCGTCAATCACCTAACGCGTGCATAGTGAGAGACACGTTAGGAACGGGAATCTATTTCGCGACGTACGAAAGCAGCAAGCAGCTGCTGACAACGTTCAGCGGCAAAGACGCCCATAAGAACCCCCTCGCTGTACTAGCTGCTGGGGCGCTCTGCGGTATAGTCTCGTGGGCCATGATCTGTTCGTATCCTTCGCACTAGCTATCCCGGTTATGAGCTGACACTCTACTAGACCCGATCGATTCTGTCAAGAGTATATACCAGCGTAACGCGCTGATGTATTCGAAAGGTCAAAAAGTCCCCGTCCCAAAAATCAAATTTTTTAGGCGAGATATGTACCGCGGGCTCGGTGTATCCATGGGACGCTCCGCAACCGTCAATGCCGTATTCTTCTCGGTGTTCGAATTCCTTAAGAAGCAGATTAATTCTCTCGAGGAATACGACTAGTCTCGAGATCTCGGCGATACGAGGCGACGGCGAGCGGGCTGATATCCGTGTGCCCTTTTTGGTGCAATAAAAAGCGTTTAATTGAGTTGCTGGGATGGGCTTTGCGGTTCCCTAGGTTCTTACGGTATAGTCCGAGAATAGGGCAATCCGGTAACGTCTTGTTGGAAAAGCGGATACACTGCAATCCGTTTCGCGACTTACGACGGAAAATGGCACCTTAGGTATATCAGGGCCATTTATTACAAAAGGCGGCATCGACGGTTGTGAAATCAATAGATGCATGCTACCAATGCTACAAGAAGAGCGAGGCTGAAATGTGAAATGATCCCTGCTCTAACCACATACTCCGCCAAGACGTGACGCCTAGACGGCTGGTAGCCAAGTACTGTACAAGTACAACAATAGACAATACTTGCCGTCCATAAGAGAACATCGCGGTCTGCATCGTGACCGTTGTCGTATTACCCTGTGTCTATTTCTCGCAAGGGCAACCTACCCATGTAGTGCCACCAATCCATCGTGTCCAAACGCCGAGACTCCCCCCTTCAAGGAAAAAAAAAAGGACGTAGCAACATCCCTATTTCCGCGTGCCCTAAGTATCATTCATCAACGTCGTCTAACTGGCTTCTTCACTAACCCTGGCCTGAAACGGAATTTGTTCGGGGGACAAGGGCGTGACATCGTGGTTCCTTTTTTTTTTTCCAACTCGTCTTTTTGTTCCTGTTCTTCTACAAATTAACCAATCGATCGGCCGGTATCGGTTTTGGGTGTGGATATCGACCAACCCAGGGACTAGCCGGCCGGTGTGATGCTCGGTCCCTCGTTTTTGCCGCGGGCCGATCGATCAATCGCTGCGGAGCATGCTCTCGACGAGGTCGCCGAGGGGGCCCCAGAAGTCCTTGCCGGTGGCGAGACCGTGCTCGTCGATGAAGAGGACGTACTGCTTGAAGCTGGTGTTGAGGTGGGGCTCGAGGCCGAGCTCGCGGATGACGGGGTAGTGGTGGCAGTAGATGTGGGCGTAGACGCGGTACATGCGCTTGAAGATCTGGCGGACGAGGGCGGGGAAGGACTTGGGGAAGGGGACGCCGATGCGGGAGGGGAGGACAGACTCGTCGTCGATGCTGGCCTGGACCCAGGCCATGAGCTGCTCGACGTACTGGGGGGCGGGCATCTTGGTGGGGCGCTTGTAGGCGGCGCCGTCCTGCCAGAGGTACTCGAACTCGTCGGTGGCCTTCATCTCGGGGCAGGACTGGGGGGAGCAGAACTCGGTGATGGCGCCGTAGAGCAGGTTGACCTGGTTGTAGAAGTCGACCATGTTGACCGCCAGCCACTCGTTCTCGTCCTCGCCCTCCGGCAGCCGCACCACCTTGCGCAGCGACCCCCCGCCCAGCGTCGCCTCCGCGTACTGCCGCAGCTGGTAGCTCGTGCTGCCGCCCTTGCCGCCCGGCCGCGCCCGGAACTGGTTCCGCGCCCGCTGGTTCCTATAACGCGTCCCCGACCCCCGGCCGTCAGCATCCTGCATACGAACGCGTATGTTTAGGAGAGGGGGAGGGAAGGGGGGGGGTTGCGTGTTTGTAGACGTATATGGAAACGACGGAAATGAGAACAAGAGCAAGCCGAAATGCAGGACAGCTCGGACGGTTGCAGCGCTCGCCGTGGGAAAACGTCGAGGTAAGCCGGACAGAGAGAGACTTACACGGTGGTGACGAAGGAGGTCATCTTGTCTCCTATCTTCCTCTGGAGTGGGGGCTTCTTCTTGAGCTCGGGCTCGCGGGCGCGTGCGGTCGAGTGCTGCTGCTGCTGCTGCTGCTGCTGATTTGCGTCGTGGTGCTTCTGCGTCGATTCCGACATCTTGCGTTAGCGAAACGGCGCCGACTTCATCGACTGGGCAGGAGTAGTAAGGTGGGATTCGGAAGCATATGAATACGAGCGACTCGAAAAAATGATTCTGTGTATGTGTTTTTTTTTTCGGCCCGCAGAGGAAGGAAGAGGAGGACGGGGAAGAGGAGAGAGAGAAGGTCGGCGGCTCGTCGCGAGTGAGCGAGCGAGAGGCTGGTGATTTTCTTCCTTGGCCTTACCTCTCGCGAGGGGGAGCGGGCGAAGATCGCCGTGGGTTTCCGAGCTCAAAAAGCGGGCAGGCGCGCGCGGGCGGTATGACGGTATAAGGTGGTACAGTACGGCGAATATTGGGTGGGCAAAGGATACAGGTGAACAAAGTGCTGTGTACGTGTATCGGCTTGTGCTAAGTTATTTCCGTTACAGTCGTCGGCGGAAGCGTGGGCGACGACATGAACAACGCGTCCAAGGTCGGGATCGGAGCAGGATGGATGAATGGATGATGGTGGATAGAGATGATAGTAGGTTTGTTGTTTCCCCTGCAGCTTTCGTTGCTATGTTGTGCACGGGCCATGTTGGAGGAGGTAGAGAAGACGGTCTAGGTATGGGGCTTGTCCGTGCCGCCTCCACAAGAAGAGGGCGGACACATGTGAGCCGGCCGGGGCGCCCCAAGTGAGTGTCCACCAGGCAGGTACCTAGGTACCTAGGTGTACATACGTATACTAGGTACATTGTGTTAAGAGGCACCTATCCATCCTCATATGTACGTTTGCCTTGTCACAGCGCCCGTGGTTCCGGAGTCTGTCCCGGCTGGGCACGAGCTGCCGAAGAAACGTGCTGGCTTCAAGTCTTTCCAAACTTCACTCGAAGCTCCCAGTTTTCGTGGTTCAACTTTTATGTATCTATGCGGTATGTTGGCAGTTGTGGGGTTAGAGCAAATCGCTAAAACGGGTGGCTTAAGTAAAGATGCCCAATGTCTTGTGCTCACACATCACCTCTCAATATCGTCTTCACCTTTATCTTCTGCCGCCTCTGCTCTCCCCCCTCCCGTCTTGACCCAACGCCGCCGGTGAAGAAGCACCAACAAATCCAATTCTCCCCGCGGCCTTATTCCAATGGACAAGGCACCTTGTCTATGTTCGTCCCAAATATCGTCGGGGAACTCTCGAGGTGGAGGTCATCATGCCTTGCCCTGATCCCCAAGCTTGTCCTGAATAGACATAGCAGTTCAAATGATATCTTCTTGGTATTTCTTAGACTTCAGACCATCCCTTCGACTGGCTTTTAATCGGGCTATCAACCTCCCGAAGAGTCCCAGGAGTCTGGTCGAGCAAACTCCGCCAATGGGAGCCCCTGGCTAGCTGGATGCTTCCCCAGGTCTGGCAGGTCTGGGGTTATCCGGGTAATTGGGATCCCCACAGCCGGGGCTGTAATAGAGCTCTAGTCGAGCTGGGCAATACGACAACCCCGGAATGCGACGGCAGTGCAGTGAGAAATTCCGGTACCTATATAATGACTCTCTTAGCTTCGTCCGTCCCGCGCTGGCTGCGAGTGTTCCCGTTAGTATCGCCGTCGTAGGTTGCAGCCATGTTGTTGCGACTTTTCACCCTCGTACCGGTAGCCCTCAGCGGCGTCCATGCGGCAACCTACGGCATCGACAGACGCCGGGTAGTTCGGTCCTTTAACCCGCACCGCAATGCCAGCTCTCCGACGACACCATTGCAGGTTGGCAACGGTAACTTTGCGTTCGGCGTGGATGTGACGGGCTTGCAGACGTTTAACCCCTTCGCGACTATGTCTACGTGGGGATGGCATAACTTTAGTCTCCCTACAACTCCCGGCCAGACTTCGGTAGACGGTCAGTAGCCAGTAACACGAAAAGAACAAAAAGCCCTAGTTTAATAACGTATCGTAGACTTCGTCGGCCTAGATTGGTGGACACATGGCCGGCTGGTCAACTACAACCAACCGAACTCAGCCCAGAGTGAGATATCGACCTGGCTGATACAAAACCCCCAACGCGTCAATTTAGCTAGGATTGGCTTTTCGTTCGATGGAGCTGATGTGCCCGAAGAGGCACTTGGGGATAAGTCACAGACACTAGACCTCTGGACTGGAAAGATCTCCTCTTCCTTCAGTTACGACGGATCTCCAGTCGAGGTTGAAACTTGGGCAGACCCCGGATCCGACACAATCGGTATCACTATAAATTCCCGGCTCTTGTCTACTGGGTCTCTTGGTATCTTTTTTGATTTCCCATTGCCCACTCGGAACAAGTTTGATGCCCCTTTCGTCGGCGTCTTCAACGCTACGGACAAGCATTCTACTACCTTGCGTCGGGAAGAGAATAGGGCCACTATTCGGCACGATCTTGACGCCACATCATACTATGTCTCAGCTGCGTGGGATCCGAGCGCCGAAATTTCAGGGCCTGTCAACGGAACCCACCGGTACGTTTTACAACCGCAGGGTACTGATAGAATCGATATATCGATTACTTTCTCGCCAATCACGAGCGCACATATACGGCCATTCAAGGATATCGCGACTGCTTCTACGAGATGGTGGGAATCCTTTTGGAGATCCGGCGCCTTCGTCGACTTGACAGGATCCAAATCCCCCAAGGCTACTGAGCTCCAGCGGAGAACCATATTGTCTCAATATCTCACTGCCATCGACTCGGCGTCCTCGTATCCACCACAAGGTAAGCACTCTTAACACGGGAAACGATGATTATCTAACCGCTGAATAGAGTCCGGTAAGAGAGGCCCTAAGACTTTTCAGATTCTCGCTTCGCCTACCCGCCGTCGTTACGTCATTTGCTAATCCAGGGTCAAGGCTTGGTAAACAATGGATGGTACGGCAAGTTCCACGTAAGTGCCGCAGATGTGAGGATAAGACAGGCAACGTGCTAACACTTCTGTATAGTTGGAAATGGCCTTGTGGCATTTGCTTCCGTTCGCCCGCTGGAACCAGTTTCCATTGTTATGGCGTAGCATTCCGAACATGTATAATCAGTATTTGGCCTCGTCGATCGACCGCGCGACACTTCAGGGCTACGACGGCGCTCGCTGGGGCAAGATGACCGATACCACTGGAAGGTCCGCTCCTGGTGAGATCAACTCATTGCTGATCTGGCAGCAACCCCATCCGATGTACTTTGCGGAACTCCAATATAGGTCTTTCCCTAACAAAACCACTCTGAAATCGTGGGACGTCATCCTCACACCCACCGCGGACTTCATGGTTTCTTACGCTTTCTTTAACGAGTCGACTGGGCGCTACGATCTAGGCCCACCAATGTACCCGGCATCAGAGAATACTAACCCTAACGCTACGGTTAACCCGGCGTTCGAGTTGGCCTACTGGAGATTTGGACTGGACATCGCCATCAAATGGAAACTAAGGCAGAAGCTCAAGGTACCCCCTGAGTGGGTAAAGGTACGAGATAATCTGGCGCCGTTGCCGATTGCGGACGATGCCCTGGCTGTCTATGAAGGTATTCCAAACATGTGGCGGGAAATTGGTACTTTACAGGACCACCCAGCCATGTCGGCCGTCTTTGGCCTTCTACCCCCGCCGAGCAGCGGACCGGCTCTCAACATGACGATCATTAAGAATACGGCAGACAAAATCCGGGACCTATGGGACTTGGGCGACTGTTGGGGGTGGGATTTCCCGATGCTGGCTAGTAAGTTTTCTATCTGTCCCCATTCTCGCCTAAACTATGACTTACACCATTCCGATAGTGAACTCCCTACGCCTCGGGGATATCGACCAAGCGGTGGCTTACCTCCTGCATCCCCTGTTCGAATTCGACGACGCTGGATATCCTGTCGGCGGCTCGCGAGTACCAACGCCGTACTTCCCGGGGTCGAGTTCTTTCCTGCTGGCCATGGCTATGCTTGCAGGTGGCTGGGACGGCGAGCCGGGCATGCACTTTCCCAAGGAGTGGCATGCCCGAGCAGAGGGGTTTCTACCCGGACTGTGAAGGCGAGAAATATTTCGTGTGGTAATAGTGACCTGATGTACGAGGCATGATATACATACTAAATAGAGAATGCCCACTGGAAGAAACATTTGTCCAGTGTCGGTTTTCTTGGTGAGCACCCTTAAGCAGCCCAGGTTTGGCCGGCATACCATAGAGGGTAGCGTAACAGCTGCCTCTACTGCCGGGTTCTCCTTGCGTAGTAGACGTCACTCGTCCCTCTATCTAAGAATGGGCCAAAGTAGTTGATTTGAACGGACAGTCAGGTTTGGGTTTGGGTAACCCGACTTAACGACCCTTACCTGCTAAGTACTGTTGAGCAAGGCGGGTACAGTGATACGCAAACCAAAACTACATTAGGTAGTGTTCCAGTGTCATCGTGATATGGGTGTGCATGTGGCTCAAGTCTACCAACTTATTCACGTCCCAACTTGCTTTCGTATTCCTTAGCTCCTTGCCTGGTTCGACTAAAGATCCCTACTAACATCAATACTAACACTAACGAGCCGGAACCGCCGCCACGCGTCCGCGAACTTGAGATCTCGAGTATGGCACATCATCACCGCAGCGATTCATACAATAAAGCTACCGGCCGCTAGCAAGGTATTGTACGGCTAGCTGCGAACACCACTTTTCGAGCGAGTGACCAAGTTAAAACAAAGTAGGTACAGGCTGACCTTACATTGCAGGAGCGTGAGGATAAAGGCGCTCAGGAACTCATCCGCGCTGTGTTAAGATGAACCTCCGGTTCCGAATGACTACTATATGAAAAACCCTGTTGGCGATCGCGGTGTTCGCGGCTGCTTCGTGAAGGATAGCAATCCGTCCTAGTTCTAATTTATATCTTCCCCCGCAAGACCCCGCGAGTCCTAAGGAGTGCGGGCAGGGGAGGGGAGGGGAGGGGGAGGGACATTTCACAATATTCTGTCCCTCGAAAGTACGCTGTGAACGCATATCCGTTCTGCCGGGGCGGCGTTCGGGGCGGCGTCCGGCACGTCTACAGCAGGATCTCGCCGAGGTTTTCGCCCTCGAACCCGAGCGTGGCGAGCTTCCGCAGCTTCGCCTTCTCCTTGACGCGCTCGGCGGCGCGGCGCTCCTTGGCCAGCCTCTCGACGGCGTCGAAGGCGGCCTTCTCGAAGCCCGGCGGGGGCTCGTCGTCCTTGTCGAGGTCGATCTCGCCGAGCAGGAGCACGTTCTCGCCCCGGACCAGGAACGTGCCGTGCGTCCTGTCGGCGTAGAGGCCCGTCGGCGGCGACTCGGACGGGTCCGACGTCGTGGCGAACACGCGCTCGACGGTCGATTGGAGCACTAGGTTGGCTGCGTCGAGGCGGATGTTATGAGCGAAGGAGGAGGAGAGGGAGAAAAGGTATGGGGGGGAAGCGGAGGACGGCGGCAGCCTCCATCCGAGCAGGCGAGCGAGCGAACGTACCGAACTGGTCCCAGCTGCGCAGCACGCCGGTCAACTTCCGGCCGTCTCGCAGGCACACCAGAAGCTTTTCTACACGGGGCGGTTAACAAGGGCGATCTCGACGGGCCGCAGCGGGAGCAGGCGTCGCGGGCGGGCGGCCTTACTGTCGGTGAGGTCTAGTAGTTGGGCGGCGGTGGTGAACATCTGGGGGGGCAATTGTTGGGGTTGCGGCGGCGGAGGGGCGCGCAAGATGCCCGGGGGCAGCGGGCCGCCGAGGGGAGGCTGCGCGCCCAGCGGGGGGTCGTGGAGGGACAGGTTCTCCATCGTCGTGTCCTGTGTTCTCGGTGCTGTTGGTTGATCTCGAAGGTGAGGACGTCAGAGCGGCGCCAATCCATAGGGCATGATCAACTTGCGATTCTAGATCGTTCGCATCCCCGGCGATGTTTTTTTCTTTCTTTCTTTCTTCTTTCCTTTTCTCGACGTCCTTACAGCGGCGGGAGGCGTGGCGTGGCGTGGGAAAGCCTGCGCGGACAGGTCTCCGATTATGCCGCCTGGGGTGTCATGCAAATAACACGGATCGAGATTCGCTTACGGAGAGGTAGGAGCCCGACGGTGGCGGGCGTAGCAGATACGTGTACGTGCGGAAGTTCCGTGTGGATGGATTTGGTGTCTCGTCGATGAAGCTACATACTTGCTGTATAGTACACACCTCGTACAAGCATAACTGGATGTCATGAGGATGGCGGGGCAGGCTTAGGTAAAGCGAGCAACCAATTGTGGCCTGTCACGATCGGAAGAGGTTCGGAGTTGTTGGTCCCATTAGGTACCTGCCTTAGGTACTTAAGTACCTTAGGTGGATAGAGACTGTGGCATGTTGTGGCAAGACAAAGTGTGGCTCAGCAGCTTTCACGTATGCCGCCTGTAGGTACCGTAGGTACCTAAGGTACCAACCTAGCGGCAGGTAACCTGGCAATCCACGCATTGACCAATCGAATCCCGAAGTGCTAAATGCGTATCTGTCGGATGCATTCGGAGGACGTGGAAACGCGAACGGGTAGGTAAAAACAGCAGGCCGAATACCTAATCCCCAAGGTGAGGCGGACGGGAGCCAGTGGGAGGCGAGGCAATTGTCAGCAACGGGGCGGCCTCGGATCTGATAAAGCAGGCGGCTGCGACTTCAGTTCGCATTCGCGACCAGCTTTTCGGCCGCTTTGGGCGTTCCAGGCCGAGCTTGCCGCATCTAGGAAAACTGGGCCGGGCCTTCTGGTGGAGCTGCTGGCCGATGAGGTAGGTGGGTCCCAAAAGTCCCCAAGGCTTGCTCTTGCCGAGCATCCTGGGCACGCATGTGACGGCGTGACGGGACCCGTCCACTCAAAAATCGCCCTCCCCAATGTTTTGCGGAGAACGTCTCCTGGAACCCCTTCCCAGTTCTTACTCACGTCTTCGTGTTCCCAGATCTGGCCGACACCCCCATCTCGCTTCTCGCCTTTTTTCTGGAGTCTGGATTTAGATAAAAAGCCAAGGGGGCTCGTGTCTGGGTCTGTCCGGATCCCGTCTTCGCTCCCTGGGTCTCCTCTTTCTCTGGGTCTGTTCCTTCGCATCTGGGGCTTTTCTCGTGTCCGTGTTCCTCGCCCCCCTCCCCCCATTCCGCCATTCTCCGACTCCACGAGGCTCGGCCGGAATATACACATACCTACACGCTACTTTTCGCAATTGAGACTTCTTGAGACGCTTCTACCGAGATCGACACCATGCCTGGCTCCTCGCGAATGCCCATCAGCTTGCTCGAGAGCCTCAACACTGTTAAGCGAGTGCGGCCGACGAATCCACTCCAGCTCTTTAACTTCGATTTGTAAGTTGCTTTTCGTCCGCCCCGAGAACTCGGCCGACGCTGCGAATCTACCCTTCCGGCTGTCCCCGTAATCCAGATGCGATCTGATATACCTATTACCACTTTTTCACGTTCTAGGAGGGCTAACCTACCTCTTTCTCTTCTTGCTTAGACTCCGGAATATCATCTTTTTCTTCTTCGTACTGCGTATACTTCGACAGACATTCTGGCAGCTCAAGGGACGCGGCATCATCGGCTCCATCGTAGAGCTATACCGGGATGCGCGGCGTACGCTATACGGGTATTTCCTGCGGGCGCCGGGTGTCCGGACCAAAGTGCGCAAGCAGATCAACGAATCCTTAGCCAAAGTCGAGGCGAAGATGATACCCACTACTGGTACCCGATACCTCACTCTACCGAAAGAAGGGTGGACGGATGACGAGGTGCGAAAGCAGCTCGAGACACTGGCCAATATGGAGCACACTAAATGGGAAGAGGGCTACGTATCCGGTGCCGTGTATCACGGAGAGGAAGACCTGCTAAAGATACAAACTGAGGCCTACGGCAAGTTTACCGTCTCGAATCCGATACATCCGGACGTCTTCCCAGGCGTGAGAAAGATGGAAGCCGAGGTTGTTGCCATGGTCCTTTCTTTGTTCCATGCCCCGCCGGCTGCTGCCGGTGTGTGCACGAGTGGAGGGACGGAGAGTATCCTGATGGCATGCTATAGCGCGAGGCAGAAGGCGTACGCCGAGCGCGGCGTTACCGAACCCGAGATGTAGGTCTCACGCTCTGCGCGACCTCCCCCTCACCTACTAATTCGATGTTGGTAGGATTCTCCCCGACACCGCGCACACGGCCTTCCGCAAAGCTGGCGACTACTTCAAGATCAAGGTTCATTTGGTGTCTTGCCCTGCACCGAGCTATCAGGTCGATGTCCACCGTGTATCCCGTCTCATCAATTCTAACACCATCCTCCTTGTCGGGTCTGCGCCCAACTTCCCCCACGGTATCATGGATGACATCTCTGCCCTCTCCAAGTTGGCATTTAAACGCCACCTACCATTGCACGTCGACTGCTGCCTGGGCTCATTCTTGGTTCCCTTCCTCGATAAAGCCGGCTTCGAGACGGAACCTTTCGATTTCCGGCTCAAGGGCGTCACCTCCATCTCGTGCGACACGCATAAGTACGGTTTCGCGCCGAAGGGCAACTCGACGGTGCTCTATCGCACCCAGGAACTGCGCACCTATCAATACTTCGTATCACCCGACTGGTCCGGCGGCGTCTACGCCTCGCCCGGCATCGCGGGCTCGCGGCCGGGCGCGCTGATCGCGGGCTGCTGGGCGAGCATGATGCGCGTGGGCGAAGCCGGGTATATAGACTCGTGTGTTAAGCTCGTGGGAAGCGCCAGGAAGATCGCGGAGTACGTCTCCAACTCGCCAGTGCTGAGCACGGAACTCGACCTCATCGGCCGACCGCTGGTGTCGGTAGTGGCATTCACAGCGCGCAACCTCGACATATACGACATAGCCGACGGCATGAACGCCAAGGGCTGGCATCTCAACGCGTTGCAGAACCCGCCAGCCGTGCATGTCGCCGTCACGCTCCCGGTGGCCAAGGTCTGGGAGCGCCTCGTCGTCGACCTCGAGGACGTCATCGAGACCGAGCGCGAGAAAGAGCGGGTCCGCGTTGTCGAGGGTAAGGGGTCGTCCAAGAAGGGGACGACGGGCGACACGGCTGCCCTGTACGGCGTCGCCGGCAGCCTGCCCAACAAGGCTGTCGTCGTAGACCTGGCGAACGGATTCCTAGACCTACTGTACAAGGCGTGATGATAACAGACGAGCGAGTAAGATGACAAGGTCGAGCGGCCGAGCCAAGTCGCCGTCCTTTTTTTTCCCTTCTACATTCAAAGGAAAGGGCGGCGGGCCGTTATCGTTTAGAAAAATACAATAGGTTATATGTTAAGTGGAAGAACGCGGGACGGGCCGAGCAGTGTACGAGCGAGAGCATAGGAGGAAGCGTTACTTACTACTTGAAACATATACGAGCGTGTAATGGAAGGGGGGACCGCGCGGCGGACAGGATAGGACAGGCAGGGGAAAGAGGCCTTTTTCCGGCTCAGAGCCCGAGTAAATTCGACCACGGCGGGCTGTACGATAGGACACGACGTCGACAGGACGAGGCGAAGGGTGTTGCTCGCGGCGCGGGAAAGATGGAGGGCCCGTCACACATACACGTGTAGGGCGCTCCTTTTTCTGTAATTTTTTTTGTAACACATACCTATATACCATCGCCACCAATATATACCCGCCAACCAGCGGCGCTTCCAACCCAGCAGCGGAGCGGATTTGACCAAGGTAGCTTGATGGGTGTGCGAGGTTGGTGTTGATGCGGTAGGCACGGTGTATACATCCAGCTCCGTAGCACGACATGGCCAACGCATCCCACCACCCCCCCTCTCCCCGGCGAGAGCGAACACGACAGCGTTGGCGGGCGTGTGTTTCGTCTCGCTTCGTCCCGCTCCTCCTCACCACGTCTCCGCCGCTCGTCGTCGGGCCCGTCGTCTCGTTCTCGCCCCCGGTGCCAAGTATCGACCTCGCGATGATGGCGCCGCGCAGCTTCCACGCCTACATGTCTATCGTATATATACATACGTGTTCACTCGATGCTACCTGGGCAGTTTCGCTATTTGCTTGTCGTTTTTATCTCGTCTCTCTCTCTCTCTTTTTGGTTCTGCTCTTTTTTTTAAATTTTATGTATGTACACCGTCGATACCGTACACGCCAGACCAGGCCAGGCCAGGCCAGAGCCCAACCGTACCATCCCGTACCGCAACTTACACCATAGCTCGTCCAAAAACGCTTCCCCGTATATCGTTGTTCGAAGTTGCCGCGGCCCAGGGAACCAAGGGATACATAGGGAGGAGCTGAACTAGGTTCCCCTTTTCCACCCCCCTACACCCTGTCTGTCTGCCTCCTAAAATATAAAGGCTACTTTTTTTTCCTTAACCTTTTTCCCGCTGGACTCATGCTGCCCCGAAACTACGGCAGCAGATGGGGTGCCGGTATGTAAACCTACCTTCGGAGTTGCCTCCGAAAAAAATGCTGGCGCTGAGGGGTCCCCTTTAAGTGGTTATCACCTCCCCTTCCCTACTATTATTATGGGCCAGGTTGCTCGTTTCTTCATCTCCCTCCCCGCAAGAAAACAAGAGTGACGGAGACTTAAATCCCCAACGTGACGTCTCTTCTTTGGCTACAGCTCGGCTTCGGAATCATCGTGAGTGAGAAAGCGGCTGCTCTCCTGGCTAATCAGTGACTCGGCATCACCGACCTGCCTCCTCTCCGATATTTCCAGGTTATTGAGCCGCTTCTTCGTCGTTCTTGTCGGTAACGTCAATCCTTGGGATGAGGCCCACTCCCTCATGACTGCTGATTGCTATTGCAGAGGCTCCGATGAACTGGACAATCGGTTGAGGTGGAGGTAGACATCTGTTCCATACCTAGAGAATGCAATCAGCACCTACATATATTTCCTTGTATGGTGGCAACTTACCCCTCCATGCTGATTAACTTCAAGTCACCGCCGAAGTAACGAGCATAGAGCCGTGAAATCGGTAACCCGTAGCCGAAACCAGCCATGGGAGCCTTGAAATCGCTCTTATCAAAATCAGGGTCCAGGTTTGGGGTCCGATCCACTGTGGTGTACATGTAGGTCCATACAAGCGGAATGGCGCTGCGAGGAATTCCACCGCCTTCGTCGCTAACTTTGATTGTGATATCTTCTCTGCCTTCTGCAACGATGACTTTGGTTACCGGGAACTCCTGCTTGTCCTGGCCATGGGCCTCGACAACAGCTCTCAACGAGTTTTTCAAGGTCTCAAAGAGCATGTGTGACAAGTGGCCAGGTACATACATGAAGTTAAGGTCAGGGTTGCAAACCAGCTGGATCTTTGGCGCCTCAAAGAGTCCGTAGTGATCCTCGCAGACGAAACGGGCATTCTCGATGGCCTCTTGGGCTAGATCCCGCACGTTCGTTTTTGTGCAGATAATGCCCACATAGGTAGGGTCGTGGTGATGACTCTGGTCAGTCAGGGCGATGTGCTGCCCTATGAGCATTCGGATGCCAATTCGAGACATGTAGAAGCGGTCCAAGAAGTTCTGGATGTTATTGTCGATCTGCAATCGCTGCCTCTTCCGTTTGTATTCGAGGATGCCTTGAGCCATAGTTGTAACAACGCCATCATGCCTCCTCTTTATCTTATTCAGCGTCTGCGCAAATTTCGAATTGTATGCCTGCAAGTCTGGTGGCCAGTCGCCTGTATCGTCCACCATTGCGAAGTATCTCCTTGTTGCATGAAGCTTCTTGTTGTTGCCTACGGCGGACTGTGTCGACGGCAATGAGGCATATTGACCCTCGCGAATACTTGGGTTTGGGGTGGCTTCGGAGAGTATCGATCCCTTGCCGTTGTAGAATTTCCCCGGGTTCAGAAGTCGGTCTCGCACCTCCTTTGACAGTTCAGGCCGGCCTAGATTGATGATCTCCTATGGCACGTCACATATTAGATGACTCACACCCATCTACGTACTATGGATGGCTCGGAGTGCGTACCTCAAACGACTGCGCATACCAATCTTGGACTCTCCGAACTGACGGCATCTCGTTAAGGCCATCCGGCAAGCTCTTCAGCTCCTGGACTCGGTGCGCAAGGCGAATTGGGAGCTCTTCGGCAAGAAATTGGGAGGCGCGGAAGAGGGTTCCTAGTGGGGGAGGGGTCACAGTTAGCAAGACTAGGCCCACGGCATCAAGACAAGACGTGAAACGAAGCTTAGTAAAAGGGACCTGGGGGTGAAAATAGCATACCTATCGATGGCCTCTCGCCAAATTGAACCATCTGCCGCAAGCTCACGCCCGTGGCTGGGAATTTGGAGTAGTGGCGGATGGTGTCCATCAGCCGCTCGGATGCCTTCCACGACATGCTGGGCAAGTTCAGGTGCGTAAGGGAGCAAAACGCAATGGGGGATCCCTCTGGCCCTTGAAATCAACGGGGTGTCATGGACAGAAAATGAGATTATGCCATGAGATGCGAATTGAAAGCGGTAGGAGCCGGAGCCGTCAAGCACGAGACCGTCGAGTCGAGAGAGGACCCACGGGAATAAGGATGACGCTTTAGGGACAGGGGGGAGCTCCCTATCTCGTATCTAAAGTACCGAGGCTCTATGAGGGGGGGACGAGAATGAAGTTGCCCCGTACTCGTGAAGCGCGGAGGCGCCAGTGTTTGACCACGGGACGACGGGAGGAAGGAGGATATGAAAGAGGAATGGCAGTAGTCGACCTAACGACAACGGCGGCGACGACAACAACAACGATGGCAGTGCTGGCTGTGAGGACGATGGTGGTAAGTCATCTTCAGCATCGGCTTGACCTATCAGTACCGACTTTTCCTTCTTCTTCCCATGCAAGAACTCAGATAAAAGTCGGAACCAGAAGACGTGGGGATCAAGTTGTAGAATACTTAGAACAAGATCGGTCGGTCCTAGGAAAGCTTGGAAAGCCGTCATTGGCCTGTGGTTTTGTGGGGGCGCGGAGACATGGGAGACATGGGAGACACAGGGGAGTTGGGAACAACATTTTTGGAGGGGTGACGCTTTCGTAAAGTGCCTACCTCGTATTCAGGTACCCAAGTCGATGCTTACCAGGTATAGTTCCACATGCGGTATGTGAGGCAGGTACTTGATCTACTTGTGCGGATACCTAGGGTATACATTTTCTCAAGTACCGTACACCTGTATTTCGGCAGGTAGGTATTGTGCGGTTGAGGTTCACATGTCCCGGCACCAGCCTTGCTGTATGAGCGGGTAGGTACCTAAGGTATGTCTCACTTAGGTACCTACTTACAACTGAGGTACCTATGCACCTCTGTTGCCCTCCCTAAATCGCAAGCTTCTAGGTACCGAGGTACCTTAGGTAGGGTTATATGCCTACAGGTACCTAACCTACCCCCTCCTCCAGCTTCTGGGTACCTCCTAAGGAGGTAGGTAGGTATGGAGTACCTACGTACCATACCAGGAAGGGGGTCTACGAACAGTAGGCAGGTAGGTATGTCTGTAATGGTGTCGAGATATCAACATAGGTGGCTATCAAGTAAGGTGAAGATGACTAAATAAGATATGATTACGAACGTACCGTAGGTAGAGGCAAGTATAAGGATTGCAATCCGAACCGAAACAATCCACGGATCAATGGCAGCCCAACCCTCGTCCAAGGAGCCGCTGCTACATCTACCCACCAACTGTTACGCTGTTGCTGTTGCTGTCCCATCTGCAGTGCCACCCACAAGGCTTGCACGGCAGAGTTCCGAGGGCCCAACGACAACTGGCGACGGGGCGTGGCAGCCTGGCAACTTGCGTAGGTATTAGTTCCCAGCCCATGCCGTCTCTCTTTCTGTTTTTGTGTGTCTCTCTCCACACGATTTCCGCCAGCTAAGCTTTGGGTACCTACAGCATCTGCTCTCCCACCAACCCCGTCCGGCCCTCGAGGAGGGGGAGAAAAAAAGAGGATGAATACCCCCGAAAATGATGCAAGAAAATAGGGGAGAAAAGAAAGATAAACCCTCCTCATTACCTAACACATACGAAGCTACGGGCAGGCACTGCGCCCTGCGTACGTGTTCATTACCTACCTCTACCTTAGGTACATAAGGTGCCTGCTTAGGTATGTGGCACGTACATACACGTGAGGCATATATTAGGTACCTACCTACCTAACCACCTGAACCTTATGCTCGCTGCAGATTTAGGGTTGAGATTTAAATTGATCGGGAACCCGTAGGAGGTACCTATAGGCCAACCCTTGTCTCCCCAGATTTGGTAAGCGGACGGGCGCGGTTTGAGCTTATTCGCAACCTCCGTCTCTGCTCACATAGCTCTTACACCCATTACGTAACCATAGCATCGGTCTGCCTCTTCTATTATTTACCTCTCTCGGGCAGGTAGCACAGAAGGAGGGGACATGCGAGACGCAACATTCAGTGTGAGTCGGGAAGCCACGGCTACCTACATGATAGCTCCTACCTACGTCTCCAGGTGTTATTAAGTAATCTCCCAATAAACAGGGGTCTGATTAGTATTATCAGGTTGGCAGGCCGTCGTTGTTCTCGCCTGGTCCAGTTGTTCCCCGGCGCCCCACAGCGGACAGCTCTCAGGTCTCTCTCTCTCTCTCTCTCTTCAGGGTTCTGTCCTCTATCCTCTCTCACGCTCCCTCTACTCTCTTCTCTCTTCTTCGGTGCACGGATCCGTCGAATCTTGGATGTCCTGCCCCAGGTGGTCATGTAATCTACATATGTACATGACCTGCATCTCCTGCCAACAGCAAAAATCCCACACCCATTCGATCGGGCATCTCTCTCCCTCCACGTCTGTCGTCGTCCAACGCGTCCCGATCCGGAAGTTCATCGACTTTGGCGGGCTTCGACCTGCTCCCGACTCTGCTTTCATCTCATGACCGGCACAGGACCCGATGCAGGGCCACACAGCTCCCCAGATGGGCCCACTCCGCGTACGCCGCCCGGGAGTACTAAAGCAGAGTATTGTCACCCCTGGTCACCACGCAGCGGTGCCGCAAGTCCAAAGTCCTCACCACCCGACTCGCCGTCGCTGAGTCTCCATTCTCTGGGGATGTCTCCGTTCTCCCCCTTGCTCCGGCACCTCTCGTCGCCCTTCGTCAGGTCGTCGTCGCCCCTGCATCCTCCAGACCCAGACCCAGACTCAGACTCAGACTCGGAACCTTCAGACCAGGAGGACATAGTGCAAGACAGTAGAGATGTGCTCGTGCAACGCCTCAACGACCTCGCCGCTCAGCTCAGCCGGAAGGAGCGCCTTAAGGAGGAGAGCATCAACAGTCTTCATGCTAGGGTAGATGAGATGGAGACGGCCCTCTCTCTTACAGACCGTCCAGCGAAACGGGCCCCACCGAGATCTAAGCCGGCCGGTTTGGCTCTCCAGACCCCTAAGAGTGAAGGCGACCCCTCTTGGGTGCCGCTGACACCCGGGCGGATCATACCCAGCATCCCGAGCATATCGTTATCCGCCCAGAATTCTCCACCCAGGCGGGCATTCGGGGAGAGTACCGATACACCTGGGGCGAGAGCCGCTAACGAGGTTGGGATGTCGCCAGAGCAGGCTAGACGAGTAGTTGCGGAGGTGCAGAACCTGTGCAAGGAGCTAGAAGCCGTCTCCGCGAATCTGCGGGCTCGGCAGGAGGAGTCGGATGTAAGATCGCCCCGAGCCAGCAACTATTACATTATTGCCGCTAACGGATAGGTATGTAGCATATCCACGAACTGCTCGTCACACGGGCTGAGCGAGCGGCCCAAAAAATCATCCATCTCGAGAGGCGGATCAAGGAACTGTAAGCTCAAACGAAGGATGTCCCGACGGTGCGGGTAGATGCTGACGGACGCGGCAAAGTGAAAGCGAGCGGAACGAAGGTGAGATGGAGATGCTCAACCTACAAATCCAGCTAAAGGCAATCGAGGTTCAGTGCTTAAGCTATGTGCCTGAGAATGCGGACGAAGACCTGCGAGAGAGCATTTCCACTTGGAAGACGGAGTGGGCTACCTTGAAGCGTAGGAGGGCGCGGAGGAAAGCTGGCGGGGGCGAAGATGCTAGGACACCGGGGACTCCGACGAGACATCCGAGGGACATGGCCGCAGCAAGCTAAGTGCGGCGCGTGTGTGTACACCATTCATTACCTGTGGCAGGTGAGGCGGGTGGTCTGTTGGACCAAGACTGACCGGAGAGGCAAACGAAGACGACGATCAGGCATGTTTTCCCTCACCACCGGCTAGCTTGGACGCTGAGAGGCGAGTCTATGCCTAGATGGCCGTGTTGCAGTCTGCCATACTTCTTAGATACCCCATAGAATTAAGGAGACACTTAGCTGCGAATCCAAAGTACGAGACCTGGCGCGCGTGGGCTCCTTAGCTCTTGGCCCCGAATCGAGCTCGTCTAGACGTACGGCGGCACAAAAACGAGTACAACCGTAGACGGCGGCCGATTACACACGTCCATCTTGTGGCAGGGTATTGGTGTCGCATAATAGGTACCAACCGAAGAGAAGGGGCTAGATCGAGTACAGATCCCTCCCCACGGCATTCCGAGTTTATGATACTGTTGCGGCCCACACAGGGCGACCCCCTCCCAAGACGTGTCTGTCTAGCGGAAAAAGCAGAACCTAACAACCGCAGACGGCGACGCCGCTGCACGAGGGACAGAAGCGATGGGGGATGTCGAAAAGGACACGCCTTGCCCTTCTCCAACATCTGACTGAGCGGGTTCCGAAACACACGACGGCCCAGATGTACCTACGCGACGTGATCTCGCGATCTTGGTAGGGTTCGGAGCGGAAGAGGAGGTAGATGCAACTAATACCTTAGGTACCTATCTACCTACATCCCATTGTAGGTAGGTAGATAGGTAGGCAGATATCTCTTGCTATTACCTCTTGCAAACGAAGCTGGCCGACAGTGATATGTACCTGCCTACATATCTAGGTAGATATGTAGTTACCTACCTTCCAAGAAAGAGACAAGAGGAAGTTGCCCGTGAACACGCTTAGGTTGTGTTACGTCATAATGCGGCGACAAGTTGAGACCTTGGCCAATGACGCAGGCTTTAGGACGACGGCCTCCACTGCTCCACCCGTCTGCAGATGTACCTACCTACCCTCCATAACTTGTTGGGCTTGGGCGGATTGTAGATCTTTCACATGAATTCAGTCTTAGCTACCTACCTAGGTACGGCGCGTGCGGGATGTTGGGGAGCGGGAAGTAAGCCGCCAGCCGCAACCCCGGCAAGGCTTAACTGGGTGCGACCAGCCTCGACTAGCTGCCCGTCGCACATACACAATGCTACCTTGCCGCCTGCCCACACACCCCGACGGCGCCTTACTCAGCGAGCTCCTAACGCCTGTCTTGGGTTAATGAGGGGAGGAGGCAGCCTTACGGCGGCACAGCAGAAGGCAGGCAGGTACCTTCCAGCTGTACCTCTAGGTACCTACCTAAGTACCATGCCGTCTCCTCTCTATCGAGCTTGCCTGGCCAAGCAACACTGGAAGGCAGGAAGAAGGCGCCTCCGTTAGGTACATCCTGGCGTCGAGGGTTGAGGCAGGTGCCCAAGCCAGACAAATACCTATGTACCTAGGTAGGTATGGAGCCGAGTTCAAGGTTGCTCGTGGGTGGTTAGAAGAATATGCGCCTTGCCAACCCCTATACTCGCGCTATACGTAGGTAGGTATCAAATCCCCGAATACTAGGTAGACACGGTGTATCCCTCACCGTCACACCTGCAAGTAGATGCCTACGCGCAATACGAATGGGGACAAGGCCACGTCTCTCTCCAATGCCTGTGGCGTTGCATATCCCCCAGCTCCCCCACACCCGTCTGGGGAGATAAGTTTCGAAGGATTCAGACCTATCACATTTTAATGTGCCCTCCTGTTCGACTCCAGAGCGGTGCTTGCCGATGCTTGTCGACGCCACGGCCCAGAGTCGTGGGCCAAGGGTCAAAGGCCCCGAGCGACGGGTCCTTGGACAACGCTACTCTCGAGATAGGTACGGTGTGTCTATCGTATTCCGGCCCGGCTAGGAGACTATCACTACTCAGTAGGTGGTAAATGAGTAGGTCGGTTGTGGATGACAGGCTGGCGGCCTCCAGAGAGCCCCGGAGGAGGCGCGTAGAATTCCTCCCGTTAGCTTCTCTATAAATCTCACGCCGAAGATGCCGGCCTTTGTCCAGCATAGAAACCGGGAACCCTTGCCGTTGCGAAGAGCGGCTGCGAATGGAAAGGCGCCGAATGGCGTCGTCATATCTCAGACGAATCCTTCGGGTGTCCTTCGACTAACAGAGCTCTAAGTTCATTGTAACAGTATGCTCTGATCCATTCCACCATCGCTCATATATCTACGTATGGCCCGCGCCACGATCGGCAGTTGCTTTCCAAAGCTTGGCCCCTCGAGTCTCGGTTGCCGAATGGCTACGTTGTGTGTGGCTTCCGATGAGGTGGGTGGTATAACAGGCATAGCGTTCCTCTCTTCTTTTCCGGGCTTTGATTTTCCGTTGTTCTCGTCTCCCCAATATTCTCCCCCTCGGTCCGTCTTGATATCCAGTGCAGGTCCGAACGAGAGGCCTGAATGTGAACATTAGACTATTCAGTACAAGCACGAGAGGCCTCGAAGCTCATTATAGAGTTCTACAATCTAGTGATTGACACCCAACAATGCCCTCGAGCTCAGGGGACGCCCCGCTAGGAGGGTTTGCGGAGGAGAAGGGCAACCTCGAAAGAGGCTCCGACAGTAACCACATATTACACGCCGAAATTGATCCCAAGCACGACAACGGGAATGTTGTAGACGAGGAGGAAAGGCGGCGCCTAGACGCTTCGGCAAAGCTGGATCACCCCCTCGCCAGCCTCACCCCTGAACAGCTGACCCACAGGGGCGAGGAGCGGTGCGTTAAGCATGGCCTCACTGATGGAGAGGACATTCGGGCTTTCCGACTCGGTGCCATGATCGCAGGAAATATGAGTAAATACGATGTTATCGATGGACTCTCGGATCATGAGAGAGCGGTACTCGACAGAGAGATCACGCACAGATGGTCGAACACCCCGATGCTTTACGCTGTCATCGTCATCTGCTCCCTCTGCGCTGCTGTTCAGGGCATGGGTGAGACCGTCGTGAATGGTGCCCAGTCCTTCTACAAGGTGGAGTTCGGCATCGGTAACGCTGAGTCTCAGAGAGGTACGCCCTATCAGCAGAACGATCCCTCCTGTATACCGGGCTAATCCATGTGGACCAACAGATTCATGGCTTCTCGACCTCGTCAACGGTATAGTTTCTCTAGTCAGGCTGATATGAGATCAACTAATATTCCCGTCTAGCCGCTCCGTACATCCGCTGTGCTTTCGCCAGGTGTTGGCTCGCCGAGCCGATGAACAAAGCCCTTGGCCGACGCGGAACTATATTCATTTCCTGCGTTATATCAGCTTTAGCTTGTTTCTGTCAAGCCCTCACAAACATTTGGCGGCATATGTTCATCGCGCGTTTCGCTCTCGGGTTTGGCATCGACCCTAAGTCGGCTACCACTCGTTGGTCAACACGTCCTCCTTCTAAGGAGGTTAACAGAGGCTAATGGCATTACTAGCTATCTTTGCTGCCGAGTGTTCCTCACCGAAACTCTGTGGAGCATTGGTTATGCAGTGGCAGTATGTTACGGGCCCCAGACTAGCTAATACCTGGCCACCAAAGGTATCAGCTGACGCCCGGCTTGTCTAGGATGTGGACAGCTTTTGGTATTATGGTAGGTTATGCCATGGATCTGACCTTCTTCGAGGTCCCTGACCTGTCCGGAATTGTTGGTCTCAGATGGCGTTTGATGATGGGATCCGCCTTAATACCAGCCGTCTTCGTTTGCGCTACGGTTTACTATACCCCTGAGGCCGGCGGCATAATTCACTGTCAGAGTAAGGCTGAAAAACGTTAAGGAAGCGACAGTCACCTCGATGGTGTCTTACCAAAAATCGGCATCAAGACGCCTATAAGGCCATCACCCGACTCCGCTTCGAAAAGACCCAAGCCGCCTGCGACCTTTTTTACATGGATACTCTTCTCCAGATTGACAAAGAGGCCGTGAAACTGGGCCAGAACGGGATTAAAGAATTCCTCACCATCTGCCGGAACCGCAATGCTATGCTGGCCTCAGAGATCGTCATGTTCATGCAGCAGTTCTGTGGTGTCAACGCGATTGCGTATTACTCGACCGAAATTTTCCTCGACAGTGGAATATCCATGAAATCGGCGTTGGCTGCGTCGCTCGGGTTCGGCATTGTCAACTTCTTGTTCGCCCTCCCCGCATTCTATACCATTGATACATTCGGCCGACGAAATCTGCTGCTTACTACTTTCTCCGTAAGTCTTCGTCGGCGCTAAATTGACAACTAGTTAGAGTGGTTAACGGGATGTCGCAGCTTATGTCACTCTTCTTATTCTTCACGGGCTTTAGTTTCTGGATCCCCCAGTCAAGCACTGCTCACATTGGCTGTATCACGCTGGGTATATACTTATATGCAGTGGTTTACTCTCCTGGCGAAGGAGTAAGGATCCCAAGGCTTAAGCCTGTTACCGGACACTAACAATGCCTTACCTGGCCTGTTCCGTTCACGTACAGTACCGAAGCCTACCCGCTATACATCCGTCCCATCGGCATGTCGCTAGCGACGGCAACGACCTGGCTCTTTAACTCGGTGATCTCGCTTACCTGGCCGGCTACGACCCAAGCCTGGACACCTCAGGGTGTCTTTTCCTGGTATGCGGGGTAGAACACCATTGGCTTTTTCCTAGCGCTGCTGTTCGTGCCCGAGACTAAAGAGAAGACGCTCGAGGAGCTTGACGCCGTCTTCGACGTCCCGCTCAACAGTATAGTTTGCTACGGTGTCGATCAATTTTTCTACTTCTGGGGCCATTATATCCTAAGGCTGGTACACAAATAGGCGGCTATACAGTTTCGTCGAGAATTCATCCAATTGGAGAAGTCTAGGAATATCTATTTATTCGACGCTTGACGTATACGTTTTGGGGGGAAGGGAGACAATATGCAGTCGGAAACGCAAAGCAAGATAGAAATCTGCCAAGGATTGATCCTATCCGGAGGATAGTTATAATACGTATAACCCCTTATTATATTAATTAATTACGGGGTTAAATACCCCTGTAAATAGCCCTGTAAATAACCCTATAAATAACCCTATAAATAACCCTATAAATAACCCTATAAATAACCCTATAAAGGGATATCATTTAGGGGAAACTCTGTTTTTATTAGTTAAAAAACGCGCTATAGGTCCCTAAAAATGCGTGCACCTAATAAAAACGGCGGGATAAATGGAGGTTTTTTTATTTAACGTATCCCTATTACCCTTTAAGATTCCTACGTATATTTACTAACGCGTTTATTTATACGTTTTTATTCTTATTTATATAATTCTTACTTTTTTTCGTATCTTATAATTTATCCTTATAATCTATTCTTAGTTTAATTAAAATAAAATCGCTTTAGGTTAAAGAATATCGTACTTACGGAAGAATTTAAGCTATCGAATAATTTATTAATCTACGAAATTACGTTATATCTATAAAAAATTATCTCTCTTACCGCGAAAATATACGCCGTCTTACTTAGGTTAATATTCTATATTAATAGTTTATACTTTATCGTTAATTTTATATAGGATTTCCGATCCGATCCTACGCTTAAAACGCTTTAACCGGCTTCGTAATTAAATGTTATTTATTATCGATTATATTTTACTACCGCGTAGCTTCGGGTATATAGTTTAAGCGCTAAAGAGGTAGCTTTACGCGTAAGTAACGTATTACGATAGTAAATTCGAAAACGATATAAGGTAACCCGACGTAATAGCGGTAATCCTTCTCTTATTCCTTTACTTTTTTCGTTAATAATATAATTATAACTAGCGGATTTAGCGGTAGCGCTAGAACTAACGCCCCGGGGGCGACCTCTTCGAATATTTACGCGAGAGTTAGCTCGTCGAGGCCGACCTTTACGTACGCTTACGTTAAAATAAGCGCGAGAGCTAACTCGTCGAGGCCGACCTCTACGTACGCTTACGTTAGAATAAGCGCGAGAGTTAATTCGTCGAAGCCGACCTTTACGTACGCCTGCGTTAGAATTAACGCTAGAGTTAATTCGTCGAGGCCGACCTTTACGTACGCCTACGTTAAAACTAACGCTAGAGCTAGTTCGTCGAAGCCGACCTTTACGTACGCCTACGTTAAAACTAGCGTTAGAGTTAGTTCGTCGAAGCCGACCTTTACGCGCGTCTACGTTAGAATTAACGCTAGAGTTAGTTCGTCGAGGCCGACCTTTACGCGCGTTTACGCTAGAATTAGCGCTAGAATTAGTTCGTCGAGGCCGACCTTTACGCGCGTTTACGTTAAAATTAATACTAAAGTAAATATAAGTACGTCGAGGCCGACCTTTACGGCCCTTTACGCTAAAACCCTTTACGTTAAAACTAATACGAAAGTAACCGCGCCTAAGCCGACCTTTTAATTAAACCTTCCCCTTAAATACCGCTCGCTCTTAGGAACTTAATAACGTTTTTAATCGTTAAAGTTCGTTTATAATTAAGCTACTACGGTAGAAGAAAGACCTCGACGCTAGCGTAATTAGCGATACCGATTACGCGATTTTAATACGGTTTTAATTAACGCTAAAGTAGGAACGACGTAAATACTATAGTCGTTACGGGAAGTATTAGTTTAATATAAATCTAAATACCGCGGGTATCTATAAGCGTTATCGTAATAAAGATTAAAAGAAGCGCGTAAATAAACCCTTTTTTTTTAACGTAGGTAACTATCTTAACTTTAGTATCCTTCCTTCTTTTAATTTACTACTAAAGTTAATAATAATCGAAGAACTACTTATTACGTAGGTTTACGTAATAATAAATATACTTATAATCCGCGGTTAATAATATAAATATCGTAGCTACGTCGTATACTTTATACGTAACGTTAGTAAAATATACGACTATCTTTTCCTTCTCCTTTAGTATTTTAATATCGTTTTATTACGCTTACGCGAGCTAGCGTAAAATCCCGAGTAAATAACTTAGTTTTAAACTAAGTTTAGAATACGCCGGCGCGTTATCGAGGTATAGCTTAAGTATTTAAGATATAATTACCTAGGTTATAAAGACTTTAAATGAAATCGCGCCGCGTTAGAAGAGCTACTTAACGACGGTAATATTTTTAAGTAGCTTAATATTTAAGACTTCGTCGATAACGGTTAAGCGTTTTAGGCTAGCCTAGTGTAGTGGTGCGGTGGATCTAGGCCACGTAGCCTTTTCGATGTATATTTATATGGGTCGCGTACTTATATTTTCATTAGTTAGACTTAGACCTATAGACATTACGACCTATAGCCATTTATTCGTTTCTTACTATGCCTTTCTAGCTATCCTCGTCTTTGCCTTTCTAGTTAGTTCCTTTCCTAGCTACCGTTTTTAGCTAACCGATTAACCGATTATAGCTATTTATAGCTATGATCTTAGGTTAATCGGTACTAGGCTAGTTGTTAGTAGTTGGGCAGTCCTTGTTTCGTGCCTCCGTTAGCGTGCCTACGCTGCTCCTGTTCAGTGGCGACCACCTAGTAGCCCGAGCCGTAACCTCATTAGTCTTAGGAGCGACCTTTTGCGACCGTTTTTGTAGTCATTAGGTTTAGGATTTATCGATCAGGAGATTCCCTGTTTTTCAGTTGATTAGGAGCTGTTTTCGTGGCTCCAGAGCCGTTTTCGTGGCTTTTGGATTAAGCCTTTTTAGGAGGTCAGGATTAACGGGAGGGCAGATAACCATGGCGACCATTAATAACCACGCCCTCCCATTAGCTTTTGATTAGCTTACCTGAAAGCTCGTTCGCCGATTAGTGGATCTATCCTATCCTCGTTTCTTAATTGTCTCTTTTGAAGGAGCTATGCCCGTTTTACCCGGTTTCGTCTTCGTTTTTTCACCGGTGCCTAGATGGTAGTTTTTCTCTTAGTTGATCTGATACCGTTACCGCTACCACCCCTTTTTTTACAACACACGCTCGCACGCGCTTGAAGGCATCCGTTCGTTATTAATTAGTTTATTTTAATTGCAAGAGGCTTGCCGATAGCTCCGATCGCCCTTGTTTTATCCCTTCCAGCTAGTTACGGTACCTGGGGAGGTCTCTCCTTGCCTTCCTAACCGATAGGTGCTACGATGCCCTTACAATAAGATACCGATATACCTTATACCCACGAACTTGATCGGGGAACCTACCGATTAGCGCGATAGACCTATAAACGATACCGATACGAACGAATTGAATAGATATTAAATAAGAAAGCCCAGGAAAAATAGTTACAAATTATAGTCGAGAATAGTCATAGTATTGCCTAGAGACCCCTCTTGTCGCCCTTATCGATATGTGGTTGGTAGGAAGAGCCTAGAGAGCCCCTAGAACTACGTATAGGGGAGGGATCGAGGGTCAAGGGAAGCCCGGTAGATGCTGCCGGACGAATATAGGAACGGTTATACGAATAATAGCTAGATACGAGTTAGAAACGGAAACAGTCGGGCATGAATAGGATATATTAGTTAGTTTATAGGATTAGGATTAGTTGAAAGGATCGGTAAAGCTAGTCATGGACGAGAAGGACGGGATTACGTTACATCGTATGGGATTGTTTCTTTGTTTCTTTCGGGAGCTACGCTTATTTTACCTGCCCGTTGCAGTTCCTGTTTTTCTAACGGATCCCTGTTATTTCTTAATGGTCCTAATGGACCTGGCTCGCTCCTAGTTGATTAGGGTTGATTAGGAATAGGTTAATTAGGTTAGTTTATAGGTTATAGCTCCGCCAGCCTAGTTCTTGTTATCAGATCTTTCCTGTTTCCTATTGATCGTTGATTGAACTGGCTTAGCTCCTAGTTGGCAGCGATTGAATAGGTTCAGGATTGATCAGGATTAATTAGGTACAGTCAGGCACGGTTGCAGTTACCCACCCTACTACCTACTTGTTGCAGTTGCAATTGTCTCCTGTTGTTTCAGGATTAACCAGAGACCTACCTGACTTATCCTGTTGGCCGTTGATTGAACTGGCTAGCTTTTAGTTGATTAGGGTCGATCGGGATTAGGTTGATCGGGATTAGGTTGATCGGGATTAGGTTGATCGGGATTAGGTTGATCGGGATTAGGTTGATCGGGATTAGGTTGATCGGGATTAGGTTGATCGGGATTAGGTTGATTAGGTTCAATAGGAACGAGAGCTACCGTACCTGTTGTTGGGAGTTTAATTGCTCCTTAGGGATTAATTAAACTGGGGAGGCTATAGTGGTGCGGTAGATCTAGGCTACGTAGCCTTTTCGATGTATATTTATATAGGTCGCGTACTTATATTTTCATTAGTTAGACTTAGACCTATAGACATCACGACCTACAGCCATTCACTCGTTTCTTACCATGCCTTTCTAGTTATCTTCGTTTTTGCCTTTTTAATTAATCCCTTTCCTAGCTGCCGTTTTTAGCTAGCCGATTAACCGATTATAGCTATTTATAACTGTGATCTTAGGTTAATCGGTACTAGGCCAGTTGTTAGTAGTTGGGTAGTCCTTGTTTCGTACCTCCGTTAGCGTACCCACGCTGCTCCTATTCACTAGTTACGAAGGACGACCTAGAAGGATTAGAGGCTTAATACGATAAATTTATTATATTAAACGTTACGTTAAAGTAGATTAAAATAAAACGTTTAGAGTTAGAATTAAAGGGGGCGTTTATTTTTAAAGGTTATTCCGTTAAGCTTATAAGTACTTATTATTTATTTATACCTTTTATTCGCTAAACCCTTATTAACGAGTTTATACGTTTAATTACGTTATTTTTACTAGCGTTTCTTACTTTATTTCCGCGTAAAGAAGCTAAATTTATATATCTAAGGTAGCGTAA